ATCTTCTGTCCGAGAGTTATACCATAGCCAGCTCAGATTCCTCCGCCGAACACCCCGCATGTACTTGACTTGATCCGAAGAAATGTCTCGAACGCCATATGTCGGCATCGTTTCCATAATTTGTCGGATTCCGCAGTATATCATAGTGGTGATTGCACCCCCCAGGATGAACAGACCAACAACTAAGCTGCCTTTGCCATCGCTGTCACTCTTCATGGTAGTTGCGTAGGCCGTCGGTTTAACTGGTGCCTTTTTTGGTTTCCATATTAGAGCTGGTTACTAATAGTAGTCTAGCTTAGGTTTAGACTCACAGGATCGACGATTGTATGAGGTTGTGGCTAGTCCGTAGTCCCACTAGAACTGAAGTTCAAGTTGCTTAGAGAGCAAAAGTTTGACTCTTCGGGGTCTAGAAAGTGGTTCAGTCAAAAGGAACAGACAAGTAATAACTATATTTATGCGCATTTCAGATCTTTTATTACCTTCTCGGATGGTGTTTATCCCTCGGTTCCCTAGCGTGATCCTCTGACATCGTAGATACATGTCGCACTACATCGGCCAATCATATTATAGAGCGAATATCCACTCCTTCCCGTGTAACGTGAGACCCGCCCCTCAGTTCGCCATTCGATCCTCTGCATTGACGTTTGACTCGAGCACACTCTATCGTCACGCCATCTCAGCTGTGGATGGATTAATGACACTTTTACTCGGCTCTGTCCAAAATCGCTTCCACGTACCTCTGATATTTCTTACATTGGCTGGTCTTTTACCTCCAGGCAATGGAACATACCTTTCGTCAGTCAATTCATCGATCTGTGAAACTGAAATCCCGAACAGGCTGTATAGCCTGTAGGTGCGTAGTGATTTCCTCCACAGGGACCATCTAATGGACTATAGGACACGCAAAGTGAAATGTGACGAGGAAAAGCCCTATTGCCTACGCTGTCGAACCTCTATCCGATCCTGCTCATATGACAATGCCTTCGAACCGCCGGGCCCGGCATCTATTCTGCATACTTATTCCCCGCTTGACCTATCTCTTCGAGAAAATCGAGAAGAACTAGCACTTAAGTATTATTTCGAACGAGTCGGTCCTGCGATCGGAGGCTGCTTTGATTTCTCCTTTTGGCAAGGAATAGTCCTAGAGACTTGCCGCTCTGAACGAGCAGTATATGACGCCATTATTGCTATCAGCGGGCTATACGAAGATGTGGACCGCCTTGCTCGTACATCAATGGCATCTACTGCAACGGAACTAGGGCCCAAACAACGCGAAGCACTCAGGTGGTATCGCCGATCAATTTCCCAAATGCGTCGGCAGATTAAAAAAAATGCCACTGATATGTATATCGCGCTTGTGACCTGCGTCCTATATATCTGTATCGAGGCTCTCCAGGGTCACTTTGAAGAGGCCCTACATTTATATGACCAGGGTGCTAGTCTCATCGCAGCTCTGCCTGACAGAAGAGATGCGTCTTGGAATTCATCAGTCCTGCGAGATGTTATTGTCCCATTATTTCTCCGGTTGGGTACATTCGCGTTGGTAGCTACGCGGTATCCGATTAAAAATTCATCGGCAATTATTACATTCACGGAAACTGCGCTTCGTACCCCCGACGATTATCGAACAACGATCATCTCGCTAATAGCGGAAACGATGCTTCTCCAAAGAGAAGCAAACAGACAAACCCGTGCTGGAGAGGTCGTGAGCAGGTCTCCCCTATTCCAGTCGCGTCAATGGGATCTTCAGTCCAAGCTCCAGCGGTGGAGGGTCGACTTTGCCATATGGAGTGAAAAGGACTCCTCGTTCGCAAGAACAGCTTTTGCAGCAACTCTACTAAGTTGGCACGCAGCCATCTCAGTCATGATTTCAAGTTGCCTTAAACAACATGAGACCGAATATGATATGCATTTCGGTCAATTCCGGTCTATTGTTAGCTGGTCAAAGCATATTCTAGATTTCTCAGCGACGCCAGGTCGATCACAATCACCGTTCACATTCGAAATGGGCGTCGGCATGCCTCTATTTTTCACCACTGTTAAGTGCCGTCATCCGGTCCTACGCCGAGACGCACTGGATCTCCTTCGACAAGCGCCTTCGGTACAAGGTTTCTTTAACTGCTCGTCATGGGCTGCTCTGGCCGAGAAGGTCCTTGAAATTGAAGAGGGACTGCTTTCCGAAGTAAGAAAACGCGTGCTGCTGAAAGGAAGGAACCTCAGTTTGCCTCCGCGCGAGGACGAACTGGTCATGGTTGCGCATGAAGAGTGGTACCCGTCCACTGCCGACGGGCAGCAAGAACTTATTTTAGAGAATTACAGAGTCCATGATTATGGAACTTTTCGCCTAGTCAGTTCACGCCTTCGAGATGGTCTGAGCTCAGACGAAGTGAAAATGTTTCTTCGGTTTACGCGAAACAGACGAAGTGCGAAGGGGGAGTGGTATTTAGAGGAGCTTTTCTGCATGATGTCTTGAATAGCGGTTACCAAGGTCTATAAAGTCTGCATACTGGATACGTTGGTAGCAAGAGTTATCCTTGCCATTGTCACCCAAGGGCTGTTTACAAACCCACATCTATCCATTTGGGCTTTAGCGAGAACCTCACTCTAGGTTCTTCAACTACAGCCACATCCATGACCGACTCGAAGCATACTCTTCAAGACATATATAACGAGATAAAATTGACGTGAAAGAGGCTTTGCATCATCACTAGCTACAATAGAATTTTTCTGAGCACGGCTAGCCTGGTTGGATACTGACGAACGCCGGCAACAAATGAAGATTTCAACAGAGAAGCCATGGAAACGAAAGACCGAGCCACCACCAGGAAAGTGCGACAGCTCATGGACACCCTGAAGATCACTCTAAAGCGTTCTAGGAGCAAAATGTTGAATAATAGGCGTTAGGAAACTGGCAGCTTCCAAATTGCCGCAAGTTTCTGCGAATATTTATGATTGTAAGCTTGCCGCATTCAGCTTCTTTAGCCGTTCGAGAGGTGGTAAGGGATTGGCTCTCTATCATATCACGGATGAGATACAGTTTTGAGAGGGGGAGCCTTGGAGCCATATTACGTATCTCAACGTTGGATAATGATCAAGAGTCAACGGGAAGAAGCCTTTCGGTTGGGGAGTGCAACCAAGGAGGGGCACGCAGGCAGCAAGCGTATAGCACTTTCGTGTAAAATACAACGTCTATTCTGGGAAACGGAGGATCTACAACTACACCAAATTTGGATTGGCGTGTTTCAGGTTAGGGTTTGGGAATTAATTCGTGTGAGGATGTTGGTATATCTGATTTCGAATATCACTGTAAGAGATTAGTCTCGGTTCATCCTTCCTTATTTCATCTCAAATACACTCGACCCGCTGCTGTGAGAATTTGCTGCTATTCTCTTTCATTCTCATTCCTTTAAAGAGTCTTGAGATCAACGTCATTCGACTCGATGTTCAAAGAGGAATCCACGATCTTCTGCTAGTTTTTTAAAGGAGAAAGATGGACCCCGGCAGCGATAAAAAGCATTACCACGAGATATTCCATAATGAAAACCATCCCAACGAAAGGCCCCAGAGGCCCGAACAGCATATTCCACTTTGTTTGGTTAGGGTGAAACACAGCAAAAAGACTGTAAATCAGACGCGTGAGGGTTGGTGGAAAAGCAGTTGTTACTGCAACAAGACATGTCCACGAATCATGACATAATGACTGACGAGCGATCCAAAGACGACTGATTAAGTAAAGGATCGAGCCAAGATTGAGAGTAAAAATGAGATAACCCCCCTGACAGAGCCTCTGACCCGTCAGCTGCTTGCTTGGATCAGGCTTTCCTTCCAAAGAGCCCCCAGCCGTGAGCAAGCCAATGCCCAAAAAGAATATTCCTCGACTGATGTAGAGTATCTTCTGAAAATGCGTAATCGGACTCTGCAATTTGTTGATGACACCCAGTATACCTAGTGTGCTAAAAAGCAGAAAGGTTACTCCCACGTTAAGCGTGATGGTTGCTGGAATGAAAAGGCCAGGGTTCGTTGGATCATTTTCGTAAAAAATCAGAACTATTCCTGCCGCAAGACGGACTGTATTTTTGATCAGAATGGCTCTAGGGGCTCTGTGGTTCCAGTTCTTACAGAAGGAGAAAAACGTCAGATATATCCAAGGGAGTATAGCTCCAGGATGTCGTATCTTGGCAAGATAGAAGCTCGCAGGAGGTATAAATGCATAAAGCACGATCATGCAAATAGCCAAAGATATATGAGGTTCAGGCATGTTGAGAATCAAATCACTAAATCGATGACGGACATTTTTATCGCAAAGGTGCAGGTGCAACAAATTTATATCAATTGCTATGTCTCCGTTCCAGCCCTGAATGATTACATGCACTACGGACGGCTTGCTTCTCCACCGCCATAGACCTTAAAGTTCTTGCATTGGCCTATTTCTATTGGATGGTGGCTCCAACGAACTCTAAAAAGAAATAATCAATAGCGTTACGGCCGCGTTGTCTTTCTCTAATGGCGCCAGTGCTAGGCTTAGCGAATACGCAAGTCACTATAGAAGTAGTTTTAGCGAGGAAACGTTGGCAAAATCTTTTCGTTTTCGCTGATCTCAATTTCAAGGTCATTTATCGGATCGCCCCTATAAAAGGGAGGGCATGATGCGAAGCAGGCCCCACATGTCCCAACACCGAAACAAGCGAATACGATGGACACTCGTTTGAGAATAGTGTCACATAAGTGCACGTGACTATATTTCCGTTTGGACAACGCCGATCAGATCACGTGATTCAGATATCGATTGTTCTTCGTCGTCATTCTAAGGTTAACTAACATCCGGCCTGCCCCGCACCCCTTCAATACACGCAAATTCGCTTTCACACGTTCCTATGCCCACGATATTTGTGGGTAAACTCAACTTGCGTGGCCAAGCCGCGTAGCAGAAGATTTCGAAGAGGCCTTGACTCCGGTTGCGCATGCTCGAATGATGGAGAGCAGTTTTCAGATAACGAATTATGGATCACCGAAGCTTCCTACAAGCGAGCACACTGAGCCAAAAGAACATATCTATCTTGCTCGTCGACCACACAGAAAATCCCGCACTGGGTGTTCGAACTGTAAGCGGCAAAGACTTAAGGTGATACACCCAGCTAGCGAGAAATTCCTCGTTTTCGGCTAACAAAATTAAGTGCGATGAAGGAAAACCTCACTGTCTCAGGTGTTTCAAGAAAGACATCGTATGTGAATACAAATTTGAGAATGGTTCCTTTCGTCAGGCTACGCATGTTGTGAGGCAATTCATTAACGATCGCCCTGAACTGGTGTCACCGGATTCATCAGCGTATTCGATGTTCCTCTTGTTGATTGCCAATAAATTGGACGAATTACTGTGCCCACCCACGGCTCAGAGCGTCAAAAGGACAAAACAACTGCCACCCTCGTCTGCAAATCGCAATCTGGTAGCTCTTCGGTATTTTTGTCACGCAACAGAAGCGAAATCAAACGCGGATTCGGATATGCGTGCAATGATGAGTAAGCTCACAGAACTCGCATTTGAGGTGGGACCTTTCTCCATTTGTTCAATATTAATATATGGAGTAAAGATTATGTTAGGCTAATTGGCATCACTCCTCAGTGTCCATACCTAATGCATGCTGTCATAGGTGCAGCCACTACTCATCTCTGCCGAGTAGTCCCGAATAACAGTTCATACCGTGTTGCGGAGGCCTACCACTGGCAGAAGAGTATTGAATTGTACTCTAAGGACTTGGAAATTGTTGCTGAACATAATATGGACAAACTCTACTCTACCTGTTTCATCCTCACAATTAGGTCTTTCATGCAAGAATCCTTCAACCCACGTGAATCTTTCATTTTCTCCAAAGATCCAGTGAAACTTAACTGGCTTTTGGTTCAAGGGGGTCTGCGCCATCTTCTCGAACGCACTTCACATTGGCTGCCGCAAAGTTTATGGTATACAACATTCATGAACGCGCGAGACCCATGGATTAAGTACGATGACGACCGGCCCGGCCGTGTTGACTTAAATCCTGATCTAGCCGACCTTTGCGGAATCGAAAGTACCACGACCCTCGAAAGCAACCCTTATTTGTGGCCATTGCGGCTATTGTCCAATCTTCTCCCATTAGAGCGCGGTACTAATAACTTTCGTCAGTACTGCAATTTCATGACTCGACTTAATCTCGGGTTTCTGGAGCGTCTGCTGGAAAAAGACCCCCCAGCTTTGATAATCCTTGCCTGGTGGTTGGCACTCATGGATTCCGCAGATGTGTGGTGGGTTGAAACGCGCGTGCGGTCGGAATGTATAGCCATTTGCATGTGGCTGGAGGAAAGCAATAATTCGTTGGTGCTTCGACTACTGGAGTTTCCTGCCAGACAATGCGGGTATTCCTTGCGCCATGTCAACCTAATAGGTGCATAATTTCCTGGAGCTAGTATTTTGCTCTCTTGGGATATGGATTTTCTAGCCTCTGCTGCTCTTCCATAAAGGGTTCTTTACGAATAATCTCAGGGATATCACCCTAGCACTCCAAAATAAAGCCCCCGTCAATATGGGCCATTAGGCGTATTGAATAATAATATCCTATATATCCTTAATTGATAGTATTTCTTCCTATGTGGGTCTTACTAGCAATGCGGGCCAAGGTGACAGGATGACGAATGACGCATCAAGTTCCAGATGGCCCGCCAGACCGACTGTCATCTAGAACGCATGTTCTTCGGTATCAAGTCGTGCACCCCTCTCGTTAAATATCCTTTTCATGGTAGATGCCTTTCTATAAATTTCCTCTTTCTCGATCCTACCTGCTGCGGTACTGAAGCGGTGTTCCTCCTCTAGTTATATAGTTAGTTAAAGACGATTATTTACCGCGATTAACTGTAAATCTTACCGCGGGTATCGAGTATCTATGTATGCTATACGCTCATTCGCAGTTCGGTTCCGGAGCGTGAGTGTGGTTGAGGGACGCTGGGGTGGGACGTGTAAAGGTGGCCAGCCAAAACCTCTTCTATGTAACAGGCCAAGGCCGCTGTCTGATCACGTGTAAGCACGCGACTAACGCGCATTATCAACTTTGCGCCCTTAGATAGTTCTTCTCTCCACGCTTCTAGCAAATTGCAATTGGCTCTCCAGTTGGCATACCAACTCGACTCCGCCCTTTCGCATTCTAGGCCTGTTTGTTTTGTTTGCAGAAGCGATTCTAGACAAGGCATGGCGCATACAGTAGTGATACGGTAGCTATTTTTAGACCGTTAATTACTACCGTATGAAAGACACTTCCAAGAATCCCTGTCAGGGCCATTGTAACCGTAATAGGTATTGCGTGATGCAAGATAAGAGTTCGACAATAAATCGAAGAGAATAAAGTGGTGAAACTGATTTCGAGCGCCTCTGTATAGTCCCTCGATCTACAGAATCATGAGGCTGAGCCAACTTGAGCTTCCGAATACGCAGGGAGATCCACTCTATATACATTGGTGGACGAACATCTGGTTCCGGGTCACGCCAATCACATTGGAGACCGTCTAGCTCATTCTTCATCGCATCGGATTATGTCTGTTTCCCCTGATGTCGGACTCTGGAACTACGCCCTGCCGATCAATTGGCGTGTTGCAATTCCTTTGTTGGTGCTAGGAAAATGGCAGCCTGAGACTAAGAATAAAACATTCAGGCACCCAGATAAGAGCGCGGGATTTTCTCCGCCAATGGTGATGGACAGCCCGCGGATGGAACCTGGGACCTGGTGATTCCGGCCCTGACCAGTCCACGTACCGCAACCGCAGAAGATGAAAAAGAAGGAAAAAGTTACTGGCAGAACCGATCAATATTAAATGTCTGGGGAGGAACCCAGCCCACCAGCCGATCGGCACTTTTGCCCGTGTTCCCGTGCTGGAAGGCTGCTGTTGTTGGGGCTGTGTGGCTGAGTTTAGTGTTCGGGGACGATCCAAGGAACCAGAGGGAACGGAGCAATTCATCCGGCCGGTCCGGACGGGCCTTCCACTCGTATTCGGAGGAACGCTGGATTCTAGGCAGAGAGCTGACGCCGTGGATGCCTAGAGTGAGGGAGGCTCTGCTGGGCGGTGACGGGGTATTACCAGAATCCAGCACGGACGGTGGTGTAATTATGGGTAAAGCGGTAATGCCCAAACACGCCCCAAGCCAATCACCCATGTCGAGCACATCCCCCTTCCAGCCTAGTGCGAGTCGTCTATCAGGCAGACACTTGCGTGTCGCCAACGCCTTTCTCCCGTTCTTCCCTGTTCTCCATCTTTCTCTCCACCGTTCCTGTCCTCAAAGTGTGAGAGTCTTGGATGTCCCGAGGCCTCATTTGCTGCCGTTGGAAGACACTGCTTTGATTTCGCTCGGCTTTGTGTTGTCGAGTGTTGCCCTATCGGCGGATCCCGTTCCACGCCTAGAGGGTTCAGCATCATCGCTTTTCGACCATCCGACACGCCCGCTTCGTCGTGGTCGATTCATCCATCGTGACCCGCATCCAGTTTGGCGCTGTATGCCCAGTCACTGGGAGAGAGAATCTGCGACCGTCTCGTTGCCAACCAAAGTGAGAGTCCACCGCCGCATTCTCTTATCAGCCTCGATCCCATCGCCCAGAGATCACCCGCTTGGTCGACGATCCAGGCGGTATATATAGACCAACAGCCAGACCGATCGGAGTGACTCGCTCGGCCGATCGTCCGTTTTCGAATCATCCAGACATTCAGCCCTTTCCCGTGAGTCATAGGCCCCGGCCAATCAGTCGTGACAGCCTGTTCATTCCATCCGCTCACGCCCGTGTCTGTGTAGCTATGACGGCCTCTGTCGTTGATCCCGCCCGGGTGCATCCCCGCCGGCGGCCGGTCTTAAACACCGACGCTGTCCCCTCGTCCGAAGGCCCCTCCGGCCCATCCAAGATGCGTTTGCAAAAAGGGGAAACGTTTCACTCGCCGACGACCCCCCCTCCGACGACCGTGACCCGGTGATGAGTGTGCGCTCGCTGCCTCGTCGCTCCCCCACATCTCTGGAGGCTATTGCCGCCAGCGAACAACGGATGACCTCGCTGCTCGGCCGTCTCAACTTGGGGACGGATTCAGAAGAATCCAACAGTAAGGATCTCAACAGCAAAGTCGACCCTGCTGTCAAGTCTGAACCCTCTGCGGATGACCTTAATGAGCTCTCCGGCTCGGACGATGAGAAGATGACCCGTCAAAGCCACAGCCACGAGTCGGACAGTGGTCTGGGAACCTCGGTCAGTAGTGTCGAGAGTGTCTCTTCAGATAAGAGCGAAGGTGAGTGTTAGATCAAGCCCCCCGGCCGCCTTGGAGGAGAATGAACGCCCTATTGTCTTGTTTATGCAAGTGCTGATGTATGGAACTCAACAGTGAATGCAAAAGTGAATGCCGTCGCGGGCACCACAGCAGCAACCTTCGACAAGCGCCAGCTGGGATTGAATGCCTGCAAGCAGATCGAGAAGTTCATTCTGGTCCCTATTCTGAAGGAATCTCGATTGAAGCCATTCCATCCGCTGGTCCAGAGTGTGCCGCAACGCATTGTGAATAAACAGATTGTCTGCCTTCGCGATCTGGAAAAAACCTTATTGTGGTTGGCGCCGGTAAGTGAATGATTCGATCAATGAGCTATTGGCGTTCTGGGTTGGGACTTATAAATCTTTTTTTCGTTCTTTTAAGAAATCTGCTCCTACTCGACTTTCTTATCTCAACTTTTGCGAATTCACGATCCAGTGTCTTCACACCTCGGCCTCGCACCTTAACGCGCGCGACCAACGTCTTCCTGCCGACCGCCCATACACTAACGGCTACTTCCTCGATCTTGTTTCCCAGGTTCGACGCTCCGCGGCCATGATTCGTGAGTCCCGCGAGCGGATTGAAGCCGCTCAGGCGGCCAAGTCTGCCGATGGAAAGAACGAAAAGGCCACTGAGCCCACCGTGTAAGTTTCTTATACTCCTGCCAACCCCCCACAGCTGTCCTAACTGGCAATCATAGTACCGGAACCCTCAAGCTCGAAGGCGGCTTGTCGAAGACCGGAAAACCTGCCGAGCTGGTCCTTGTGCAGGAGGATGGCAAGCCCATCTCGATGCGCACTGGGGAGGCCTACGAGGCGGATCTCACCAGCCCTGTTTTCAAGCGCATGATGAGCTTCGATGAGTCTGTTGATGAGGGTGTGCAGCGTTCCATGGCTCGCCGCAAGAAGAACGCTCCGCCCATGGACATCAACCAGAAGTGCAGTCATTGCGACAAGGTCTTCAAGCGCCCCTGCGACTTGACCAAGCATGAGAAGACTCACTCGCGCCCATGGAAGTGCACGCAGTCATCTTGCAAGTACTTCCAGGTTGGCTGGCCGACCGAGAAGGAGCGTGACCGTCATATCAATGACAAGCACTCCAACACTCCTGCGTTGTTCACCTGCAGCTTCAAGCCCTGCACCTATGCCTCCAAGCGTGAGAGCAATTGCAAGCAACACATGGAGAAGGCCCACGGCTGGGTCTACGTTCGCTCCAAGAACAATGCCCGTGGTCACCATGTCAAGCGCGGCTCGTCGTCCATCCAGGCCACCCCGCAGACCCCCAGCGTGTCGACTCCGGGCTCGAAGCCGACCGACTTCTCCACCCCGACCAGTGGCCCTAGCCCATCTCCTCTGGAGTCGAACATGGGCTTTGCGGACAACTCCAACTTCAACTTCAATGACCCTCCTGCACCCCCCTGCAGTGATGATTTCCCTCTGTTCCTGGAGAACTCGCCTTACCATGCCTCCTCTGCGGGACTGAGCAACGATGTCGACCCGCCGTTTGGGTCTTCGATGAATCTCGACGCTTTTCAGGCCCAGTTCGGAGCCGGCGACCCGAATGGTCTGATTTCGTCTCTGGAGATGCACCGCCAGTCCATGAACACCATGTCCGTCCCTTCCGCAGATTCGGTCCCGGACTTGATGGGCCCCGTGTCCTTTGATGGCTCTCCGCTCGCCTCCACCGAGAACGCGAGTCTGAACTTTGATCTGGAATGGAGCCAGCTGGACATGCAGAACCTCGGCGAGGACTACACTGCGATGCAGATGCAGCTACCCCCTGCCGGCAACGCGATGGATGCTGTGGCCATGAAGGCTTACACGCGCGACATTCCTTTGATGGGCGATGCCACGGACTTTTCCTACAAGCTGTCTGGCCTGTCCCCCCATGCGCAGGGCAACCCGATGCTGTACTCTCCTCACTCGGGTCAGGTCGAGGAGCGTCTGTCTGACCGCTATGACTACAACAACCAGCACCAGCTGGGCAACGACTTCACCCTGTACGAGCAGAATGCGCAGATGAACCAGGCTGCGACCACCAACGCCATGATGCCGACCACCACTCCCCACCAGCCTGCGGGCCAATACAACCAGAACCACGGCATGTTTCCCCCGCTGGATCGCGAGCAGGCCCTGCACGGCATCCAGACCTGGGCGGACCAGCAGCAGCAGCACGGCGCGGCTCAGGGATCGCGCATGCCCTCTGACATGGACCTGGACTTCATGGGTTAGACGATGATATCTACGATTTGTGACTGTTTTTGAAACCGAGCGCTGATTTTCTGACTTTTCCCTGTTCTTCCATGTATGGAGTGACCATCTCTGTGTTTAATGACCCCCCTTTTCTTTTTCTGTCCACCGAATACCTAGTTTCCAAAACCAGAGACTCTGTCAGCTTACATTATTTTGATCTGCGTAATATACTCCATTTTGCCTAGCCCTAAGCCACCACAAATTAAAACCATGCCTGGCCCACTCAGCCGTTGGCGTTGGCCGCGTCACTGCCAAATTCCAGAAACAACTCCCGTGCGGTGACGACATTGTTCATGTGCTCCCCTCTTCCACCACACGCAATTCTTCTCTCCAGCTCTCTCCCCTTCCATTCCCTCACTTTCCCCAATTGATTTCTCTGCACCATTTTTTTCTCCACGGCGGGGACGGAGGAAGGGAATATCCCTGGATCGGCTTCGGGATCACACTATTGAGCTTGGCCCTGTGCGAGCGTCTTGTTTAGGCAGACGAATTCGGCCTCCCTCACACCCGCACACTTCTTTTGACTACACGTTGTGTTGTCCTTCATTTTATTATCTTCGTCACCATGCCAGAAGCGCGCAGACCGGCTCCAATCGCCACGAACGGTGCGGCGGGCGGGGAGGAGTTGACCGGACAATCTGCGCCACCGGATGGACAGATCCTGACGGGGAAGCAAGAACATTGTGGGTTGGACATGCCAGGTCGTGATGACCAGTCGCTGACATATTGTGATGACATACAGACCTCAAGCGCGAGCTCATCGCCCGACAAGTCCGCTCAGAGATCAGCGAACTCAACTCCCCCACAGCCCTTCAGCGATTCGGAGCGCCCTTCAGATCGGAGTTCGGCGAGGTAGCCCCCGTGGACTCGGAGCTGCCGATTCTGCGATACATCTTCGTGCACCATGTGCGCAACTTCCCGTTTCTCGACAAGGCACGCGAGAAGGAGTTCTGGCAGGATAAGTTGCAGGTGGTGCGTCTGCCCTTTATTACCCTTTGCCCTGCACGATATGCTAAATCAGGATTGATCGAACAGTTCCTGGAATCGTTTGCCAACAAGCATGTCTCGTCCTCGGAGGATCGGCTGGAGGAAACGAAGCGGCGGAAGTTGGCTCGGAAGTGCGAGAAGCTCATCGAGCTGATGATGGTTTCGGGTGTGCCTACGGCGTCAGGATACGAGGAACGAGTCCAATTCTCTGAGATGGAGGTGGTTGAGCGCGGTGCGGATGAGAATGGGATATTGGTTAATATCCCCGAGGGCCAGTCGATCCATGGGTGGGATGTGAATGTGGCTGCTGTGCGCGTAGTGTCTGTGAAGCGGACAGTCAGATATCATCCACACGCGGTAAGCGACTCGTGAGACGAGACCTGAGCGTCTGCTGACTTGAGTCTTGTTTACACAGGAGTTCATCATTCGAGTCCGTCGAGATGACAAGCCGGAGATACATGTGGGCAGACGATACGGCGACTTTGTCAAGCTGCACAAGAGACTGCGAACCGAGTTCCCCGGCAAACACCTAACCCCTCTGCCTCGCAAGAACAAGTCCTCCACGACATCCAGCTGGTTCGGCTTTGCCGAGGACGATAACTCGTCCATTTCATCCGCCTCAACTCAAGGACCGCCCACACCCCAGGAGAAGCAGTCATCCCAAACCCTTGCTCCGATCGATCCCAAGGGTCCTCGGCACTCAGTTTCACGAAGCTCATTACGGTCCGCCATGTCATCGCGCGGGTCGTCTGATATGCCGCGAGAGACTGTACTCTACCGTGAAGAACAGCGTGTATCGTTGCGTGCGTTTCTTCGTACCATCTTGCAGAACAAGCGGATTGCGGAGACCAAGACCATGGAGGACTTTTTGTCTGGCCAGCCTATTACTTTGAACGAGGAGGAGATGATCGATGTCCACCGGAGAAAGGAGATGGATGCTGTGCGGATCGAGGAGCAGAAGCGGTTTTATGAAATCGCCAGACAGCGTGCCGCGGAGTTGGATGTCTACATGGAGAATTTCCGGAGGGAAATCGTCGAGAGCAGTAAGCTCCCGAATTTTTTCTGGACATGAGGGTACGATGCTAATCTGCCTTGTTAGATGGCTTGACGAGGCTTTTCTCTGAGATCAAGGAGAAATCTTCCATCCAAGAGCTCAGCCCACAGTATCAGAAGTTTGCCGAGTGGCTTCGCATTGAGTACGTCTTTGTCACTGATGAGATTTACCCTGGCTGACTGGAAACAGGGTTGCTGCGACAATATACCATTTGTTCCTGGCCGAGGACAATTCCCCCGAACTGTTCGCGCAGGCAAAGAGAATCCATGGTCTTGTTCCCTACACGCTGCTGAAGAACGTGATCCGCATCGCCAACCCTGCTGCGGTCATGTCGGGCGTCCTCGATCTGTTTCTGGCCCAACCGTTTGGATCTCGGTCGCTTCTCCAGCGGATCTTCTCTCTGACACTGAATGACAGCATCAAGGATTTCCAGAGGTCAATTGATTCGTTGTCTGCCAAGGTTGAGGACCCGGTGTTGGCTCAAAAGCTCAAGAGTTTCGCCGACGCCGAGGAGGACGTTAAGAACATCATCCGAGAGGAGGCTGCTGCGGAAGATACCGATATCATTGTAGCCATCCTACGCTCTGAACTTTTAACTCCAGAGCTCACCCCCGAGCAAGTCGGGAAAGTGTTCAACGGCTGGGTGGCTTGGAACCACGCCGTGGAGAATGTGGACCTTGAGATGCAGCAGGGGGCCCAGTGGTTCGCTCACATGAAGCAGCTGTTGAAACTCTACACTCGACAGCGCGACAAGTCAATGATGCTTAGTATCGTCGAGGAGCCGGCTACTCTGCAACTCTTCCGTGATCTTTTCACCATCTTCTATGAGCCCCTCGTCCGGGTCTACAAGTCGGCCAATGTGTACAGCTCCATTACAGACTTTGCCATGTTTGCCGACGATGCCATCAGCGTCATTGAAAGCGCCCAACGACAAGACGCCTCCGCGGACCCGAACCAGACCGTGCAATCCTTCATTGACCTGTGTGCCCGCCACGAGGCTAACTTTTACAAATTCATCCACGAAGTGCATCTCCATGACAACGGCCTCTTCCAATCCCTGATGTCGTGGGTCGAAGAGATTCTCGACTTTCTGCGCAAGGGCCCCAAGGATCACAAGCTCGACATGAATGCCTTGTTCCAGGGTGCCGTCGGTGCTGGCCAAATTGAGAAAGATGTTGCTTTGGCTGAGATCAATGCGTTGATCAAGTGGCACTCGGACAGGAAGGCCTGGCACTTGAACAAAACACGCCAGAAGATGGCAGCCGAGGGAACTGGCACCGACTCTATCCCGGGCTCTGCGACCTTCAAGGGCAGCGATTTTGGCCTTGATCAAGTATGTTCTCCTTTTCACAAATTCATACACTTGTTCTAACCTATCCTACAGGGCGACTTGGAAGACCTGACTATTTCCGACGAGGCCTCTTGCGCCTCTGACGAAGATTCCGCTGAGGATGAAGAAGATGACCCCATCGCCGCTGAACGACGCCGACGAACCAAGAGACAGGATCAGCTTCGTCGCACAGCCGGGGAGCCCCTGAAACCCGAGGTTCACGAGGTCCTGAAGCTGACCGATCCATTCGTCGTGATGCTTCGACACGTGCTGGCAGAATAAACTGCAACGAACCTCGCTTTACATTCATTCATTGTGTAATTGCTAACACTACCTTTCGAACTCGTGTATTTTGTCGCTGCTGCGTGGAGAAGTCGGAGGAGATGAACTGGGAGCGCAACATAGATATGGCTAGAGTACTCGCCCCAGGGAAAGGATACCATAAATTTAGATAGATGGCTGGCTCATAATGATGATGATCTCACGATTATTGCTTCGTTTTATTATCTCTTAATACCTCGGCGACCTTGGAATTCCCATTTTCCGTAGCCACCGCCAGCGGTGTCTTCCCCTCCAAGTCCGGCAAGTTGGGATCAATGCCCTCGGCCTCAAGCAGGATCTGAACAACGTCCAGATGTCCAGAAAACGCAGCACTAAACAACGGCGTCTGCCCATTCTCATCCCGCGCATTAGGGTCCGCGCGCCGCTTCCCCGTAAGCAACCGCTTCACGATATCCTCGTGGCCCCTATCCGCCGCAGTGCCCAATGGCGTCACCCCATACACATCCGGTATCTCCGGATCAACGCGCTCGCTCTCCATCAACACATCCACAACATCCTCATGCCCATTCATCGCCGCCGCAAACAACGGCGTATGTAGCCTCCACGGGTTCCGCAGGTTGGGATCCGTCGCTTTCCACGACAATAAAAACCGGATCACTTCCACGCGCCGGGACGATGCAGCCGCCCAAAATGCGCCCCGCACGTATTCATCCGACTTGCCGTTCGGCTTGAGTTTGTCTCCGTGCGCGGAAACGAGGTATTTCACTGTGTCGACATGGCCAGTGCTGGCCGCGAAGAAGAAGACATGCTGGCAGTCTTCCGCGGTGTCGTGCCCGTCCAATATCAGGTCCAGATGCGTCGCTAGCAGCAGGCCGACGTCTGCATTGCGATTCCGCGCTGCGCTCGACAGCGCCGTCGCGCCTTGTCTGTTCGGGACCCGGGGATCTGCTCTCCCACTGCAGAGTAGCAAGGTGACCAGACCAGGCCGGTGATTGATCGCGATCATGAGCGCCGTGTTACCCATGTTATCCTGCAGATTGACATCCACGCGATCGTCATCCAGCAGCGCCGCAACGACAAATATGTGTCCCGCTCGAACGGCCCAGGAAATCGGCGGGCGCATGTATCGTCGGTCCCGCAAGTTCGGATTCGCTTCTTCGATGGTGAGCAGGTAGCGCAGCACCTCGAGATTCCCATGCGCGGCAGCCAGCATCAGCGGCGTGCAGCCTTTTATAAGATTGTCTTCATCCGTCATGGCCAGCACGTCCGCGCCCGCGGCGACGGCTTTCCTCGCAGTTCCGACTTGGTCGTGCCGCGCAGCCCAAAATAAGGCATGCTTCATCTGGCCATGACTTTGTGTCTGTGTCTGTGCCGCATCGCGCCGGTAGAGACGTTTATTGAGCAGGTCGTAAAGTGTGGAGTTGACCTGCGCGAAGGAGTTCAAGTCCGGAATTGAGTCGAGGAACTCCGATATGTAGAGATATAGCTCCTGGGATAATGAGGTGAAGTTGGTGGCTGACTGCATGGCCCATGGTGGGTGGACGGAGGGAGTTGGTGCGGGTGATAGGATGGCTTGGATGTGGGGTAGATGAGGAGTACGTACTTGTCTCAAGAGACGAATTGGGTGGTGATATCAGGGGATCTGGATTTATTTCTAGCTCAAGTAATATAAAAAGAAGTATTAGAGAGAGAAAGAGAGAGAGATAGATAGAAGCATTTGCGTATATATTTCACGAATAGTAACAAGCAAGCAGAAACCGGGATTTCCTTCATCTCGTGTTAGACTTCTGCCTGAGGCAGTTGGTAGTCTTATCTATGATAAGATCGCAGTTTCCCCGGCGACCGGACATGATCAAAGTACCTCGACTGCTGGACACTCCCAGGAGTGACCAGTTCACCCATCACCATGTTATCTCCTCATAAAAAACCCCCAGACTCTCCTCGAACGGGTCGCCATTTGGATGGCCTCTTCAAGGACGGTATCTGGCGCTGCAACTGTCCCGAACGGCCCCCCGCGGTCAAGCTCCAAGTCAAGAAGGAGAACGCAAACCATGGCCGGTATTGTACGTGAAGCAGTCCCTGAAGCTCAACCCCCGCTGATTCTCTTAGTCTACACCTGCGCTCAACCACAGCATCTGCGCTGCCGCTTCTTTCTATGGCAGAGCGACGCTCAGGTCCGCGAGAGAGCCGCCGTCCTTGCGAACACCCGATCGGAATCTGATCCCTTCACCCAGACGCCCGCCAAACCAGATCACGCAGGAACCGGCCTTCTCACGCCACAGACCGAGCGCAGATTCGTTGACGTCCCGCCGCGCAGATACCCATCACCCCCCAAGACCGCCAAGGCGCGGATGATGGCGGAGGATACAGATGAATATGGCTGGAACGACGAGGAGGATGATGACGAGCAGCTCAAGGAAGCGCTGTCAGGCAGCCAATCTGCCACGGCATCTTTCATCTCCCAACCCAACTTCCACCCTGAGTTGCCATCTAAAGCAGCGCGCACATTGGAAACCACATCGCCTGGCAAAAGGAAGCTCTCGGATTTCGCATACGATTCTCCTTCACATGCACCATCCACATTGGCAACACCGCAGTCTATCCGGTCATCTCGTTTCCCTCCGTCATCGGCGGAAGTGTCCATGACACCCACACCGAGCAAATACCGCGATGTGATCAGCGCCGACTCGAAGGCAAATCGATCCGACCTTGCGAAGGACGCTTTGGCTATCCTGGATAAGCACAGCGTTGTGATTCCAAACAATGCACTGAACGATCTGGTGGCGCTGCTCGACCGCCAGGAGTTGAAAATGAAGGGGATTATTCAGGGGAGAGATATGTCGCGAAAGGCGCTGAAGAAGAAGGAGGAGCAAATTGAGATGCTGAATGAGCGGATTGAGCACATGAAAGTGCAGCAGGGAACTGATAGTGATCATATCAAGTCGACGAGAAATCCGTGATGAGTTATGCTGGAAATATCTCAGGGGAGTGACAGGTTTTCGAATGGTCTGGTTACCGGCGATTCTGCCTCCTTGGCGCAAATTAGTATTGTAGTAATGTTTTTACCTACATCCCCGCGAGCTTTGCCATATGTATAGACGTCATCGCTGGGGGCACGGACAATGTCATGGTAACATTTTATTGATCATACATTCATTAGGGTTAGTACATTCATACTCTACGGCGGTGAGGTAAAATCATTGGTCCCACCTCTCGGTCGTCAGCCGTACCCCTCCGGACAACTAGTATCATTATCCTTCTGACGTGTCTTGCCTCTACATGGATTCTACACAACTATCAGGGGGAATGAATCCCTCAAGCCAAAGCTGGCCTCCACGCAAACGCAGAGCAAAGTACACAGTGGAAGCCTGGTAATCTCTCCGCTCCTTAACCAGAACATTGGCTCTAACCGGCACATTAGTACGGAGTGCAAAAGGCGGAAGATAAAAGTAAGGAATTCGGTGCCGAGCAAAATGAATTCCCTAATCTGAGAATCTGTTTCAGTGCAGTGGAGGCCTGCCATGTCGCAGGTGCATGTCTGGCTCACATCGAGAATGCAGGTATGGCCAACCAGCTCTTTCGAAGAGTAAGAAACCAGGAAGGACCACATCTACAACAAAGATGAGAAGAAATGACCTCTGTCTCACTTCTTCATCGAGCGAGCTACTGGCTGCGCCAAAGCCACTTCCACTTGAGCCACAGGACTTGGCCCAGGCTCAGGGACTTCCCTCTCAATTTGGTCTTACATTCAGCGGCCATGCAGAACCTACCCAGAATTCAGGTTCAATAAATGATTCCGATACTAAAATTATCACATCACGTCTGTTCTCAGAGCCAAACCTTGGCTCACTATTACGATTCGGGTTCGACGAGCTGGAATTCTATTACCCGGTAATTGACCGATTGAACTTCTACGACCGTTTGGCCCTCCTTTTTTCGGAGCACTTGTCTCATGAGGATGGTGTTCCTCAGGTACAAGCGCAGCGAAAGCATGCCATTCTTATTGCATTGGCCTGCGAGATGCTCTCGATAGCAACATACCTTGGAGCAGGAGCGAATTCATATCAGCGGGCACAAGGGGATGCTTACCACATCCCCGAATCTCTATCATGGCACTCCGAGAGCCGAAGACTCTTGAATTTTTACACGTGGGAGGAAAGCTCCGACATTGATCTCCTGCGTATACATGTTCTGGAAGTGATTTATATGAACATGTTGCAGAGGAGAGCGGAGGCCTCGAGAGCGCTGGCTCTTGCCGTGGACTTTGCTTTCAGGGTTAAACTTCATGATGAAGACGCATGGGCGTCTTTCACTTTGAGGGAACATGAGTACCGACGACTGCTGTGGTGGACCCTATTCCTCCTCGATCGCCAAGCAGCCATTTTGCTAGGTCGACCTTACATTATTCGCGATGAAGACTTTGTCGTCCACGTATTCACAGAGGCTTCCAGGGCACTCTATCTCACTGAAGACCCTCCTCAATCAGTGCCCGGCCAAGAATGTCTTCCGTGGCCCTTACCTTCCACCCTGAATGAGGACTGGTTTGACCACATCCAATTTTGCGTCCGATGGAGCAAAATTGCAACTCGTGTGTGGGATAGCTGTTTCGCTGTACGCGCTTCAAAGTCTCTCACAGGTGATGATGTGGAATTGATCGACGCTCTTCTGATGAAACTAGAACGCGACATGCCATCTAGTCTGAAATGGAATCTCAAAAATCTGCCAAGCGCGGTTAATGCACGGAATGAAGACATGCCTTTGCGACTACAAATCACGATATTCGAGGTAAGTGTCTTCATTAGATCCAAAGCCTTGTGGTAGGGGATTGAATTGTATGCTAATCAAGTACGAAGAGAATGAATATCCTCCGCCTTGTAACTCGATCTCGCTACATTCAAGCGATCCGCAGCAATCCCAAGGAAAGCAATGAGCGTCAGGCAGCGCATATAACACAAGATATTATTTCTAGTATGATGGATTCCCTGGTAGGGTATATGATTGCTAGAAAAGAATATCGGCCGTGGATCACATATGGTAGCATGAGCATAGCCAAAGTCTCGACTTGGATAGCGCCGATACTGATGAGCTCGCAAATGCCTGTGGCCGCAGCAAATGAGACCATTGCATCGATTGTGAGAGCACGAGAAGGCTTGCAGGAAATATCGATGATGAATGTGACTGCTGCTTCTGTTGCTATGGATCAATTAAGCAGGATGTTGAACGACTTTCGGATTTATCAAGACAACCCTCTGCCGATGTCATGTCCAGGCGCGAGCAATTCAGGGATTATGAATCTTCTCGAGGATGAAACTGAAAACGACCTCTCTCTTGATGAGTCTTACTGGGATTTGGCAAATATCCTGGACGGGAGTGAATGGGTCGCAGGGATCCAATGAGAAACACCAGTGTACTTTATTTTCGCTTGAACTGTGGATATACCATGAAGCTTTTGTCGAGCCAAGCTATTAGTCCCCGCCCATCTTCCGGTCGACTCAGATCCGATAGCTTGGTTTCACCCAGGGTATTCCTAGGTACGCAGCAACACGAGGTCAAATTCGTCCCCAGAGATATCCAAAGATATCTCAATCGAGTCAGCAAGCTGTACGACATGATGTGTGCTAGCAAGCTCGTTGTTATAATAGCTTGCGTACCGGCCAATAGGTAGATTGCAGCACTGTAATTTGATGCTGAGAAGAAACTTAATCCACGCTGTGCTTCTGCCAAGGGGGAGGAATGGAACTCACCTTTTCTGTGTCCCTTCCCAGGAACGCATAGTCACCACCATGGCTTCCCTCGCCTCGTCCCAAAAGCATCTGAGGAAGTCAATTCCGTTCCCCAAGTCAACTCCATCTATGAAAGGGGAATTTGAAACATGCTCGGGGGTCCATGGATCAGTCCACATCTTCCTCTGCCCATCAAACACATTGAGACGGGCGTATCCAACAGCAGCATTTCCGGTGTACGGCTCAACTTCTGTCCAATTTCCATCCCGATCAGATCTCCGCTCATTCACAGGATAGTAAAGTCCACCATTGTGCCAGGCAGGCTGGAAGAACTCGTCAACGTGGGCCAGTAGACCGTCCAAAGTAGCCTGATCTCCCACTTCAGAAACCCATTGCAAGATATATCCAAATGTTGGGCGCGGGAAAGGTAGCTCGAAAGGCGGGTTGGGGTCACTGAGAACTATTGTACGCGCTGCTTGTATAGTGCTGGGTGAATCCGGATCAGCTCCCGTCTTGACAAGGTCCCGAATAGCGGAGGCCACTTGGCTGGATTGAACATTCACGCGACCCTTATGTTCCCGCGAGAGAAATCCCACAGTCTGCGTGTCGAACGTATGATGCGCAACGCTCGGATTCCAAGAGTTCATGAATGCGGCGCCCCTACGTCGCATTAATAACTTGGACAGAAGTCGCAACATTGTCACTTACCACGCAGTACTTCCAATATCTTTGGTCTCCTTCTTCCGGTCTTGCTTGGGTGAGTACCACTGAAGAAACATTCCATCATCCTGGATCATGCCTTTCGCTTTCCAGGCCGCAGTGTATTTCTTAAGGACTTCCGTAGCAACGTCTGTGCCATCACGAATGTCATTGTATCGGAAAGCAATGATCTGTAGGTCATCAGTAATTGGAACTTCACGTCATATATGAATATCTTACAGGGAACTGATTGCAAACAATGAAAATACTGTTTGGCTCGCAGCAGGCGCCTAGCCAGTTCTCACGCTCCATTTCTGCCAAGATCGTGGTTTGCAGCGATTTGCGAGTATATGAGAACTTTTCTGGGCCCATTCCCCAAAAGATCGGGTTCCAGTTAAAAGTGAGGGCACCCTCCCTGTCGTATTTGTCGTCATTGAAGAGCATCGCATACAGCGACACCATAAGGAGAAGATGGCCCGAGTACTGGTAAAATGTATAATTAGCCAGGATTGTTCATCCTGACTGCTGGCGACGATGACATACCATGATATTTTCCCTGACAATCGGATCTGCCCATGGCTTTCTCAGCTCCTCAATATCCGGGTCAACGAACTTCCCACTGTGACTAGTGAGGAACCAGTATCCCCACACGTCTCGGCGCAGCATTTTATGAATCAAACGTTCCAACAAGGCCTGGAAGGCTGATCTCAGAGCCGGTAGGCGGTGGTAATGGGCAGCTGCCGAGGCATATGCCATCGTCGCCAACTGGTAACGGTAGGCATCGACCCACTCCTGACCGGGCTCTTGGGAACCCATCAAATTCCACTCGCCATCTCTTTGAGATGCCAGGTTGTGAAAATGTCGCAGATGACCTGCCTGCTCTTGTGAGAGCTTCTCATACTTTTCTAGAAAGTCAGCCTCGAGGCTTTGCGGCGGGTCGGTGGCAATGCTCTTTCGGGCATCGTTCATAATACATGTTTGTGTTGTGCTGCTCATTGTGCAAGTTTGGGAGGCAAGTTATGGTGAAATCAGGAGAAGGGGTTTAATCCGCAGGCCGAAGAATTGCTAGCGGACTTTCTTATACGTGTTCACCGTTGTGGCTCCTGCTTGAAACACGAACCAAAATCAAGATTTCATTCCGTTTCCGTTTTTGATGTTCCGTGTCGCGGAATCGGGCTTCGTACTTGCCTACTTCTGCGTCGAGTTGAAAGAACTAAAAACCGATCCTTGGGAACACATGTGACTACTCAAGATGAAAGAACCATGGAGCATTCCACGAAGGCACGAGGATGAAGAAGAAACCAAGGAAAATGGCGCATTCACGCTGCTAAACATACATCCCGATCGGGTCGAGTAATAGATCTGCTATCTATGATAAGATAGAGGTCACGTGCGAGATAAAGGAAACAATTTGTCGCATGTTCACTCGGACCAGCTTCAGTTTCAATCGGCTTTCTCGACCCCAGTAGAGCCCCCCGACTGTCGTCAATGGAGCCACCGGGTGAGGGCCGCAGTCGCGAACTCCCCGCCATGTTTCGCCCGCCCGTCAACCGCGCCATGCGGTCCCTCGACCGGTCCTTCTTCCGCAAGACGGTGCCCATCTCCGCCGCGCGCGTCTTCCAGCACTCGGATATCTCGCGTGTGCGCAAAGAACTGAGTAATAGCAAGGATCTGCTGGTTGTGCATCGGCTCAATTGCGTGCGCGACGTCAAGGAGCCAGACGGGCTGATGCGGAAGGCTCTTTTGTTGCGCGAAGATCTGAAGCACGATGGTATGGGACTCCTACTGATTTTGAGAAAACATACTGACGCAAATGCTCAGACAAGTCAACATGGTCTCCGACTATTAGTGAGCTCGTGGAGAAGGGGACTGTGGGGCTGGGTCCTTACGAACTGGTCCTGGACTATGATTTTTGGAATTATGGTGCGTGGAGTTTCCTGCCGAATAGGCACAAGTGCTAACATTTTACCAGCTGATATTATTGCGGCGATACTGCCCGAAAACGATATGCAGGAAATCCCACAGGGATTCACCCAAGTGGGCCACGTCTGTAGGCTACCTGCTACATTCCATTAAACCTGCAAATTAATCTGACTGGGATAGTGCATTTGAACCTCCGAGAACAATTCTACCCGTATAAACACATCATCGCAGAGATCCTCAAGGACAAAAACCCCGCCATCCGCACCGTCATCAACAAGACCGAAGATGTCGGCTCGCACAGCGAATTCCGTACATTCCCATTCGAGCTGCTGGCCGGAGATAACGACCTGAATGTCATCCAGCACGAGCAAGACTGTGAATTCCGCTTTGACTATGCTCGTGTGTACTGGAACAGCCGCCTGGAGACGGAGCATCGCCGGCTGGTCGACAAATTCCAGCCGGGCCAAATGGTCTGCGACGTCATGGCGGGCGTGGGACCCTTTGCAGTACCCGCCGGCCGCAAAAAGATCTTCGTTTGGGCCAACGATCTCAATCCATACGGTTACGAGGTGATGCAGGATGCGATTCCGCGCAATAAAGTTCAGGAATTCGTCACGCCGTTCAACCAAGACGGCCGTGAGTTTATTCGCTTCGCGGCAAAGGAGCTTCTGGATGCGGAGCCGGTCACCGTCACTATCAAGCCCAAGGTTCGCCGGGACAGGAAACGGAAGGCCGATGTAAGCCAACAGGAGGAGCCACCTCTCCCACCACTTGAGACGTATATCCGCCCTTCTATCGTCGACCACTATGTCATGAACCTGCCCGCCACGGCCATCGAGTTTGTGGATGCTTTTCCTGGCCTCTACGCCGGAAAGGAAGCGCTGTTCTCGCCGAATACGTCCCAAAAGCTGCCTATGATCCATGTGTATTGCTTCTCTGGCCATTCCGACAACGAGGTAGATGACCACGTCGATATCTGTCAGCGTATATCGGAGCGTCTAGGGTATACCATCACCCCCGAGGATTGTGTCGGGGGAAGTGGAAACCAGGAACTGGAATTGGCCATCCACAATGTGCGACTAGTCAGCCCTAAGAAGCAGATGTTCTGTGCTAGCTTCCGGTTGCCACGAGAGGTGGCCTTCCGGGCGTAGAATGACATGCTGTATAGTGAGTTGTTGCATAGACCAGGCGTTTGTGGCATTGTCTAGAATATAACCAGAGTTCGGACACCCTAAAAATAGTGTGTGGTCATTAATGATAGCTGATGGATATTCCACCATGGAATATACTACATAGTTCGTGTAACAGGCTGCTGTCGACAACCAAATACCCGATCAGGCAGGAGGCGGCGCTGTGCTCACCGCCTTCAACTGCCGGGTCCTTGGAAGAGTTTCCTCATCTCCTGGCCATCTTCTCTTTCAGTTTACGCGCACACCAAGCATCGACACTTAATTTGCGGTCGGGGCCAAACAAATATTCAATCAGAGACGCCTGTATAACGAGTGCCCGGTCTCCAATTCCGAAGTCACGATGAGCGTCCAACTGCCCCCGGCTACGCACCGCAAGCGCACTCTGCCCCAAGGCGAGCTCGAAGCCGCGTCGACCCTCAAACTCGGCGCAGACCAGAACACCCACACACTGTCACTGTCTGAAGCGCGACTTGTCATCAACAAGGTGCTGGAGAACAAGCGGCGCGGAGGGAACAAGTACGAAGAGCCGGAGTAAGTGCTGCGATCCCGTTAGTCTGCATGCAAGAGGAGACCCTGACTTCGGAAACTTCTAGGAACCTGACCCGGACTCTGGATTACCTAGAGGTGTTTGCCCGGTTCAAGGATGAGGAGAACATCAAGGCGGTGGAGCGGTTGCTGAATTCGCACACCGAGCTGGAGATGTTCGAGCGGTCACAGCTTGGTTAGTGCGGCTTTTTCGGGAGTGCTTGAATCCGTGTTAACCATCCAATAGGAAGTCTGTGCTGCGATAATGCAGAGGAAGCCAAGTCGCTTATTCCCAGCCTGCAGAACAAGATCTCCGACGGAGACCTGCAGGAGCTGCTGGATGAGCTGACCAAGCTGCGCAACTTCACCGAGTAGATTTGCAATTTTTGATTTCTGGGAAGCATGGCGTTTTGGGGTTTGCATTTCATGATTCAGTGCTATACACTTCGACAAATAGACAGGAACCTCGGCCACGATGAATAATAAAATGATTTACGAATCAGATAGTCCAATTTTTCTGTTCTAGTAAGAGGCAGGCGTCACGCTGAGTCGCCCGCCATCAGTTACGAGCACATTCCCGTTACAGTATGCCCCGGCCCTGGAGGCAAGAAATAGGATCGCACCAGCCACGTCTTGCTCATCGCCCATCCGCTCCTCCGGTATAACCGTGGCCGGGAAAACCTGCCTCGTTTCCTCTGGCTGCTTGGCCATATTTGCGGCGGTCATTTCAGACGGATATACTTCCATAGGTTAACCACGGATTCATCTGCGACTAAAGAGTAACTTACTACCGGGAGCGATGATGTTACTCCGAATCCCATATGGCGCCAATAATGTTGCAAACTGCTTCATCATATGCGTCGTGGCAGCTTTGCTTCCCCCGTATGCAAAGCCCCCCGGAACGTTCCTGTTAAATCCCGAGATAGAACTGGTGGCCACAACTTGGCTTCGTGGTCCTCCGTTGCGCTTCTTGTTGCCCTTATCAAGTAGGCGTAAAAACGCAACAACGGTGTAAAATATGGCCGCGGTGTTGACGGTGTAAGTGTTCGCAAAGGTCTCGAGCTTTGGACCCCAAAGTTTCTGTTGTAGTTCTTCGATTGATGGAGATTCAGACAGTCCTTCAAGATCCGGTCCACTGATTCCTGCATTTGCGATCAGGAGGTCAACGTGGCCGGCTTCTACGTCGACGTGCGCAGTGATGCTTTTTAAATCTCCTTTTGAGGTTACATCTCCCAGGAGCGGGATAATATTGCCATATTTCTACAAAACCATGAACACTTTGGACTATGTGCGTTGAATGAGGGGATTGGGTTAGGTACTAACCGATTCTTTCGCGGCACTTTCGAGAACGGAAAAACGCCGCCCAACGATAAACACTTTTGATGCTCCATTTGCGGCTAATGCTTTGGCCATCATGAGTCCAATACCTGGGGCTAGTCAGCTGAGTTCGATTGAAGCCTTAAAGAGACCACAGACCACTTCCACCTCCTGTGATGACCGCGACCAAGCCATCGACGTTGAAGAGATCGGCCGCATTAATCGAAGCACTCATTGTAGAAAATTAAAATAAAGCGAGATTCCAACTTAGAAGCTAGTATTGAGTGGCCTTCCAGAATACGCTTTATCTGGGAGGAAATCAAGTTAGCCTTTCCCCGAGCGTAGCCAAGCTCGTCGGCTCGGGTACACCCCGCAACAAGATATTAGCCGACGATTGTCACCGGTCCGTGCGTACCATTAGCGACAGGGGACGGCTTTCGATCTCTAATCGAGGTGATACAAAAGAGTGCGAATGTGTTTTCGACAAGGCAATGAAGTGACCTATTATTTCTCATATTTTATGGATTCTGAAGCATGTTTACTTCGATTGCTAGAATGCAAGCAACCGCGCTAGTAGTAGGCCCCGTGCATGACTTTCAATGTTATCTTGGAAAAAGTTGAAGCGAGTATAGATTGAAGAAAAAGAGAATTATCTTTACAGAAATATTCTCAGGCTATTTCATTCACACAATATCCTCCCTCCGCTGTGGTGTCTCCTCGATATGATGGGTTGTACCTATGGCAGCTTCAAGCGCCTTATCCCTGGACGACAAGTCCAGAGTCTTTTCCTCCTCGGTAGGATACGCACGCTTCAGCATTGTGAAAGCAGATTGCTCGAACAGACAATCTGTGGATTCAATAGATCTTCCCTTCAGCTCGGGAAGGAAGAAGAATGCCCAGATCGCGCTCGCAAATGTGAATACTGCGAATATGAGATAGGCGCCCCATTTGTCCAAGTTGAGCATCATGTACGGCGTGGCTCGAGTGATTGCAAAATTGAGCAGCCATTGCCAGGCGAAAATAGACGACATGCAAATGGCACGAATGCGGTTGGGAAAGATTTCAGAAGGAACGACCCAGGGAACAACAGACCAGCCGAAGGACCATCCAAATGCATAGATGTAGATAGCAACTACGCCGACATATCCACCAGCGCTGACCTGGCCTGTTTGAATTGTAGCCAACTTCACAAAAATTGTGAGATAAAGCAAGCAGCAAGCTTGAATTACCGCGCCAGTCATGAGCGGCTTGCGCCGGCCAACGTTGTCAATAATCAGGAATGCGTAGACCACCGTGGTGCAGACTTTGACAATTCCATAGACGCCAGTCGCAAGCAATGATGTGCTCGTTCCTGTGAGCCCTACAGACGCAAAGATTGCCGGGGCGAAGTAGTTGATAGCGTTTGTGCCCGTCATCTGTTGGAATATCTGCAGGGTAAATGCCAGAATATATCGCCGCCGATTGGCTGGGACAGTAAAGACTTCTTTGCAAAGACTGAAGACGGAAGATCCTTTGACCGCAGCCGTTTCTGCTTTCACAGACTCGGTGATCTCTGCGACCTCGATTGCAACGAAGGGATGGTCGGCAGGGAGTTGGCGATAGTACGTTAAATTCTGAATTGCTTCATCTGACCGGTCATGGCTAATTAGGTACCGGGGAGATTCCCTTTGAAACATCATTCCAATAAGCAGGAGTCCACCAGGAATCATTTGGACGGCCATTGGAATTCGCCATTGTTTGTCTGAGGGATTGCTCCAAGTGCTCACGGCATACTGGCTCGAGTTAGAACGAATGCATAGTCAAGGAGAAAACTGGAAAACCCCACATTAATCCAAAAGGCAAGAGAAAGTGAAGTCATGATAATAAGGTTAAAACAAGTAGTCATCGATCCTCGAATTGCCTTCGGTGTGGTCTCCGAAATGTACATCGGTGCAACAACGGAGGTCAGGCCAGTTGCAATACCAGCTATGACACGACCGGCATAGAGCGTGTCTGGGTACAAAATCAGAGAAGTATAACTTTTTACAGCGTATGATTGACTTACTGAGATGTGCAATCAGCTGGAGAATACAGCCGATGAGAAAGACAATAGCTCCGATAATCAATGTCCATTTGCGACCAAGCCGATCCGCAGAGGTATAGGCCAACAGAGCGCCCAGAACAGCGCCTGCTTGTAATGCAGTCACAATATTAGCAGAGAGATTTGGAGCCTGATACGCATTTGGGCCATTTGCTGTAAGGCCAAATGTCTTTTTAAAGGAGTCGAGGACGATGATGCCGCTGGGTGTAGAGAGTAAGCAACAGCTCAAAACATGAACTTCGATAATTATCTTACCCGATATTTCCAGTGTCAAATCCAAATAGAGAGCCAGCCATACAGGCACTTCCCGTCGAGAGCACGAGTCTCCAATTGAAGACCTCCCGAGGCATCGCCTTCACATCGGCGCTTGTTAGGAAGTTGATCATTTTGACGCAGGCCTGATGCCCATCCACCGTTTCGTTAAAAATGCAACAAGGATTCCCAGAGCTCCCGTTGTGTGGGGGAGCTAGGAGGGGTAAAATAGGTTCGTCGTCCTCGTCGGCTGAGATTTATCAAGCGATAGGCCGCGTCGGTTGCGGGACTCCACATCCCCAGATTCTCGGGGATGCCCGAGTGCGGCAGGGCCGACTCGGACTCAATGTGAAACAAAAATTTGGAAAGCGCTGATGTAATGCGAAAATGGGATATGCAAATATATTGCTTTCCAGATAGTAAATACAGGCCTTTCGGTGATCTAGGGGTCTTCATGTAGACTGAAGGTTTCTATTTCACAAAGAATATCTATCCAGCAAGCATTTTAGAACTGAGAACGAAATGCACCTTTTTTCGCTAGCTCAACTGAGTCTCATCCACATGGATGACTTTGATACCTCGTCGCTCATACGTATAACTGACATAAACTCCACCTTTACCGTCGCTAATTATAGCGGGATAACTGAATTCACTTTCTCCATCATTTACAATCCCCTAAGTTCTCAGATTAGTATATCGACGGACATCTGGATGCAAACGTACACATACAGTGTCAAGAGCCACGATTTTTGAAAATCCAGCAGGTGGCGGCTTTGATTCGAGGGTCACAACGACTTTCCAAGTTTTGCCTTCATCTGATGAGCTTGATATCACCAAAGGTGTTCGAGGGCCCTAATTGATTTCCTGTCAACTCACGTCAAAGGAATTCGAATAAGTAGACTTACCCATCTCTGTTGAACTGGGTTGTGTACCACGAGCCAAGTCCCATTCTCCAGGCGCAAAGCATCCAACCCACTATTGTTGTTGAACAGTGGGGTTAGGTACATATCACCCCAGGTCTTCCCGTTGTCTTCAGAGTCAGCTCTGCCGACATGACCGGCAGAGGTCCTCGTGAGCATTGACATCTTTCCAGGTGCATAGTTAATCAAGCTTGGTTGAATGGCACCTTCACCAGGCCAAGTTTCTCTGTTAACTCCCACAAATGCAGATCTAGTCCAGGTCTTGCCTTGGTCGTGAGAGGCATCAGTGAAGCAGTCCCACTTGCCATCGGGAGTTTCCAGGGATGCTGGTGCAATTATCGTCCCATCAGAAAGGACAAGTGGCTTATTCTTCACAGGGCCTCGGCCACCTTTGAAAAGTTAGGATTGGATTGGTAAATGAAAAGAGAAACGCTTCTCACCTTCATCACCAGGGATGAGTTCGCGCGGCTTACTCCAGGTTTTCCCATTGTCGTCCGATTCGATGATATTTGTGCGCCAGGAGGAGATTGGAGATCCTACTTTATAAAATAGTAGGATTTTCTTTGCGTCCGGGACTATAAACAAGACTGGATTCCAATGCGCAAGACCCTCCTCAGATGCCACTGGATATGGCTTGGTCCATGTAGCACCCGGTTTGGATCTGTCAAGTCTGGAAAGCCATATTTTAGTGTCAGGAAGGCCTTCCTTTGTACCACCAAACCAGGCACAGAGCAGTTCCTGGTCTAAAAGAACGAGCGTGCTCGCATGGACCTCGGGCTGACGAGGATCAGAGTGGACTGGGAACGACATGACGGCGCTATGAGAGAGAAAATGACTATGAACTCGAATATGCCAGAAATATAGACATATTGGTATGTACTGCGCTTGTCTGCGAGTCAGTAGGAGGGCCACTTGACTCGGTAGTGGTTAGCCGATCGAATCGAGCAGAGTCCTCGGCCCGTCGCCGTAACCGATCGCTTGTCTCTCTTCATCTCGGGGTCATTCCGATCGCGTATTTTCTTCCTAGGTCCTCCTCAGTATGTCGCTCCATCACGCTGCACCAAGAGGTAGCGATCGCTTCGTTATTGATAACAGTTTTTTATTTGACATCGGTCAGACATTGTAGGCGTTACGAATCCACAAATGGCCCCCGACGCCCTCGGAAGCGATGCTCCAGCGCATGGATCGTCGGCGAGCCCTACAGATCCAGGAGCTCGCATTACAAGCAGCTCGGTGGATCCGAATAGCACTTCATCCCCGACAGCTGGGAAAAGAAGTACCGCGAGTCCAGGCTCGCGTCTGCAGCCCTCAAAGGATTCTAGACGATCTCGCCGAGGTTGTCTGACTTGTCGAAAGAGGTTCGTCCCGGCAGTCCCGTCATCTTGTCATTTCAAGGTCGCTTTTATTTGTTGTTTACTTAGTTACTTTATAATTTATTGTTAATACTCTCAAAGGAAGGTAAAATGTGACGAAGAGCGGCCAGTCTGTGGACACTGTCATCGCCTGCGACTTGGCTGCAATTATAAATCTATAGCTTCCCAGAACTCTTCACCCGGGGTAGAGAAGCGTCGACAGAAACCATCTCTCCTACGACAGAAACATTCCCCTTCAGGTACTAGGGTCTCAGTGGTAGGGGAGCAAAGCCTGCCTCGTTCCGAAAATGGCGATGTCAATCCAATTCGGACACAGAGTGTGGATTTTGAGGGCGAAACTCTTCATGGTTCTGAAGAAACAGCCTTTGGAAACCTTGGATCCGGTATGGGCTTGGATGCTTCAATAGGAGCCCAGCCCTTGCAGCAAAGTTTTCCAGGCCCGGAGAATTGGGAATTGGAGCTTCTTGGTGAAGACAGTTTATGCACCAATATCCCTATCATTTCAAACTTCACAGCGGTACAGCAGTCAACTCCTTACGAATATGTTCCATTCTCTTCCAACCTTGCTAGATCCCTTTCAAGTTCTCTCACAGACAACTGTTCTCCATTCGATGCAAATCCAACCGCAAAGAATGGGAATGGTGTCGCCGCTCTGCCGTTCCGGAGTAGTGAGCAAACATCGTCCAGCCTGATAGATGAAATGACCCTTCTCAGACACTTTGTCGACTTTGCAGTGCCACCAATCCTGGAAGGCGTTGAGCCACGGTGGCATACTTATCGAGATGCCCTCCTCCGTCTTTCGAAAACCAGCCTTCCTCTACGACACTCGATATGCGCCTTTTCCGCCTTATCGATCGAAGAGCCGCCTACCCAGCAGACATCTCCAGCTGCGGAGTCATCGAATTTCTATTTTACAGTCGCAATGAACGAACTAAAGAAGTTGCTCGAAAGCCAATCTGAGGTGAACACCCGACTGGACTCCCGCGAGGCGATCTTAGGAAGTATATTCTTCCTATCATATGTGGGAATCATTATATCCAAAGCTCATAAACGCTCGGCGGAGCTATTGGATCAAGCTTATCTTCTGCTAAGCCAGAATACACCTTCAACATCGGCATTATACAACCAACTTCAGATCTGGCTGAAATTACTGGATGCGAAGGTCGTAAGTGCAGGCGGCAGAGGTTTTCATCTGTACAGCAATCCAGACAGCCTAGATATAAACACTGTCCAGGGCAGCGACTCGCCCGCAGGAGATGGCGAGCAAGCCAGCATGGAGACGGAAGATATTCTTTTCACGTCTCTCAACCGACAGGCCTACAACTTCTACCTTCAAGTGCTCAATTTCTCATGTCGAATCGCACACCTGGACAAATGGCATCGCTCTCGAGGATCTGTGGAAGACGAGCTAGAGGTATTGCTTGCAGCGGATAAAATCATGCGCGACCTCAATGCGCTCTGGACCCGCAGACCTGCAATTATTGACCTTGCAGACCAAAGAGGGCTCCAGCAGTATATCGGGTCGGAGTTAACAACTAAAGTACAGCATCACCTGCGGACCTACACGGCCAACTTCCATGCTTGCTTTATACATCTTCAACGAGTCGCCTATGCGCAGTTGCAATCGATTCCACAAATCAAACCTGCGGTGTCTAAGATTGTGCATCTGTCACGGATGACATTAGAAGAAGGGCAATCCCTGCCCGTCAGTATGCTGTGGCCGCTGATGATGGCTGCTTGCGAGGCCGAGGAAGAGGACACACAATCTTGGATTATTGAATGCATTGAGGGGATGAAGGTCAAGGTTGGAAATACCACTCGGACAGCGAACCTAGTGCGCGAGATCGTTGCGCGGCAAAAAAGCGGGCAGAGAGCGGACGCCAGGACTGTGATGCATGAAGCTTTTGAGGGAGAGTTTGCGATTATTTGATAATTGGCTGTTTAAAGACCGCGGACAATCGGGCCCTTTCCGCCGTCATCTCGAGGTACTACTACGTACGCGACCTCTTAAGTGTTGCCGTTATTGGCACTTAAATGATCATCCACCGCCGTCGATCTTAAACCCGAAAGGGTTCCGGAGGCGCAAATGCCAGTGATTAACTACAGAGTCAGCAAATCAACAGGGAGCTGGTCAGCCACCATGAATAATGTATAGGACACGCGACGAATCAGGCGCGCTGCGATTTCTCCCGATTCTCCTAGCAATCCAACGCCACCCGGAGTAGCATTCTGGCGAGGGGATATCCCGGATAGCCCACTTGCCCGGGGAGGGCTAGCGAGGGGAAGGTTAAATGAATCATAAGCATCCTCGGTACTGCTTGTTCCCGGGACGCCACACGATTCGGGGATTACCTATTAGCTAAGTCCTCCAGGTGTCGATCGCCGGACGGCATGAGTGTCTCCGGGATGCCTGGTTAAGGGAGTTCTGGTAGGGGGAGTGTCGTCAGTGATTTGACATAGATCGATCACGATGGCAGTACTATCGTACTACCGTCTAGCTCCTTCGACGCTCGTATTGCTCCAGAGTCGTGTTCATAGTTTAATAGTAGACGGCAACCCAATTAGGCACAATGGCCCGCTGACTCAGCATTCTCCGTACGTAATGCACCGGCAGACACAGCTCCCGGCCAATCAGCGCCCAGCGACTTATCTGTGGTGACAATTGCAAAGGCATAATCTGTTACGAGAGCAAAACGAGCACGCCCTGAAAGCTGCTCTCCATATGTCATCATCCTGGCTACTTTTTTCCCTCCGTCCCCTCGTGCCTTCTTACCCTCTACACTACAGACCTTCCTCTATTGTCGCGTGTTCAGGAATGACGGAGCGAACCATCCGCCATCTGATCTTGCTGCAATCGCTCGCGGGTTCGCCGGCCTGATTTTCTTTTCTCTTGTTGCTCGCGGCCCCCGATTGAGGTTCCCGGAGATAACCAACCCTGATAAGGATATATCGGACGTATGTGCTTTTCGCTTCACCCCTACAATCAATCCCACCACCGCAAATCATTCATCAATCCTCTTATCTGACTGACATCAATGCTCCAGTCACAGCCGTCCCGTTGCCAATCCGCCCCCCCCAACCCTGTCCCTTGATTTGTGGAGTGGCCGTTCCTGGGGCTCCCTTACGTGACCAAATCGCGTAGCCCGAAGATCTATCTAGGGATTCCCTCCTATCTTCATGGCCACGGTTATCACCATCCAGCCTTCCTCGACGGCTGGTCCAGGGGCCTCAACGGCCTACCCTCAAAACCACCATTCTCCCCCCGACCATCTCCGCCGCTCCCGGCCCCAGACGGCCGCCTCAACCTCGACTCTGTCGCCCTCCCCCGGCTCTGCCTACTCGACTCTCTCCCGTGCCCCGGGTCGGGATGGAGCCAGCTGTGACGCCTGTCTTCGCAGAAAGAGCAGGTGCGCTATGAATGAAACGGTCAACAAGTGCTACTCGTGCGACTTCCATCGGCAGGACTGCACTTTCCATCTGTCCGCCGTCCAGCCCGCGGATATCCCCTCCAAGAAGCGGAAACTGGACGACTCTTCCGCTCGAGAGAATGTGGATTCCGTGAAACGTCCATCGACTGTTCAACCGGCTCATCACGCACACTCCACCGACGGGGCTCATCCGCTCCGAAGCACCCACAACATGATTCGCCCTGGGTTCTTCAACCTGTCAACACAGTCCATTGGGATGACCACGGAGTTAGAACCCGCACTCCTCGACCACCTTCCACTAGATGAGCATGACGAGTGCACAGTCTCAACATCCCGGGTGCGCCGGTGTGCTGACGACGGCACTTTCATGCGTGTGATCGATACTGTTCCTATCGGTGACTCGCAGGCCGTGTCACTCGATGCTATCGAGAGCCTGGTCGCTCCGTACGGCGCAACCCTGATCGAGAAGTTTTTCGATCATGTACACCCTTCGTTTCCCATCCTGATGGAAGAAGCGTTCCGTCAATCGTACCGAGAACGGCGAGGACTCTCGCCTTTACTTCTCTCAGCTGTCTATGTTCTGACGCTCAAGTTCGTCGATGTGGGGGCGGCCTCGCAGACTGTACGTCGACCCGATGCGGCTCGGTTGGAGAGCACGGCAATGAAATTGCTGATGGACTCTCTTCCGTCTCCAAGCATTTCCACTATTCAAGCAGGTCTGCTCTTGACACAGAAGTCCACCTTGGCCACTTCCTCCCTCAACGGCCAGATGGTTACAGCCGGCTTCGAGCTCGGCCTGCACCAGGACTGCTCGAACTGGCGTATGGAGACGTGGGAGAAGGGTTTGCGGAGACGGCTTGCATGGGCACTGTACATGCAGGATAAGTGGTCCTCGCTTGTCCATGGCCGTCCGTCTCACATCTTTGCCTTCAACTGGACTGTCAAAGATCTTGTGGAGGAGGATTTCTCGGATGCATTTGCTTCTGGCACCGACTCTGCTCATGACGAGGCGGCCGTTGGACACGGGCCCCTTCTCTTCTGCCACATGGTTGCTCTGACCACGATTTTATCGGATGTTCTGGATCGATTCTACACCCTGAAGGCCATTGATGACTTCAAGGCCGCTGGAAAGCAACGTACGCGCCTAATCCTCGACAAGGCCAAGCCTGCCCAGATCCGCTTAAAGGAGTGGTTCTCATCCTTGCCGGCAGCGTTGAAAATGGAGTCGTCCTCCGGAGAGCTTGTCGAAACCATTACGGATGAGCACGCCCGCAACGGCGCTCTGCACTTGGCCTACTTCGCCACGGAGATCACCCTTCATCGATACATCGTGCGCTCCCTCTCCGAAGACGGAACGGACTCATACCTGGCTCACATTTGCCGTTCGGCTGCGAAGACGCGTCTCATCTCTGCCATGGATTTTGTGAACAGACTGCGGCCCGCTCACCTGCGGTCGTTCTGGCCAGCATCCGCACGCACGAACTTCTCTCTGATCGGCTCCTTTGGAATGTTGCTGCGCATCACTGCCCCGAGCAAGGAAGAAGCCGAATTCTATCGGGTGCGGCTTTGTGAGTATCGCTGGACTCTGAGCGTCAGCCACAAGAACGCCGAGTTCATGAGCTTCGCGCTCGAGAGCCTTGACAACGCCTCCGCTCTGGATAAGCACGTGCCCGCTAAGCCTGGCGTCGAGGAGCTGATGGCCAACTCGGCAAAGTCTGCCCCTCGGTTACCTGTCACAAGTGTCGGGTCGTACGATGACTCAATGATGGATGCTGACGGCACCCTTGGTGGCACGGCTGCTTCATCCTCTGTCATGTCGGGACTTGCTTCTCCGGCAACCTCTGTTAGTGACGGGGAAGGAGAGCACGATATGTCTATGCCTCCTCTTTGATCCTGATCTTTCATCCACTTCCTCCCCAAAATAACCGCCTCTTCCTCAAAACCTCCACATCCTCTCCCATACATTCTCTCAGCCTCCTCATACCTTTCTCCGCCTTTCAATTGTCATTTTCTACCCATGGCGTTTCGACGGAGTCCATCCTTTTCAGCCTTTGAATGATTTGCACGATGGACTTGGTGTTTTGAACTATTATCCCCTGTACCTGACTAGCTGTGCTAGTCGCAGCAGCATGGATGTTTTGTTTATGATGGATTTCCTTGTTTTGGTTTTATTGTGCGTGACGCGAGCCTTGGACTCGCGCTTTTGATAGATCGAACCTGGGATAGGATATAGATTAGTTTACGAATGAATGATTGACCTATATGAAACTCCTCAGCAAAGTCGTAGTGGTACTCACAAAATATAGTTGTTCCCATCTACAGACCCTAAATCCTATGTATGCTATGGGAATTCGAAGTCGGTGATGCTGCATTTAGTTGGCGATAACTTCGAGAAATGTCACTGCGGATTGGGTATCTCATGGAACTGTCTTAAGGGCAACGATATTCATAGTTGAAAGCAGCTCCAGGGCGTTCCTCAGACTGTGTACATACTCCAAGTAGTCGGGTTTCAATTGGTAATAGAAACGCGAGAGCCCCTTCATCCCCCGCATTAATTCTCAACTGCCGAGGCGGAAACGGCTGTATATCTCGGCCCTCGAATGAGATCAGGTTTAGACGTAACGCTCGTCCTCTTTTGCTCCTGATAACTTATCATTTGTTCCTACGGAAACGCCCCGATAGCGGATAAACACGGCGATGGCGGGAATATTACGGACTCTCGATATCATGGCTTTTTATATAGAGGGCTGGTCCGCTCTGCTCCCACATCAAGCTGGTATGATCTCAGACGACCTTGATCGTAACCGAGCTAGACAAGACATTGCCCTTCAATCCTTACCTCGGAAACACTCAGCAGACACGTTCACTATGACCTGGGATCAAAATATTCTCCGGTCTCGCTTCTGCAATGCTCTGTCTGAGATGTATAAGAGCGAAGTCCCTCTTTACGGAAGCTTGATCGATGTGGTTTGGGAGGCAGACGCAAAAACAGTCCAAGATAGCCAGAAGCTTGGAGGTCTGCAGGCCGTTGACCCAGATGATGTTCTTCCCTCGCGACATAGAGTTGAAAGACACGGTGCCATCCGACTGGGTACGGCATATGAGCTGGCCACGATCCGTCGCATGTTCGCCGTCATGGGCATGTACCCCGTTGGCTACTACGATCTTAGTTTGGCAGGATTTCCTATGCATGCTACGGCTTTCCGGCCCAAGACCCAAGAAGCTCTGGCTCAGAACCCCTTCCGCGTCTTCACGACAGTGCTACGCATGGAGCTTTTGACTGAGAAGACGAGAAATTTGGCGCAGAGAGCTCTAAAACAAAGAGACCTCTTCACACCTAGACTATTTGAGCTTCTCGATCATGCTGAAACCAAAGGTAGCTTGACACAAGAAGAGTGTACGGAGTTTATTGCCAACGGCTTAGAGACATTCCGGTGGCATTCAAAAGCGACCGTCACCTTGGACGAATACAAAATACTCAAAGCCGAACATCCCTTGATTGCCGACATTGTGTCTTTTCCCAGCTCTCACATTAATCATCTCACACCTCGCACAATTGACATAGATCTAGTACAACAGCTGATGCTAGATCACGGCATGCCTGCTAAGGAGCGCATCGAAGGCCCCCCAAAACGGTCTTGCCCAATTCTGTTGCGACAAACCAGCTTCAAGGCATTAGAGGAGACCGTCTACTTCCGAGATGCATCAGACACGTTCATAAAAGGCTCACATACAGCTCGCTTTGGAGAGGTAGAGCAACGGGGCTACGCGTTAACCCGCGAAGGACGGCAACTATACGATCACATCCTCAACCGAGTCAACGCAGAGGCTACTAAGCAAGGAATCACTGGCGCAAATTACGACAAGCTCTTGGTAGAGCACTTTGCAGTCTTTCCGGACACCTTATCAGCACTCCATGATAAGAATCTAGCATACTTTTGCTACGGCTTGACACCAACTGGAGAGCGAATCGCAAAGGATAGTACCCCAGAAGCATTAGAACTAGGAGATTCAACGGTCTCTATTTCCGAATTGCTAAAGAAAGACATTGTGAGCTACGAGCCTTTGACCTACGAGGATTTTCTGCCATTGTCTGCTGGTGGCATCTTCAACTCCAATCTAGGAAATGGAAATGAGTCCCAGTCCAAGCAGCTCATCATGAACGCAGACCCGGATCTCGATGGGTTTCAGCGATGCCTCGGGACACAAGTGGCGGATGAATTTCATCTTTATGCTGAAATGCAGAGGGAGTCCCTGGAAAGCTGTCGGACGCAACTGCAATTGAAGAAAATCACACTGTAGTGGGAGGCAAATCACAAACAGAAGCTTCCGTCTGTCTCTAATTTTAGTTCCTTAACAAACAACAGACTTTTTGCCCCTTTTACCAGTTGCTATTATTACAAAATGGACTGGCTCGATTCTCAATCTTCAGATTCTTTCGCGTGGCTCGCCGGATTGGGAAGTGCGTTGCCGAAGCTATCGTACGAGTGGCAAGACTCAGAAAACTCGGGTCAGACAATAACGTGATCTACCAAGACGAGAAATTATGACATTCTACACTTTTGTCATTGTGTTCGGTACCTCCCGGGCATCATGTAATGACTATCATCCGACAGCATGCATACACGGTGGAGTTGAAGTGGGGACCGTTCATCTTGTATGCACCCCGGAGTTCATCATCTCCGTATAGGGTATGGCTAGACGCTAGCCCCGACACCGATCGACATGCATATTGGGGGATCGGAAAAGATGAGATGATTTCCCTTTAGCATCAGATACATATATTTTCTGTTATTTCGTATCTCCTCATAATACTGTGTTTCGCAAGTCCTGATCACTTTTCAAGGATTTTTTTGTCCAGTTGCCGATTGAGAGGATCCTCATATTTCTCCTCATTTTCTCTTCCCGCATAAAGTTGTATGATCTGAGTTATGCGCCGTGTCGGTCGAGTCCGCCGTTCGGCCGGGGCTCAAGTCCCAAGCCCCGCGAAAATCCCGAGCTGGTAACATACGGGCCGCCGACTGTGCCATACAATCTCATCTCGGGTCCGCCCGACAACAGACACAAAGGAAGGGGGCTGTGTGCTGCTGCCAAATTTCGGGCCCGATTTATCCAATTTAGCAGAATCTTCAATTTTCGACGGTCTCAAGTCGAACTGTGCCTTGTATTTAATCACAACATCTCCCCTAGAGTCGGAAAATGGTCTCAGTCAGCAATTTCCGATCTGCCTCTTCTCGTTTGTAGATGAGGTTAGACATGCATGGATCCTGCTCAAGAACCCCCTGATGAGAACATCGCATGGCATATCTACGTGGGGACAATAGTAACCATTGTCCCAGCTACCATTGCGGTGATCCTACGGTTCATCTCTCGGCATGTTGCTCGCGCTGGTCTGTGGTTGGATGATTACACTATTGCGATAGCATTGGTAAGTCGATCACCAATCTCATTTCCCAGCATTTACGAGAATCATAATGGTTTACTAATACCTTGCTAGGCAATAAACTGGGTTATGGCAATCTTGCGATGGGTTCAAATTCTTGTCTTCGGCGTCGGCCGTCATGCCTATTATCTTCCAGATGACAAGATACAAGGCTTTTTCAAGGTAATTCACCAAGAATCTTGCTTACCATGCGGATATTGACTGGAAATTAGAGCTTTCTGGCCAGCCAGATAATTTATTTCCTCAATGCGGTTTTCACCAAAGCAGCCCTGCTGTTGCTATATTACCGTATCTTTGGTGTGGTCAAGCATTTCCGTTGGGCTCTGTGCGCGACATGGTTCCTAGTCATCGGATACTTTATTGCATGCACCATTGTTTCGATCGCCGAATGCTTACCAGTGGCCAAATTCTGGAACCCGAGTGGGCCAGGATCATGTATTGACATGGTCGCTTTTTTCCGTTGGAACGGGGTTACAAACCTTATCCTCGATGTCCTGGTTCTCTGTCTCCCATTTCCGATGGCATGGAGGCTGCAAATGACAACTCGACAAAAGCTCATTTTAACTGGCATCTTCATGCTTGGCGGTTTGTGAGTTTCTTCCTTGGCAATGTATCTCAAGCCAACTTTTGAAACCCACATTGCTAACATTCCATAGCGTCTGCATCGTTTCTGTTATGCGAATTGCGAGTTTCGACTTTACGGAAATGTACGATCCCACTTGGACCGGCGTTAATTCGTCAATGTATTCGTCAATTGAGCAGTCCGTCGGAATCATTTGTGCCTGCCTTCCCACGCTGCGCCCTCTGTTCCGATCCCTGTACGGTCCCTCAAGGGACCATTCAAACCGGGCTCCTGTCTCTAGCTCCTCCTCTTCCTCCTCACAGAACAGACACTCTATCTGTCCGCAGACACCGTCGTCTGGCACGGAGACAAGCGTTTTGACTCTTACTAAGCCATCTCCGGCACGAACTACAGCCCCTCAGGCCTGTTTATTTGATATGGAGGTTTACAATGTCGTTGATCGTGAGTCTTTGTCCCTCGAATACGGTGACGGGCATCAGGTGGATAGATGTGTTTCTCGGGTAGAATCAATGGTTTAGGCTGTGGAATTCTAGAGTTTTGGTGTGAGTCTCTTTGCAAGTTTGTGAGACTCCTAATGAAGAAGTTATTTTTACACCGTGCCACTACATTTGCAACGACGTTTGCATTGTGCAGACAGCTTCATTGATTCGCGACTATGTACTCCATATCCCCTCTTGCCCCCGAAGTAGATCGTCAAAAACCTCGGTAATACAATCTGGATTCGTCAAGGCTGTTTGGAAGTTGAAATCCTGCGGCCAGCTCAACGAGTCCAGTAACATTCCAGGATCGAAGGGTAACAAATCTGGGGTCGATGTGTAGAGCGTGTCACTGCTGTATCGGTGTTGGAGTTGTTCCACGAGCCGTTTGGTAGTAATATTGGTCAAGGATTCGAAGGTATCGCTGAATTCAGCGGAGGATTTCCATTTTGCGGACAGAACTGCCAGCACGTTTGAGCACATTCTACATGACTCGGTAACCTCCTCCAATCGGACACTTTTGGAAAGAATGTCTCTGGACCAGAGGGAGTATAGCATGGTGATACCTGCAAGAAAGCATCCAGATATAAGCATCCAGGAGTGTTCCATCTCGTTGGATCGGAGGAGAGAATAGTAAATTCGGACAGCATTGGCTGAAGCTTCATAACATCGCCTGATGGAATCTTCCGTAGGTCGTGGGAAGAGCGGCGTTGCTCGGTGAAGTGAGGAGGTGGTCGTGTAGTAAAGACGTTCATACCACTTGAATGAATGAGGGGTGTGATGTGCAGAATAGACGAGATTGAGCTGCGATCGCCATTCATCGAGCTGCTGCTGTATACTGGCTAATGTCTCGCTTCGCTGGTGATCGTCACTGAGAGCCTTGGACTTGCCCAAAGTGTAAACCTCGCTGATTATCCGGGTTTGAATACTTCGAAGCCGAATATGATGCAAAGCTAGAGCGATACTGGGCTCTGGCGTTTGACTTTCGCGCTCAGGACTTGGGAATAGAGCATCGATATGATCGTCGGAAAGTGTGACAGGTCGCCCCAAGTTGAAACAGACAGTTCGGTCCATGGCATATGTCACCCAGAATAAGCGTTGTCGAATGTCCCACTCATCAAGGGAAAACTTCCAGTCGGGGTTATGCCGATGTAAACCCATATCAATACAGAGCTGTGTGACGATCTAGTCAGATGCCGTTCTATAGAGGTAGAGAAGTAAAAGGAACGAAGAAACATACCCTCATCGCAATTCCCACTAAATGCCACTGGCTACTTCCTGTGGGACGATAGGAAGAGTATATTGCCAGCAACAGAACAATTTGCAGTCCTTCCATTCCATCTAATGGCAGGACCCTATCGAACCAAGCCATCCCCCAGTTGAACAGTTCCGCAGCTGAAGTCCCTGGAGGTCCAGACACCTCAGTCAGATGATGTTGGTGCCATTCACCGATAGCCATGACCAGATAGAAAATCGTCCATTGTGAAGCAGAGAGTGTAGATGGATCTTCATACACTAGGCAAACAAGAGAATCCAGCGTTGCTTGATGAAATATGGGGTACGTGAGATGTACCCACTGCATGTAGGTGGTCAGGTAGCTTTTTGCTGTCTCCATTGGCGGTATTGTCCGGGCATCCCCAGAGCCATGGGAGTCATCGTGATAATTATGTGAGACGGACCCTCGGCTGGACAGTAACCAGCGAGATTGGAACTCTTCGTTTTGTCCAAGGTCGGTATTGTATAAATATTTCTTGACGGTGGACGCAATCAATCGGGAGAACAGGACGCCACTGGGGCCGCCCATGAAGCGCATTTCTCCAGTAGCATTTAGCGATAACACGGCCACATTAGCAGCAATATCGCCTACTTCTTTTTCGACCGTATCATCTTGGCCCTTTGACTGCTGCTGCTCTTGTCGATCGGACGGTTGCTGGGTAAACTCAGTGCCATCAAGTGGTGATGACCTAACTGATGATTGCGAGATATGAGAAACAAGTGACTCCCCGGATGGGATGCTTCGCACTTCATCTGGCGATAAGCCATGGACATCAGCAAGCTCGGATTCCAGCCACGCAACGCGTTGGCGTAATTGCCGCTCGTCTTCGGTCGATAACCCAGCACGTCGGGTCCGAAAATGAGGCTCACAATGGACTCCGCGACGAAGGCATTGGCCACATCTTGGAGTCAACCCATCGCACTAGCTTTTATTAGCCTGCGCAGCGAACATTTTGTTGCCGATCCCACACACCTTGATTTTGCGGCGGTGACAGGCTCCACACGCCGTGGTTGTGCGAGAAGCCGGCGACCGCGGGCTGTTGAATGTTTGCATAATGCTGCCAGCAGTGCGGTGTATAAGAGAGGAACATCCCTGATAGTTACCGCTTGGGACAGGGGCGAATCAGTCAGTGGATTCTATTACTTAATACATGATAGACCCCGGCTGTCCGGGTTTCTTATCGAAACTCCACTCCTAAATGCTCCCCGCATTTCGGCACTTCTGGTCGGCGATGTATGAAGATTGAACTACGCTGTCACACTTACTACTCCGTACATATTTACTCCTTACGCCACCCACGGGTCCAGTGCGATGCTCATGTCCGTGTCGTCATATTCCTGCCGCACCTGTGCTGCGAACGCCTCGTCCACCAACACTTCAATTCCTGTGCGCGCCATGGCTCTGCCGCATTTGATTGCACGCTCGTGGGAGTCCTGTGTGGCCGCGACTTGCTCAAAAGCTTTCGTGTGGATGGAACCATTGGGGCTGTCCAACTGTTTTGGTTATTAGCAACTATGCATTCAATTGTCGTTACCGATGACACCTACAGCAAATATTGGGTGGATACTGGGCACTTCATAGGTGACATTGCCCATATCAGTACTGGCACAGGTCATGTTCGCCTTTTGTTCATGCATCGGCGCAAACGGAATACCCATTTGCTCCATATGTTTCACATATTTGCCGGCCAATCTGTGGGAAACCGTCAATGTCTAACAACGATTCTCGATTAAATGATTGGGAACGTACCCATGATTAACGCGTATATCCCAATAAGCTGGCATCCAGTCGGTCTTCAGCTCACAACCAGTCGCCAACGCCGCAGCTTCGAGGCAGTTGATAAACTTCTGCTTAAGGGTACGGTAGCGCACCAGACTAGCCGATCGCACGCAGTAACGGGCTTTGGAGTAGTGCGGAATGACTCCAGAACTCTCACCAGCACTAAGTACTACGCCCCGGATCCGATCGGTAGGCATGATCTGCTGGCGTAGCAAACCAATGCTGGTGTGTAGCAAGGTCATCGCGTCCAGCGCATTGATCCCATCCCAAGGAGCGGCCATTGCGTGCGCGGGTTTTCCAATGTACTCGATGGTCAGTTCTGATCCGCACATGCTTGTAAAGTATGCGTTGTCATATTGCCTGTTGAACGATGAGCTTCATAGAATGACAGTTTCACCAAGCAGTGTAGAGAGTCATACATTGCATGGACCATCATACAGCAGAAAATGTCTTTGTAGATTCCTGCTTTGATCAATTTGATCTTGCCGCCGCCACCTTCCTCTGCAGGGGTTCCTATGGCGACAACACGCCCTGAAATTTTACCCTCCTTGATTGCAGCAGCCATCCCTAAAGCAGCAGCCACACCAGCAGTCGCGATGAGGTTATGACCGCAGGCATGTCCTAAAATTGGCAGAGCATCGTATCTAAAGAATTCGTCAAATGGGCGTTCAATATGTCAGGACTGAGCAAAGGGCAGAACAAACTCGAGATTGATCGCAACCGCTCTTGTCAGCTGTCCATCTGGCCCCTTGTCGGGACCGAATGATGCTCGGAAAGCTGTGGGTAGACCTCCCGCACCCCGTTCAACTGTGAAACCTTGCTTCTCGAAGTAGCCGCATAGTGTATCGTGAGCATATACTTCCTTGTATAAAGTTTCCGGGTGGCTGTGGATCTGTAAGAAAAGGGGTTAGAATTTTGTCTAGAGACTTTCAAGATTGAAAAGCTTACAGCCAAGTTGATTTTTCTAAGATCAGCATCCGCATTGGCGACAACGTCGTCGGCCACTTTGTGAAGAGTTTCCGCGCTAGCCATAATTTCTAAGATCGGATGAGTGCGAAAAAAATAGAATTTCCTTATCACGCCCACGCGTGCCACACCAAGATCATATTTATCTAATAATTTGAATTAATTTACGCGAGAGCCGATAATGCATAGCTTTCCGCTCTGTTACTTGCGGCGATTTTTCGCCGATGCCCAGAGACTTTCTGACCCCACACGGCGGCCGTCGCCGCGCAAAGGGTGCCTCGGAATAGGGCCGAGATGATAAGACCTTAGCTGAGTCATTGTCACCATTTTGCGAGTTAGCGATCCTCTACGTTATTGGCGACACAGTGGACTTTTCTTGCGCACGTCCAAGCACATATACGAGGCTGGACACTATGGGGTCAATTGCGAACAGCAGCCTTAAGGGTGATTGGCAAGAAATTGTTGCTCGCAAACGCAGAGATCAGGCCCAAGCAATTGAAGGCTTTTTGCAGAGGCACAAGAACATAAATCCTAGCAGTGATGGTACCGAGATCTGTTCTTTGGACCACAAGATACTGCTAGAGTCACTCAGCCGTGGCGATCTAACGGCCGAGAGCGTGGCATTGGCATACATAAACAGGTATATTCATCGAGGCTGTAGATGACAAAAGTGCTAATTGCTGACATCAACCTTGTAGGGCAATAGAAGCTCATCGAGAGGTATGAGTACATCGATTCCTAACTTGGGCCAACGGACCTCTTACCAGCCACAGACCAACTGCCTAACCGAGGTTCTGTTCGACCAAGCTCTTCGACGATCGCGTGAATTGGATGAGCACTTCCGCAAGGAAGGTAAATCCATAGGCCCATTACATGGATTACCAGTCTCTCTCAAAGATCAATTCAACGTCAAAGGTTTTGACTCGACTCTGGGCTATGTGGGCAGAGCATACTCTCCTTGTACTGAGGATGCAACTCTCGTCACAATCTTGGTTCGGTTAGGTGCTGTGATCATCGCCAAAACAAATATCCCGCAAAGCATCATGGTATGTGATAGTTTTAATTTCTTTCTATAGGTATATATACATTTACAGCGGGCTGACCTAGGCGTAGATGGCCGAAACCGACAATCCAGTATGGGGGCTTACTGTCAACCCAAATGATCCCTCATTTACTCCAGGTGGTTCATCTGGTGGTGAGTCTGCTCTGCTCGCATGCAAAGGTTCTATGATTGGATGGGGAACAGATATCGGGGGGTCTATCCGAGGACCCAGCAGTATGATGGGGTTATATGGGCTCAAACCAAGTGTAAGTTCCTTGGAGAAATTCCGTCAAGGATCGATAGCGAAACTAACGATGTCGACTAGAATGGCCGCCTTCCTTACTATAATGTTGCTGTCTCTACAGAAGGACAGGAACATGTTCCGTCCGTAATTGGACCCATGACACGATCATTGCACTCGCTCTCTGAAGTCACTAAGGCCGTGATTGACTCGCAGCCCTGGTACCTGGATCCACGCTGCATTGCCTTACCTTGGAGGTCAGAAATGTATCAGGAGATACTGTCCCGTCCGTTGACTATTGGTGTTATCTGGGATGATGGTGTGGTTAGAGTTCATCCCCCAATTCGACGGGCACTTGACCATCTTGTCGAAAAGCTGAAGTCGGCGGGCCACGAGACTATTACTTGGGATCCAACCGGACATGCAGACTTCATCAAAATCCAGGTCAGTCTTTTTATAGCTTGCATGTCAAATTACTGTTCTCATCCTCTTTCTAGGACCAGTATTACACGGCTGATGGGGGCGAGGATATTCGCCGCGACATTGCCGTCTGCAATGAGCCATTCCTACCTTACGTGAAATCTCTTGTAGATCGAGGAGAGCCCATCTCTGTCTACCAATATTGGCAACTGAATCGCCGGAAGCTCAATTGTCAGAAGGCGTACCTTGACCGGTGGAACAACACTCGAGCACCGACTTCGGGACGAAAAGTAGATGTGCTCCTTGCCCCGGTGATGCCTCACCCAGCAGTGCCTCATAACTCATGTCGGTAAGCTATCATCCATTCTCTGGCCCAAACCAACAGTACTAATGGAAACAGGTGGGTCGGATATACGAAAGTGTGGAACTTCCTGGATTACTCGGCTCTCACGTTCCCAGTCACAGCGATATCAAAAGACATTGATATTGCTGATCCTTCGTATGAGCCTCGCAACCCAATGGATGAATGGAATTGGAATTTGTACGATTCAGAAAGGATGAACGGACATCCAATTGGGCTGCAAATTATCGCGCAGAGACTCCAGGAAGAGAAGGTTTTGGCGGCAGCAAAGGTGTTTGAGGAATTGCTGGTTGACTAGGAAGTGCCAATTGAATAGAAATAATATCTCGCGCATGAATTACTCTTAAAGCATAAAAACATATTCAACTACATTCAAGAGATCATTTTCTTCTCACGACAAAGAAGCAGTTATACTGACAAGGTAGTACATTCAGTACACATAAACAAAACCAGGGTTAGTCTGGTCCGTCAAATCAAAAAACTCAACATTCTCAACAGCTGTCTCCGATGTGGAACGGTCAGATTGGCGTCTCTTGTTCTGCGAGTGGAGATAAAATCCCATCACTAAAACCAATACGATGAGTATGACAAATGAAACCAGACAGGCTCCAATTCCAAGGCCTAGATTCTCTTAGTCATGTTCGAATAACTAACTTAACTACCACAGGGGAATCATGCTGCTTACCATAGCGAGGTGCCTGTTCATTTTTGAAAAATTGAGGCCCGGCGATACTATTTGGCTCACAAATTAGCAATTGTGTTCACCAAAGATATTGACCGTCAATTATCTTACTTTCCAACGCAATACCCAATCAGAAGCATCGAATTTACAGTAACCTTCTTCGTATGACCGGCGATATTGGCAGATGCCAATGACAGAAGGAGAATATAACCAGTTGGGAAAACGTAAATCTATTCAAGTTAGGGTCTCCTTTCCTTCCATAAAAATTGAAGAACTTACCAAGTAATAGCCCGCAAGTAGAGAACCTTTACTGTCATAGGGCGCTGCGTATACCATGATTGATCCCACCAGCGCGAGAACCAAAGCCACTGTCATGCAATACACGCGAGTGTTGTTGAATGAGATGCACACGTAAGTGATAATCAGCATGACCACAAATTCCAACGCTCCAGCGGGCATTCCCAGCTACAGCCATTTCATATCAGTCTAATATGTGGCTATTATTGTGAACGGAGACACTAACCAAGGTTGTTTCAAGGGTAGTGTACCCAAAGTTTTCCACAAGAAGATTGCCAAACTAAGGTATCGTTATCAGCATAACATGAATTCACGCACTGATCAGTAGCTTACCGTTGCAACCGAATTGGGAATGTTCCACACTAAAGCCATGAGGAACAGCAAGGCCTTGGGGTCACTTAATGCTTCCATGACCTGTTCTTTCTTGAACTTCCTGCTGTGGATACCAGTATTATTCTCCCGAACCATTTCAATGGCCGCATGTTTCTCGGCATCGTCTCTCAAAAACCATGCTGTCAATTGGGAATCTGGCAACGCTAGAAAGAGCACAATTGACCAAACAAGCGAGAGCGCTGCTGTGACGATGAACATCCACTTCCACGGTGCGATATTGTTCACATGAATATGGCCCAGTCCGTAAGCGAGTAGACCGCCGACAATTTGAGCGATACCATTGAAGGAGAACCAGAATCCCATTCGAAGCGGCTGATCCTGGCGAGCGTACCAGCCGGTGCTGATCAACATAAAGGCTGGCGTGACGCTATATGATATCAGGATTAGGATGACATGGGTTTATTTGGTTGGGGCAACGTACACCCCCTCAGCCATTCCCAGGAAAAATCGAACGGCCATCAGACCAGCCCAGTTCTTACATACAACATGCATAAACAAGATGACGCCCCAGCAGAACCTATGGACCGTTAGATTTGCCCCTTGCGGTTTCTTGACGTCGGGTCTCATACACACTAGCAGCGAGACATTTGGCCGGTGCGAATTTCTGTAACAGGTAGCTTCCAATTGGCTGCATTGCAAAATACCCTAATATTAAAGTCAGAGGCCAGGCGTGGGCTGTTGACACGGGATCTAGTACTGACCAAAGTAGAAGATACTAGCCAACCAAGAATATTCTTCTCCTGACAGGGTCTGGGTATAATTAGTACATTTTATTCCGATGAAAAAGAATGAGGGAAACCAAATAAAGATTTAAACACATACCAGATCTTCAAGGATGCCAAAAATTCCGGCATAACTGAGGGTTGACTTGTCCAGAAATTGCAAAAGAGTCGTAAGACTGCATCTATTAGCACTCGTTCCTGATATGAAAGCAACGTTCCAACAACTCACGCAAGCAATGGCAAAACAAAAAGATCAATTTTCCAACGAACGCGACTGATGAGCTCCGGGTTCACTTCTGTCACCTCCCCAGCAAACTGAAGCGCGATATCTCCTTCCTCGACGACGATCTCTTTAGCAGAGGCAGGGCCTTCGACGCGTGCCTGGTTATCCAATGATGCTGCCATGTTTGCGGGAATAATGTGACAGTGGAGCACGATCCCGTCTAGGAAAAATGGATACGGCGGCAGACCTAAGTACTTAATGGCAAGTGTGGTGTGGGTCCTTTATCTGTTGTCTGGGGTACAGCGGCGAAAAATCACCGAGGTGCTTTGCAGCGGAGTGGAACCGCCGTGGGAGCCAACGGAAGTTGAGATTGTTGTATCTCTGGAGAATGGATTGCAAACATTGATAAGAACGAGGCTGGGCTGACCAGCCTCCGTTATGAGGATTATCGCAGTTACCAGCCGACATGGACGCCTCTCATCCAGTGATTACCGCATCGGCGGCTAAACTACACCTATCACCGACGTTGGAGATCAATGAACTTGTTCATCGCGTCCGCGCGTCAGGAAAGAAGGTGATTCACTTGGGCTTTGGCGAAGCGACTTTTCCAATCCAGGAAGAAGTTTTACAATGCCACCGTGAGGCATGTAATTCGACTTCTTACTTGCCGGTAGCCGGGCTCGGGGAGCTCCGAGAGGTTGGTCCACCATAATTGCATTCATCATTCAAGCTTCAAGGACTGAGAGGAAACCACAGAGAATTGCTGCATACCAATCAGGTCGTCTGAACGTTCCAATTCATGCCGATCAAGTGGTTGTTGCTCCGGGATCCAAGCCTCTTCTCTTTGCTCTCTTCGACATCTTGGACGGGGATGTACTTCTTCCTCGCCCGTCATGGGTCAGCTATGAGCCCCAGGTTGCGCATGCAGGAAAGCAGTTGTTTTGGATTGAGACTGACGAGCACGATCGTCACACTTTGACGGAGAAGGCCCTCGACAATGCCTACACTTCTGCGATCGACGCTGGCGCCCGCCCGCGTATCATGTTGATCAACAGTCCCTCCAATCCGACAGGACAGGTGTTTAACAAGGAACAGATCTCATTCATAGTGAAGTTCTGTCGCGAGCGATCAATCACCTTGATCAGCGATGAAATTTATTCCGACATCTGCTTCAACGCTGAGGATGTGCAAATCAGCGCTTTCGGATCCGCATTTGGCGAAGATGGCACGGTGATCATGACGGGGGGTCTCTCCAAGGTAAGTCTAAATATCCCCTTGGGCAAGTTAGTTTCAAAGTTACTAATATCTGACAGACATATTCTGCCGGTGGCTGGAGAGTCGGCTATGCAATCTTCCCCAGCTCCTCAGTTGGCAAGGCAATCCGACAAACTACTCTTGCCTACGCTTCGGAATGCTGGTCTGCCGCATCAGCGCCTTCACAAATCGCATCTATCAAAGCATTTTCGAGTAGCCGTGCGACATCTGAACGTATTGGGCCTGCCATGGATACGTATCGCGAGGCAGTGAATTGTTTGCACCGAATGTGTACAACGCGACTCTACCATGCCTTGAAGGATTGTGGGATCGCAGTCGCTGAGCCAAAAGGATCTTTCTACTTGTATCCGTCTTTCAAGCCGTATGCCTCGCAGTTGCAGAAGATTGGTGTTCTTACTAGTCAAGACTTGTCGAAATGGCTGATTGAAGAATGTGGACTTGCAGCTTTGCCCGGGTCTGCATTTGGTGAGAAGGATGAGCGACAAGGCGTGAGCGGGGGCAATCTTCGCCTGAGAATGGCGACGAGCTATCTCTATTTCTCGTCCGAGGAGGAGAAATATAGCAAAGGTTATGCTTTGTTGAAGTCAGCGGCAGCGGGAGAAGAGGTCTCTCTGCCACTGTTGGAAGAAGCCATTGCGGCTATCCAGGCAGCCGTCGAGAAGCTGAAGACTCAGTAGAACTTGAAGATGTCTCGACCCTAAATCTCAGCATTTTAATTAGACTATGTCTGTTTTTTTTTAAAAAAAAATGAAGCACTACCCGTATAATGTCACATCGAGTCTGTCAAACGATGATCAACCTCGGTGGCACTATCCAAAATCAAAAGGCAACTAGTTTACCTCGGCTATTTGATCGCTTGGTTGAACTTCACCTACAGATCAAGCTCGAGACAGGTAGGGCATTTTTCACAAAAATACTGTTATAGCTAGGGAGAAAAGCCCTGCCTCTGCCATAAAAAGAGCTCTGTGAACATTATGGAGGAGCTTGATCGGATTCTTGATCAATTCACAGATCCCTTAGCGGGGTCACTGCATGGCGCGGCGTTCATTGCGATTGACAACTTAGGTACGTTTTTTGTATTTTTTTCATTCCACTGCGGCTTTCCTCATACGACTACTTGATTCTGCGCTGATAACATAACAGGAAATGTTATCTACAAACGGGCCGCCGGAAAGGCGGACTTTGATACACCTAGTGCAAAGCCTTTGGGAATAGACTCTCTATACTGGATTGCCTCAATGACGAAAATGGTCACAGCCGTGGCTGTGATGCAACTAGTGGAACGCGGAATTATATCATTAGATGACGATATCCGCGAGAAAGTCCCAGAGCTCAGAGATATCCAAATTCTGGAAGATATGAAGTACGGTATGCTATCCCAAAGCCGTATGTACGTTTTCACTCTGATCGTTAGCTGGCGACCTCTAGACTCTTCGCTGGCATCGGCCCAGCCAAAACTTGTGCCCGTTCAAGGGAAGATTGTTATTCGGTAAACCACTCCTTCAAAGACATGGAACTTCCTTCTGTGGAACCGCCAGACTATGGACTAATTTGAGAGTGAATCAACTCAGAGATATGTTGTGTCATTCTGCTGGATTTGTGTATGACACCTCTTCGCCGTTGTTAAAAAAGTGGTCCAAGTCCCAAGGGAGGACAGCGCACACTTTTTCTGGCAGCATGGTACGTATAATCTTTCCATGCTGGCTATTCTTATATCTGGGCAAAAGTCTAATTTTCATGGTCTGAATAATAGGATGGATATACTCATCCGCTGATTTATCAGCCGGGTACCTCGTGGGCATATGGAGCTGGACTAGACTGGGCCGGTCGGCTGGTAAGTCTCTTCATGCTTGTCTCTGAACCAGAGCAGAGTCTCTAATGTATACAGATCGAGCGCGTGACCAATTCTACCCTGGAAGAGTACATGCGTGCCAACATTTGGTCTAAGCTTGGAGCGACATCAACAACCTTTCATCCAGAATTGCACTGTGATACCCTACCTCCACAAATGGGAATGGCGTATCGAGTCAGTGTCGGCCAGGGTGCTAAATCGGTCAAGCCGTGCCCTATTATTCTAGGCCAGCCTTTGGAAGACGACTTGGGGGGATTGGTCTCTGGAGCACACCAATGGACTTTACCAAATTGTTGGCCGCGCTTCTCAAAGGTGGCCAGCCATTGTTGACCGCGGCTAGCGTGGATATATTATTTAAACCACAACTGAGTGATGAGTCTCGGGCAGCAATGCCAAAGCCACTTGGAGGCCAAATGCGGCGAGTATTAGGGATTAGGGGCTTGGATGACATTAAACAAGCCGATCATTGTTTGGCCGGTACAATAACCTTGAAGGATATTCCTGATCGCAGACGAAGTGGTACGGTCAACTGGAGCGGTTTGCCAAATCTACATTGGGTAAGACAATGTCTATGCCGAGGGATTCTTCTTCCCTACCAGTAGGACAGATCTTTAACCATGTTCTCTCTTACAGTGGATCGACCAAAAGACAGGCATTGCGGCCACTTTGTTCACACAGCTCATGCCACCGGGAGATGCTGCCGTCACTGGTCTGTTGATTGAACTGGAGAAAGCCCTATACAAGGCTCTGAGCAGGAATTCGGGGCATTTTAATAGTAATGTGAAGTTGTAGGCGTTGGCAACGTCAGAAGACGTCAGTCGACCGCCCTAGTTTATGAAATAGGATTGGATCGTCTTTGTCAAGAACTGAATTTCGCTGAGGGATTCGAAATAGTCAATATAGAATACAGTGCACAGAAACAGCTAATCCATCTATCTGTACAGGATATGCGGGAGCGGACAAGAGGCCAACGACCATAAGATTCGGAACAAATGAGAGGGTCGAATGCGAACCACCGAATGCAGATGTCGTAATGCAATGTTTGCAGCATGTCAGGAAATTGAGCAGAGCTGCGTCACATCATACCTTAGCCTCGATGGCCGGAGAATCCTCGCCTTCCTCCACAATAACCGCTCCTTCCTGCAGCAACTCTTCAGGTGTCTTCACCCGCACCTCCATCACTCTCATAACTGTATATCTTTCCTTGCTGCGGATCTGCTGGACATGCCGTTGTCTCCGCTTGGTCTTTTCCTTGATCCGCAGAGGCTCAGCATCCGTACCGGTCACGCGAACGCGACACTCAAACAGTCGCTCGTCGATATGCGGGTTGCCCTTCAGCGTAAAGTCGCGTGATCCGAGCGCAGAAGCGCGGTTGAACCGCAGAATATCACCTGACTGAACTTTGGGCATCAGGAACGGTAGACGAACTTGGTCGCCCGGCGTGAGGAGGTATGGCTTGTTGTGGAGCTTGGCAACGACGTAGTGTGGTGCTTGACCGACGAGGTGAGGGAGCCGCTCCATGAGGGAGCGGGTCACTTTAAGAGGTTCTTTGAATTCGGGGGCAACGGCCCGTTTCTCGTCTGGGACATGAGAGCGATTTTGAGGGATGAAGGTATTGGGAGGAGTTTGTTGGTTGGCCGTGGGTTGGGAGGTTTGTGCTCGTGGAGTTGCACTGAGAGGGGAGTCAGGTTTTGGTGATGACAATTGAGAGCTAGGGGGCTCTTGCGAGGCAGTTTGGTGCAAGCAGGCTCGTTGCGGATGGGGAACTGCGCCTGAGATCGTAGACGGGGCGGACACTCGCAAGTCGGCAGCGAACTTCCGCAGTAAAGAGCGAGAGAACATTGTGACTTTATCCTTCCACTTGTTCTCCCTAAGCGGACCGGGGTCGAGGTGGAGGACAATGCGTGAAGGAGATGTTTGTCCGTCTCGATTCGCGCTCGAGAAAATCAGTGGCTGCGCTTGTGGCCGCATCGCGGACCGTAGCGTCACGTGGCTCAAAGTACACTTCCGAGATTTCTACTAGGAGATATTAAAGTATTGTAGGCTCAATATTCGGGGGAGAAGCAGTGACTGAAGTTAGTTTCAAATCCACGCCAATTATATGTACTCTTATTTTCCAGCCTGGCTGACAGTCAATGCTGTTTGCTGCCAGTATTCCCTTGCCTTTGTTGATAAGAGCGGTCAGGTGACCTGCTATCTTTGCCGGCTCTCAATCTTTTTTTCTGATCGAGCCAGACCCTCCTCTTCATCCCCCACAGCTTGGTCACTACACGTTCAACATGGTAAGTCTCCCGGAATATGATTTTCGCAAGTCTGTAAATCTGCATATGCTAACAGTTGTTTCACCTATAGCCTCAGAACGAGTTCGTCATTTCCCCCACCCACCACCACGATCACCACGGTACCCCCAAGACCAACAACTGACCCATTCTCACCAGGTATATCGAACGCTGGCAGAAGCAGCACGGCAAGCGGCTGGATCACGATGAGCGGCTGCGCAAGAAGCAGGCTCGTGAGTCGCACCAGCAGTCGAAGGATGCACAGAATCTGCGCGGCCTGAGGGCCAAGCTGTATCAGCAGAAGCGCCATGCGGAGAAGATCCAGATGAAGAAGCGCATCAGGGCGCAGGAAGAGAAGAATGTCAAGTCTGCCGCCCCCGACGAGCCCTCCAAGACCCCTCTGCCCCAGTACCTGCTCGACCGGTCGCAGGCGACCAACGCCAAGGCCCTCTCCAGCGCTATCAAGGACAAGCGCGCTGAGAAAGCGGCCAAGTTCGCCGTTCCGCTGCCTAAGGTCAAGGGCATTAGTGAGGAGGAAATGTTCAAGGTTGTCAACACGGGCAAGAAAACACACAAAAAGTCGTGGAAGCGAATGATCACCAAGCCTACTTTCGTCGGAGGCGACTTCACCCGTCGGCCGGTCAAGTACGAGCGCTTTATTCGGCCCATGGGTCTGCGATACAAGAAGGCCAACGTCACACAGTAAGTTTGGTCTCCAGGGTAGTTGGAAGTTGTGCATCGTGCTGATGGTTCACGCCTCTAGCCCTGAAATGGCTGTCACCGTGCAGCTGCCTATTCTGTCGGTTAAGAAGAACCCTCAGAATCCGCTGTATACCCAGCTGGGTGTTTTGACCAAGGGTACTATCATTGAGGTCAATGTTTCCGAGTTGGGTCTTGTCACTACCAATGGAAAGGTCGTCTGGGGTAAATGGGCTCAAGTGACCAGTAAGCCTCTCAAGTGAACGAAACACAGTCCCAGGGATTCAGACAAGCTGACTTCTTTTATTTAGACACTCCTGAAAACGACGGCTGTGTCAATGCGTAAGTCATCCAGTCCCTTTCGGACATTGGGGTTAGTCTAACAAGTCAACAGGGTTCTTCTTGTCTAGATCAGTCACATTTCTCGGCAATCCGTCTTCTCTCGATACCATCATGTCTCAGACATTCGCCCTTTTGTTATCTTGTCTGGTCTATTCAGACCATGCTCTTTTGGATGGTGTTCACGGCGTATCATCAAAGCACACTGGCTCTTTTGACGAAAAGTATTGGACAGTTTCGTTCTCTTGAAATGGGTACATCTAGATTATCTACCTAAGCATATAACAATCATTGCATGAACAAAACACTGCTTGTACTTGGTTACTCGATAGTGGTGTGTAGACTCGGTCCCAGGGTATATTTGAGACGAAGAGGTGCAAGTCTCATGAAGACTACACCAAATACGGTAGCAAAACAAAATAAAAACAAATGACAAATTTGAATAGGCAAGTGGTCGATTAGACTGATTAACCGTATGCAAGGAAGACTGGAAACTCCAAGAACCCCGATGCTTGAAAATCGTACCCAATGCAATCAGCTAAAGAAACCAACAAAGTCATATACAAAAAAAAAAAAAAAAAAAGGCATCCACATGCTGTGCTGAATCGCAGTCGATCAGAAAGAAGTCCCACAAAGAATATTTGGGACACATTAAACACCGGGAGGATGACACAGAAAAGAAAAGGGAGATGCTAAGTAAGGACAAAATCGGCAGTCAGAGAACTCCACAGGAAACCACCAATTAGTCCAAAAAGAAAAAAAATCCAGCCAACACCGGTCTTTGAATCGTTTCAACAAAGTAAACAAGAAAGAAAGGGCAGGGTCGCCAAGACAATCCAACAGAGGAGAGGGTACTAAGCACTCTCTTCTTCTAACGCTGCTTTGATTTTGGCGAAAAAACCAGCGGGCCATGCAGCGAGCTCTTCTTCTGTGGGCACACCACGGACCTTGCAGTGTTTGACCACGTTGACCAAGATGCGGCCGAGCATATCCTGGGTGACGGGAACAGCTCCTTCGAGTTGAGCATCAGGGGACAAGAACGGGTCGCGCTGGCCGAGCATCTCCTCGATGGTTGGCCGCAGGGTCTGGTCGCGCTGCAGGCATCGTTTCAAGGTTCGAATCAAACCAGGAGGCACGGGGGCTCCGCCCACCCCAAAAGCTGGGAAGTCGATCTGTACCCGGGGGTTGGGGATAGCCATGATCCGCTCGTAGTATTTGGCAATCTTGGCAAATGGGGGCTGACCGTACACCATCTTGTACAGGATGCAACCTAAACTCCATACATCGCTAGGCTTGCCAAGTTTCATCATTTTGCCAACACTAGCCGGGAGCCCAAGGGACGCGTTGGAGTCGACCAGGGCTTCTGGCGACATGTAGTTGGGGGTACCGACTTGCTGTTCGCGGTGAACATTGACAGTGTGGTCTTGGATCGCGTTTGCAATTCCAAAATCGATCAGCTTCAGCCGGCCTTGGACCATGAGGAAGTTGGCTGGCTTCAAGTCGGAGTGAACAATGTTGTGGTTGTGGACGGCCTGAACACACTCAAGCATCTCCTTCCAGTAGTAACGAGTGAAGTTGATGTCAAAGACGGCATCCTCGGCATTCAATCGATATGTGAGAATCTTCTCCAGATCCGACTCCCCAATCTCCATAAGGACGCTGAGAGCGTGTTTGTCCGAATTGAGCTCCCAGTCAAACAAGCGTACAACACGATCAACATTCTCCAGCTTCTTCAACAAATCAATCTCACCCTTGTACCCGGTCAAGGTGAGGGGATCGACGTCTTCCAAGTTAACTCGCTTGAGCGCAAAGATCTTATAATTTTCGGCCATCACTCGATACACGCGAGAACTGCCACCACGGCCAATGCAATCCAATCGAGTGAAGTGTTTATGATTGATGGAAACCTGTGTCCTTTTTTTTCGTGACTGGGATGTCGAGGCACCAGCAGTCGCCGTTGCGGTTTCGAGCACAGACATCTTTGGTGGCGGTGGAGCAGGTCTGTGAGGTGTGTTGTTGCTCCGCGTGGCGAGGATCTTGCGAGGGGAGGTTGCAGCAGGGGCTTCGGCCGCATCCTTCTTGTCCGTCTCATAGATGACAGAATATTTTTCTGGCTTATCCAGGAGACTCGGCCCCTGAGGTTTCGTTCGCTTGAATGTTGGTGGCGGTTCATTCTCCTGGTCTCTGGCTGATGGAAGAACTGGCAAGGATGGAACTTTGTAAGCTGGCTGTTCCTTGATGCTTGAGGATTTGGAAGACATTTCCGATGATGCAGGTGTTGACTTTGACCCATATGATTTGGGCGACGAGGACCTGGAGAAGGGACCATCGCCCGAAGTCGAGACAACAGGATGTTGCGACCGGCGGGCTCCGCTCTCATAAGGTGGGCTAGGGTCAGCCCATGAGACTTTGGGGGACGATGCCTTTCCTGAGCTGCGAGGTGGATATTCATCATCTGTTTCCGGTTTCTCTCCGGCGCCATCGTTGGAGAAGTAGGGATGAGGGTCTTCATCGTTGTTCTCTTCACTCTGTCTGCGTAGCACGCCCCTTCGGGCAGGGCCGTTCAAAAACGTGCCAGTGAGTCTGCCAACCCTCTTCACCCGCAGAGAGCTCTGGGGTGCCAAGTCGTCTCCATTGCGGCCACGCACGACTGAGGACGGGTTAACTCGTGACAGATGATCGTCTTCATAATGTGATTTCCGATCGCTGTCGGATCGCTCTCCACTGCCGTGCTCGCCCCCCGAATTGCGTTCCGAGGACCGCTTCAGAGACGGTGATATTGAGGCAGGCGACCGTGTGCCGCTGCGGGATGCATTAACTCGAACACTCCGTGGCCGTGGTGCAGGAGTAATAAAATCATTGGCGCGGTTCTGAGCTTCTGGCTCCGCAGTCTGGCTGTTGGACAGTGGAGAGCCTTCTCGAGAGAATCTTGAGGCGGAAGAGATCGCTCCAATGCGGACGACTCGTGGTACAGGGCTGCCTGTAGATCCATCACGGGGAGAGGTTGTGCGCGGTGACTGGCTTCGTTGCCTCGAAGCTGCCGCAAAACGGTCGTTTGCTTCTTGTCGGGAAAGATGGGGGGATGAACCCAAGCCATCTTCATCCAATAGCGCTTTCACTGACGCGCTGAATTTGGGTTCCGGGACCTCATCATCGGAACTGTCTCCCGCAGAATATCTCCTGGAGATGTGGTGGTCCTCTGTTGATGGGTGCGGGAGTGCTGGTGAGGCCCGCCGGGAACCCGATCGTGAAACCGTGGGTCGGGACATTGGTCGGTAGAGGCTGCTGTTGTGGGCGGATGAGAGGGAATTGGGGGAGGCCATTGCTGTAATATCTACATTGGATTGCCGCAGCAATGTAGATGGCCCCAGACCCGATGGTGTCGACTGTGTGTTATGCTCTCCAGGAGAAAGTGACCATCCTGATGTTCAGTCGCGAGTGCCAGGGCGCGCCATAGGTCACGTGAGTTGTAGTTGCTATGGCGACAACCACAACAAATATGCCGGGCTGCGATGATCACTGCGACTTGCTGAGATGGGGGAAGCTGGAAATGGGCTACCAACAAGGGAGCTTGTAGGTTTGTCAGTTTCCACTCCCAAATAAGTGTCGATTCTAGAGCCTGTGCGGGAAGATTTGCTCTATCGAGCCAAAACATCAACAAATCTTCTCTTTCCGCTGTACAAACTTTCAAAATTAGTGTCGCAACACTCGAGGAAATTAACGACTTCGGTTAGAAGAAAGAAATAGTATTCAGTTTTGCCACTTATCGATACTCAAGAACCTACTTCTCTGGTATGTACAGTAAAAAGGATTAGGAACGAGTTGGTAATAAGGCCAGTGATGGACAGTCAAGGATGGATGAGTGGCTATTTTGTTTACTCAGAAGATCAGTGGTGTTTCTTGCTTTCTCTCAACACAATACATTAATGGATAGTGTTTCATGGAACTTTATGATGATGATGATGTTGTTGTTGTTGTTGTGGCATTGCTAGTACACAAATTCTTCCAGCATGTTCGGAATATATATCTGCAGTGATGCCCAACCCACACGCTACAAAACCTTCACCACCATCGGCTGAAAACACCAGAAAGCATTTATGATGCTGTCACTTTTCCTTATGCAAAGAAAATTATGATCGGTCAGAAAGTCCCAGCTAGCGTGGGCGACACGGAGCATGGACGAACTACTAAGCGAGCTAGCCACCTCCAAAGACCAGGGTTGCTTCCCTGCAAGCCAAGAGGGGCAGACTCGAGAACGGCGCCGGGAGCGACAGCCGATTGGTACGCTACACGTCGAAAACTAGTTAACGAACTACTGTAACTCCTGCAGAAGCCACGACCCATGAACCGGATGGCTGCAATGAGACCAAAGCCACAACATGCAGCCGTACCCTCCGGGCGCATTGAAAAGCGGAGTGGTCCCTTACTTCGCCACCGATTTTACCAGGCAACCTTTGACGATGAAGGAATATTATTGACCAAAATTGAATAGGTTCATGCAGCGACGCATCTCATTTCTCTCGCACATGGTGTGTCGTGATGTGTCGCTATTGCACACCGCAGTGCTCACGATCGCGGCGTTTTATGAAGCCTCGAATGACTCGAGATCTACACCGGCGGCTTGTGAGTGAGACAAACACACATCAGTGCCTGACGGAGGTGTTCGATTTTTCGCGAATTTTGCGAATTTTGCCGTCTACAGTAGGACTGATACTCGGTATGTACATACTTTGTGGAGCTGGCTGCGAAGAAGCTTAAAGGCCGAGAGACATGGAGACCCAGTAAGGTTAGCATCTCCTCTGCTCCGAGTAGCACTACTCCGTATTCCGTTTAACCAAACTCCGCCGAGACGACCGGTGTGTGGAACACACGTTTTGCCCCCGTGTTTAGTGCACAAACAACAGTTTTTAGCGTCCATTGTACAGAGGTAATTATACCAGTTGGGCAGTGATGTACACTGAAGGCATGGAGCTCTGCACGAGTTGGCAAAACCGATCGTCGTCGAAGGGGAATTATTTTCTGCAAGACACCTCACCATCGTTGCGATGCCGACCGTGGCTGTCGTGCATTGCAGGTACCCTTCGCTTCAGGATGGTCTAGATTCCGTCGCATTCCTTGAAACCCAGCTTGGCTGATCTGCCGTCTCCGCTGGCTCATTTCCACCGAGGACGAGTCCAAGTCATGATGTGCCTATTGCCGTTTGAGATTCTACCAGCAACGGAACACGGTTGTACCGTAGAGTAGTATTTATAATTATTGTGCATTTCATTCTCGAACCTGAAGATTACCGATACAGGCAACGGAGACTCAAAAGGCCCGCGTGATAAGATCGCATCTGATGCCAGGACCATGATAAAAGGCGCGCTAGTTAACTATAGGCTATAGGCTGATATGACTGAACCCCATGGAAACGGGGTGCGCCATGTCCATCTTTACCCAAACGCGTAAGGAGCATAAGTGCCTGAACTATTCGACGGCCTCTTCAAGCCTGCGGGTAGGAATTGGCCGGATTTCAAACTGGCCATTCGGGACGGAATATGCCCCTGGATGGGGAAGTTATTACATGTCATTTGGGAGCGCTCGATCCATCTTGCAAGCTTGCTTAACCGACGAAGTTAAACGGCGGTTGATGGGTCTCGCGACGATCGCACACGCGCTAATTTTAGGGTAAGGAGAAGCGCAAAGCCGTGCCTGATGGCCTTGGGATTCTGGCACTTCAAACCACCCGGTGGCCAGCAACCCGTGGTCCGACACCCGGCAAGCGTAAGCCCAGATGCTTCAATACTGTGGAAATGGTCGGTATGGAGCAGTCGGAATCAGGATTTATGGCAATGTGACGTCCAGCGTTGCCTGACTCGACCTTCCCAAAATAGGTCGTTGACCTCTCGAGAAAGGCCGTCTCGGGTCTCAGATGTACCACCCATGCTGGAATCGGCCTGCTGGTGGCTTTTGACTGGCAGATGGGTGCTCCACCGGGCTTGGGAGATTGCCCGTATCCCTGATGCGAGGCTAAAGGGGCAGATGTCTCGAAATGTGGACTGCGGCTTGAGACCGGGCTCAATATTTCGTCGAGCTCTCATGCATGGCGTCCAGTACTTGGCAGTGAAGCGTCCGGCTCAACAACCCGGTGCATTAGGGCAAACAGGGATATATAAGATCGAGCAAGATCCCCGATGCAGTATTCGTTTGCTGCTCACCGACCTTTGTTATTGTTTACTTTTCACACTTCTTCATCAACTTTCGTTAATTCCTTTTGACGGCTTAAAGCCCGCCGGTTTCCTGTTCAAGTCTCTCGCTTTATCTCTCTTTTTTCCCCCATAGTCAAGGCCATTTTATACCCTGAGCAAAGATTTCGGCCTAATACCCTCGCTATAACTTGTTGTTGACTATTCGTTCTTGACTCTGAGCACAATGCGGTCGAACATTATCTTCCTCGCCGGCCTGGTGGCCTCGGCCTTCGCCTTGCCAACAGATGTCTCCTTTGATCGCCGCGGCCTCATTGCTGACCTCGGGCTCGACCTCCGCGGCGTCCTTACCACTGTCCTTGGCGGCGGCGAGGAACGCTCGACATCGCTCTTCTCCGGCCTCAGCCCGCAGGGTGCTGCAGCTCTGGAAGGAGGGGCCTTGGGATGCAATGCTGGCGCTATCCACCCCGACGCTCGACGTGAGTTGAAGTCGTGGCTGTCGGGATCCCAGGCCCATGGGCTCGACAAGTCTCTGAGGGACAACCTTCTGTCCTGGTGCGGCTCTGACTCTCTGACTCTGTCGGCCAATATCCTGGCCGCTCTGTCTGTCTACGTCCCGACGTGTGCAGAAATCGCCGCGCAAGAACAGCTTTACGTTACTATTGATGGTATCTTCTCCTCTACCGACCTTGAGTCTGAACTAGTCATTAGCGTCTCTGCTCAGGCTGCTCTTAATGCTTTCATCTCTGCTTCCCTTGACGTTGATGTCAACATCCTTGCTGGTCTTCGGGTCTGTGCTGCTGGTGGTGTTGTCACCAGTCTCTCTGCCGATATCAAGGCCGCTTTGCTGGCTTGGTTGTCTCGCTCGGACTGTGGTCTTGAGTCCTCACTGCGGATCACTGTGCTCGCCTGGGTGGAGAGCCGGGTGGCTGGTGACTGCGGTCGTATCGGAACTCTTCCTGACGCTGCTCTAAAATGCGTTTCCTGCGGTTCCTCAGTTACTGTCTACGTGGAGGAGAGCGGTGTCTTGGGTGCCAGTGGCCTGGCCTTCCTCGAGGCTTTCCTGGAGGCGGACATTTCTGTCGATATTGATGTCGATGTCCGGACTGCCCTGGAGGGCTGTGCGCGCGGTGGCCTCGCTTCCGACCTGGACCTTGACGTTCGCGTTGCCCTGGCTGTGTGGTTATCTGGCTCCAGCTGCTCACTGGGTTCTGAGTTGAAGTCCGTCGTTTTCTTCTGGCTGTCCTTCGCTGCTTCGGCTGAGGTTTCCGTCGACCTTGTCAGCGGCGTGCTCGTTGATATTACCGGCTTCTTGTCCGAGACTCTCATTTCCACCCTCAGTGTTGGTCTTCGTGGTGCTTTGGGTCTCTGCGCTGCGGGCGAGAGCATTACTGCCCTGTCGCTCGACACTCGCGCTCAGCTGGCTGCCTTCCTTGGTGGTTGCGCTGGTATTGAGATCGATGTCACCGTTGAGATTATCATTATCGAGTGGCTTACCGGCTGCCGCATGCCTGGTGGCCCTTCGGGACATCCTCCTCCTCCGACTTCCACCACTACCACTACTCCCTGTGAGACTACTACTCACAATCACCCACCTCCGCCTCCGACTACCACCACTACCACTACTCCCTGTGAGACTACTACTCACAATCACCCACCTCCGCCCCCGACTACCACCACTACCACCTCTCCCTGTGAGACTACTACTCACAATCACCCACCTCCGCCTCCGACTACCACCACTACCACCTCTCCATGTGAGACTACTACTCACAATCACCCACCTCCGCCTCCGACTACCACCACTACCACCTCTCCATGTGAGACTACTACTCACAATCACCCACCTCCGCCTCCGACTACCACCACTACCACCTCTCCATGTGAGACTACTACTCACAATCACCCACCTCCGCCTCCGACTTCCACCACTACCACCACTCCATGTGAGACCACTACTCATCATCACCCACATCCTCCGCCTCCGGCTACCACCACTCCCTGTGAGACCACCACTCACGCCGGTCCAACTCCCACGGTTACCATTACCGTCACGTCGACCACGACCGTCTGCGAGTGTGATTAGATGGCCGCTGGTTGACAAAAGTTCCCCGGATTTTCACCTCAATGTGATTTCTTTTGTTATTATGAATCTTTTCTTTTACCCGAGAAAACGACCGTCTACCCATGGAAAACGGTGCTGCCGATATTCAATCTGCTTCCCAGCCTTTTCCTGTCTGTAGATATCTCTAATTCTAATGTTATTCTACTGTGGGAGATCGAGCAGGGCCGTATACTCTTATCTCAAGATGGGCCTTTTGGGTGGCAGAAGCCCCTGGCGGTTAGAGTGATAGTTACGGGCCTGCTGGAAGACGACTTGCTGTACGCTCTCTGGAAGATTTGACGCCTCTTTTCTCCCTTCAATGGAGTACATTCCGTTTGAATCTGATTTATCCTGAAACATTCCTTTTCTGAAGGGTTGAATTGACCAAATGGATTCCTGTCATTTTCTAATTCTATCCATCTAACGTGACGCCATAAATACGAGGCTAAAACAAACAAGTGCATTTGAAAACATTGAAATTAAGGCGATAATATTGTTAATAGATTTAAAATTCATAAATCGCTCACCTATACACGTCCCAGGGCTGCTTTTTGTCATGGCGAGTGGTTATACCAAGTCCGTCTTAGAATCGTCACCTACCTTTTCGGCGTTAGAGCGCTGCACAGCAATCAACATGCCCGAAGGTAGCTTTTTGGCGCGTAGTTCAGGCGAAGGATTGGGTCGGCACATGCTTTGGGAATCTCTGGAATCACCGACTTGTTAGCATGAGGATGGCCATGCAAAGGCTAGGTCAGAGCAGAAACAAATGGCCACTAACCAACACGAGGCAAATTTGAATCCTCCACACATTGGAAAACTTAGGTGCTCTCTGAGGTTCGATGATCCACCTCATCGGCCTCCTTCCTCGCCTTATCTTCTTGGTTCGGTGGGTGTGATGGCCGTCTTGCGGAGTCCTCGTCTTTATCAGCCGTCTTGCGTCTTTTATCATCAGGAGCGGATACAGAGCTGTCACGTCGCATTTTTGCGCCAGGGTGATATCGCTCTAATGAACGCCGCCGCTTTCCTTCCTTGAATTGGACGTCCGTTCCTCGCAATCGCGAGGGTGACCGAGAAGGTGATCTTCCATGAGAAGACCGTCTCCTGCGCCGGTCATTCCGAGGGGATGAGGTCACGCTACGGGAGACAGACCGCCGTCTGTTTCGGTCTCTTCTGGGAGTACGTGAGCGCGATGAATCACTGCGGGAATTGGATCTAGCTCGATCACCGTAGTCCGGACTGCGTCTCCTTGGCTCTCTACGAACCCGTCGATCGGGGGACATTGATCTGCTGTAGGATCGGCGACGGCGTTCATGAGGTCTACCCCGACCTCCACGGCCTTGTCCGCGAGGCGGAGGCGATCGAGAGATGGACCGCGAAGGAGAGCGTGAGCGGGCAGGAGAGCGGGAGGGCCGGCGACCTCTGCGAGAATTGGATGGGACATAAGAATCGAAGTCCCGCCGGGGCGGAGCTTCATGGTATCTGTCACGGCTCCGATACCTGGGCGGCGAGGGTCGGGAATTCCGAGGACCTTGTCTGTCGTAGTCTCGGTCACCACGACCACTGCCCCTTCTCCCTCTTCCCCGATCTGTGCGCTCTCTCCTTCTCAAATCCTCCATTTCGCGTTCCCGGGCTAGCTCTTGTTCTTTCTGGCGTCGCGCAGCTTCGGCAGCTTTCTCGGCTTCGATCTGCGTACCTGGCATCAGATTATGACAGCAGATCGGGCATATTGCTTTTCCATTACCTTTTCTTGTATGAGCTCAAGCTTCTTAGCTTCTAGAAGCTCTTTTGGAACTCCCTGCGGATTTGATTGACCACTGAGACACAAACCCCAGAGCTCCTTGCAGAATTTGGATGTATCCTTATCTAGAAACCCAGTGAGCTGGATTTGGAGGGACTTAATGTCGGGCTGTTGCAAGCAAGTGATTTATTGTTAGCAGTCCGCTTGCCGTGAGTGCAGGGGAGAGGACCTACAAATCGCGTTCCCTCGAGGAGGTTGAAGCAGAGCTCGATGACAACATCGTCCTCATTTCCCAGAATCTCGGATATCCGATTGGCAATCCATCTATCGAAGCACAGGGTCAGCAATTGGCGACGCACCAGGAAAAGTCGCGACAAACGATTACTCACTTCTTCATTACCTCGATGTTTACCTTGGTCATGTCTACCTTCTGATTAAACTCAGGAGGGAACTTTGTCCGTTTCAGCAGCTTGGCATCGACAGGGGTCGCCATGATTGATTGCCAGCGTTGCAGGAAATCAGAAACAAGGAAGCGCGCGAATGTGAGTCGTGACCGGAACTGCGTTAGTGGCAGATTTGGAATACCCTACTGTTACTTCTGCCTGAGGCATGACAGATGTCGCTCGTAGCCCTAATCACGGGTCGTATCTTTTGTCTTCCTTATTACCGTCGGTTTATATCTAGTAACCCTCATAACGCCAAAAACAAAAATATATCATCGTATATCGACCATCAAACAACCAGCCGCCCCTGATCAGCAAGAGAAACCGCAGTCAATGTCACGCAGCCCATCCTGCCACCCATCGTCAGTGCTGGCGACGCTGCACTGACCCCCACTGCTATCCCAACTCTCTCCACCATACTTGAAGCTGACTGCCGAGTCATCCGAGTCACCGGACATAACCTCCACAATCCATGGCAATGGACCTTGGATGATCACGGCATCCCCGGAAGCCGCGTCCGTTTTTGGCGTGTAAGAGATCATATCCTGCTTGGCATCGAACAAGGTGAGTTCAAGACCGTAGTCGTCGCCAGGATTCTGATAGTCATCAGTCTCATGGCGCTGATATTGGCGAATGTGCAACCCGCACCAGCCACTGTTGTAGGTCGAGTACGAGAGCGCTTGAGCGTAGGCCGTGCCGGTGCCAAAGAAAGCAGTGACAGGGGATGTGGGATAATTAGTAGTTGCGGATGCAGGAGGATCAGAAGTAGGGTTATCGCAGGTGAAGCCACAGTCGCCTTGCCGGGTCCGGTAAGTACCGTCGAAAGAAGAGTCATACTGGCAGTCATGGGCCCCCGAGTCCGAAATGCACCAGTATTGATCGGAGTACCAGAAGCAAAGACTGTCCGAGTCGTCACCGTTCTCCATAGTAGCGGTCAAGTCATATGCAAGCTTGCTTGAAATGATAAGCCCGCCTTCCACGGGCTGCTTCGTTGCTGTCGTCAACCATGTTTGAGACCCATCAAAGAGGGTAATCTCAAGCTGCCACTCGTCTAGGGGGTTATCATTTCCCTCGTTGGGCTCCCACTGGGTAAAGTGCAGACCACACCAGCCCGGCGTCCAGCCGTCGTCATTGACGCTGGGGCTGACTCCATCGGAGTTAGGGTCAGTGCCACAGACCGGCAGTGTTCCTGCAATCGCGTTATTTTGAGCCTCAGTCGCGTTGAGACAGATCGTGAAGTTAAAGAATCCAGGAGTGTTAATTCCACCAATGAAAGGTAAGCCCCCATCTTGAGTAGTGGACCAGGTGTCATCTATCTGAAGCGAGCTATCGTCGGGCATCGACTGGAGTCCTAGTTAGATATCAAAAGCTTTCGTCTAGTGTCATAGAAAGCTTACATAGCCGTTCTTGCCACCATTTGCGATAAATCCACCGTAGCTGCTCATGATAATATCCCTGCTCATGTTAGCCCCTTATACGTGGCGCAACATTTCTCAAAGTAGGTATCTTACTTGATGGTGATACCACCCCAGCTGGTTCCATCCAAGACATCCGAGGTTCCCCCGGCGAGTTCTTGGAAAGGATAATATGTCTCAGTGCTTATACAATGCTCGGGATTGCTAGATTGACATTGGTCATTCTGGACAGCGTTCAGAAGAAACCAGGTGTTGCCTCTGTTTCAAAATGTATGTCAGCATCAACATCAAACCTTCAACCAAGTAGATATTCACTTACGAAGAATCACAAATTTGCGTCTTTGCTGCCGTATCAGAGCTCATCATCGTGCCGAGGTTGAAACCGTCATACCACTCGTCACCTGGAGGCGTCGTAACCGTATCACCACATGTATAATCACTCCGATCGACGCGCCTAGTGTTTCCAGTTAGTAGCTGAATAAGGATTTGAGTTGATATTGGGGTATGCCATACAATATGAAAGGATTCATCTTTGACGGAGACATGGGCCATGCCGCACTGATAAGCCGACCCCAAAATAGCTGGAGCGCAGCGGTTTGCAACGCCATAGGATTCTCGTCAACTGACAGCAGCGAGTACAAGTTACCTCCCGCCACCATATTGCTTAGCTGGGTTTGGGTGTCGTTGGTTTTGGCATGTAGAATTTCATACAGAAAACCTGACAGAGTGCTCATGGATGCGTTCAAGAACAGAGTATCCAGATCAGTCAGATCATTCTGAAGCTTAGCCCATTCATCGGACTCAGTTCCTCTGTAAGGGAAAAGTGAGTCAAGAATCTTGAGATAACGACCATTCTTGGTAATAACTTACGAGGGCATACTGTCCTTCCCTGCAGTCATACCATAGGCGACCATGCCATTGAAAATATCTTTCCACATCCCTCGATAAGAGTCCTCTGTGAGAAGCATGTTCGTTAAGTATTTGACTATCCAGAAGAAAGCAGCATACTTACCGAGAGTGAACCATTCCGCTTCCTTGAAAACTAGATAGGCCAGATTATAAATGTCAGAAATTGAATTACAGTTCATAAAGGAAAAATACTCACAGACGTTCCATGTAAATGCGGAGCTAATGCCAACCCCAAAGGTCACAGAATCCAAAATAATTTTCAGAATTTCAGTGCTAATCTGGGAAGGAAGTTTGGTGAAAGTGTGAACGAAGTCTGTCATGCTGTTCTGGATAAAATCTTGACTATCCATAATAGCGGAGTGGGTATATCGAACCAGCTATGTAAAGCGTATTAGCGGGGACAGTCTCCATAAGAGTTGAATAACTATACCCCATTCAAAGCCGAGATAGAGTCCAGAAGCAGAAATTCAGCTGGTCTCTTGCCGTTAGTACTGCAAGACACTGTCCCACAGCTGTTGCTATCCCAATTCCAGCACTGGGGATAGTCGTTATAATGGAATGCATTCCACAGCCACGCATCAAACGGCTGATATTCAACACTGGGGTCATTAAGGTCCTTCGTAAAGCCAGCCATTGCCTGGTCCCACGCGTCTGAAGGATGTTAGTCTACTTTATACTCATAAATAAAGACAAATCAAATTAACCACATACCTTGCGCATCTGCGACTGCCCATCTGGTTGCTACCGGAACCCGATCATCAGTCACACCCGATGCATCACATGCAACTGTTAGCCATGCGCCAGATGCGGGAAACAGGACATCCGAGGACCCGCCGATCTGAGCGTTCTTTTGTTCCAGGAAACTTCCAATCACGCTACCTGATGTGATAACAGCTGAAGAGGTGCTGGAACCGGACGGTTGTTTTCCTGTTTTTGTCGGGACTGAGACTTTGATCTGTTTGAAATCCGATGGTCGGTTATCGTCAGTCGATAAGCCAAATGTAGTGGTTGTCGATGAATTAGATGAGTTTGGGGATTCGGTCTTCACATGACCTGGAAGTGCCCCGGTAAGCCCATTTAGGGCAAACAGAAGAAAGCCAGAGGCACGAACTAAATGCATATTAGGCGCAAAGTATGCAGATGAATTGAATCTGGCGAAATTGGTTATGCGAGTATTTCCCTGAAGGATCTAGCGGAGGCTCTATATACTTGCGTGATTCTAGAGAGCTAAAGCGGCCCCATTGAAAAAAAGGAGTATAGAGATTCATCGCGGCTTGTTTGTGTGGCATGAATCCTTCAATTGACCATAATGCTATGAGATTTTTCATTCATGCCTATCGAGCTGGATAGTTCGACACACGTGCGATAATTGGCCCCAGGACCCATGCTACGTAGGTTAATTCCTGACCGCGTGGAGTTCGCTTGGGAATTCAAAGGGTATGCTTGACATAACCCTGATCCTATGTATTTGACTGGATGAAGTAGTAATACGAGGCGTTGGTAGGAACTCCAGGACCAGGCAGAGTTGATGATTTACCAATTTTAGTTTAGTGGCAGGTTAGTGCTGGGGGGTTAGTGGAGACGGGGCGCGTGAGTCATTAGCACTTGTACCTGAATTGCTATTTTTGGCCCCCAGGGATCGGTAAGCATAAGCAGCGCATAGCACGTTCTCATATCGCAATTGTTTATTTGCTCCTGTGGGTTTCGCCCGATATTCAATCAGGTAGAAATGAAGTAGCCGCCCCTTTTTTGCGGGGTCCGAATGCTAATTTCACCTTCCACAAGACTACTACTACCCAGCTTCTCTCTCGTCCTCGTTCCAGAAAAAACAGAACATTCTTACATGTTCGCTCGCGGGGCGCCCTTGCATTCGCCCAACAGTGAATTTAATTGGAGCTGAGTCGGAAACAGCTTGGCGATTCACAGTGGCATCCATACCGAACTTCTGATCACATCTTGCCAGCCAAAAATAGTACCTTAGGCTGTGAAATAAATGCCACAAGCCAAAGCGCCAACTTTCGCTAATAAATTGAGTTATTACCTGAAGATTGATACTTGTTGATGGCAGACTGTGTCAACTGTGTGCTCCTTAGCGACGTCATACTGCATTTACAATGGTGAAAACTTCGTTTCCCGGAGCTTCTCGCAGGACAGTTGCTTTGGCCCTGAACCTTTTGGCTGGGTTGAGCTTAGGAGATGATTTCTCTTTGAGGTCCGCCCTTCCTCCATCAATCCGTGGTCTCACTTCAGTGACCGAAGAACCTTCCGTCAACACCTGGATCATACCTCTGTCCGGTCCCGGAAATGATATCTCCTCCGCATGGGGTGCCAATGTCACGACAAACAGCAATTCGTCCCCGAGGCTGATTCCTCCCACCATAAGCAATGACACACAAAATGGTGTCCGCAGCAGTTTATTCGGATATACTGCTACTTTTATCAACGCAGAGTCGCCGGCGAGTAGTCACAGCAATAAATTTCTTGAAGTGAACCTCGCGGACACCAAAGAACCACAGCTGGTTCTGGGCCAGAATTCTCTGCTCGGTTCCTCAGATTCAACAAAAGAATTGCCCACAGTGCCCTTTGGTCTTAATATTGGATTTGCGGGAGAGTGGAATGGATCACTTTCATTCGGTGGGATTTATGACGCGAACCGGATTTATGGACAAACCGGATGGGAGTCGATTCCCGAAGCCAACGATACTAAGAGCACATTCCTGACCACAGGAAACCTAGCAGTTGACTCCGTCACTGTTCGATCCTGGCAATACAATGGCGACGAAGGTGACTCAGGGTCGTCTGCATGGTACACCTATCCGTACAGCGACTCAACGGCAGACAATATCCAATACACCGTGCCCGGGGTCCTGAATTTTTCCAGCCCATCTGTGGTTCTACCTGGCAAGGAATTATGTGGGAAGAACCTCACCCTAGAGTTCAATACCAACAGCAATATGTGGCAATATACTTCATTTGTCATTCCAATCTTTGCCGACTTGACTGCATCATCAAGCCGTTGCTCGGTGAATGAAGACATTGGGAATACCGACTCGCCTCCCATGGTCCTGGGAATACCATTTTTTCAAGCGACTTACATTTACGTTGACTCCAATACCAAAATATGGTTTTCATCTGTGAATGAATGGAATATGGCTTTCGACCCAAAGCCGTTCAACGCAAACGGTGAACTGACCAATCCAAAAATTCCTGCCAGTGCCACTCAAGCTGCAAAAACACCCACTTCGACTGCAAATGGAGGTGGGAAAGTTTATTCTACGGGTGATTTCGTGGCAATTGTAACGATGGGGCTGAGCTTATTGCTTCTATAAGACAAAGATTGATGTATGAAGGCCGTTCTGGATCTTTACTTATTGTTATGTTCGGGTGATAGAAATTCATGACCAGTACCTAGTGGCATTTCTCAATTATAGGTAATTACTCAGACGACCAGTGTAAAAGATCAGCCTTGATGCCGAGAATGTATCTTAACTTGGATAAAAGACAGACGCCATAGGTAGACAGAGGGAGTCTATCGGACAAAAGGTTATTTAATTGCGACATAGAATGTCCAGTTTCGGCGATATAGCTGCCCATTATGGTTTCCAATCTCTTCTCCCAAGTTTAACTCCGACTCACATTTATCCCCATCGTCTTTAATAACCCTCGCGCGAAGCATCGCGCAATCTTTTGGGCCACTTTCTAACGCGAATTGGATGTCTTCCGCACTTCGCCCGAAGAATCGACCTGCCCAGCTAAGGTAGCCTGTGCTAGATTAGTAGCATATTAATAGAACTGTTTGGTAAAGGAATATACCGTCAATATTTCCAATAATTTCATTTAGATCCATTTGAGCATCTCTGAAACTACCGTCATATTTCTTCGCTCGGCATCGAAGAGTCCCGAACTGATCAACAGTTATATCCTGGCAGGAATGATGGAAAGGCTGAAAAGGCATGTTAGCGATGAAAAGAAATAGGAGTATAAGAGAACAGATGGAAGAGAACCTCCATTTTTGGACCCACTCTTCTAGCAACTATGATGTGATGTTTACACTAGCGTGTTAAATAGCCCAATATGTCTTTTTTTGCCCACCAGCTGCACAGTACCATGGATAACGATGGCTAGAATCGAGGCCTCCTATAATATAAAATACATTCAAAGCACGACGTCACTGACATTATCCATACCAAATCTTAAACCGAAAAAACTTTTTAATTATTCAAGAAAAGTGATTATCATTCTTTGCCAAAGACCTTCCTAATCGCAACACCTAGATTTCTGATGCCTTCGGTCATTGTCTCCGGCGAGCAGGCGGCGAAAGTCATTCGAAAGAAGACTTCACTCATACCATGCTTGCCTTGATCTGGTAGAAACCAGCTTCCCGGCGTTATCAATGTCTTGTTCTCGACTGCGGCATCCCATATCTGCTTTTCGATTTCTTTTGCCGATAGGTGAATTGCATCAGGGTGTTTCCTCCAATTGATAGAAACCCAACCCTGAAAACCAGATCAGCGTCATGATGTAATCCAAACAATAATGTTCAAGCTAATGCTTCTCCAACTCACAAAAAACCCAGCTCTGGGCGGCTCCCATCCGACCAAGTCATCGGGCAAGTACTTTGCGCAAGCTCGGTACATGACATTGCGACGCTTGGTGTATTCATGTTGAAGATACGTCAGCCATTTTGCCAAACCTAGTTGTCCCCAATTATCGTGGAGTAGCTTGAATACTGCAATCTGCGAGAAGCCACTCGGACTCTGGATAGAGACCTCATGAGCCCTTGTCATTCTTTCCACAACCTGGTCCGAGGCGACAACCCACCCCATGCGGACACCAGGGGCAACGATTTTGGAAAATGAATCCATTCGGAACACACGGCCGTCTGTATCCAAGCTCAGATATGTTGGAATGAGTGACTCCTGAAATTCTTCCACGGTTTTTGGGTCGGGAACTGGCTTGATGTCCTCACCATCTACATATGGAGGAAACTGGATGTAGTAATAAGGGTCATCCTCAAGGATATAGAGGTTGTGATGCTGAGCTACCCTGTAGATCTCTCGACGTCTTTGAATAGGGGCTGTGGCCCCCGAGGGGTTCTGACCGGTAGGAATGGTGTATAGCAGAGCAGGCTTCTTTGCCATTCTAACGGTCTCATCCCAGTTAGACAGGACATAGTCGAGATCTTCGGGAAGAATGCCGTGTTGGTCCATTCTTATACCACAAAATCGATACCCTAGTGGAATAGCAGTTTCCAAGAATGCAACAAATGTGTACTCTTCTGTGAGGATATAATCCCCGGCTTTTCCAAACATGCGCAAGGCAATATCCAAAGCAGAGGTATTTCCAGCAGTCAGTATGCACTTCCAATGTTGATATGGTGGGTCGTGGAGAAGCTATTGTTTGCCTCTAGCTGTCAGTCAAAATATAGTAATTCATCGAAAGGTTGAATAAACGTGCCTGAACATGCTCATTGATAAACTGCAGGAGCTGAGCGGAGCCAGTCCCTTGTCCATATTGCAATGCAGTTGCAAGATCATAAGTGCTTAAATTCTCGCGCTTGTCATACTTTCCAATGTGAAGCGTTGTTGTGCCAATTAGCACTTTTTGGTCGTATGCTTCATGTGGCCTAAATTTAGGTACATCCAAATTCATTTCATTAAAAGGAAAATACTCTGGAGACGGTGCCCCAGGTCCGAGGGCTCGAATTCCTGTGTCGAATATCAGAGGCACGATAATAATGGGCTACTGATAGTAGCAATCGAAATACAATATTCACCGGGCTGCTCCATGATTTGATGCATTCGTTGCATGACCGAGTGCTGTGAATCGTGATCAGTATTTAGTATGATCTAATTGAGACAACATCAAAATCATGACGGGTCCCTCACGACTCGAGAATTACACTCAAAGCTGAACATATCTGGTGAAATCACGCTATAGTGAGCTCAAATAGTCTATTATTATACTATTATTTCAGATAAGGATACATACCTTTCCAGTCCTTTGCAATAGCATGCTCTCCAATATGACCATTCGCCCCTCTTTGTCCATCTGCCTGCGGATTTTCCTTGATCTCAGAAAATGATGCCATTTTCAAAGACTGATTGAAGAGTAAATCAGAACACGGAAGGAGGTATTGGGTCTTGAACTTGTTGTCAATTAGAAAGATGGCCCGTATGAGGATTGTCCGACTTAAAGCCCGTTGATGAAACTCGGATATTGGGAGGGTGATTATTTGGCTGTTTTCATTTCGTGGTACGCTATGTATCCTCAACTTAACTAATGGAAATAACCAAATACCCTACATATAATCCAATAGAAGAGCCGGTTGATCTTTGACAGATCAATGGTTTTGTTTCACCCGTAGTCACGCTGCAGGTCAGGCACCACGACTGACTAGACATCGTGCAACGCAGGGCTATTGAGGTTTAAACAAAACTTCTCCACCTAACAGTTCAAGCGATAAGTAAAAACTATCAATAGTACTGTAATTAATTGAGATATCCGACGATTTATTGTCATGATGTGGAGTGTCATGCAACCTGCAAATATATCACTGCAGCTGTAAACTAGTCCGCGTAAGCAGGGTGAGGAACATTCAAGCAGATTAGAGAGATTTGTGCAAATTCAAAACTCTACAGAGAATGTTATTCATTTTGTTTAACAATTATATATGATTCGAGGGATCAGAGATGTGGTATTTAAGGAGCACTCGTGTTCTTATGTTGTGATGGTCGTTGAAGAATTAGAGTTCAAATCGCAGAAAGTTTCTTATCAGCTGAAATTTTCCATTGAACATCTTTCCTCTTCAAAAAATGCCACTGCCTCTTGTTGATCCGGAAATACCAGTGGGTGTCGTGAGGAAAACTCATCCCAGCTACGCCGGATTCCATCATCTTAGCTGGTACGTTGGGAATGCTCGCCAAGCGGCAACCTACTACGTGACCCGCTTTGGCTTTGAAGTTGTTGCCTACCGTGGCCCTGAAACTGGCTCTCCTCTTCTGTCATCATATGTCGTGAAGAATGGTGGTGCTTGTCTGTCTTTCACGGCGCCTTTAGTTGGACCATATAAACCATGCGACAAACCGTCCAGTGAAGAGGACTGGCCGAAGGTCAAAGAAATTCACGACCATTTGACCAAGCATGGTGATGGTGTCAAGGATATCGCGTTCGAGGTTGATGATGTGCGCGGCATTTGGGAACATGCAGTTGCCAATGGAGCTACGTCTGTCCAGCAACCTACGGAAGTTGCCGAAATAAAGAATGGCAAGATTATAAGTGCCACTATCACCACCTTCGGCGATACTACGCACACTTTTATCAATCGAAGCGGGTACCAGGGATCGTTTTTACCAGGCTACAAGAAAGTTACCGAACATGATCCTGTCAATGATATACTACCGAAGACCGCCTATATTGAAATTGATCATTGCGTCGGCAACCAGCCGTGGAATGGACTCGACCAAATTGTGCAATAGTATGTCGCTTTCAATTTTCAGTTCGTCCGAATGCTCCCTCTTCATGATCACAGTGCTTATCTTATTTCATTACATTTCATTACAGCTATGAGAATGCTCTCAACTTCCATCGCTACTGGAGCGTGGATGACAAGGATATGTGCTCTGATTACTCTGCCATGCGATCCGTAGTTGTTGCCTCTCCCGATAATGTGGTCAAGATGCCGTTAAATGAACCTGCAGAAGGACTCAAGAAGTCGCAAATTGAGGAGTACGTCCAAACCCGCTTTTGATTATTAGGCCGCTGGTTACTGAGTATCTACATTATTTAGGTTTGTCGACTACTACAACGGCGCTGGCTGCCAACACATTGCTTTCCGCACCCACGACATCATCTCGGCAGTGAAAACTCTCAGCAGTCGCGGGGTCAGCTTCCTCTCTGTTCCACCAAGCTATTATACAGCGATTAAAGAGAGATTAGCCGCCAAAGGTGTGACCATAGCCCAAGACATCAATTTGCTACAGAAGTACAATATTCTCGTTGACTTTGACGAGGGTGGTCATCTTCTCCAGATCTTTGCCAAACATGTACTTGACCGTCCCACAGTTTTTACTGAAATCATTCAACGGGAAAATTTCGATGGTTTCGGGGCTGGTAACTTCAAAAGCCTCTTTGAGGCGTTCGAAAGAGAGCAAGAGCTAAGAGGCAACCTGTGATGATGAGTCTGGAGGACTGTGCTGGACTAAATCTCAAACCAATCTCGGGCTGATGCGTGTTTTAAATGATGAATGCTTATTGGATAAACTACCATAAACTAGTCAGATGTAGGCTATTGCGGCAATGCGGTGTGTTGATGTTATACCCCGTGCAATAGCGCATGAAGAAGCGGGTGAATGTTAAAAACGATCGTGCTTATTTGTACCAACATTGAGATCGAACTATTATATTTGTCCACATATTTTAACATCGCTAATGCCCTACAACCACATCATTGTTGTTAAAAGCCGGAACTTCTGATGTCTCAGCCACTTCAGAACAGTTTTCGATGAAATTCACTCTCCCAAATCGGCCTAAAGTTTGGAAGGAAATCTGGGTACAGGTAAAGGTGTTGACACCAAGTAGTCAAGGTCCCTAGTGTTGAGCAAACCCGGGTGCGCCTGAGATGTGTGTGTAATTCCAACCAACCTCATTGCACTCTCCAGTTCGGCTTGGAACACTAGATCTAGGATCAGTAAACAAGCCAGATAAATTATCCTTCAGATTCCTTGACTCACAATCAATTAGGTGGGACACCCCCTCCTCACCATAGCTGAGAGAATACAGGAACGGGCGTCCGATGAGCACGCCGCTAGCTCCCAGGCATAAAGCCTTCAAAATATCGGTTCCTCGAGTAATCCCACCGTCAATATAAACTTCAGTTTGCATGAAAATGTTGGGATTATAATGCCGTAGTTCCAAAAGAGTCAGCAAGGCCGGAGGGGAAGTATCCAAGTTTCGTCCCCCATGATTGCTAACATTCATAATCAACATCCCATTGAGGCAGAACCGCAAATTGAATATAGCTTACCTGAGAATAATCCCATGGACACCATGTTGCGCAGCCAGCTCTGCATCTTCCACACATTGAATACCTTTGATCATTAATCTTCCCTTCCATATGCGCTTAAGCCACGCGAGATCACTCCAGTCGAGGGAGTTGTCGATGAATTCGCCCGTTGTGCGTGTGAGCCCACCTCCGATCTTGTCATTTCTTGACACGGTGCCTGTCATGGGCATGGAGATGGCCTGCTCTGTTTTGACTCTTTCGTCTGCTTCTCGCTTGCCGGCTGATGGGGAGTCGATTGTCAGTATGACCGTCCGTATTCCTGCCACCCAGACCCGCTGAAGAAGAGTCTCAGTTAAAACCCTCTCTTTGTGAACATAAAGCTGGAATGCGAAGTTTGTATTGGCTGGAACAGAAGCCACAATATCTTCCACTGGGTATGATGCAGTCGTTGCTATCTGTCTCTGCGAGTCAGCGTAGGTTCATCACAATATTTTAGTCCACCTACACATTGAATGATGCCCTTCTTCGCAGCAGCTCTAGCTATTCCCTTCTCTCCTTCCTCATTGGCCAACTTTGCCATTGCAGCTGGCGCGACCATAATGGGCAAAGCTGATTCCATGCCTTGCATTTCACACCGCGTGTCCACATTCTGGACATTCCGTAGCAGCCGTGGCCGAAACCAAACACGGTTCCAAAAAGATTTGTTTGCCTCCAGTGAAACGAGATCCGTGGCTGCCGATGAATAAAAAGCCCACGCCTTTTTGGAAAACGTGTCCTTAGCGACTTGTTCAAAGTCATGAGTATTGATGATAGAAGATAGAGGGGGCCTTGGAGTTGTTTTAATGTTTGAAGAAGGTACAAGGCTGCCTTTATCTAAACGATCTTTCCATCCGGCATCGACGGTGTTAATATCGAGTCGACCAATGAGCTTCGAGGGAGAGAGAGTTTTCTCAACAAGCCCAGTGTTATGCACCTCAAGATAGGATTTCGTTGCATCGTGGCCTGCGTATTGAAAGATTGCTGATTCGCGATTAAATTAGGAGAGTTAGATGCACGATGGAAGTCCATGTGAAGCGACCGTCTGGTTCGATGATCCTCGCTGCAAAAGTAGAGAGAGTAGCGACTCACCAGCAGCCCCGCCTGGGTGAATACCCGCGAATTCGCTGAAATCCCAGACATTGTTCTCGACAACAAGCCAGCAGTGGCCTGATGTGCAATGCTTTGACACTTCTTTTGTCGAGATGAGCTTTACGTTAGACATGACCAGATGAGATATGCACAAAGCGCGAAGATGAGGACGTGCTGGGGAGAAATGAAAGAATAGCTGGAAAGTACATAGGAGCCATGGGCACTCTCATCTTGGATTAGTAACTATTTATTGGACCCATTTCTTCACACTTTTGTCAAATGATCGAATGGGTGGGCGCAAAATTCCACTCAAACCTAAAAGGTACGGAAAGAACCCGCAGCCGAGGTAGTGTTGCTAAAGCGATTGCTTGTTAATAATTGAATTTTTCTGAACCACACTAACTAATTTCGTTAGATTATTAACTCATTCAAACGTTCTGTAAAAGGTATCTCAACAGTTGTGAAAGGATCTACGTGGCACAGTGATCGGGTCACTCGAGAGATATACCTGCCCTAGATCGAAAAGAAACTATTGGCGAAAATCATTTATAGACCGCATCAGTCTTAATGTGATCGGTGGGAATTTTGAATCAATAATCATTTTACGTGTCGCATAATTTTTTTTCTCGGAAGGAGCAACTTGCTTTGATGTGATAGCAATGCATAATTAATGATCCCGTGCAGCACTATGCAGTCCCTCAGATGCAAGATCGAGTACTATATATCGTCGAACTAGTTCGGTTGAACTGCACCGTACATTATTCCATAGTGTCTTACCCCTGGCATTTGTGTCTTTTTCAATATTCAATATTCAATGAGCAAAGACTAGAGTTAAATGTAATCTACCATATTCCTTGTATTCGTCACACAGCGCAAAACCAATATTAAGGATGCTAAGCGAAAAGATAGGGAGATGGAAGAAGATGCATTCAATTCGCCTTACCGGTCACGAGCACAACCAAAGATCATATTGCTTATTTTATGTCCATCTTCCTTTGCCTACTGCTCCGTGTCTCTTATACAAATTTCATGGTCTGGACGCACTCGCGAATCGAGATGACCGACCAACAGAACATACCAGCAAGAGCACCTTAAAATTAGCAGTTGCAGAATGTCGAAGGGAAGATTTTACTTGGAGCAGGACTTCAACGCATTAGGTCCAGAGGCCGACAATGATCTACACTATACAGTACCTAGTGAGCACCAACCACTGCTAGAAAATGATCCCCCTACCCTACCAGAGGGCCTGGGTGACAACGAAAACGATGAGCGGCCTGCGCCCAAAAACGCCGCGCTTATTATTTTCTGTGTTGCCTGCATGACTTTTATTGGAAGCTTCTTGGGCGGGCTCATCACAGTCGATATTCCACAGATCGCGTCAGAGTTGAAGTTGGACCCTGGGGTAGAACTATGGTTAGTTTCAAACAACGGTAATACTTAAGAAGACCAGAGATATGGAATACTAATTCTCTTTCTTATCAGGCCAGTTTCCATGCAATCACTTTCCACTGGCTGCACCCTCTTGTTGGCAGGGTCCATCTCGGATGCAGTGGGGAGTAGAAAGATATTTCTGCTAGGATGTTTCTTGCAGTGTATCTTTACTGCCGCCTGTGGTCTTTCACAAAATGGCACCCAGCTTATTGCCTTTCGTATCATGTCCGGTGTCGCTATCTCACTATGCTTGCCCTCCGCGATGAGCATCAATGTCGAAAATTTTCCAGCTGGGAGGCTTCGAAATATGGCTTTTGCTTTTATGGGTGGCGGCCAACCCATAGGTTTCGGAACAGGTGTCATTGTTGGCGGCGTTTTTGCAGATACTATTGGATGGCGATGGGGCTTCTACTGCGCTGCCATTGCCAGCGCGCTCGGTTTCTTGTTATCGCTCTGGCAACTTCCACTTCAGCCCAAGGATCTAGAGAAAATTGCATGGGAGCACTTGGTAGTTTGCATCGACTGGGTTGGAACCTTTGCCGCCAGTGCCTCAATGGCATTCTTGCTGTACGCGTTAGCGTGAGTGGACATTTTGAAACTTTAGCGCCTGGGCAGGATTACAAAAAGCTAACGGAAACAAGTGTCATTACAAACGATGTACAGAAAATTCGTGATCCAGATGTTTTGGGGCCCTTGATTCTCGCTGGCGGTCTTCTCGTTGGATTTGTTGTCTGGCAACGCCGCCAGGAAAAGCTTGATAGGCCGACAGTAATCCAGAATTCACTCTGGAGAAACACGGCATTTACTGCTGTTTGCATGAATGTGTTCCTAATATGGGGCTCGTTTAACGCTACCGAGCAAGTCATCAACTTTGTGTTTCAACGTGTGCAAGGATTGTCCGTACTTGCAACCTCCTGGCAGTTCCTGCCAATCCCGATCTCCGGCACACTGAGTAGCCTCATTACTGGGCTTATCCTGCATCGGGTTCGGGCAGACATTATTATAAGCACAACAACAATCATCTCAAGCTTCTCGCCAATAATGATGGCGTTGAGTGATCCAGCTTGGTCGTATTGGAGGTGCTCTTTTCCTGCCATTTTTCTCAACTGCATTGCGGCCGATTCTTTCTTCACCATCTCAAACATGGTTATTGCCGGTGTCTTCCCTAGTGAAACACAAGGATTGGCTGCAGGAGTATTCAACACCATCTCCCAGATTGGAAAAGCAGTCGGGATGGCTTTGACTGCGACGATTGCAAATGCTGTCACGGAGCATGGATTAGAAGAACCTGATACCAGGAATTCCGAAGAACGATATCGAATCGCTTTAATGAGTGGATATCGGGCAGCATTCTACTTTTTGTTCGCAATGAATGTAATGAGTCTGGTGGTCAGTTTTGTTGGGTTGCGAAAAATTGGTTATGTTGGAAGAGCGGTTGAAACCCGAAACTGAATTTTTGATAAGTATTTTATAGCACCGATAAGTAGAACTGACAGAAAGAGTCTCCTATTCAGTGATTTAAAACACATGAAATTCGTCAGCCTGATAGCTGGGGAACATTCTGCTTAAAATCATCCTTAATAGACGCAGCAAATTGATCGTCAGTCAAGATCTGACAGGCCACCACAGCCATCCCCGCGGCGCAGTCTACACATCTCTGGTAAGCCTCGGGATTCCCGGCAGACGCAGTAAACTCAGGGGTATGATTTGGTGCTGTCCCGGGTACAGAGAAAACTCCATGAAAGGATGGGACAGCGTAGGAGACATTTCCTGTCGCGAGTTTAGAATCTTTGCTCGTTATAATGAGTCTTGGGTGGAACACATACCCATATCTGTAGAAGCCCCGGTGGACGACGGTATATTTCCGCCTCCCACCCAGACATTCCGACCGACCGACTTCATGGCGGCCGCATATTTTTCGCAGATAGGCACGTTTGATTTCACATCGAAGTAGTTGTGCATGCTGTGAATTAGAAAGCTAGTGTCAGTCCGAAACATGGAATATCCATTTCACGTCATCACCACTTACTCTTCATATTCCACGTTGCAGCCCGTAGAAGTGGCAGCTGCTTCAAAACATGCTTTCACCCTCTCAAAAAGTGTTTGCAGACTTTCGGCGTCCAGAGAGCGAATATAATATTCCATAACAGCTCTCGGCGGAATTACATTGGCCCTATCTCCGCCGTGGGTAATTATGCCATGTAGCCGTTGGGTAGGTAGGATTTGCTGCCGAAGAACTGAGAGATTGACATAGGCGCTAACGGCAGCATCCAACGCATTCACGCCTTCCCAAGGGGCCATTGCCGCGTGGGAAGGTTTGCCGGTAAAAGTAATTCGGAATCCTCGGGTCGCTAGAAAACCGCCAGGTGGAATGGCTGCAACACCGTCAAAAGGAAGCTCTTTAGTGGTTGGCATTGGGTGGACCATCAAGGCGGCGTCAACAGATTTGTAGGCACCAGCATCGAGAAGCTTGACTTTTCCGCCACCTCCTTCTTCAGCAGGTGTTCCAAGAAGGCGAAGTGTATAAGGCGTGCTATCGGGAAAGCAGATTCTCATAGCTTCGCATGTCGCAATAAAAGCAGCAATGGAGCTTGTAGCGATCAGATTGTGGCCGCAGGCATGGCCCATGTTAGGAAGAGCGTCATATTCGGCACAAAAGACCACAGTGCGACCGCCACTGCCTTGGGAATACTCAATTTCAAAGGCAGTATCGATGCCGTAGCTTTTGCGGCGGACTATGTAGCCATCTGTCGAAAGCGATGTAAAGAGAGTACAGATGTTGTCATGCGCATGGAATTCTTCGTACGCGAGCTCTGGGTCATCAAAGATCTGAAGTTGAAATGTATGCGTGGTGAGAAATCATCTCTCTTAGTGGGATTCTGGCCTACCTTCTTATTGATATCATTGAGCTGCACATCGTGTTTCCGCAGAGCTGCCTGTACAGCTTCCACAACCTCTTGATGCTTCTGGGTGTCCATTTCTGTCATCGAGGTGGTTGTTGTCCTTATCGTACTTATCGCAGTTCTTTGATGCACACGGGCGACTTGGCCATTTAAATACACGACTCCGAAGCTGCGGTGGCACCAGGACCCCGCAGTCTAGCTGCTACCATGGATAAATGACCGACGAATAAATAGGTCAAATAAGCGACGGACAAGTTCTGCTCCACATGAAAATTATGAACAAATGAGACTTTCCACCCGCCTCGGCTCTAAACTCAGCCTGCATTTTCTAATAATATGCAACTGTGCCTTCATCGTAGATAGCAAGAATAAGGTTGTTGCGTTAACCTTCAGCGCTCTCATTGGTGGGGTGACAAAATTCAAGCTTTCTCTTCCTAGCGAGGATTGAACCCGCCAATGCCGTACAATTTGTTAACTGCTAGGCCAATTACCCTGTTCCTCATTAACAGTCCATATAGCCACTCCAATATGACTTTTGCAGTGATCGAAATGTTTCTCCGGCGAGACCAGTACGGTCGGCGCATCGGCTGATCGGATGCAGGCACTTCATCTATGTCCCGACTATACCCGTCCAGGAATCCTCCATAGAGTATTGGGTTCATCTTTGGTTGTTATTCTTACTCGTGGTAACTTGACCATCGGTTGCAGTCCAGGGGTCACCGGCTCCGCAGATTAGCGGATGGTATTCAAGACGAACTCGTTATCCCTGAACACGGTCGGAGTACATCCAATCATAATCTGAACCTATCTTGATATTTTAGCAAAGACAAAATAGTTGTGGCAGTGGCGGATCCGATGCTCCATGTTTCTTCAATTATTCGGTCTTTAAAAGTCCGGCGTCTTTCTATGTCCAGTCCTTCTGAGGACTGGTTTATGACATCTCTCTAGCCTAGTTGCCTCCATTTCAAGAGCTTCTAGTAAGGACTCAATCTCATAGTCAGGTACATGGCCACTGCGCTACCTCAAGGAGAGGTTTGTGAAGGTGTCAGAAAAGGTAGCTCCTAACGAACAGCGGAATATTTTCTCCAAATCATGTAATTAGACATGGACGAAGCGTTCATGAGACATAGGTTTCTGTACCTAAGAAATTGAGATTGACTATATGTTACCTGCTAACTATAACTGACTCATGTCATCGCCCATCCTCACAATCCCCGGACATATTCCTAAGAAGTGCAAGTGCCACTCGTGCCAGTGGAACTCTGCCCCATGTTGCAATCAAGTCCCGAGCAGCATTGGGCAGTGTACCCGCAGAGTCCGCCGGATCCCACGCATCTTTTCTCGAGGTTCTAGAGTCATTTAGCAAGTGGAGAGTCTATTCATATAGAGTTGGGATTATATACCTCGAAATCACCCTCGGCAGTGGGAGCGGCTAAAGCAGTGGCGCTAAGGAAAGCGAGGAGAACAGCGTAGATCTTCATAGCGGCAATAAGGTATGATATTTGGATGTTAAGTGTAATGATAGGAATAGTTGAAGTAATGGTCACAACAGCGGGTAATTCTGCCCTTTTATATTCGTTTTGTATCTCGTGGGGTCCATAGTTATCTGTTTGGAACTAAGCAAAAATTTAATTGGGACCAATCCTTTGTGTTGTGAATCCTTCATCCTTCGTGCAAGGATTAAAATTTTCCATGTTAAAAAAATACAGATTGGAGGACATAGGTAGTAAGTACATTTTCGGACAAAGTGTGGCTAGGGAAGCCCTTACAAACGCATTGCGATGTCCATTCTAAAATAGCGTTTGTAGCCGTTAGTTTCCTACCTCCTTCATAAAGAAAATTCTTCTTTTGCCACCAAGCTGATATGTCACTGGCTAGTTATGAGCTCGACTATGATTAGTTACAAGATGAGCTAGTCAAGTGATCCCCTTTCTTCTTCCGCCCCCATCCCCCGCTCTGGTCTGCGGGCCGCCTGCCCCAGACGCCTCTTTGTTGGTTGGGGCGCAAAGTTGTTGAACCTTTGTTGGTTCCGACTTTAACTCCTAACGGTTATTGAGCTCTTTACGCACGAAGTGCTATAGTTAAGATGTTGACCAACTTTTAGACGACCATATTTAGATCGGCGCATGTTATATTCGTTTGTTTAGTGTTCACTCAAGTTATGCAGTCTACTCATTCCACAAATGCTAAAAGTGTTCACTTTATGTCCATTTTCCTCTATCTGGCAAGCTCGTGCTCTGTCGGTATGGCCCGGATCTTCACGTCCGCAATATGTACACCAGTCATGATCTCTACTCTGTTGTGTGAGGTTTCGTTGCCCGGTGGCGATAGGTTGCGCCCAGCCTCCCCATCCAATGGCGAAATACCACATCGATAAGCGTGTCCGCTTGACTACCTTGGCAGCATATCTAATCTTCGATTCTGCAAAACTTTCAGGATAATCAAAGATTACCCCAGGTTTCGGCATCCTGCGAGGCGACACGATGCAGACGAACGTATCGCTACTATTATCTAGGAGGTGTCTTGGGGTCGCAAAGCCTGCTGAGATATGAAGTGCTGTTTTAGCAGGCACCATGGCCCCATGGCCCAAAAGGGGCGAATCCTTGAGAAAATCAATTTTCCAAATGTCAAGATGAAGACTTTGCGACCTGAGTCATGAGCTTATACGGACATTGAGACGAGGTCCTGAGCCAAGGTCTCCAATTGCAGACCTGAATTAGCTGCCTCCAAGAAGAGCTCAAAAACAGTCGGTCATGGACGAACTGACTGGAAAGCGAGCCTATACACATAAGGTCGGGTTTTACTGGGAACCAATGGATGTTACAGAATCACCATCAGGAAAGGTGTCTTGTCAGATATGGGATGGAATAACAGGGGAAAACACAGTAAGGATGGAGTTGGGTACGAGAACTATCGAGTTATGGTCATGAGGACATGAATTGCTCCCTCATCCAGATGTCGTCTGTTCATTGCACTCTTTTTCCTCCTTCTTCGGCCTGCTTCCTCCTAGTGACAAGACAAATAGGTGACACGTAGATCAACTACGGTATGCGTTGGTAAAACACTCAATCAATTAATGCAGAGAGATGTGAAGAGTTACCGTTCACTCGGTAGAGGGTTTATATTAATATTCCTATTGATAGATAGATTCGATTCTCCTAAAGACGAGCTTCCATTGGTGTCCCATTTTTTATGGCTTGAGAGCCAATGCTCCAATGTTTATCAACCTGTTTATCAAGTTTTCAGCTCATGAATGAGTATCAGGCAGATAGAGAAAAAATACTCACATCGGCGATATGATCATACCCCAACAGCTCTGGAGCGGTCCCAGGGTCCCGCCAAACCATCGCCTCGCCCTGAGGCGTGGGAAATATCTGCATTTCCCTGTCACGCGCCTCTTGTTCAGGGCCATCTGGCATATGTTCCAAATATCTCTGTCTGTGTGATCTTTTGATGACCATGTGGGTTCGGTCCTTTCGGCATCTCTGAAAAACCTCAAGAGCATGACACTTGGCTTCCAGAAACCCCCTAGATGATTTACTGGTTTGGGGATCATTTGGAAGACGGGAAAGACATTCTCCAAGAACCGCTCCATCTTCGAATGCCATCCCCGCTCTAAAATACAGCGCATTAGTAAGTTGGTATAAAGGATTATCTTGGCTATGAGATGGATTCATTGCTCACCCTGCTGCTAGATAGGGCAAGGTTGCGTGGACCGCATCTCCAAGCATCACCCATGACCCTGACGGGTGTGACCATTCGTAATCACCGAATCTGATGCAAAGCCTCCATTTGTGGACTGATGTGCAAAGATTCAACAGCTTTTCGATACTATAACAGTCATTATCAATGGCCGTTCTGCTCAAATAATTATATTGCTAACCGAGGATCCCATCCCTTGAATATGGAACGCATCTCCTCAACATTCCCTTGCACAGTTGTTGCCAAGGAGTCTTCCGGGATATCATCAGGCACCAGAAGAACCATATTGAACAATTCTTTGTTAAGTACATAGTTAACTATACACCATAGTCAGCCAAGGAATGTTTCTGTTATTATTTCCATAAAACTAACCGATATGCTTGTCAGGGCCGAGCCAGTAGTTGATTTGAGGATCGGCTATGAGTGGGCGCAACTCAGGATCTTTCATCATGTCTGGAACAGAAAGCAGAAGTCGATATGCCAAATCCCCTGTCTTCACTGGCGGATCCGGACGTCCCAGGAAGCGTTCCGTCAGGTTCCCAAATACACCATCGGCACCGATTAGAAAATCACCTGTCCACTTCCTGCCGTCCACAGTGCGAACAGTGGTTGTCGCTCCATCCGGACTAATAAGTACGTCCACAGCCTTAGCATTGCAGGTTATCATGCCGCCAAGCTCTTCAACTCGGCGAATCAAAGTCTTCTGCAACTTAGGCCGATGAAAACAGCGATACCACGTTCCTGGATAGTGGCTCTGTGACTCTTCAAAATCCATAGAAGATATGTGATTCCCCCTCCAACCATTAAAGTGACACCATCGGGGCTTTATCCAGTGCGCTGAGAGTTTCTCCTCTAGTCCCCAGTGTTGCAGTACTCGTGAGCTGTTAGGAAGAACTTGAATCCCAGCTCCTACTTCTCGAATCTCGGAGGCCGCTTCCAAAACGTGCACATTGTGACCGGCGAGAAGACAGCTTATGGCGGCGCCCAACCCGGCAAGCCCTGCACCAGCAACCAGGATCTAGGACGATATTAACAACTGCCATGAATGTTTTAACATGAAAACAAGCTGAACTAACATTCAGAGTGCAAGATTCTGTCCGCACTTGCTGTGGTTTGATATGGATCCTTGGAGCCATTCTTACGGCCTGCTACAGTCAGTTCAGGGGTATATCTTTCACGAGTGCAAAATTAGTCTCAGGTAAAGTTAAGAATACGGTGGCTCTTATACTTGAGCTTGCAAAATGTACATAGCGTTGTTTACTAGTTGATATTTTCATAGACTATTGGATGATTATGTGTAACTGTTCGGCTTTCAGCTCCCATTTGGCCAGCATTGTTTCTTCATGATTTCTTTCTAGTTCCAGTGATTTCATATTATTAAATAAATATTGTATTGTTTTTGAAAGGTCCTACATGACTTATATACTGAGCTGAACACTTCTGTGGAACCGTGATGAACGTGCGTAATGCATAGTCACACAGACTATAAATGCAATGCACATTAATTCTCGGACTATGGAAGCTGCTCTATGGTCTGAGCTTCCGGCAATAGCCCGTTTCCTACACCCCCTACTCGAACCAAATATTCTCTTTTTACGAATGAACACGATCTTGATTTTCATGCCAGGGATATGAGAGTTGTTCGATCTTCGCAGGTGCGCTTAACATCATAACATCAATTGCTATTATGTTTATCTGGGAGGGAAAACACAGCACATCCTCGCAAAGATCTAGATACTAGCACGAGCCTAATAGCCAGATTTGGAGATTAAACAATGGTCTCCAGGTCCCCCAACACTTCACGAACATTTTCTCGCGCTCGTCTCAAGTCCTCATCCACTTGGCCATTAACATGGCGCGCCTTCATTTCATAATGCAATTCAACCAGCTCTTTTACACGGTGGAGATCTTTCTCCTTTTTCGAGAGTTGCCCAGCCCCTAGTGAAGCACTTTCTATCCCGGCCTTTCCGGCTCCAGCACTTTCAGCGCTAGGTATAGTTGTGTGCACATTCACCAGAGTGAGAGCTTCCTTATCGCCCTGGGAAGTATTAGCTTTCTTGATATACAGGCAACGCATCGGAGGTCAGTATGCGATAGGGCAGTGAAGAAGAGAATCAGGGCCTATAAGAAAAGGAAGCGACAGGCAAATTGAGACCAAGCTAGTAGAAGACGTACACAAACTCGTAATGATGTGATATCGGACAGAATTTCTGCGACTTGCATTTTGCACAGCGGCGAAAGGCGGTTGTTTTGGATGACGTTGAGTCTCGATGGCTGCGACCGCGGGCAAGAATGTCTTGGCGCCGAACCGACACCTCAAACGCCCCCTCCCCCACCTTTGGAATCGTCATCCTTTGGCACGGAAGATCTTTGACAATCGATCTGACTGGCTCATCGACAACAGCGAGTAGGTCGATATTACTCGCTGCTAGCTTGCGGATTTCCACGGAGGTACGAAATGGTACATAATGCTGTGGGCTATGCTAGCGGCGATAGGACCGACCTGTATACGCCGAAGTCCCATTAGAGGACATTCAAGCCATGGATAGGAATTAGCAACTGCTCTCAAAAACTTACCCAGTGGACCCAATGGTACCCAGGAAATTGAGAGCCAACATAAACACCGAAGCATCTCGAAGGGTTCAGCGCTATAGTATCCTCGCAATGGCGAGGTAAGATCAGTTTATGGAGGCAAAGAGGACATTCCCTCATCCACCCAAAAAAAAATAAAAGAAAAAACCGGAGAGGAATAAACTTACAGGCACCGCCATACCCTGGTCTTGTGAATGCCGAAGCCCAACTTATAGTGCCTAAAGCAAGCCCAACCAACCAAGGAGATAGCGTAGTTCCATGGAGTTGCCTAGGGTCTAGACCAATCCCAAAGGCCAGAAATATGAGCGTCAAGCAGCAAATAAACTCTAGGACGAGGGCCTGCTGCGCCGACACGAGCGCAGTATCCACAGCGCAACCGCCTACTACGAAGTTTCGCGACCCGTACGCTGTGCGGAGCATGAGGCCAGCTAGGGTGCCGCCGAGAATCTGCCCGGCAATATATAGGATCATGCGTGGGAACGAGATCAATTGCGCGGCGAAGGTGGCTAGGGTGATAGTAGGGTTGAGATGTGCCCCACTGACGGAGGCGAAAGTGAAGATAAAGAGGGTGAGGAAGAGGAAATTGCTAACGCCACCGACTAAAGGACCAAAGAAGGCAGCCGTTGCGTATACACCGGCCGCGGTAGTCGGTGTGGATGAGGTCGTTGTGGGTGACGGCCGCGGGTGCGCTGATATCCACGAAGTCATAAAGTCTAGCATCATTGTGCCTTAATGTGCAGTTGTCAGTGCGCTATGTATAGATAGGCTTGGAGTCACTATTTCTGCTTACCTACACACTCTATAGCACCAAATTTCCAGAGGTCGATATCACTAAATGCCTTCAGATCAAACACCTGCGGCAAGCTTATCAAAGGCGCCGCATCCGGCATGCGCTTTAGCAGCTCGGCATTGCTCGCATCGTTAGGGTCTAGCACTAGACCCTGATGGCCGCCGATACGGCCAGCGAAGGGCTGGATGGTCGGCTTAAGGTTCAGACGCTCAATATTGGCGTCTATATTCATGCCGCAAGAGCCATTCTGGTCTTCGGCGAACGGGGTCGGCATTCTGGATTGGTTGTGGTATTATAGGAACGTTCCATGAAAATATAACACTGTATAATGATTCCACATGAGGCAAAAAGGAGAAAGGTCGTAAATAAGTGCGAAATATGCAAAATTAAAGTCTTCTTGTAGTTTGTTCTGTGGGTATCGGAACCCGAGTCTTCGACGTAACGATGCTGACAGTACCCTGAATAAGCTGTGCAGTCGCCACCGCTGGATATACGGGTATCAGACAATAAGGCATGTAATTAATTTTCTAAGATAGTATAAATAAAGACAGGGACATTTATTACTATTCCTGATAAATCTAGTAAGTCTTGGTAATATGGTTCGAGAAACAATCAAAGAATGTCGGTGGTACATTAGAGCTGTTCCTAGCTGATGACATCTGCGGGTCCCGCGGGCCCCGTTCACGGATATCCGCCTGGACGCGTTAACTATTACTTCTCCACGTCTGAACTATTGATCCTATACTTCTCAGCTAACCCCTGCTTCCCTGCTGCAACCCTCAGAGGTGCCAGGCATTGAGTTCGCGACACTATGGGAGGTGTTTTCTCCAGCATAAAACATGTTTATGTCGACCTGAGCGCCGTTATCTCTGAAATCAGCCAAACAAAACAATCTTTTGACGCGCTGCTTTCTCGGGTCTCGTCTTCAACACTTCCTGTGCCAGATCCATCCAAATCCTTTTGGCAAGAAAACCCGCCGTTTCCGAATTTAGTTGATGTCCAATCTCCGAATCTGCCAGAGACAGCCGATATCGTCATCATCGGCTCCGGTATCTCAGGCGCCAGTGTGGCATATGCACTCTTCAAGCATTCGGACAAAAATGCGAACTCCGCATCTCCTCCAAAAGTTGTGGTTTTAGAAGCCCGAACTCTTTGCAGCGGTGCGACTGGAAGAAATGGGGGGCATATCAAGTGTTCGCCATATTTGGAATATGCGGGGCTCAAGGCGAGATTTGGGGTGAAAAAAGCAAAGAAATTACTGATGTTTCAGAGACGACATCTAGCCGTTATACTCAATCTGGTACAGAAGAGTGAAAAACTGAAAAATAGTGAGGCCAGAGAAGTTCAGACAGTGGATACTTTTACCGATGAAAAGATGTGGAACGATGCTAAGAGAATGGTGCAAGAGTTGAGACACGATGCTCCTGACATGGCGGAGGATATTGTGGTTCATGAAGGCATCGAAGCTTGCAAAGTGAGACTCATATTTCCTTTCACTTCTATAATATCTTACTAAATCACCATAGGAAGTTCGAATCGACCCTCAGCACTGCTATGGTATCATAACCTACAAGGCTGGAGCACTGTGGCCATATCGCTTTGTGACAGCCATCTACGAGTCCCTTCTCTCAGCATACAGCTCTACTTTTTCTATCGAGACCAACACTCCTGCAACTGAAATACGAGTAAATTCAGATGATCCCAGGCGACCATTCACTGTTCTTACACCTCGGGGAGAAATTACTGCAACCCATGTCATCCATGCGACCGACGCATTTGCAGCGAACCTTTTGCCGGGATTGAAGGGCAAGATTTTCCCTGTGCGAGGACATATGACAGCGCAAGAACCTGGGACTCTATTTCCAAATCTTGACGGTTCCAGATCATGGAGCTTCATCCACAAACGCGGCTTCGACTATATCACGCAACGCCCAGGAACGGGTGGTGAACTCATGGCAGGCGGTGGCGTGGTTCAATCACCAGAAAAGGGAATGGATGAATTCGGGATTTGGAGAGATGATAAAAGCAGCTACTCCATCGGCGCTTATCTTCATGGTCTCTTACCCACGATCTTCGGAGCACACAACTGGGGTGCTGATAACGGTACTAGGGTCAAGATGGCCTGGACTGGCTGTATGGGATTCACGCCAGATCTCCTTCCTTACGTTGGCATTCTAGACCCGAACATCACCCAGCGAAAAGCACCACGCTCAACAAAAGAAGGAAAGCAGCCTGCGGAATGGATATCAGCAGGGTTTCAAGGAGAGGGCATGGTCCTAGCATGGCTATCTGGCATCGCAGTCGGATTGATGTTAGTTGGAGCTGAGGACGAAGTCTTCGAAGAGGCCCCAGGGATACCGGGAGGGAAAATTAGCGAGTGGCTGCCTCAAGAACTTGTCTGCTCCAAGCGAAGAGTGGATGGATCAAGCGTGTCTGATCTCGCAATGCTTCTCTAAGATTCAGACTTGGTCATTGACTTCAGTGTTATGGGGATACAACCATTCTTAATCAATGGAGGTTTGGTGTCTCTCAGAACCAACGGTAATAGTACTTGCTATTTAAGCTCCTTATCTCGGTTTACGGCCATCAGCCTCAAATAAAATACAAATTTTTTCTAACAGCCCCTATTGTGTTCTGTTGGTTTTGATGCCCACGACGTCAGGATTTAAGACAGGCCAAGGCACTAGAACAAACTGGGGCCTTTGGCTACATATGCATACTCCGAGCAAACTGTGACCGTGACGAGAGAGGACACTTTCGGTGTCCCTGCCAATACAGCATAGAGCACTATCATGTCTGCAACCGTGACTGTGGCAGGAACTAAATCAGGCACTGCGCTCATCACATCAGCCCCCGCGGGTACTGGTGCGTCTTCCAGCGGCAAGGCTACGAGTACTACTGGCTCAGGAAATGGTGTGATGGTTACAGCAAGCCCTATGTTGCTGCTGGGTGGCATGCTTGCTGCTTTGCAGCTGGGATAGTTACTAGAGTCTAATAATTGGGAAAGAGCCAGCACAAACACCCACAGACTAGTACCATTTTCCTGGACATAAATACCATCACGACAAAGTCATATCCCGTCAAATTGTGCAGCGTAGGTAGTTAACCGGACCTAACAACGCAGGTCCGAGGTCTACATCGGATCCATCCGACATCTCGGCCAGCTTGTCCGAGGGCGTTCAGTGGTGTTCTTGGTATTTTAGCCAGTACATATGATTAGTTAAGAACTGCGTAAATTCTCGAGTACTTCTTTACAGCAGCGATATGTATAACAGTTATAGAGAAATGTGATATTAACTATATCGGAGTGCGGTTAAAAATACAAGCGGTCGGCGTGGGCATCCGTCTCCGCAAGTCGGAGCCCAGCCGAGTTCAACCTCTCAGCATTCCTCTCGCATTGTTACTCTCTCACCTTTCTCCCCAAGTCACACAGCATAACCCACCTTCGCTATGGCGTCCATCCGAGCCAATTGCCGCAAAATTATGTGCATCGGCCGCAACTATGCGTATGTTGTCTCCGGAAGATTTTCCCGCAGACTCAAAAAGAAGACTGACTAACGGAATCACCATTAAAGGGAACACATCACCGAGCTGAACAACACCAAGCCCAAGCAGCCCTTTTTCTTCCTCAAGCCCGCTTCCTCGATTCTCCTTCCGGGCGGCGGCCCCGTCCTGCGGCCCAAGGGCACGAACCTGCACTATGAGGTGGAACTGGGACTGGTGATGGGCAAGACGCTGCGGGACCTGGACCCGGAGGACGAGCAAGGTGCCCTGGACGCGATTCAAAGTAGGTGTCTTCTCTTCAGTCTCCATCCTACACAGTGTGCGCAACGCATCTGTTTGAATCCGACTGACAAGACACGTGTGTTCACGCAGGCTACGTCCTCGCCATCGACATGACGGCGCGCAACGTGCAAGAGGAAGCCAAGAAGAAGGGTCTCCCCTGGTCGATCGCCAAGGGGTTTGACACCTTCCTCCCCATATCGCAGGAGATCGCCAAGTCGCGCATCCCCAACCCGCACGACGCGTTCCTGCGCCTCAGCGTCGGCGCCACCGAGCGCCAGGCGGACTCGACCAGTCTGATGCTCTACCGCATTCCGCAGCAGCTGGCGCAGATCTCGCGTGTTATGACCCTGGAGAAGGGTGATATTGTCCTAACCGGGACGCCTAAGGGTGTGGGCGAAGTCAGGGCCGGGGATGTGATGAAGGCGTCGATTGAGGTTGATGGCAAAGAGATTGAGGAGGGGCGCATTGAGGTTGAGGTTGTGGATCGAGAGGGTCGGTATGAGTTCAAGGAGACCTAGAGACTGTTATTGTTGATTTCTATATCTTGCACATCATCAGATCAAGTACATAGCTGTATTCTACGAGCTGGACTGGAGAGACAGTAGTCATCCTTGGTGCTCTCTTATGAAATATGACCATGAAGCAACCCCATCACCGAGCTACATCGACGCCCACAAGTAATACAAGGCAGGAGGTGTACACGAAAGATAGCATACGAGAAAAGAAGAAACCCCGAGGGAACAAGTCACATTTTGGCCCGATCTATTTGATTAAGTACGAGAACAGCGGCATTCTTAACCAACCGGAGCGAGCTAAATACAGAGACGGGGGAAGTAGAACACGGAAGAAATGCGAGACAGAGGAAAAAAACAACCGTGGGAGCAAGAAAAAGCACATAACATGTCGCATCTCCGGAGGTGCAGGGGAACATAGGAAACCATGGCTCAGACCGGTTTCACCAGGCCATTGCGCGCGGAGTTGTATTGGAGACACAGAAAACCACTTTTGACGCAGGGTCTGCCATCGTAATCCGCATCAGACGTAACAGGAGGGGTTGAAAGGGTTTAGATGAGGTCGGCAACGTTCATGGGCATCTCCTCGACCTGAGTGCTGTAGAACTGCTCGATCTCGCGGAGCATGCGCACATCATCAGCGGTGACAAAGTTGATGGCGACACCCTTGCGACCGAAACGACCACCACGACCGATACGGTGGATGTAGTTCTCACGGTTGGCGGGCAGGTCGTAGTTGATGACCAGGGAAACCTGCTGCACATCAATACCACGGGCCAGCAGGTCAGTGGCAATCAGCACACGCGAGGAGCCGGAGCGGAACTCCTTCATGATCACGTCACGCTGGCCCTGCTCCATGTCACCGTGCATGGCCGAGACGGTGAAGTCACGGGCAGTCAGCTTGTCGGTGAGCCAGTCGACCTTCCGGCGGGTGTTGCAGAAGATGACAGCCTGGGTGATGGTGACGGTCTCGTAGAGATCGGACAGAGTGTCCAGCTTCCAGTCCTCCTTCTCGACAGCGATGTAGAACTGCTTGATACCCTCCAGGGTAAGTTCCTGCTTCTTGACCAGGATACGGACGGGGTCACGCATGAACTTGGTGGTCACCTCCAGGACGTCCTGGGGCATGGTGGCCGAGAGCAGAGTAACCTGGGTAGACTGGGGAAGAAGCTGGAAGATGTCGTAGATTTGCTCGGTGAAACCACGCTGGATTCAAACGTCAGTGTGGAGTTCTTGTGGACGGTGACAGAAACAAAACTTACCGACAGCATCTCGTCAGCCTCGTCGAGGACGAACAGCTTCATGTGGTCAGTGCGCAGAACACGGCGCTGGATCATGTCCTGAACACGGCCGGGGGTACCGACGACGACCTGGGGGCCCTCGCGGAGAGCGGTCATGTCCTCACGAACGTTGGTACCACCGATACAGGCGTGGCACTCGAGGCTCATGAAGTCACCAATGGCCACCACGACCTTCTGGATCTGCTGGGCCAGCTCACGGGTAGGAGCGAGGATCAGAGCCTGGCAGGACTTCAGGTTGGGGTCGATCTTCTGGAGAGCGGAGATGGAGAAGGTGGCGGTCTTTCCAGTACCGGACTGGGCCTGGGCGATCACATCGCTGCCTGAAATAGATTTGTTAGGCCGTCATTCGGGCTTGTTGATGGACCACAAAATAAAACTCACCCTTGATGATGGGCATGATGGCACGCTGCTGGATGGCCGAGGGGCGCTCGAAACCGTAGGCGTAGACACCTGGTTTTATCGGTCAGGAAATTTTCTTCATTACCCCACCAGGAGGGGGTTTGTCGGGGTCACCTACCGCGAAGCAGCTCGGGCTTCAGGTCCATCGCGTCGAAAGAGTCGGTGATCTCATCGTAGTTGGACTCGATCATTCCTGTGGTTGTGGAAGGCAATGGTCAGCGTGGGGGTTCTCCCTGACCATCATGCAAGAAAGAGAAAGACCATCGCCACCGAGCGCGACCACGATCGCGGTCTCGATAGAATATGGAAAAACCAGGCACGAAAAGAAAAACATCGCACATACCCTCGGGAAGTTCCTCGAGACCCTTGTCGTTGGAAGCCATGTTTGCGGTTGGAAGGTGGGCGATCACAGGCGTGCGTCGCTGTGATCCGTGTGGTGGGGGTGGGAAAGAAGTTTTAGCGAACGCTGTGGGAAGTCTTTCTGTATAAAAGACTTGATCTAGTACCGCAGCTCTTGAAATCCAAGAGCCAGACTGGGATACTAGAAAGTGGGAGAGTAGAAGTGAGGATAGAAAGTCCAAATGATATGGGATGGGAAGGGAAGGGAAGAAGAAGAAAAAGAAGAGAAAAAAATCCTCCGCCAGTCTTAATTCTTGGTTCCACGCTTGGGATTTTTTTTCTCGGGAAGAGCCTCACCGCCTTCCTCTTCTATCACCGCATTGTGTGGCTCGGGCAGTTCCTGTTCGCCAATTTTTCGTATTGTTCGTCCCCAGAGTGCCTTGCTTTTGTCGGTGGCGCTGGACTGGATGGCCTGAATGTTGGCAGGGTCACTCTAGGTTGGTTGACTGTGATTTGGATGCCGTGGTTGTCCCGATTCCCTCTGTGTGAGGCCCAGCCCCAAAATCCTACAAGCCCTAATGTGGCGGACTGCCGACCATGCCTGACATCACATCTCTACCCGGCCATCCAGAGGAGACCAGCAGCGCCCACGAGGCTATTCCCTCGCATCCATTAGGTGTGAAGCCCACTGGCAATGCGCTCTTGGCCACCTGGAGTTTGCGTGATGCGATAGGCCCCTTCAAACGGCTGCCCGACGAGCTGATCCTGGCCCTACTGGAGTATTTTGACGGGCCCAGTCTGCTACGTGTTGGAAGAACCTGCAAAGCTTTCTATGCATTTACACGGGCTGAGGAGCTGTGGAAGACATTATTTGTGAGGTAAGATATTCTTGAACATTTACATGTATCGTCCGGCGTGCAAATATATACAGTTCCTGTGTTGGCAGGAACGTCAAAGTAAAACGTGAGTACTAATGGTTTGTCCAGCTCCGAGCTATCCTCCTTCACATGGAGAGGGACATGGAGATCAACCTATCTCAACCTGCCTGCCTCCAAGGTGCCCATGGTGGACTGCTCCCATCTGTTCTCGGATGCGCTCTACCGGCCCTTCAACTGCGCACACATTGCGTTGGAGCCCTTTGTGTCGAATATCCCCGCGCGGAACCAAATTGCGCGTTTCCAGGACTTGTCCCCTGATGAATTTCTGGCCCATTGGACCGACCGGCCTTTCATCTTGACGGAGCCAGTCAAGGCCTGGCCAGTGTATAGAGACTGGACAGTGGGCACACTGCTGTCTCGCTACAGCCAGATCAAGTTCCGCGCCGAAGCCGTGGACTGGACTCTGCGCACATACGGCGATTACATGGCAGATAACTCCGATGAGAGTCCGCTATATCTATTCGATCGCGCCTTCGTCTCTAAAATGGGACTGACAGTCGGTCCACCCGATCAAACACCAGAGGCCGCGTATTGGCCACCATCATGTTTTGGCGAAGACTTCTTCTCAGTTCTGGGCTCGGACCGCCCCGATCGACAGTGGCTCATCGTCGGGCCCGAACGATCCGGAAGCAAATTCCACAAAGATCCCAACGCCACCAGCGCGTGGAACGCCGTGCTTCGCGGCCCGAAGTACTGGATCATGTTTCCTTCAGGCGAGAAGCAGCACCCTCCGCCGGGTGTGTACGTATCAGAGGATCAGAGCGAGGTGACCTCACCGCTGAGCATCGCCGAGTGGCTTCTCAGTTTCCACGCTGAGGCACGGCGTACTCCCGGCTGCGTGGAAGGCATTTGCGGCGAGGGCGAGATCCTCCATGTTCCGTCCGGGTGGTGGCATTTGGTCGTGAACTTGGAACCCTCCATCGCCATCACCCAGAACTTTATCCCTCGGACTCACCTCTGCGCGGCACTTGATTTCTTGTCTAGCAAAGCTGACCAGGTATCTGGGTTCAGGAAGGATGTCCGTGACCCATATCAGCGATTTCTGGATGGTATGCGAGCTAGATACCCCGATCTGTTAGATCAGGCGCTAGAAGAGCTACAGAAGAAGGCAGAGGGGAAAAAGCGAAAATGGGATGAGATCATCCACGGAAAGACAGGAGAAGATGCCGCAGACGAAAATGCTGGTGGCTTTAGCTTTGGTTTCGGAGACGACGGTAGCGATGTGGAAGTTCCATAAAAGAACCAATTCGGGGTAGAGTCTGGAATCTCAATTGGTGACCGTACAATATGATAATAAAACCTCTAATGAAAAATGGAAAAATCCGCACGCACGCTTCATCTCGTCCAAAGAAAACCAAAGACATCCAAAGGAGACTATAAAAATATATTTAATGACAAGCCACCGTCTTGGCAGCCGGAGCGCCGTCGGCGAAGAGGAGATACCCAAAGAACGCGCCAACAGCGACCGCAAGCATGACCATGCCGTTATAAGTCATGAAGAGAAGCCTATATCCAAGTAACGGTCCACAAGTCAGCCAGCTCCGATGGACAGAGACCAAGCACTTACATGATAAAAAAGCTATAAAACACCTGCGCCGCATACAACGCAGCCAAGGTAATCCGTCCTCGACGCGCCAGCGCCGCTCTATTATCCCTCCCTATAAGCAGCGGTGAGTCTTCATCCTGAATGGGGTGGCGTGCAGCCTCTGCAGAGACGCTGGCAGTGGCAGTGGAAGATCCGGCGGCGATCTCATCGTCTGCGAAGAAGCAAGACGTCAACGAGAATAGCTTAGCAATATACAATTGAGGAAATGTAGGACCAGATCCACCACGCCAACGCCATGTAGATTTCCAGAAGAGGAGGGAAAGAGAAAGACTCACCCCCCGTTGTGGAAGTCGTCGTAAACGCGTTCAAGCGCTGGTTATGAGCAGCTTCGTACCGCCGGGTGATTTGGCGGACGGCTTCGTAGCCCGCCGTGAGAACGACGATGAGGACGAGGGAGAAGAGGAAGGTAAATGGGCCGGTGATGCGCCACTGGGGGAAGATGATACAGAGGTTCTTGGCCGACCAGGTGAAGAGCATCTATTTAGTCTCATTAGCATGAGGTCCAGGATGTGGGTTGATGGGATAGTTAGCTAGGGACTTGCATTCATGTCGCACTGCCCCATGTCCATGTCGCCATGATCGTGGGACATATGGTGCGCCGAGTGATCCATTTTGAGAAACTACCAATACTCAAGACAAGGCCAGAGGAAGTATAGTGAGTGCAAAGACACGAAACAGAGAGTCGAATGGGAACAAACAAGGGAAAGTGGCCGATGCAAACGTGACAAACAACCCGATAAGACCGGCCAGCCTCAACACAGCTCCTACACATCCTCGACTGCTTTTCTTCGGTCGTATTCCGGTCGCATGAATTGTCCCACGGGCATTTTCTGAAGGACTCCTTTTGACGATATGGCGGACACTACCTCCGCCACCGCCGCGCCCACGGCCAACGGCACCGCGGCTCCGGCAGGCGGCACAAGCACAGGGGGCGCGAATGCGCCCGCGGACCAGAACGGGACGAATCGCGGGCTGCCATACTATGAAAAGCTGCGACGGGAACTGCGAGACTCATTGCAGAAGAAGCGATTGATGGACAAGACCATGGTGAGTTGTGGGGCGTGAAACTCGCGTCTGTGCCTTGAAGCTAGACAGCCAGGCAGACGTTCAATTCTGCAAAGCCCTCCCTTCGAGCGTGAGCAAAAACCGAATAAATCATTCCTGCTGACATACATTCCCCTCTACAGGCTCAACTCGAAGACCAAATCTTCCGCTTCGAACAATCCTACCTCGAAGAGACCACAGCCGGAAACATCATCAAAGGCTTCGACAACTACATCAAGGGCTCATCCAGCGGAAGCAGCCTCGGCGCGTCGGGGCTGGGTCTCTCTTCGAGTGTGGGTGGGCGGCGGAAAGCCCAAGTCACCGATTCAGATCGGGTCTTCTCGCGCAGCTCTGCAAGTTACATGGTCGACTCCCCCGGTCCGTCCTCTGCACAAACCACGCCGTCCCACGCAGCCACGCCGACGTCCACGCCTGGTGGAAATATGTCTTCTTCCAAGAATAACGGCGATGTGTCTTCGACTGCCTCGGGTATGAAAGCCGCGGCGGGGTCGTCGAAGAATAAGAAGAAGGGTGGCGGCGGTGGGTCTAAGAATACGAAGGGGAAAGCTTTTGATGATTCAGATGATGCTGGGGAGAAGCCGCCTGTTAAGCGCTTGAAGATCAGCTATGGGAGAGATTGAGCCGTGTGGGGGTTTGTGCTTTCTTTCTTTTCTTTCCTGCGAGCTTGGAGTTTAGGGATTTGTTGTTTTATCTCATTCTGGCTGGGACTGTATGAGCTAAGGCGCAGGAAACTTGTCTCGATTGTTCAAACGACATCATGTACATCACCGGATTCATCAAAACTGACTGCACCTTCGCCATGCCTATGCATGAATCTAGCCTTCTGGGGAAGCATTGAAGAGCTACAGGGAATACCCTCAGTTAAAACCCAAAAAGCAAAACTCATTCCATTCATCCACCTCGTCACAAAATACTACAAATCACAGTTGCAAGCGGAATGTAGCTACTTCAAAGGCCCTCAGCTCAATATCCACGGCCGAGCCATCATCCACATCTCGGCGATCCAGTTCCTCCTCATCATCCTCGAGGATATTGCACTTCCAAGCCCGTTTGACAGGGAGAGTACTCTGAATAGACCCACGAGCCTTTCCACCAAGCGACTCATAAATACGCAAAATAACACTCTTCCCAGGCCGCGAGGGAAGATCGCCAGTCGAAACATCTTCGTCGTCCTCACCACGCTTGACGGCATCCAGAATGAGAGACGGAGCACCGTGGATGGCCACAGATTTGAAAATCGAGTCTGTCGCCGAGGCCTTCGGGCCTGCTCGCTCCAGGACAAGCGGATGGTTGAAGTTGTACCCTGCGCGCACGGTACGGGCATCAAGGCCACCAGAATGGGGCAAGATAGCGTAGCGGATGTGATGGCGGCCCATATCGGCGTGGGCATCAGGTGCCTTGGGCGAACGAAGCAACGAGAGGCGCATCATGTTTCCAGATGTAGCAAAACCATACTTGGAATCATTGAGAATCGAAACGCCGTATCCGTGCTCAGAAAGATCTGCCCATTTGTGGCAGCAGACTTCGAACTTGGCCATGTCCCAGCTGTGCGGTGTCAGTATACATGAAAATCGGTCAACAGAAATAGGAGGGCATGTACCTTGTGTTATAATGAGTCGGTCGGCGCATAATGCCGTACTGAGTCTCATAGGAGGCCTCTGTGTTGGTGATATCGACTGGGAACTCGACCTTGAGGAACTTCATCGTCTCCTGCCATTCAACCTCGCTTTCCATTTCCACATATGATGGCTCACTCGACACAGATGCTGACAAACTGATGGTAGTCTTCACCCAGCTCTTGTCACTGACCTTGGTCTCGGTCACGACACTAGCGCGGTGTGGTCCCTGTTCCACAATGGCCGTCTTACTGCTGCGCAGCTCTTTTCTGGATTCGAGATGGAAGACCTCGACGTCCCATGCTTGCCAAGCAAGTGGCTTATCATCAAAGATGACGAATTGGCCGGCCTTACCACCCTTGGCGACAATCTCCCGGTTTGCTTCCAAGTCAAAAAGCGACGTGATAACGCCATCTTGGACATCGACTCTGAGCTTGCCATTCATGAGACGGAAGACGCCCGGTTGGATCTCACCCACCAGGGCCGAAGTAGTGGAATTGAAATCAACTTCCGCACACGGAATAACTCCGCTAGTCCCATCAACCAGGGCATATTCGGGTCCATTGGAGCTAGTCAGCGTGTTCGGGATCTTGACAACCTCAGAACGAGGCCACGGCAGAGTGTTAATAGCCACCAAGTTCTTGCTAGCCGCGTGGCCACTAATCCCAAGAGCTTCCAGAGCATCTCTCCGTAGCTTTGCACCAGTCTTGAAGACCTTTGCGTATAGCTCATCTGAGTCGTCGTAGCACATCTCGATGGAACTGCCAGGAAGGCAGTCGTGGAACTGACACAGAAGAACGCCCTCCCACATTTCATCGATTTCGTGTTTCGGGTACCTGTAGCCCTTATCGGAGCCTCGAAGAGTCGCCAGCGTAGCTAGGAACTCAATCTCGCGTAACAGGAACTCTGACTTGCGATTGTTGCGCTTGTTGTTGGCCTGGGTGGTATATGTGCCCCGGTGCAGCTCGAAATAGAGCTCACCGTACCACGTTGTAAACTGCGTACCATTTGCCGCCTTTGCTTCCAGTTGTTCGAAGTAATCATCGACCGAGCCTCCCATCTGCACCCGGGCCAGGGAGCCAGTCTGGTCACTCAGACCTCGGCAGCGGCGCAGTTTCTCCAGATGCCCAAACGTGGGGCCACCGCCGCCATCTCCCTTACCAAAGACAAGCAGTGACGTCTTATCTTGGTCCAAAGATTTGTGCTGCGTGATGCTGCGCCTGAGGTCGCCGAAGTTGGCTTCGGCTGTGTAAGTCTCTGCAGGAGCCATGTGGCACAGCACCTGGCTCCCGTCAAGAGAGACCCACCGGAAGGTGGTATGAGGGAAGTTGTTGATGTTATTCCAACTCAGCTTTTGCGTGAAGAACCGGTTCATGCCAGCCAGGCGAGAGAGCTGGGGAAGTTGAGTAGAATATCCAAAAGTATCCGGCAGCCAAAAGGTTGTGCATCGTTTGCCAAAGTAGCTTTCGAACAGTCTCTGGCCATAGAGGAATTGTCGCACGAGGGACTCGCCGCTCGGCAAGTTGGTATCGTGTTCGACCCAGCTGCCACCAATAGGCTGGAAATGGCCCTTCTTCACCCAGCGCTTCACTCGGTCGAAGACGGACGGATAGTATTGCTTCAGCCATTTGAATTGCTGCGCCTGCGAGCAGGTGAAACGGTGTTCTGGGTAGCGCTCCATCAGATCACATTGGTTGGACCATGATCGCGCTACCTTTCGTTTTGTCTCAGCCCAGGGCCATAGCCAACATGTATCGATGTGGCAGTGGCCGATAGCATAAGCCACGGGCGTGGTGTCGGTTGAGTAGACCTCAGAAGAGTCCACCTTGTCTCCCAGATATCGTCTCGCGACTTTCCGCGCCTCTAGAATACCTTCTTGGCTTCCATCGCCAGCGATGAAGGCATCGATCATCGAATTGGCCACCATGTTGGCTTCGTGAGCCTCCCAGGAGTCACCAGGGAACTCACGGGCGGCATCGCCGATGACCCAGAAATCATAGTACAGCGCTCTTGCCTGGAGATTCACAGCCGTGATACGGGCCTTGTTCAGTGTATAATATCTATCCGGGCTTGGGGGCTGATAGTTATCACCGCCCGGGGCGTTGCCGAACATTCCATTGCAAGCCATCTCAATATAGAATGTGTGCTGTTTGCCATCACGCCATGCGTCAGGAATGATCCATTCGATACGCTCTCCACCGCCCGTCAAGCCCTGAAGAGGATGGCCGTCCTCCGTCCACACCATGCCCTCATTGTTGGCATCCCAATGGAACTCCAGGTGCTCTTTCTGGCGCATGTCCTCCGGGATGGTGAGACGAATGCGGAACCAATGAGTGGACCAGCTAGGACCAAAAGAGGCGCCGATGTGGGTGGGCTTAAACTCCTGGGAGGTTGCATCTTTGAACGTCGGTCGCTGCAGGTTGGGGACGGAGTAGACCGATAACTTGACATGGTCCTCGTCTGAGTTCACGGCCTCGAAATATTTCGACACCAGGTTCTGACCGGAATAAGCGCCCGTATCAGTAAACTGGCGTAGCCGATCAGTGTAAAGCTTGGTGATACGCCGCCCGACTGGGCGCTCAGCGAGCTGGGGGAGTGGCTTCGAGGCTGGGGCGGGGAAGGGCTGGGGAGTTTCTCCACCCATGATGACGACGTGACAGAGAGATGCGGACGGAAGATGGGAAAGGACTATACAGAGAAAGGATTGTGGATGATGAGGACAAGGGGAGAGAAGCAAGAAGATGAAGAATAGGTCAGAGTGAGAGTGAGAGAAGGAAGGAAGGAGGAGGAGTTGAATGCGGAGAGACGGGAATGCGGAGACAAATAGTATGTAACCTTGCCCTAACTACTCTAGGTAACAACTAACTACCCTACGTACTTCCCATATTTGACGAACTCCTCGTCGGCCCTCAATCTCTCCCAATCTTCCTCTCTCAAACAAATCCCTGCAGCCATCTCCCCCGATGGCGACTTCGGCATCAAATAACCCAGGCTTTCAATGGGAGTCAAGCACGGTCTCCGCACTGCCTCCGGTGTTCCTAGCCCCAGGTTAAAATCCAGCTCATAGCAATCGATATTAGCCCAAGAGCTGATCATAAAATCTCTCTTGCTATCCACTGTCGCACCGACCGAAGCGACGGTCTTATCTGGTGAGCGACTGAGAAAAGTTGCTAGCGCCCGAGTGTTGAATGCCAGATCAACCTTCTTGGGATCAATCGCGGAGCGAAATTGTGATGCGAGAGTACCTAATGGTTCCTCGGCCAGCGTCTTGACTGTGTCTCTGTGATATACTAGATTCTGTGCCAGGCCTGGATAACCCGATGGGACACCTAAATGGCGCCGAACATTGACGGAGCGCGTGATCAGCGCCTTTGCGCTTGGCTCCAGGCGAGGAAGTCGAGACCGAATAATGCATTGCCACAGGAAGGAACTGATAGCGTCATCGGTGGAAATGAATTCGCAAGTAATATGTTTGGATGCCAGCGATTTGAGAGCAGCAAGGGACTTGGCGGAAAAGGTCAGATAGGCCCAGGTACATTTCGGAGGCTGCGAAAGTGGTTCTGCGGTGGTCTCTGTAGTCTGTGCAAGAGGCTTTACGATCTGTTCGGCAAGCTCAGGCCCTGGTTGGTACGAGTCGTCTAGGAGAGGAATGGTGGTGGCGCGGGAGAGGTTGCCCGAGGTCACCTCTTCGCTGGTAAACGGCTCATTATGGCAGGCCTTGGAAAGCAGACGGATCATATTTCCTTGGCCAGTCATGTCCATAACATTGTGTTGACCGACAAGAGTCAGCATCAGGCCGCCCGTGATGAAGTTGGCCTGGACGCAGAAGACCGGCGCCGAGTCTTTGGCGAGACCAGTTGAGCTTCCTGGTATATTGAGAGTCATACAGGGCGCGATTACTTCTTCATCCAGCATGCTGAAAGGGTAATTGGCCTGGCGGAGGGCGTCCATTGTTGGCCCGGACGGATCGTGTCGGAGATCCTTGACGACCAGCGGAAGCTTGTCCCCGGGGATTATGCGATAGACGCCTGTGTTGCCTTCACTTGCCCCCTCGTTGATGACCTGTCCGGCGAGCCATGGGAAACTGCCTGCAAGCCGAGCGAGACCCTTGGCTAGGGTATCGACAATGGCATCGTGCGCCGAGGGATCGCATACTGGGAACACGCAGCATATCTGAGTGTATAGCTTGTAAAGAAAGGGGGTTTGCCCAAACACTTCGAGGACGTCGTTTTCCAACATGGCGTGGAATTGTTATGCGAAGAGTTACTGGAAAGGTGTCCTGATTGGTTTCTTTATAATAAACAAATGCACAGCCCACCATGGTTCGGCCGGCGCCCCACTCGTCTTGAGTCAAGTTGAGTCAAATCGGCTGGATCGGCGTGTCATTCGGTGTCACGATTTAGTTGTCTATTTGCCAAAAAAAAAACCAAAGTATAGATTCCAGGCAAAAAAGGTTTCCATTGGCGCGAGATACTGGTAATATTTGGCAGAAATCAGCAAGGTATTTCCTACGACAGGTAAACCCATCCTTTCCATTTTCCACATTGTCCCCCGTCTCCGTCTCCTTCCACCATGCTTTGCGCTTGTCGGTCACATCGACTGCGGGGGTTGCACCTTAGTAGGCGAAAGGATTCACAGGCACTATTTTTTCATGATCGGATTTTTCTTTAGAAAGTTAGCAAGTAGTTCTCCAATTTTGGTATAAGTTCATGCCAAGTCACGTCAGACGATGAACTACACATTCGAGCGGAAGCATCTTTGATCTCAGAATTTCAGTCAGTCATAACATGATCGTCCTTTCAAATGATCATAAGGCGCGAGTCGCTCATCTATCTCGTAAATGGCTCATTGCCGAATCACACGGTTCAGGCGAGGGATTTACTGTGTCCAAAGGCTCCCATCACTTGCACCAATCAACGCCGCCGACTCCACAATATCATTTCCTGTTCACCCTCCACATGATGGGGCCAGGTTAGTGATCGTAGAGGATACTTGTATCTTCTCAGAGCTAGCGCCTCAGAAATTTTTCCGTGGCCCAGATAGAACAATCACTAATTGGTTGCGGGACCGATCAATTCGCGCAACCCTCCAGGAGACAACATCATCACTCATTTTGAGATTTCCGACTTAAATATGTCTGCTTTTCTCAATTTTCCCATCTACATTGAGTATCTCTTTCTCGCAATTTTAAGAAAGGCAGTTTGGTACATTCAGGGCATACTACCAGTATGACCATAGCCCAAGGATATGACAGCCTTGAGCGCAACGAGGAGTGTGAAGATTCAGTGTGCGAAGACAGTACAACCCTCATTCCACATTCCTATTCCAGTCATGGTTTACCGGGAGAATATTCCTTTCATTGCCAAAGACTTTCGCGTGAGTCAAATTGAAGCACAGAATCTATAAGCTTGTATCCTGCCGATGCCAATGATTGGATCGTACAGATGAAACTTCGAGATTTCACATCATGCAGTGCGTCTGCCATCATTTCAGAAGATTGTGTGAGAAATTTCAGAGTAGTCCATCACCAGAACACTCAATACCTCGGATCTCCCATCATGGCCACGAGCTCTGCATACAACGCATCCTAGCATTCAAGGAGCAAGCTAAAACCCTCTTGACTTCTACAACATTATGCTCTCTCGGAATTTCTGCGGTAGCAATCCTAATATCTAACACTGATGTCCCAGCCCTTGCCATTTTTATCTTGAACTTGATCGCTATTGTCCCGTTGTCTGTTACTCTCACCCATGCAACGGAGAGCATTTCACAAGATTTTGGAGAGATAATGGGCGCTCTTCTCAACATTACTACCGGCAATCTGGCTGAGCTTGCAATTTTGTAAGTATGTCCAGTCTTCCATAGGTCCTTGTACTAATGGCATTATAGCATGTGAGCTCGACGATTGAATACTCTCTCATTGCATTCACTGCTGACATCGATGCCAGTACGACATTGAAGAAAGGAACGATCAAGGTCGTCCAGTCGTCTCTTCTCGGTTCCATTCTTGTCAACTTGTTGCTTGTCCTGGGATCTTCCATCATAGCTGGTGGCCTTAAATCTCCGAATCAAACGTACAACAGTGATCTGACGCACGCATTTGTCGGATTACTCAACCTCACAGTCTCTTGCCTGATGATTCCAGTATGTCGGCCATGCCAAACAAAAGTTGGCCTATCTTGGTTCTAACTTTGGTAGAATGCTTTCTATGGAAGCTTGAAGGACGTGCAATCAGCGGATGTCATGGCCCTCAACTTCAGTAGAGCAGTGTCTGTCATTCTACTCGGTGTCTATTTCCTATATATTTTCTTTCAGCTACGATCCCACGCGTCGCTTTTTCGACCCGCTACTTCCAACCATCGTTTCCAAAGCATCGTCAACGACCGAGACATCAACCAGCAGTCCACCGCTCCTCGTGTTTCAATAGCCGCAAGCTTACCGCGGCCAGAAATGCAGGAGATTCCGTATCCTGCCAGCCCATCACCGGTGCCTCTCGAGTCACAAGTTGAGTCAGGGCTACTCTTAGATCGATTCGAACCGACAGAAACAAGCACTTCACCTTCGTTCAACGAAAGTCCAGATCCAAGCGATGGATATGGGACACCGAAACACGTGCCATGCAACTGCTACCGTCATGTTGTCATAGCAAACCGCACAATGTCTATTGGATTCCTGATTCTGTCAACGGGTTTGATAGCCATCTGCGCCGAATACTTTGCTGCAAGCTTCGCCATACTCAATGAGCAAGGAGTGCTCGGCGAGTCCTTTGTGGGATTGATTGTTATTCCAATTGCAGGAAATGTCGCTGAAAATGTCACGGCCGTCATTGTCGCTTCCAAAGACCAAATGGATCTTGCAATCAGTGTCGCCCTTGGATCAGCAATTCAAATCGGACTTTTGGTGGCGCCCGTGATAGTTCTTATCGGGTGGGTTCTCGACAAGCCTATGACACTACACTTTGACCGTTTCGAGATAGTGACACTCATTGGAGCTTCACTTTTGGTCAGCTTTATCTTTCTCAAGGGAAAGACTAATTACCTAGAGGGAGCAATACTCTGCGCTTGTTTTGCTGCTATCTCGTGAGTTTTCCTTGCTGTTCTACAAACATGAAAGCTAATACTTGGATTACAGGGTCGGGGCCTTTTTGATGCCGATCAGCGGATGAGTGTTCCATTTGGTGGTATCCTTGTACATACTTTCCTGGAGCGCGAACTTTTCTCAGGAGACTCAGAATTGATAATGGGATATATAGCCGAAACCCCGTAACCAGTTACAGACATCTAATGTCTGTGGTTTACCACGCAGACACCCCCATGTCCTCCTGCCCCCTAGAAACTCGGGTAAAATTTCTGGCGACGGAAAGTGATACGCGGCCGCCGCTGCCGCTTTTTATGATGCTTGGATGTTGCCAAAGGCCCAATTCTCGTGACAAACCTTACTCTATGCTCTCCATGTACACTGCCCGCATATCCTACGGAGCTGGATTGTGCGTCGCTATATGGCGTACTTGAACCTCTGGTTCGGGTGAGCATCGTAATTGAAAGTGTAAGTACGCTGGAGTCCATCGTGGCCAAATTTCTTACTGCAACATACAATGTGCTCAATCTCTGAGGCGATGGAGACTATGAATCGAGATCAACAGATGCTCAAGTTCGAGATGCGAGTCGGTCCCCAAGTCTGATGTACCTAATTGAGAGGTCACATGTTTGGTTATGTGAAACAGACCTTTCTATTCAAGAAGGGCTTCCATGGAAAGAGTCCGTGGGGTGCGGTTTTGACTCTTCCCCAGCAAGATGTGAATCGTCTCTGCTTCAATTGCTTCCTCAAACAAGTCAATATTTGCAAAGATTGTTTCAAGGTTGCTGGTGCTAATCAATCGACCTAAAGCAAAAGCTCCACACCGAGGAAAAAGCCACCCCAGGGGTTAGCAGTGGGTTGAGAAGATGATATGTGGATGTTCAGGGCGCACAAAATGTGTGGGTCTCCGGGTGAGAATCCATCGTATCGAAGGAAGCTCTAGACTACCCTCTATCCTCTCGAGTCATAATCGCCCCACTCGGCTTGATTAAGTAGGAGCCTCTGATTCAGCCGTAGATAGCGCGAGTAGTAATTCTCAGCTTATTGAAATAATAATACTAAAAAAAAATGCTCCATGTATATCGACCTCGGCAGTTCCATTTCATGTGATCCGCTGCACTAAAGAGGGTCTTTAGGGTCTTCACCATGTAAGCCAATTGCCACAGACATTTGACTCCACAACTCTCAAGCATATTATGGTCGTGAATATACCTTTTTCATCTCAAACTCTATAACTATCTTAGTCAAAATTGCAGACGAATATAGGTTTATCCAGCTCTGCCAGATCGAATAGAGGTGAACCATGAACTCGTCTAATTCCGACGCAATTACGATATAAGCTCATGCGGGATTTCCAGGTTTCCCGAGCTGCAGGTCGCTTGAAAGGGCAACGTAACCGGCCAGCTGCACTTCCCATGAACTTCGGTCACTATTTTAGGCCAGGGCAAAAGCAACACAGTCACCAGGCACGTACGAACGATTAAAAAGGAAACTGCTCCCCAGAATTTGGGAGTCCAAGTCTGACAACTCAGATCACCATGCCAAGGGTCCCTGCGTTCAGGCCCACCGTAGGACGAAGTCCGTAACGGTCGGCTGGTGTCAGTATGGCGAATACAAGCAAGGGGCGCTTGTCGCCTTTCTACGCCACCATGCGTGACAGTTGCCGTACAGAGCACCTCCATACCCAAAGAACCTATACGAAAACAATGGAACCTTAGGCTCGGGGCTCGAATGGCGTTCGAGATTTCTGGCACTGTGGCTCAGCGCGCTCATCTTGGACTCATTGAGTTTCAGTTTGTGCTTTCGCCAAGCTGACGGGCTATTGAACTGAGTTTGGTGGGTCAGATGGCCTGATCGCATTTGGTTTTGATGGTATTACGGTGTCTGTGAGAAGAGGGGGAGTGATCTCTCCAAGGCCTAGACCAAACTCCGCAAGATGAGATGAGATGCGCGTCTGTGCTCCTGGATCTCCTCATCCCTCCTTCGAAGACATTTGTACGACATTCCCATCGAGCGAATAAGAGGGTATTTTCCGTAAACGTGGCGCCAATCCGATTTGCAATAACCGTTGTTCAAGAATAGGAAAATATGCCTGGGGAAGGTCGCATAATGTGAGAAAGGGTGCGCCAGCCCTGCGAGTCTGTCCAGGAACATCTCTATACAAAAAGATAACGAACAAGACACGGAAACCCGCGGGGGCGGTTCAGCGCGTAAGAGCTCGGAGATCAGCTGTATGGTAAGTTTTGATCCCGGTTCCCCGCCTATTTAGCGAAGTCAAGGCCCCTCCCTGTAGATCCGGAAAGAAGGATCCGATCCCAGTGGTGCAAAGATGGAGACGCAGATTCTCCCCCAAGGTTTTCAAGCGAAAGAAGCGAGTGGCTTCAGCCCACCAGAGCTCTGAATGTATGCAACTGCACCACTGACGTTCGTGGAGGAAGAATACTGGCACCATAATGGGACGTAATGCTGTGACAAGACCAACTTGTCCAGCATGGTCTCGATTCCAGTTCGGCGCAGGCGTCCTTCAGCAGGCCGGTGACACGACGGCGTTACCGTGAGCTTGGATAAGCTCAAGATTGGCCGATCTTCTCGGTCCTGAGTACTCGAATTAGTGTTTAAGGGACTTTTGCCGTCAGGTGATGAGCCGAGTCGGTGCCGTTTGGGCCCCTTTTCGGTGGAAGCTACACATTTCTCCATCGCGAATGAGATGGGGTTGTAGCCTGGAGGAAGATCCGTGCACAGACAATCTCGGCTGGACCGAGCGCTTCACCCCATCGGAACGATCGTTGCCCAGGCCGAAGGGTTCTGCACGCCGATAGGAACGGACAGATGGTGACGTTTAGTCAATGGTCTGTCAGCCTCTTTCTGTCCCCTGGCTTGCAGAGGATAGTCGTTGTGTCACGAGTCGTGGCTGAGGATGTGCAAAGAGATCGGGGATCGGGGATCGGGCATTGTGATTCGAGCGACGGAGGTAACTTTGTTCTCCAATTGGCCGATCTGTCGATCGGAAACATCAAGCGTGAGGCAGCTCTCCCATATTGATCAGGATCCAAGTCGAATGGACTGCGCTGTTATATACTGGGACACAGGGGTTCGAATAATGGTTGGTAAACTCCCCCAAAGGATGTCAGTGTTCTCATGGCTGCGAACCAAGCAGTGGCTGTGGCTAGTGTGCCGTCCAAGCAACAGATCGACGTCTGTCAGTACCAACTCGGGCGAAGATCTCGGGTTCCCCGGCCTTGGAACCATGGGTCTGTTCGAAACTATGTCCAGCCCTATTTTAGATGTCAAGTCAATTCTTTCATCTGTTAGAGGGGGAAGGAGTGTGCATTAGGGGCGATCCGATCGCAGGATACAAGACAAGACAGAGAGGCCAAGAGATGGCGGAATGTCGCGGAAACATTATGCACCCCAATTGCCACAGTCCTCTCAGCGCTGCAGGTGGTTTTTCCTTGCATAAGCGCTAATAGGGGACACCGATGTCCTAGAGAGATCTGCTCCCCTCTTAGTCACTCTGTGTATAATTACCTCGTAATCCCCCACTGGTGCCGGATGTATTTCCCTTGACAGAATGCCTCTATGACATATCCGTCTAGCCATTGACACCACATCGGGCCCAGCCAACGTCAGGAGAGCCACACTATAAGGCTACTTACCTCGCTGCCGTGCAATTCGCATTCCCTTACCAATCTCTCCCGACTCATAGATCGCCGAGGGCCAGATTTAATATATTTGCCGTCATCTGTTCATATGGACCAAGCATACATGATGACGCCGGGATTTGGGCGAAGGGTCTCTGAGCCCTGCCCAAACAACATGGTAACCACAGCTCCCTGTTGGCTGGCGAAACCATCGGCTGACGGCGCATTGATAGCCGGGTTCCCCCAAACAGCCGTCGAGTTTCGAATTCCCACACCCGCACTTTGCCCTTCTATACGTTGACCACCACGGCAAAGTGCAGATGGAGGCCTCTCCTTCAATAGCAGGATGTGGCGGCGCCATCTTCACACCGGATGTCACAGGCAAATTCATCGAAATGACAACGCCAATGGATCAATCTAAACCGCAATTCACCGCAGGTAAGCAAAACACCAAATATATAGCATAAAAATCACACGCTCAGTCCATGGCGCAAAGAACCAGTTACCCCCGTCTCCCAATCACCATGGGGTGTACCCCCCGTTCCTGCTGGATGGCAACAACCCGGGCCACCACCCACCGAACTGATTCCCTGCGAGTGGCAATCTGCCCAGCACCGAAGAAAGCGACGAGATATCAAGCGATCTGGAATGGGGAAACCGAGACTCAAGTCTCATTCGCCGCCGCCAACACCACCGGGTCGAACTATCCTTCGAATTGGTCATCGCGACATGATGCGCCGGTATTATGAGAAAGCATTTGAGGATTTCCAGCAGCTCAACTGCCGGGCAATCGCCAAATCGTATATCAAGCTTGTGGAGCCTCGCAAACAGGTGCATTTTCCATACAATGGACGCAGGGTTATCTCAGGCGCCACGCAGCGCGTTGACCCCGAGCTCACCAAGCCTGGCTGGTGGCCTGCTGGGGTTCCTCATCGTGAACCGGATCATCTGCTCAAGCGAGGTAGGTCATGTCTCCTTCTCAACCAATATTCTACTCTGACCTCAATGATAGACCGCCTCCGGCTTCTGGTCCATATCCTCTGTGAGCTCAGAGACCGCCACGGGGTCACGGCGGAGAAACTGCGCGAAGCCGGGCAAGATGTGCGACGTCAGATCACACCGGCCAATCGACTAGAGGTATTGGACGAGATTTACTTTGTCCGGCAGATGGAAGAGCAATACCTAGACGGCGAGATTGGTATGCCTCTTCCCTCAAACCCTAATAGACCAAAAAAAGTAACGGGAGTATTAGACGGTGATACACTGGTACAAGTAGCCCAGACCCATCTGCCCGAGGCCGCCCACCAGGACGTACAGGACCTACCATCGCATGCAGTGGTGGCAAAAGTCGAGGAAGATGCGCATGACCATCACCACCGTCAGAGCAGTGTGTTGGAGGGGGCAGCAGCCCGTTGCAAAGGAAAACTGGTCAGAGGGTTCTTCCTCTCTCACCCGCCACTAGTCAGTCCAGTCCGCATAGCCCACCTGCAGGCAGCTATGGGGCCTATCCCGTGGCCATGCCACAACAGTCTCCCCGGTGCATACCGCACGCCGACCCAGGGTACATGACTGGGTACTATGGGCCGTTCGTAGGCGTCGAGAAGGACCAAGCACCAGAGTTGTGGCAGGCACCGGGGCATGCTGTGCACTATGGATATTGAGACAGTAAAAATATTGTTTAGTTGTTAGCCAATATACACGATTTTCCCGTTGTAGTGAATTGTCTATCAGTTGGGTGTCCAAGTATAGCCCTGGTCTCTGATTGGCCACAGCTGTCCAGCCAACCACCAGGCGCGGGCGAAGCACACCTTGCCTCTTCAACACCACAACCACCACCACTGCTCATCTTCACACCTTCCGCTTGCGTTGTTTGGTCTTCACTAAGCGTGTGACCCACGGTCATCAGGTATTTCTTGCCCCTCCTCTCCCCTCCCTCTGTCTCCTTCCCCATCTTGAACTCCGTCCTTCAAGCCAAAACAGCTCCTTTCACCGCGGCTCCAATATGGGCATGCTAACTTTTGGACGCTTTCTTAGTCGGCCTTATCCTCACTATAGGGACGGACCGACCATCTTTTCCTTCCAGCAGAAGTTTTTGATGGAAGACGCGAGCTCCCGACAGCGCAGAAAGTCCGATTCCACCGCCACCATGAACCCCGTGTCGCTGGCGTCGACGCCCGACGAGCGAGACGCGCCGTTTGATACCGATGAATACGACCATGACTACTTCTACTCGCCGGTCGCCTCGCCGGAGAAGCTGTCGCGAGATGGCTCCTTCAACAGCAGCAGCTCCTACCAGGAGGACTGGGAGACGTTTCCGCCCCTGGACAAGCTGACCATATTCGACTTGCTCGACAATATCCAGCTATCCCAACGCTTGGAGAGATGGCAGGAAGCCATCAACGCCCAGAGAGAAAGGGTGCGGAAACAGCGCGAAAAGCTCAAGTCGACCTCGATGAATGCCAAAGATCGCGTCATGGAGGAATTCAAGCGCCGCGCCCCAACGGCGGATGAGCAGTTCGAAAAGTACCGTCGTCGTGTGAAATCTGGGGTGGACCGGCTGGGCAAGCAGTGGAACAAGGACGCTACCGTGACGCTGCGCGAGAAGGTGTCGTTTATTGCCGGTGTGCTGAACGTCTTCATCAGTGGCTACTTGATCGGTGCCTGCCCACAATACTTTTACCTCTGGTTCAGTGCTCAGCTGGTCTATTTTATGCCGATCCGGTATTACACCTACCACAAGAAGGGCTATCACTACTTCCTGGCCGACCTGTGTTACTTTGTGAACATGCTCTGCATGCTCAGCCTCTGGATCTTCCCCAAATCGAAGCGGCTGTTCATCAGCACTTTCTGCCTGACATTCGGCAACAACGCCGTGGCCATCGCCATGTGGCGCAATTCGATGGTCTTCCACAGCATGGACAAAGTGGTTAGTCTTTTCATCCACATCATGCCGCCGGTCACGCTGCACTGCATCGTCCACTTGACGCCGGTCGAGATGCTCAAGGAACGATTTCCCGCGGTGTATGCCATTAAATTCAGCCAGCCCGGCGAACCGGGACACTACTCACTCGGGGCCATGATGATATGGGCGACCGTCCCGTATATCATCTGGCAGTTGATGTACCATATCATGATCACGGTGCGCCGCGCAGACAAGATTCGGGAGGGGCGTCCGACAAGTTTCACATGGCTGCGCAAATCATACTCCAAGGCGTGGATCGGGCGGTTTGTGCTCAGCCTTCCCGAGCCACTGCAGGAGGTAGCCTTCATGCTGATCCAGTACACATATGCTCTGTCAACGATGATCCCATGCCCACTCTGGTTCTGGTACCGGTGGCCGAGCGGCATCTTCATCACCGCCTTGTTCATCTGGAGCATCCACAACGGTGCCACCTACTACATCGATGTCTTCGGCAAGCGCTTCCAGAAGGAGCTGGAGCAGCTGAAGCATGACGTTGCCCGGTGGCAAAGCTCGCCCGAGGGGGTGATGAGCCCGTTGCTTTCCCCAGACAATGCCTCGTCCATCGACCTCAGCAGCCGCAGGACGGCCAGTCTCGACCGCATCCCTCTCTTGGACGCCAATGTTAACGCCTCCTCGACGGGCGCTCAGACTGACAAGGGCTCTGCTCGAGAGAGAAACTAGAGGCGTGAACTTTTGTTTTCAAATTCCCACTTATGATACCCCTAGCATATACGTTTTCGTGCCTCTTATGTTTGTCCAGAAACCCGTTCGGCTTCTGTCTGGTCCAGCGTTTTGATCCATACTTGATTTACCAACTGTCCACTTAATCTCTAGAATGACAACAAGATGAAATGTAACCAGAATATTACATGCAAACGTATATCTCTCTCGATTATCGATAGCGTTCTTCGCTAGGGCTGGGGCTAGTAGACCAGCAACTGGCGCATTGAAAATTTCGACTTACATCTCAACACATTCGGGGATGATCATCTGAAGTGCATCTCTCATTTAAGATTGAGGATCTTCCAGATGCTCGGGTTACAAAGCTGCCCTGCTTGAATCAGTTGAGCCTTGTTGTGCGTATGTATGAGAGTCCAACGATTCCAGACAAGGCACTCGAAAGCTTTAAATGCTGCGAAGAGATGTGGGTTTGCAATTTTGCAGCTTGGGACTTCCATCCCTCTTTTGTAAATTTCCTTGGAGTAGTTTCGTGTACAATCCACTATTCTACAAAATATGGCGGTCCTTGGAAGTCTTGAGTTAGGGTTCGGGGATCGGTCGTGAGAGTGTGGAGTTCAAATTGATTTCGACTATACAGGAAGTTTATCAGATTGTCTAAGAATAGTTAGTGCCAATCTGACAAACCACCCGCATGCGGTCACGTGGCGTGCAAGAATGACCTTTGCCTGCATCAATGCCCAATCTTCGCACCTTTCATCGTTCATCAACCTTTTGGGACTTCATATCCATTGTGATCGTGGTCGATTCCATCTGTATTCATTCCCTTGCCGCCAGTTGTTGCGCTTCCGGCTCCTCCGCTCATTGTCTTGGACATTCTCATTTTCTCTCTCGCCCCCCAAAACACTTCCGCAAATGTCCGCCACGATGAGATCGGCCAGACTGGTGCGCAACACGGCTGCGCTGCGGCCTGGTCTGAGCGGTAAGGCTTTCATTACTTTCCTACGAAGATAAAAACTGATTTTTTTAATTCTTGGTGAAGCCCGCACCCGTCTCGCCAGTGCATTGGGTCCGGCCTCCGTGGCTGCGGCGAACCACATTTATTGGAACGGACGCGGCATGCCATCGCAAGTGACTGCTCTCGCCATTCTCGTTCCTCAGCAGCGAGGATATGCGACCGAACAATCCACATCCAACACCTCGTCTCAGTCCTACCCTCCCCCCGGATTCAACACAGAGCAAGCGAAGAAGCCGCTCCCTCAAAGCAACAACCAGCCCTCCAAAGAAACTACTCAAACAGATGTCGCTAAGTTGGCAGATGCTTCTCAGGGTAAAACACAATCCCGCGAAGTAGCGACCAAGGCCGTGACGGAGGAGAAGAAGGTGGCGGAGGGAAAGAAGGAGACCAAGAGTTTGACCATTGGACAAAAAATCAAAAAGGAGGCTCAGCACTACTGGGATGGCACCAAGCTGTTGGCTACAGAAGTCAAGATTAGTACGCGGCTGGCATTAAAGATGGCCGCGGGGTATGAGCTTAGCCGCAGGGAGCACCGTCAGGTTTGTTCAGAACATCCAGTGCATGGCGAAGTCAAGAGTTAACATTTCAACAGCTTCAACGTACGGTGAAAGATCTGGGTCGGCTAGTTCCGTTCTCCGTCTTCCTCATTGTTCCGTTCGCGGAGCTGCTGCTCCCCGTTGCCCTGAAGCTTTTCCCCAACCTGCTTCCCAGCACTTACGAAGGCCAGAAGTCCCGTGAGACCAAGGCACTGAACCTCAGTTCGACGCGCAAGGAGGTGTCCGGTTTCCTGCGAAACACACTGCGCGAAACTGGCTTGCCCTTGACCGCCGCCACGGTAAAGAATGAGGAATTTGCAGACTTCTTCCGCAAGATCCGCGCCACGGGCGAATCACCATCTACCGAGGATGTCATCAAGGTCTGCAAGATCTTCAAGGATGACCTGACTCTGGACAACTTGTCTCGACCGCAGCTAGTGGGCATCTGCCGGTACATGAACCTGAACTCGTTCGGCACCGATGCCATGCTCCGGTACAACATCCGGCACCGCATGCGCCAGATCAAGCGGGACGATCGCGCGATCAACTATGAAGGGGTAGACTCGCTCTCCGTGCCCGAGTTGCAAATGGCCTGCGCTTCTCGTGGTATCCGCACCCACGGTGTATCCCCCGCGCGTCTGCGCGAGGACCTCACGATGTGGCTGGACTTGCGTCTGAACCAGGGTGTTCCGTCTACTCTTTTGGTCTTGAGTAACGCATACATGTACACGCAGGGAGGCAAGGAGTCCGAGATGGCGTCGCAGATCGACGCTCTCAAGTCGGTTCTGTCCAGTATCCCCGAGGAGCTGTTCCACGAGATCGAGCTCGAGGTTCACAACGCCGAGGGTGCGGCGACCAACAAGCAGCGCCTGGAGGTCCTCAAGGAGCAGGAGGAGCTGATTGAGGAGGAGAACGAGCAGAACAGCGAGAACGAAGGCAAGGCGGTACCCAAGGACATCGAGGACATCGATGACAAGGAGGAGGCCAAGGTCGATGCTTCTTCGAGCAGTAGCGAGAAGCAGTCCGCCGAGGCCACCGAGGCCCTGTCGGAGGGTGAGAAGGTCGACCAGACCGAATCCACCGCGCCCAAGGAGGACAAAAGTCGCCCGTAATGACTTACTTTTTGGGGTTCTGCGTTTTCGGATCTGGGGTTCCTCTCATGCCATGTATAGACTGCTCTGTTTCATTTCTTGATCTGTGTTACTTCCTGCTTTGTTCGATAGACCACTTCTCTCTGGTTCCCCTGCATTGACCCCGGCCCCCCCCTCATTCATTTCGCTCATTCTTTTTTTCTATCTAACAATCTCACACTGTATGTACCATAACATCAATCCATAAACATCGACCATTATGTCATCACGTGGCCTATAGTTAGTTACCTCGGCCACTCTCGGGAATCGGTGCGAGAATTCCAATCCAACGGCCCATACCATGCGGAGGCTGCTTCTTCAATCCGTCCGCAGTCTTTCCACCTCCAGTGATTTCAAATCCATAGCGAGCATGGCACCGCTCAATCCCGCCGCCCAGGTATGTACGACCCTCGCTTGGTTGCCTGTATCTGCCCGCGCCGCGTGGGTTCAGCCATGCCTTCCTTCGCTTCCATCTCATTTTCTGAACTGTCGCATTTTTTCCCGGGTTGGGTTGTCTTGCCTGTATTGACTTCAAATTCCTGAGACTTGAGCCAGCCGTGGATGGTCATCCCCCTGGTCATCCGACCATTCCCCCCTTTCACCCATGTCTCGCCACCAACCCGGCTCAGGGCTAATGATATCGCGACACAGGAAGCCATCCACCGGCTACGAAACTATGTTCCTCCGCCAACGGCATACGACACCGTCCCGCTGTCCCGGCGTGCGGCGGTGCTTCTGCTGCTCTATGCCGACCCGCAGGGCGACCTGCGGATCGTGATTACAATCCGGGCCAAGACACTCAGGTCATGTAGGTACTTACCAAAAAGAGAACCAAAAACCCCCGAAAAAAACCAGCCCTGTTTTCAGGTCTGCGCAGCCGACGCTGCACGACATGCGCCGCTAGGCTAACCCGCATCAGATGCAGGCGACGCCGCTCTACCGGGAGGTAAGTTTACGCCAGGGCCCCTGGCTTGCCTCGCCCTCTCGCCTCAGAGTAGACAACATTCCGTAAAGAAAAAAAATCCTCCCCAAAATAAATATTAATGTATAAATTGAGTCTAGGCCGGGCAGATACGCTCGCCGAGACGCCGTTCCAGACCGCACGCCGCGAAGCATGGGAGGAGATCGGCTTGCCTAACATCGGTTCCCCGTTACCAGGACCGTTCGCCGTGGAGCATCTATGCGAGATGCCGGCCAATCTTGCCAAAACGGAGCTGGTGGTCCGGCCGTGCATCGCCCTGCTTCACGCCCACGACGAGCGCACGGGCGAGTCCGCCGATCCGGAGGTGTCGCTGATTCCCAAGCTAGATGCACGCGAGGTCGCTGCTGTGTTTACGGCGCCCTTCAAACAATTTCTAGCTATGCGCGATGAAGGCCTTGCTCACCCGCCGGATTGGTATCGGGGGTCGTGGAGCGCGTGGCATAATTCTAACTGGCGCAGTAAGTCAATCTATCATACATCCAAATCATCTGTCAATGTCAAAACCCATGCGAGTGCGATGTAGGCAGACCCACTCGGGCTTGCCAGGGATACCTGTTTTTGTTTTCTTACTTTTTCTTTTTTTTTTTAAGGCTCCGGGGAGACTTTGCCGATCCTTGGGTTCTTTCTTTGCATCCCTCCCTGGCTAATCAAATTTATATTTAGTGCATCAGTTCTTTGTTCGCCCGAATAGGACAGCAGCCGTCCAGCCTCGCCGGGGGAATAATGCGGACGATAACATCGAATCCTATCGAGTGTTCGGGATGACCGCCCGAATCATTGTTGATGCAGCACGACTCGCGTTCAACACCGAACCCCAGTTCGAGCACAATAGTCACTTTGGCGACGAGGCGATGATCGACCGGCTCCGACGACTGGGCAAGCTAGCGGCGATCCGGAAAGCATCGGACGAACTGACGCGGGAGACGATGGAGAAGGCAGCCAAACTAAGTTGAGCCATGTAGCTGCAAGGGTGAGTCGGGGCTAGTGAATCGGGCCAGGTGTAAAGAATAATACGAATACATTACTGCCCCATACAAATCCTCATCAGCATCATCCCTTGCCGTATTATTGTCCGTGCACCCGATGACGCTTGATCGGCATGCCCTAATTGACTGATGAACCTCGTCAGTATTTGACCGCTGCATTTCCCCTCTTCGTTCTTTGTTTGTCGGGGAGAGCATTTCCTTTGTATCGCGGATGGCCGGTATATTCTTTTAGTCTGTTCTGCAGCGCTCTCTATAAATATCGACTCAGATCATCATGCCCTCCCGGACATCTACCTACTCTGTCCGAATGGCACCGCCTGTGCGACCTTCCCGGTCACTCGAGGGCATGGAGCAGGTCATCCCTCCGACATTTAAACATCCCTTCTCACCCTCGCACTCCGAACTCTTCCTCAACAAACCACTCCCCGCCATGCCACTGCTGCCCGATCCGACAGAAGAAGAGCCCGCCGAGGGCGCCTTCTGGAGTGACTCGAGCGACGACGGCGAGACCGAATCCACCGTCGACAGTAGCGGCGGACCCAGCGAGCCTCGCCATTCCACGGAGTTGTATCCCATCCTTATCAGTTCTGGATCCAACGACTTTGTCGACTTGGTCGATCACCCGGTCCCATCATCTACTTCCGCCGATCATCATACGGCTCCACGCTTCCTCACCCCAGAATCTCGGGTAGACTCCACCGACTCGGACAATTCATTCATCCTGCAAGCACGCTCCATCTCTGAAGTCCAGTACGGTCGCCCGGCGCACTGGCCGCAGCGCAATAATAATGGCACGAACCACTATTTTCGCGAGAAGAAATGGGATTTCTTCCCGGAGTTGGCCGACCCCTCGTCAGCCACCCAGCAGAACGGGCGTGGCACGCCGAGCCTGCGGAATGGCAAATCGGGCAAAAAAGACGGTCGGCTGATTTCCCTCGACTTGAGCAAGGGAGGCCGCCATCGCTGGAAATCGCTCGATTCCCGTGCCCTTGGTGGTGTGCGCGACTCCATCAAGACTTATGTCAGTCGTACCCTGTCCAAGGGCTCTGCGGAGGACACCGCGAGGCGGCAGCCACCACTCCCATCGCCATTACCATCACCGACGCGGCCGACTACTGCGCCCTTGGGGGGCTCACGATTCCCCAAGTATTCGTCGCCCCGCCCGTCGGATGACGGGGGCGAACTGCTCAGCAATAAAGTCTTTGCGCCCCAGGATTCTGGCGTTGAACTACGGACCATGTCGGTGTCGACCAAATCCAGTATGGACAGCAACCTAGTAGTGAGCCCGAAGACCAATTCACCGCCACGACAGAAACAGCTGGCTGTTCCGCTATCGCCATACCAGAAATACGGGGCCACCGTCTGGGAGAAGGAGACGCCCAAGTCAGCCAAGAAACGCTCCGTTCGCTTTCCGCAATACACGACGAACCACCGCACCTCCATGTCTACCACTCGAGCTTCTGTGTCGAGCCGCAAGTTGTCCGGGTCATCTGCTACCCACCATCCCACGGCCTCGTTGTCAACCCCGCAGCGAATGCAACACCAGGGGAACTCGCGGGGCGCCACCCGAACTCTCCAGGATGGGAAGAGCCATCTGCTCGTCGCGACTAAGCGAATCATCCAATCTAAGGAGGATCGCCGGCGCGAACAACTCAAGGCTCAGATTAAACACTTTGGGCCCCTCGGTGCTCACGGCTTTACGGTGAACCAGTGGACCTAGTTCACTCGACTTGACTTACAACGACTCCTACGATCTATTTCATTTTTGTTCTGTTCTTCTAGCGCTGTCTTTTCTACGACTGACTCCGATTACCCCTCTCTTTTTCCTTCTTTTGACTAGCGTGATCTGATGGGCTCTTTTTTACTTATTGGTTTGTTTTTCCCTGCGTGGCATTATTACTGTGGTGGCATTTGACATAGACCTGCGGGCGTCCCTTTTTGTTTTTTATTTAGCACCCGGCGGGAGATCCGTGTACAGCTGAGATGAGAGAGAGAATATAATCCGACCATTATTTTGGGTTTCACTATCTGCTGCATTGCTTACTTTGATTTTCGCTGTTGCTCGGTCCCGTTGCACAGACGCCTAGACTGCAGGTCCTGTCGTTTGCTCTGTCATATTGTTCCGTGTAACTTCCATGTCAAGCGGTGTCGACCACCACGTTGGCAACACCCAATTCCTTGCGTCAAGCTTAATCCATCGGGGCCTTGCAGCACAGGGCAGGATCGGCACAACCGATCTTCGCTAACAGCGACGATGAACCCCATCACTGCCGTCGATCCCAGCCCGGCCCCCATCCCGCAACAGCCCCAGCAGCCCCAGTAAGCAAAAAGCACTTGCCACCACCAGCAGAAGCAGAAGCAGAGGCCAAGTTTAGGGCGGGAGTAATCCCGCACGAACCTCTCCTCGTCGAGATTTTCCGGCACCGGTAGCTTGACCCGCGCGCATGTCTACTTGCGCGAGCGATCTCATGCACACCCTACTGCGAGCGACTGGACCCGGAGAATTTCTTCGTCATGTCATGGCCATGCAATGCACTATGTCAACTGCTCCCTCACAGCCACTACCAGCAACGGCAGGAACAGCAGCGGGCCAGTTTTTCTGACCCATCATCATCATCATCCAGCCCATCGTCATGTCCAACAACCCTTCAACCCCCCAACCCCAATCCCCCACGGACCGTGACGTCTTGATTGCGATGATGGCGAAGGGCGGATATTCCTTTGCCTTAACGAGGTTGGCGGTTTATGCTTTGGGGGCCGTAGTGGTGCCACTCTGTATGTTTTGTTTTTTGTTTTCTTCTACGTTACCGTTAATTACAGACGGCCCCGGGGCTGTTTTAAGTTTCTGGGTTTCAGGGCGGGGCTGATTTCTTGAGGATGATTTTCTTCGATTTGTATACCGCGCCAACGGTCTTTCCTGGCGAAGCCAAATATTTTATGCAGACGTGCAGTGCCTTCAGTAGTAGCGGGGTTACTTCTAGATTGACTTGTGTTTCATGCAGCTGTAAAGGTTTGTTTATGGTAAGTACTACGGCTTGCCATCACTTTGTATACGGTGGTTTCGGTAACTCCTCAACTCGTTCGAGTTGCGGAAGCTTATCAGTTGCAGCGACAGTACCCTCAACTATTGTCTCCTTTCGATATATATAGGATCTCTCACTGCTTTGGATACTCTGAACCGCCTCTGCTCCTAAACCTGAAAGTCCAAAATGGCACCACTCGACCACGGAACCTCGATCTCCACCACGCCCTTCTTGCCAACAGGCACGGTCTCACCAATGGTCACATTGTGCAAGCGCACAGGTTTACCATTGTTTAACTCGTAGTTATACGACCATCCGTTCCAGGTAATGCCGGTAATGGCATCACTTCCATTCGCCATAAGCCTCTGAACAGCCAAAGTCTTGCCTGCTGCCTGCTCAGGAAGCTGGAAAGCATACTTGGCCGAAGGACGCTGCGACGCCGCTGTCGATCCCGTGTAGTTATATTCTTGCATATTGACCACGGCAATGCGCGCCAGGTTGTCATTGACGTACGCTGCATAGGCAGACTCCGTATCCTGGTCGAGCGGCAGGTTGAGTACGCGGACATGGTCGTTGTCGTTGGCACTCAGCATCGCGGCCACCATGACGTTTCCATAATACGGGGCTTTGGTTCCCTTGGTCGTTTTGCTGGTTTGCACTGGCTGCCATGAAGCATACCGGTAGTCGGTCCCCTGATGCATGTGCGTGCGATGGATGCTCTGTGACGCAGAATACAGGTTGAAGTCAACGCCCCAGAGTGCAGCGCCGAATGAGTTGGATAGGCCTGGCTTGCCCTCGTTGTAGAGCGAGTTCATCTCGCCCAGGATGTAAGGAATACCCGGGGACAGGCCATCAGATTGTAGCTCGTGCGCTAGCGTGGCGTGCTGGTCGACGCTTTTTATGACGGATGTGTGGTTCATCAGTGTCTTCTGTAGTGTCACGCCGGGCTGTGTCGCGCCTCCCATATAGCTAGAAAGACATATCATGTAAGAAATACTCAGCAATCCCGGGAGTAGACTCACTTGTGCATCGAATTCAAGCGAATGTTCTTGTCCGAGTCGAGTCCGTCTCTCCACGTCTTGACCGGGTCAAGGCTATTGCCAATACCAGCAAAAGAAGGTGCAAGATAGGTGTACGCCGAGTCAGTCGCCATCTCTGGGCAAGCATGCGCCATCTTCTGCTTGATAGCTCGCTCCTTTGTGAGCCAATTGGCAACATAGTCGCTCTCTGTCCAATTCTCCGGCCGCGGGTTGAACTCGCCACTGCCTGGGAACAAGTCGGGCTCGTTGCCCAGTTCCCAGTGCATCAGCTTGCCGCCCGCAAGGGCATTGCATGCCAATGGCACAGATGCCAACAAGCTTTCCATTGCGGCAGTGCTATTCTTGCCAAGATTAAACCCGTGGCTGAACTTGGTGTTGGGCCAGGTCGAGTACGACTCGAAGAATGATGGGCCAATGGATAGGAGGTACGGGTAGTCCGTTGACTTTGCTGGGACTATGGTGCCATTGGTCGCCGTCTTTAAATTGGGGTCATAGAGGGCGAAGTCCCTATACAATGGATGGATATGTCAGCAATGTATACTCGTAAGTTGTCCTTGTCGATGGTGGTTCATACTGGGTGTTGCCGCCGACACGAATGTACGGCTTGGTGCCTTGGAGGTTGGCGAGATTATCCAGTAGATTATTTGAGAAATCATTCGGGTTCGACTTGTTTCCTACAAGAAACACGCTTTAGTATTTGTTTTCAACGTACCGTCTGAGATACGCGGGGGTGTTCACCTGCGTAATCAGGGAAGAAGGCGAATTCAATTGAGAATGAAACGAATGGGTGCAGAATACTGTCGCCGGCTTCCTGCGGTGCATCCTTAGCAACAGCAATAGCAGATGAAGCATCACTGCCAGTCGGCGCTGCAGCCACTGCAGCAGCCCCAAGAAGGAGAGAGACAATCATTCTCTATGAGTGGGTGATTTCTCAGGGGGGTCTTTTGTTTGACGATCGCAGCTGCTCAGAACAGCTGATTGCTGTTATATATTCGAGTCAATGCCGAGACACCCGATTAAGCTCACAACATGGCGACCATTGTCGGCAAACGGCAATTGACGCGACGTGCAAATGTTTCAAAAGCGGCCCATTCCGCAGGCGCTTTTCCCTGAATATCTTGAATACAGTCGAGCCCCGCCGGAGCACAGACTGTAAATATGCGGGGACCATGTCGGGGTTGCATTTTTGAGGTGATGATCGTCACCCGGTTGCTTGTTTTATCAGGGGTCGGCTATTGATCGCTGCACTGCCCTCATTTCTCCGCAAGTCGAGGGAAATAATTTAGTGAATTGGCCCTAGAGTCTATTGACTGCGAATTCATTAATATTGTATTAGCCTGAATTAGACTTGCGGCGCCGGACTCTGGATAAATCGTAGACATGACAACATCTATATTACAAGCCCATGGCCAATATCATACAAATAATGCTCTCAGCTTGAAATTTTCCGGCTTTCCAAACTCACTATCTTTATGGTATTAAGCCATTCTAGACAAGCCAATAATCACTTCTTACATTTCGTTTCGGCCACCTGAGAGGCAATCCATTCACAAACAAATTTCCTTGAAATAGTATATGAACTGCTAACGAGGCCGCTCTTACCAGAATAAAATTTATCTGCGCACTGACCAAGCTTCATATTGCTACATTAAGGATACCTAATGCGTTGTTATGGCGGAGTCCCTTTGCGATCGTGTCTTGGATGAGTTTGGTAGTGTACCCGATCAGTTCTAGTGCTTGAAATGCATATCGTGACTAGTCGCTTGTCGCTTCTATAATAGGAGCGTGACTTTCCTCTAGTTCGATTATCTGGAAATTGTTTCGTTGTTATTACTATATTAGATTTATTGTCTATATCGAGCCTAAAGCCATGATAGACAACGAGCTACGAGACAGAGAAGTCTAGCAGGCCCTAGTCTGCTTTTCGTCCCCTCTCTCCTATTAGTTTCTAGGTAATAGGGCCCTTCCAGACCTTCTGATCCTTTTTCTAGTCATGAACCGCCAGATTGCTTCGTTGATTTTATACAGGACAAGCCCCCGATTCGCTTATTGAACAGTCGGCAGCAAACACGAGAAAACGCGTGAACTGCTCTATCTTCACGCAATAACAACCTTTTAAGGGGTTGTGACACCGGTCATGATATCGTTCCAGACTTGCGCGGCTTCCTCACCCTCGAGATCAGCGGTGGCCGCTTCTGCCTCGTAGCACAGATCAATGGTCGACTGGGGTGCATCGCATGGGCTGCGCAGACGGTTACAGATCAGATCTTCAGGTGAGTAGATGGACGTGTCACTGCCGAAGGGGAAGTCTTCCTGATTGTTGGTTGTGTACGCGTACGTGGTGCGGTTGTCCAGACCGTACTCGTAGTTGATTGTCGGGTCTGAGCAGGAGCCGTAGTCGATGGGGCTAGTTGTGCAGGACGGGTCGGCGGTCGTCACGGTGGCGGTGGTTGTTTCGATCAACGTTTTGGTCGAAGTACTGGTGATGGTATCCGTAATAGTTTGATAGTTGGTGTCGGTGGTAGTATCGGTGCTGGTGCGGGTGACGGTCTCAGTTGTAGTGACACCTGGATCGGTCACAGTCGAGGCTGCTGTCGTCACGGTATCAGTAGTGGTTACTGTCGGTCCGGGAACTGTGATAGTCGATGTTGATGGGTCTGCCGTCATGGTTGTAGTGTCTGTGGTTATCTCTGTGCAGTCGCTGATCGTTGAGATGACAGTATCAGTCTCTGTAGTTGTGACAACTGAACCACCTCCACCCGTAGTCACGGTGGTAGTAATCGTCTCTGTGAAAGTGGCTGTGCCGCCACCGTTATCATCGGTCGTGATGGTGATTGTTTCCGTCGGTTTCGGAGGGCTACAGAATTTGGGTCAGCTTTTTGATAAATTCAATATCTAATTGCAGGTAATCTAACCAGTCAATAGTCACGGTCAGGGTCTGTGGCCAACCACCGCCACCATTCCATTGACCACCACCACCGTTGCGGCCACCCGCGTGGCCGCCGCAGGCTTGGCCATTCCAGCCATCACCGCCATCACTAGGATCGCCGTGGCTGACAGCTCCGTTGCTGTTGCCGGGCCAGTTGCTCGGCCAGCTGAAACTACTGGGAATACTCGAGGCAGGGTGAGCCACGGCGAAGGGGAGCACCTGCATCAGCAGGGCCGAGAGAGAAATCAAATCTGAGCAGGCACGCATTCTGATCGCGTCTGAGGAAGAAAGAAGGAATAAAAAAGTGGACAGTGCCGGGTCCTATATTAAACAAGTCTGGGCGATGTTTTCAGAGATCATATAGTTTCTTTGCGGAATTTAGGACAATTTATAACTATGTTTTGTTGAACAGCACTATGCCTTATACTGATCTTCGGAGCACAGGCCTCCCCAAGAAAGCATGTTACCGGGGCCATGGTTTCTGGAATGACGGTAAATAGCGTGACATACGCACAGGTCTGGATTACTCCCAACCAAGAAGCCGGGGATGATCTGTCTTTTGAGGTAACCCGACCTGTAGCCATTAAAGGAATGGTTTGGATTTTATAGCTTCCATTTGGAGAATGCATCTGCCGATCGAGCATTCCGGTAGCCCGATCTTCTACCGCAATGTGATATGTGATATCTGGGCTAAATTCCAGACGTCGGTGCCCTAGTAAATGAAAATTTCATAGACTAGGGTAGGTAGTGCATTCTTTGTGACGACGCTCGGTTGTTCCCATACACCCTTGAATCCCGATGGACTTTCCAACGTGTTCTTCAACGCTTTGTACTCCACGATTATACTCACGAGACAGTGCAAATCTTTTGGTTGGTCAGTAAAGTTCTCGTCAAGTCTGATACACCCACAAATAATTATTGACCTCTTACTCTTAAGGAATTGGATGTAGGATTATTAGTATTGTTTACTTTCGAGCCCAGTCAATTGCGTTATACAAGCAGAAGGAAACAAAGTGATTTTTAGGAATGCGGAGCCGATATATCCAGCGAGGGAGCCCCTGGACCCATGTAAAGTCACAACAGGCGAAATCTTGAGTACTAAGTAAGCCCAGTAACTATGTAAAACGTTGTAGTGACGGTTGAAATTCAAGCATGCTCTCTAAAGACCTTCTTGTTGAACTAAGAACTATTTTGTTGAATTGCCACCAGCTTCTGCTACCTTGCATCGATGCATCCAAATTTAACTCGTCTTAGACAGTGTCTGTGGCATATTATAGATATTTGAACCCAATTCGGTTGTTTTTAAGTAGAGAGCCCTCGATGCAAATTCTATCTACTTCCTATAAAGCGCGATAGAAAACGAAACGATCGAGAGTTTCGTCTTTAAGCTTCAATTTTTACTCTCGACCTTCAAACGTTTCTTTCCCACTGATTTTCCGGCTTGCCATGCTCCCATTAATGCTGCCATCGCAGAATACCTAAAGGTGAGGAACATCTTGCTCCTGAGGACCTCATAGTACCAGTTTTCTAATGGAATTCGTGACTCCGCAGGCGAACCCAACCCCGTCAACACATCGCAATTTAAGACAGGCGGATATGTTTTTTTCCCAGGGAAATCCATGGTCGGAGAAACTTTCACAATGATTATTCCATTATACATAAATGGCGAAGTGCAAATTGAGGGTCACCCGCTGGATATCGATCACTATTACCATATCCCGAAGAGGTGCCACATTGATGTGTCTCAAGATGCCAAATTGGTGGCGCTGATTATAGACTCTGCATGATGCACACCGTATTCATTCCTAAGTCTTTGCATTCAATATCGATTTCTATGTACATGTAGAGTTTGGAAGTGCATTTAATTTGAGCTGTCAGTCGCCATCCCTGAATGCCACGCTGTATACTAGCTGTGATAATCTTCAAATCCTCCCGCGCGGTTCTGCTTGCCGAAATTCGGGCGGATATCCTACACTGGATCCTAGTACCGAGAGTTCAAAATTGTGGTCGTCAAATCCGCGAACCAAGTCGTAGTGGAACTTTTAGAATGAAGGTTCTCAATAGGTTGACTACAAGCGTTGCCTAGACCCTATGCAACTGACTTCGGGTCATAGTAGTCAAATCCGTGAGCTAAATTGTAGTAGGAAAGCTCATTTTAAAGGCTCTCAATAGGTTGACCGCAAGCCTAGCCAAGACCCCATATAGCTAGCTCGGGATTATAGTTGTTAAATCCACGAGCTAAACCGTGGTAGGAAAGCTCATTCTGAAGGCTCTCAATAGGTTTGGCTACATGCCTTGCTAAGACCCTATGCAGCTGGCCTGGGGTCTTAATTGTTAAACCCACAAGCCAAATTTTGGTTAGTAGCTCCTTCGTTCTGAGATCCATTTAAGCTTTGACCGGAGCCCGACATCCTTAAATCACAAGGTTCTGAAATGTTGCTTTGAATTTCAGAAGCTTGGAATATGTCCTAATAGGAATCTTGCCTATTCTAAATTCCCGAGTGCCATTCAGGTTGCGCTAGTCTGTTTGAATCATGCGTTAATACATTCGTATAATGTTGCTACACGTTAACCAACGTCTTACCTTTTAAGGCAACGAATGTGCTCCTTGTTTTGGTTCTTTTGAACTAATGGACGACTCGATCTTTTCCCATAGAAAGCCAAAGACATCATTCGCCAGACAGTCCATGGTTTCACTCTGTTCAACATTGCGGATACCACGGTGTATCAACGAATTGATAAAGTTTTGCCTGACTTCTCCATTGATTGGAATTTCTTTCAACAAACTGCGAACAAGTTAGCTCAGAATTCAGGCAATCTGATAGTTAGTCCACTTAAAGGAGGACAAGCTGCGCTTAAGAATTTCAGGCCGAGCTTTTTGTAAAGTACAAAAAATGGCAAATACTGTATCAATCTTTTGTGTTTCGCCGTATATGTATGGGAAAAGTGTAAATGAAACCACCAGCACCGCCGGCTGCACCACCGCCTGCACTGCTAAGCTCTGAAAAGAAGGAGGGTTGAACTTAGAAAGCTCGAAATCGCATTATTTACTGCTTCAGCTCTCATCGGACGGCCGATTTTTCACTGGAGATGGGAGGCGGAATCCCTGGTCCGGTTCAGCAGATGGTTCGGTCAGAATTGTACCTTCCTCGAAAATGTCGTCCACATTGAAGACAAGCATTTCAAACGGGATGAGGTTCCTAGACTGTCAGCGGGAGTGATCGAGATGGTCGATATAAGACATACCACAAGCAAACCGAAGGCTCGGCTCTCACCGTACAGAAAATCCTCGCTGTCGACGCAAATGAGAATCGTACCATCTTCCTTCGTCTGCGCGTCCATGATGACGAAGGTGTACGCCGCATTGAAGCTTCGCTCCCCGTCGTCGGCACGGACGGACTCTCGGAAGATGGCGAGAATCTCCTCCGCCGATTTACCAAGGAATATCTTCGGGATCTCTCCGATCAGGCTCTCGTCGTGAATAGAAGGCCGTTCTTCCGACCCCATAACCGCGAACCCCGCTAGATCCGCCGATTGCGGTATCGCGTGGTACCCCTGGCCCTGCAAGAATCTATTCACGGCCTGATTGCTCAGTATGCGCTCCTCATTTCTTAGGGGATTTACGAAGCTTACCGAGATGGGGACATCTGCTGTGATGAACGTTGGGAATAGGAAGCGCCGCGGGGGACGATCTCCATCCACGTTGAGGTCTTTCAGGCGCTGGATCCTCTTTTCCTCTTCCGTAGTGACCTCTTCTTCAGTACGTGCCGCGAATTTGTCCAGTCGACTCGCCCGACGAGCCTCCCGCGCGCGGAGCTCTTCTTCAGTTCTACTGCCGTCAGTGATGCACCGACTGGGTTCTCGGCACTTCCTTACGGCTTCGACGGGTTTTTCTGGAGGCTGATAATCTCTCCACCATAGTTCAAGGAGATGCAGATGATTCCCATAGTCAAATACGCATGAGCTACGAGACATTAGCGCCTGTTGAATTTGGCAGCCTGAAATACTTACCATAGCCTTCTGGTATTCGTGCATTGAAGTAGCTTCGCGTCCCGTCGGTCGCGTACAGCCAGGGCGCGGGCATCATCGACGTGTAGCGCCCTTCTAAAACAGGCTCTTCGAATGTCTGTTTGGAGGAAATGTTGCGAAGTCGCGCCTCGCGACTCCATTCGATCCGGCAGTCATCCATGTTTCCAAAGGCAGTTCGCCCAGATCAATGGGAAAATCTGTGGAAGTGCGGAATAGGCGTATTCACTAGTAAAACTACTAGGTAGTCAGATCTGAGAATGATGAAAACGATGGTATTTAGGCTATCTATCATGTCTGTATTTATAGGGGCAGAGAAGCGGAAAAACTCTGCAATGTGGAAATTGCCCTGGGACGCCTAAATTCCATAGTGGTAGATCAGGTCATCGGATGCGGCAGATGGACCAACTAGTAAAATACCACTTCATGATGAAGGTGAGTGGGTGCCTGAGGTGTCAGCGCCCACCGCCGTAGTAGATAGACCTTCCCTTCTGGGAATCTAGGAATACCATCATCATCTCTCTCCGCTTCTTCTTCTTCTGCTCTTCCTAGTGATCCCCAATTCCAAGTCTTTGTCATGCCGGTCTCTGACTCCCCCTGAGCCACGACCGTCATTTAATTACCTAGGTATTCATTGTGGATTTGTGCTGATTGTGCCGCTTGCTTGATAGCGCCAAATTTGGTAATAGGCACATCGCACAGATGGATCAATTCAGAGAGCGTCGCCGATTTTCTGGCGTCCGAATTTCTTATTTCAAAGCGGTCGTTAGTAGAAGAACCCATGATGTGGAGGATTGTTTGTTCCGCATCTGTGGGCCCGCTGATAAAAGGCTCTAGTATTTGTATATACCTCTATCGTTGTAGATGGCGACATGTAGCCTAGCAGTTGAAGACATATTCAAAAATCGTTGACGGTTTCCACCAGAGGAGTAGAAAGTGTCGGATAGGTTATAAGTAGGAAGTGTTTGAGTGTTAAGTTGTGAAGAGACAAACAGAACATAGCAGCAGAGAGCCCGGAGGCAAAGAAGTCGAGAAATTGTTCTGGCGATAGGGAGAACAATGATGGTATTTATAGACGACCCTGATAGTGAGCTCAAAAAATAGTGATGTCGGGTGATAGCACTTACTAGATTCCAAGTAGAGGTGCTGACAATCCATGTCGGTTTGGATATTGTCGGCTAATCGTTTAGGGTACAGGCACAGTACGTGATACTAGGGGAGGGAGGCGCCTAATGCTGTTTCTATCTTTAGCTTCAAGAGAGCATTTCGCAACCACTAAATGATATAGCGTCACGCTCGCTGCTCGCATAAATGTTTCAGAGTCCTTAAGCGCTGGCTATGCGGTATTTAAGTAGAGCCTGTGCTTTCAGGCTTGCTTACTCTCGGGTGTTTGAATGCGTAGTGCTATACCCGCAAGTCAGGCTGGTTAGATACGACGAAGCTAAGTAACACTACCACCGGGGAACAATACCAGTGTCAAGGCACCAGAGATCGAAGCGATCCTTAGATGGCTCCTTATATTAACCCCACTAGTGAATTTTAACATTCCCTTCCCATGTACATGGATCAAGAATTTTAATTGTTAATTCTCCGTAGCCGCCAGCCTATTGATAACATTACGTAGATTAATAAAGGTCCCGATGCCATTTTGCTCCGACGACGTGTCCTACTGTGAGAGGTATTGCCTACCGACATTTATCTATTGAGGGTTGTCAGTAGTACTAACTCAAACTGCTACATCGAGGTTAAACTGTTCTGGACCCTGGGACTATATAAGTTTTCTATCTGGTTAAAGAGACGGTCTAGTATCTAGTAGACTTTTAAATAGTCTAATGCGGAAGGGAGTAATCAACCAATGTTAAACCCGTCAAGAACATTTCACCTACATAACTGAGCTTCACGGGTAAAAGAAACCTATTTCTTTTCAAGTGCAAAAGCTTGCCCACATGGAGCGCTGAATGTAGAGAGACTATCTTCCACGGTATCACCAGAAACAGATATTGAGTCGCCTCATGAACACATATGATCACCTTCCGCCATTTGAGAGTTGGCCCGTAACACGTTCTATGAAACCCGTCGGAGATCAGCATCACAGAGATGGCCGCCGACCTGCCTCGTTCTTCATCCCAGGCCTATGATTCGTCAACGCAGGACCCTTCCACTGTGAGTGGTCGCCATGAGTTGAATTACATCACACGTGCTGTCGTCGGCAACCTCGAAAAAGTTACCTGGCTTGGAGGGCATATCAAAGCGTCAACGTGTCATCGCCCACTCATAGCCACCAACCGCAGGCTGTCAGAGCTCATTGGGAGACGACCAGTTTTAGAAGCAGGGCGAACCGCCACCTTGGCACCCGGTCACTTCGTTGGGCCCAGAGAGATGATCATACGGGAAATCCTGATCGTTGACGGTCTGAGACCAGCAAACGGCATCGATGATCCATCGTACGTAAGTCTAGTGGGTTGGTCAGTTCCTATCCACGAAATAAAAAGGAAGAGAAACTCACCGCGTCGGTGGGCTCGCCGTCGTCGTTCTCAGAAGTAGGGTGGCCACCCGGCCAACTGTCCTTCATGTAGTCCAAAGAGCAGACAGGGAGGTTGAACATCAGAGCCTTCGGAGGTGCCTTAGAGCCTCGTAGGAATGGAAGGGTTTCCTTGAGGGACCAATCCTTCAGGTAACCACCTGTATCCTGGGACGCTATCGAAGCCTTGGCCACGTCGACGCCATTCAATCCCCACGAGGATAGCTTGTCGAAGCCAGGAGCCTCACCATAGGGCTCCCAGGGGTTGTCGATGCCCGCGTTCTTGATGAAGAAGTATGCCATGTCCCCATCGCAAACGCGGTTCTTCAAGTCGATGTCATCAGTGGTATCGAGGTCACAAGGCATCTTGCCATTGATCTCCTGAGATACCGAGACAATGAACACCGACTCAGTCGTCCACAGCCACGAGATCGCACCACTAACCATAGCGGCCTTCGCGGAACTTTTGTACTTGTCAAATAAACCGTCCGGGGCAGGTTGAGCGAACGTGCCGTTCTTAAGAACCCAGGGCCCGCTGTTCGCGTGGTCACTGTACGAATATCCGATTGCGCTCGTGTCCACCGGCTGTTGCAGGATTGTATGCGCGTATTTGGAGATGGAACCTTCGAACGCACTGGTTGCATTGGTCATTTGAGTTTTGAGAGTTCCTGTCCGATTGTTTTCGATGATGGCAGTGCTGTGAATTCTGTTAGCATTCTTCCTTTCATAGTATCTTTGACAAAAGCTCAGAATATGGTGAAACTGACTCTACAGAAGCCGAAGTCGATCCGATGAGGACACCAGTGGCAATTCCTGTAGTAGCACCGAGTGCTCCAGTTGCGGCGGCCAAGCCTGCCTCCCCCACGCCGCCTATGAGTGCAGCAAGCCCTCCTAAGATAGCACCGGCAATGATCAATGCTGAAGTTGCGTCGGTCTACATGAAACATTGTCAGTATTCTGAGGGGATATATTAACATAAGGTCTTTGTTACTCACGTCACTACTCGAGGTCAATTGGGTGGTAAAAGTGTTGACCAGATCATCGTCATAGCCACCAATGACTTCGTTTGCCACTTGTGAGAAGGCATCATACATGGCTTTCATATAAGAATAGAAGTTTGACACTCCGTAGAGGATAAACATGTAGAATGCGTTAAAGTCGGCATCTTGGACGCTCCCACCTGAAGAGCATGAAATCCCCCCGGTGTCGTCATAATCGAATTGACAACCCTCATCACTACATATCAAACATGGTCAGTAAGAAACAGTGTAAAGGGAGAATAGCATGGGCTGAGAACGCACAATGAGCAGTCAAACCCAGGAAAGCCAGGAATTTGGGCCATAATGCCCTCGGGATAGCTTCCTTTGAAGCTCCCTTCCTTTCCATCAAAAATAGAATCGGACCTGTTTCGCACTAATGTGAGCACAGGGACACCTTGTAAATGAACGGGCTAGGTTGCTCACATGGTGTGTACCCAGTAGTCCATTCGGAGCTCCTTCCAGTTCTTCGTTGTTCGGCCCTGTTCTTCACACGTTTTGGCCCAGTCTGGGAAACTGGTACCGTTTCTCTTCATTGGAATCCACCCATTCTCATCATAATGGGTAGGTTCTCTGCCGACCATGAATGGTGCAGCATCCGCAGAAAGTGCTATTGTGCCAGAGTTAGACAAACCTCATACTCATCGAGGTTATGAGGGACCTACCCAGAAGGCTGCCCGTCAAAAGGGTAAGCGTTCGCATTGTGTAAGAGTAGGTCCACGGGACCTGTTGCTGTACAGATCGTGTGATAATCACAAGGCAGAAAAACTGAGTTGTAGAGTGAGTCTACAAAGGAGAGCTGGACCGTAGACGTTATGATGCAGAGTTTAGTGGAACTTGGCCACTATTTATACCTTCAACCAAAGGACTTGGCCGAGGTGCTATGCTTGGCAGACTGGATGTGGAGAAGCAACAAGATGAAGAGGTGCAACTTTGGGGAAATCAAGTTCCACAGATCTCGGGGCCGGTTGTTGGTGTTTCATAGATGTTGGTTGATCGACTAAACGTATGACAATAGTGTATTCAAAGTGTGGAGGCTCTACCACCGTTGGCCAGTAACGTTTTTTGGGGAAGACCCGCACCTGCCAAGAATAGCATCCTTCGCGTCAGGGTTCATCTAAACCCCATGGGGCCAGGGGGAACATTAATGTCGAACGATAGATACTCGCGGTGATATTGATCCTGGAAGCTTGTCTGGCCCCAGCGACACAACTGATGCTGGGCACTGTGACCTTGCCACCCCTTGCGACTTAGTGCCAGGGAGTATGTATAGGTAGAGTTCAGTCGTCTTACAACCAGTAAAGGAACTACTTGTCAGGGTAGTAAGCCTATTGATTTACTAGTTGTGTGAAGCACAGATAATATGCACTGGCGAGAAGGAGGGAGCAGAGGGAACAGAGGGGGAAAGTGAGATGTACACCCGTAAGCCTGCAAACGGGGACCAGACGTGTCAATGCATATTGTAAAATTGCCTTGACAGGGGAAGGTACAATGCCAATCAGTACCTGCGAGTTCCATAGTACCGCTCAAACAGTTCAATCTGTGGCACAGCCGTTCCTGCAGTTGGAGTGAATCGGTCCTCCGCACCAACAAAGCGACAATTTGTGACAATAAACCAACTCCCTTGTATGGAATAGGCGCTGAGTTCTCTTTCAACCCTTCTGGCAGCAGACACAGATTGTTCTACCCGACAGGAAGAGGAAGCTGAGCAGCCTTTTTTGCCAAGAACACCTACACTTCGGCTATAATCATTAACACAATTCTTGGTTTGAGTAAGAGTTTCTTGGCACGGGATTTCCATTGAGGGAAGATTCTTGGCGATCCTTATTAGACATAAGTTCATGCACCCTAATGCATCCCTGTCTCAAAATAGAAACTACAGGGACCCAGAGAGTGCCTCGATACTTCGGCAGGCCGGCGTGAATACGAGGGCTGCAATCAAACTTGCCAATCACGACCTGATTGGACAAGGCTTTTCAGTACGCATGTGTGTGTGTGTGTGTGTGTGTGCCCATTCATTTACCCAGACCCTGGCAGCCAAGCTATACCTATGTAGGCTACGTAGTTGCCGACTAGAAGATCCTTCCAGAAAAACTTAGGTGCCTGTATTCCTTTTCTGCCGCCCTCTTGGTGCACGGCTCCGAAACCTCGAAGACGTAGTCCATATTCTCATAAGTCGTTTGGTAACCCATTTGAGACCAGAGTCGATTAGCTGAACTATTGTCTTGCTTAATGGCAATGGCAAAAACTTTCTTTTTCAGGGGTGTCACTCCAGACTGCTGCTGAGATAGAAGGATTGAAGAATTTTGTCCCCAAATCGTCTGCAGATCATTGAGTGCGGGCCTTGACTATTTGCCGAGGTCAGGTTACAGTTAAGGGCCACTTACGCCACGGAGGATCATCAGGGGCCAAAGCTGAAGGATTCAGGATCGTGGATTCTGCGGCCCACCTAGAGTACCAACACGCACTTTTGTTACATCATCCTCTGATTTATTAATAGCAAATCAAGTTTTCTATTCATACCGAATCCCAGAGTTATGAAAGACCGTATACCATGAGGCAGAAGGGATTTTTATACGTTTATTTCATTAATTCATTTGTTCAAGTTGCTTTTTCTTCAGGATCTCAAGGTTAATCATGGATAGCGCTAATAGATTTACGCGACGAGTTGCAAAACACGATCTCATTATCGAACATCGCAAAACTACTCACGGTGGGCTTCTCTGATCTGTAGAACTTGACAAGTTGAATTGCCACTTAAGTCTTCGTTGTTTGGCTACAGACCCGCAATCTTTTGCTGTTGCTTGTCATCATTTCTGATACTTTTCAAAGTTAATATACCACCAAAAGGGCGCAAGGGATATGAACGATGGTCAAAGTATTTATATAAGTCTCTCCACCCCGACGTCTCGTAGTTGCTCGAGAAGACGATCTTCATTTCGGCTCCCACAGGGCAGACGATCCTCTACTTTGTACGAATGAGTACGATGCAAATACAATGGTGCGCTTCATATGCCGTAGTAAGAAATTGCGATCACCATACGAATTGCGATCGACTTAGAGAGCGATCAAATTGAACCGCGCGATCAATCCCGGCGGGGCGACATGACTGGTTCCGATTTAACTAATGAACAAGATATAATCGCTTTGATTGGTTTGGGTGACGAAGTGGCCGGGCAAGTAATCCTCAAAGGAAGGCCCAATTTTGTCATTGCATGTAGGCAAAACGAATTCAGGGTGTATTTTGAATGAACGTACAGCCTGTTCCTGCTGCGAGTCTCTTCAAGTTATGTTATCAATCTGGCACAAAGATAGGGTGAAGATCTGCTCATAGCTCTGAGCACCATACCGTACTTGCACCTTGTTTGTGGAAGCCGTGCTCCTCCAGTTCAGGAACCAGGGCGTCGTATGCCGTTTCCCGGTCGTTGTGAGTCCGTTTGTAAAATAGAGTAATAATACCCTGAAGCTTTTTAATTGGCTTTATCGTCTGTTATGTCCTCGGCCCACGCGGTCCGAATACCTACCGCCTATTCCTTGCCAAAAGCATGCTTGCTGGGTAATGCGAGATGTGAATTCAGGCGATGGTGGGTAGGTAGTCTGTGTTGAACACCTCTTACCCTCGTTTCCCTTGTTCGGATCGATATATCAGGAGGTTTTCATTCCCAGAAGAACGTCAGGCATTCATGTCGTGTGTATGAGCACATGTCCATGAGCTGAAAAAGCGTTGGTGAGTCAAAATACCGAAATATCAGCCAGCGAATCTCTGGCGGCAAGTCCCAGAAGCGATGGAGCACTTCGTTGGCCGAGGATGATGGCGGCTCGGGCAGACAAATTTATAGAAGTGAGTCACTGGTAAATAATTGTCGGACCCGAATATCAGTTTAAGATCCGCCATGCCGGCCGGCAGCATGTGGACACATGGTGAAGGCATTGGATGTTCAGAGATGCGTGGTTGAGGCTTTGGGATTTGAGGGCGGACCTATGGGTTGCTGCTCGGTCAACTTGTGCAGCTCGAAGACCCAGCGCATGCAACCAGACTGTTTTATTTCTTAGTAACACCCACTGTCAGGGATATGCGATCCAGCTGTAAATTGTTGGATTCTGATGATGCTGAGTTGGTCGTGTGTGGGGTGCTAAATTCAAGGCAACTTGACGGGTCAGAGATGATTGGCATAACTCAACAGTTCTCCGAAATCTAACTCGACTACTTTATTTAGCAATGTAACGCAGTTTGGAAGATGAATTCTACATTGAAATGAGCTATAAAGGATACTTCGAAATGCTTCATTAATAAACTCAACCCGGGATATTCATCTCCAAGGCTCTATGAAGAAATTAAATAAGCTATATTGTAATGGTACTTAATTACAGCCATACCTATCATACCAATCCACCGCAAAGTCTAACGAAACCTTGAGCCCTGCTCTGCTATTGTGAATTCATTGTCCATATGATACGCAGCGGAATACTGGTCACGCTAGTCAGCCTTAAGGTAAGAATTGTCAAATAAACAATAGCATCCGTGAAAACAAAATCACTAAGGCTTTCGTGGCTTTGAACTATTACTAAGGAAATGGCAGAAGCAAGAGATAGTACTTGTAGGAGGCTTGAGAGTTGGAACCTCTACTATTTGGTCAATATGGCGGAATGCCTTTTCCACGATGCCATAGGCTATGGCGGCAGTAGTACCACGTACTACTACCAAACCATTATGATACCAGGATGAAAAGATACAGGGTTCTCGGACTCAAATCCAGGACCAGAGCTTTCACTCCGATCATGAAAATAACAAACAGCGCGGGGCAGTGTCCACAGATCTTAATTCTTTAAAGAATATTCGCGACAGACTTCATGCTTTCAGACCTTCCGTTTCACTGAGTGCGATATCAGTCGCTTTCGCTCTCTCAGGGAACCTTCAAAGCTCCTGAGAACTGCCGTTGGGTTTTGTAGCTTTTTCATCTCGCGAGACCTGCGGAAGCTTATTTATGATCGCTTCTTGCCAAGAAGAAGACCGCCGTTCTTCTCTAACCACCATTGGTCTGCGGCTGAATCTCCACTTTAGTCTCACCTCAGACAGTATCTCAGACAACGATCTCTCCAGGCCAAGAAGCTCCTCAAACAAAGACCACAACTGTCCAAAATATAAGAGGTTTCAAATTCCCTGAATCCCGGTCCCCCTCACCTATCGAGATCTGCGAAAATGCATCTTCTTGATTTGCCTACGGAATTGCTGCTTTTAGCTGCTCATTTTCTCGACGCAGAAAGAGACATTAACTCGTTGGCTCAAACCAACCGCCGGGTTTATTCTCTCCTCGACCCATACCTATATCAACGCAATTCGCAGAACTCTGGGAGTTCCGCGCTGTTGTGGGCCGCCCAACGAGGGAGTGAGGCGACGGCTCGAATCTGCGTTTTGGAAGGAGCTAATGTTGAGGCGTTTGATAACGTCGGCAGAACACCACTATCCTGGGCTGCGTCAAATGGCTCTGAGGCAGTGACCGAGCTGTTACTTGCGACTGGGCGGGTGGATGTCGACTCGAAGGACTCTAACGGTGACACGCCATTATCGTGGGCTGCGTGGGGGGGTCACGCGGCAGTGGTCAAGCTGTTACTAGAGACTACGCGGGTGGATGTCGACTCGAAGGACCGCTTCGGCCGCACACCATTAACTGAAGCTGCGTCATATGGGCATGAGGCAGTAGTGAGGCTTTTACTTTCAACAAAGCGGGTAGACGTGGATTCTAAGGACTCTGAGGGTTGCACGCCGTTATACCGGGCTATATTGCGTGGGCACGAGGCCGTAGTAAGCATATTGCTTGAGACTAGGCTGGTGGACGTCAATTCAAAGAACTCCTTTGGTTGGACGCCATTGTCTCAGGCTGCGTCGGATGGGCATGAGGCAATAGTGAAGCTGTTACTTGCGACTGGGTTAGCTGACGTGGACTCAAAAGATTCTGGCGATGGCACACCAACACCATTGTCTTGGGCTGCGCCAGGGGGCCACGAGGCAGTGGTGAGGCTGTTACTAGCGACGAGGAGGGTCGAAGGACTCCGCCGATCAAACACCATCGTTTAGGGCTGCGTTAGAGGGTCACGAGGCAGTAGTGGAGCTACTACTTGCGACTAGGTTGGTTGAAGTGGACTCGAAGAGCTCGTACGGTTTGACACCATTGTCTGTAGCTGCGGCAGAGGGCCATGAGGGAGTAGTGAGGCTGTTACTTGAGACGGGGAAGGTTGACGTAGACTCGAAGGACTCCGGCGATCAGACACCATTGTCTTGGGCTGCGTCGGAGGGTCATGAAGCAGTGGTTAGGCTGTTACTTGCGACGGGGAGTGTCGATGTGAACTCGAAAGACTCCCTTGGCGAGACACCATTGTCTAAGGCTTCGGTACAGGGTCACGAAGCAGTGGTGAGGTTGTTACTAGAGAATAAGCGGGTGGATATCGACTCGAAGGGCTCCGATGGTTGCACACCATTGTCCAAGGCTGCGTCGGAAGGCAACGAGGAGGTGGTGTCGTAATTACTTGCAACCAGGAGGTTGGATATGGTCGAGGATAACTAGGTAAAGCTAGAAAGGCTACACGCACCACAAAATCGCTCTATACACGCACTCCACACTAGCGGGTGGGCTTCGAGCTCGTGCACAAAGCAGCCGTTTGCCATCGGAGGCGATGGAGTAGCGCGCCGGGGTCGGACCATTGTGAGGGCTTCCTGGAGATAGGAGAACCAGCGCAAGGCGACAAGTGTAATTGGAGGAATCCAGTTCCACTGCGGCTGGGGCTGGAGCTGCTGTCATAACGCAAAGAGCACTTCCCAAGGCCTGAACATGCAACATGCACACCCGGGATATGACATCGTCAAAAGGGAGCTGAGAACAAAAACGGGTCGGAGTCGAGGGCGTTGTCGTATGCTGGCGTCCGCCTCTTGTGACAATGTTCTTTTTGATGTCCGCGGAAGAGAGAAAAGGGCCGGTCTCGTGGACGCTTTGGATGGGACGACACCATGTTGGGTATGGTCTATTTTTGAAGCTGTAACAGCACATGAACTATACACTTTACCTCAGGCTTTTACGCGTTTAGCATTATTACTATTCCGAAAATTCCTTAATTGCGCATTGTTAATTCAAGGAACCACCTCTCTTGTATGGCGCTAGAACGCCATGCATGCATGCAAGGCTACCACTCCCCAAAACGTTTAGCGTACTGTTGTCTCGGAATAGCGAATCAGGTTAAATTGGGCACCGCGCGTTTTGATGCAGTCAGCTCGCTTAGAAATGACAGGGATCTTAGGACCTAGTCACCTCAATTCGGGACAATTGCGGTTAATTCACTAAAATCAAATGCGGCATGATGTCTTTCCGAGGTAGGATTCTTACTCGGATCAAGCAGTGGCGTCTTCCCGTCCGTTCCAGGAGGCGAACACTATGATTAGGTTCCTTTAAACCCCTGAAGTCCGGGGAGATGTCGGCCTAACAGCCCGTCTTCGTTCTTTTTTTCATTTTGTATCCCTTGCAATTTTCTTGCAACTGAGGTCGTCTTTCTGTTTGGTAGAATTTGTCAGTGGCATAATGCGCTCCCTGTGGCAGTTTCTAGGTGCTTTGGTAGCGGCGACTAGCTTGGGTCTCGCGCAGGCTAGCAGTAGCACGTTGGGGACGGAAGATGATGTTGCAACCGCACTGGAGAGGCACGGCGTGTACGCGTCGACTGTCAATTTGTTGCGCAGCGCAAAAAATCAGCCAACGGAGGTTGCATGTCAAACTGCGGTAAGTCTATAGCGGGCTCATGCGACCTCTTAACATTGGTTGCAATACGATCTAATGCTCTATCGACCTATACAGTGCAGCAGCTTGAATTCCTTGTATGGCTCTCAAGTTCTGTTTCCAGACACTACGGCCTATAACAATTTCACTGGCTCGTTCTGGTCCGTGCAGCAAGAAGAGGTGCAGCCACGCTGTATTTTCAAGCCCTCCAAGAACACTGAGGTCTCTACTGTCGTTTTAGTGTCCCGACTCACCAATTGCCCATTTGCTGCTAAAAGTGGTGGCCATGCGGCCTTTGCTGGCGCATCCAACAGCCCCGGTGGTATCACAATCTGGTTCACGGATATGAACGAGGTGACTCTTAATGCGGACAAATCAGTGGCCTCGATTGGTCCTGGTAATGTCTGGGGTGCGGTCTATGAGGCTCTCGAGCCTTATGGCCTGGCCGTAATCGGTGGTCGTGCTTCCAGCATCGGAGTCGGTGGATTCACCACTGGCGGCGGCATCTCCTTCTACTCTAATCTGTACGGATGGGCTATTGATAATGTCGAGAGCTTTGAGGTTGTCACCGCTAGCGGCCTGATCGTCACCGCCACCGAGGAGGAATATTCCGATCTATACTGGGGTCTCCGTGGAGGCGGCAACAACCTCGGTCTTGTCACCAAGTTCAACCTCTACACGATTCCGAGCCCAATGATGCGCGGTGACACGAGAGTATTCCTCGAGACGGAATTTGACCCTGTCATCAACGCCTTCGTCAATATGGCCCACGACGCCCCGAAGGACGGCAATGCGCAGTACTACATTGCCTTCCTGAGCACGGAGGGAATGAACATCGCCTCGGCCGAACTCACCTACGTGAAGAACGTAACCAATCCCCCGATCTACCGACAGATCCAGTCCATCCCAGCTATCTCCGACAGCCCGGTCGCCAGGACGCTCGTGCAGTACGCCGAGTATATCGACGCCGACAATCCTAATGGGCTGCGTGAGGTCTACTGGCCGATCTCCGCATATCTTAACGAGGAGTTCGCCAAGTGGACGGCTGACTATTTCTTCTCGGTCATTCCACAGGTCGCGAACGTGGCAGGTGCCCAGCCGGTGCTGGTCTACCAGGCCGTGACAGAACCCATGCTGAAAAACATGACCAAATACGGAGGCAATGCGCTGGGTCTTGAGGCATCCAAGGGACCCGTGCACTTGATGCACGTTTCGTTCTGGTGGGATGATGCCTCGGACGACGAGACGGTGTATAGCTGGGTCGGCAGCTTCTGGGACACGGTCCTTGCCAAGGCGCAGGATATGGGCATCTACAATGAGTGGATCTACATGAACTACGCCAGCCAGTTCCAGAATGTCATCGCCGGCTACGGCGCGGAGAACAAGGCTCGTCTGCAGCAGGTGGCCGCCAAGTACGACCCTGAGGGTGTCTGGCAGACTCTCCAGCCGGGATACTTCAAGCTGACGCATGCGCCAGTGGCTCAGTCGCCTTGAGATGTCTGTGGCGAGATGTTGGAAAACTGTGTAGATTTGTTCTCCCATTTAGAATAATCTCGGGCTAGCGTGTGGCATGCTACTCGTGAACCAAAAGCAAGCAATGTGTACACTCTCGAAGTATTCGCGGGTAAACGGGTAGGGGACTACATGAGAACAAGCTCCTAAATGGATCGAATTATGTTGATAGCCATGTTATTCCACACTCCTCCCCTGAAAATAGCACGAAAAAGCAATGTCCAGCCGCAAGAAGTAATCTACACAGACGAAGGGGCGCAAGCAAAGATTCATCGCAACACCCGCATAAAGTTTCAGCCTAGAGGATTCAAGTGTACTTCCGAAGCTGTAGGAAATAGTTGTCAGAACCAGGCTGTGCAAAAATGATAACACAGATAAACTTACATCAAGCGTCAGGGATTTGCTGCTATTCTCCGCCTGATCTCTGAATATACCGACAAGAGCTTCACTATTCTGGAAGAGTCCAGTCTTGAGACTGATCACGATGAACTGCATGCCGGGGGCGGCATGATCGTGAATGTAGTTGGCAATCCGGGCGACGTTCGTGTTGTCGAGGGCGGCATCAACCTCGTCCAGTACGAAGAACGGCGATGGCTGGTACGAGTGGATGGCAAATAACAAAGCAAGCGCGGCCATGGTCTTTTCACCACCGGACAAGTGCTCCATATCCCGGAACCGCTTGAGGGGGGGCATGGCATGGTACTTGATGCCGTCCAGGTAGGGCTCGTCCGAGTCCTCGATATCCAGGTACCTGCAAATGTTGTCAGAAACGTATTCTTTGATCAGATAGAAGAAAATTACTCACGCTTGCCCACCCAGAGGATAGTTTGTGCTTCGCGTCAGCTCACGGTAGATTGGACCGATTTGCTCCGAAATGTGCGAAAAAGCCTTATTGAAGAGGTCGGAGCGCTTTTTCATCACGCCCTCAAAGTCTTCTTTAGCCTTCCGAGAATGCTTCCGTGCATCCTCAAATTCCTTCTCGGTGCTGCGAAGCTTGTTCTCAACGCTCTCCAGCCGCTCCATGGCACGAGCATTCGGTGCCATCTTGTCGAGCTCGCTGTTCAAAGTGCGGACCTTCTCAAGCAGCTCCTCTTCAAGCTTGTCATCCGACTCCTATTCCATGGTCAGTCAGTATATAAAATGTAAGACCCGTCATTATGTGTGCATACCGCTTTGAGAGAATCTCCCAGAGAGTCAAAGTCAACTTCAATTCCATAGTCTTGGACCATGGGAGTTTCACCATCCAACCCGTCCGCATCATCAACGTCCATGGCATCTGGATCTGCAGCTTGCACCAGATCGTCGATAGGAAGTTGGTCAAGAGAATTGGAATCCCTGGCCAACGGGATGTCAATATCTTCAAGCTTGCAGCGTCGCAGGAGAGCGTAGCGACTGGACGAATTCCGTTGAATCTCGGCTTCTAGCACATTCACATTCTTCAAAGCGGACTCGACGTTCCTGCTTCGCTTCTGGAGTTCTCTCCGCTGCTGAGTCAAGTTCTCTGCCGACTGTGCGTAGATTTCCTTCTGCTTCTCGAGATTCTCCTTGAGAAGCTCAAGCTCGGCAGCGAACTCGTCCAGCTGGTTGCGGATTGCTTCCTGCTGGGATTTGAGCTCCTCGATCAAGCTCATGTCACGCTCATATTGGGCTTTCAGACCATTGACCCGATCATCAGTTGCCTGAATCCGCTGCTTCTCGAAGCTGAGTTGGTTCTCAATCCGGCTCTTCTGGGTTGTAAATTCGAGCTTCTTCTGCGCAGCTTCTTCCTGCAAGGTGCCCTGATGGGCCTCGTACTCTCGGATATTGTCATATCCCAAACGTTTACAGAAATTCCGATAGATCTCATCCTCAACAGTGCTGACGGTGGCCTGGGACGTCTCGATGGTCTGGTCCAATTCGTCCAAATTCTCCTTCCTTTCGGTGTACTTTGGTCGCAGGTCCTCCAGCTGACGCTTAACAAAGTCCATCTCACTGCGCTTGCTCTCGAGATTCCTCGTGAGAGCCTTCAGCTCCTCCCGTGAATAAGTTAGTCGCTGCTCCAGACCAATAAGGTCACCCTGAAGCGTCTCCTCTTCGGAGCCCCGATGGTGGCTCTTGGGGAGATTGGCAAGATCACCCATCAGCTTGTCCTTCAGCTTATGCAGGTTCTCCACCTCGGAGTCTTCCCAGCGCTTGGAGTTCTGCTGGGGACCACGACCACCAGTCATAAGACCACCCTTGTGAATCACAGTACCATCCAGGGTGACTGCCTTCGCATCCAGGTTTCGCTCGTAGCACAGATACTTGGCCGTCTGCAAGTCATCGCAAACAATGGAGTTTCCGCAGGCGTAGCTAATGGCTCGGGAAACAGAGTCATCGAAGTCGACAGTCTCGATCGCAGGGCGCATTCCCCGGTGCATGCCTTTCAAGTTCGAGTTGAAAGCCTTGACCTGAATGGTTTCGAGCGGGATAAATGTAGCCTGGCCCGCTCGCTGATCACGAAGGTGCTGGATGCATTCCTTGGCGGTCTTCTCGTTATCGACAACGATGGCATCAAAGTGTCGACCCAAGACAGTGCTGACCGCTTCCGAATACTTCTTCTGCTTTGGCCGGCAGAGGTCACTGACGCGACCTTTGACCCCGGGGAAGATACGTTTCAAAGTCGAAATCAATTCCTTGGCCCTTAGCTCTCGCTCGGTCTGTTTCTTCCCATCGTCGGCTTCAAGCAGCTTCCTCAACACAACCTGGAGCTTCTCTTCCAGTTCCGTCCTCATCTGCGAGACACGCAGGCGTTCGGATGTCAGCGAGTTCAGCTCCTTCTTCTTGCGGTCGATATCTTTCGAGGTAGACTTGACGATATCGTCAAGGGTTGACTTGCGCTCTTTCATGTTCTGGGTGTCGGACTGAACATTCTTGAGTTGCCACTCAGTAGTCTCAAACTTGCCCTTCAAGCTGTTGACTGCTTCGGCTTCCGTCTTTCGCTGCCGTCGGAGGTTGTCGAGATTCAGCTGGTCCCCAGAGGAGCGTTTGCTGACTTCTTCTTTGAGTTTGTGGTATTCCTGTTGATCGGCTTCACTCAGCTGGCCACCTTTCTTGCTCATGGCCTTTTGCCATTCGGCTTCCCATTGACTCTGGGCCTTCTCGACGAGCTTCAAGTCCTTCTCCAACTGTTTGGCATTACCAGACTGGCCCGACCGTTCTTTACCAATCTCGGCAATCTTCGAGGCATACCGCTCAACCTTTCTCTGGGTGATATCGACCTTCTCGTCCACGGGCACCAGGGAGTTGTTGAGCTCCTCAATTTCCTTCTCTTTCTTTGTGATATTCTTCTCCGCCTTGCCAACATCTCTGCCGACCCGAGCATGCTCCTTTTTGGCATCCTCGACGTTCTGTTCGTACTTCTCGACGCCGCGGCGGTACTCCTTCAGCTCGTCTTGGTATTTTTGAATGTCTGCGCTGGATGCATCGATCAGTCGCTGGAAGTGAAAAAGCTTCCACAGAATGTGGGTAATGATGGCCTGGTCGCGTTCGTCGGCCTTGCGAGCGTAGGTCTCGGCTTCCCGCTTCTGCTCCTGATACTGCTTGACCTCCGAGTTGATTCCCCGTCGACGATTCAGCTGCACCGTCTGCTGTTCAGCAGCTTCCTCGGCCTCGGCCTTTAGCTTTTCGTAGTCGGCCTTGTATTCCAAGCTGCCCGAGATTTGCTCGATCAACCGGGTGAGGTCGCGGGGTGACTGCGACGCGATCGCCTCGACATCACCCTGGAAAACCAGAAAGTTGCGCGCCCTGATCAAGATGTTCTCCGCCTCCAGGGCTTCATTGTATTGCTGGGCAGTCACGATGCGGCTATTGATGCGGTACTCGCTGACACCTTGGCTGGTGATGGATCGACGCCATTGCTGCTCCTCGCCTGCATCATCCTCATACACCGCCATCACCCAGGCGGTCTTGGGATCATTCGCGCCACTTGGGTCCTGTGATGCATTCTCGTTATCGGCCTCTGCTCCGTCGGCGGGATTCTCGCGCAAGACGCGGCCACGGTAGACGAGATCACGAAGATTGGTGGATCGAAGATGCGACGATTTAATTCCTAAGACGAAGGATATGGCATCCATCCTGATTGGGACGCGTTAGCACATGCACTGCACCGCATGGGAACGGCAAGCGGGCGGGAATCAACGGGGATGGAGGAACCAGGAAAGGAATGCGGGAGGTCACGAACGAATTCGATTTGCCAGAGCCATTCGGCCCGATAATGGACGTGAAATACGCATCTCCAAAGAGAAGCACATGGTGTCCCTTGTAGGACTTGAAATCTGGGAGCGAAGTCAGCAACCCACTCTTGTGTGGTGTGTTTGTAACGCGAGGTCCATACTGAAAAGCTCCAGGCGGATGAGTTTCCCCATCGTGGTTGCAGACAGGCCGAATCCCTGCTACGGCTGTGAGGTGGTGGTGATGTGCGTTCGGAGAAGATGTTGGGGGAGGGGCGCGACCCGCGTGTCTGGACGCGCCGGATCACGTGGTCTGTGATCTATATGGACTCGGCGAGAAGGTAAACGAGATAGTTAAATGTTACAGTATAGTATATACATGGGGATTTCCACTCTTAGAACACTCTCCAACAACTTAGGAAAGTGGGGAAGGTTTCAGACCAGCTCACTTCTGTCGTTGTGTCTGGACGAGCTCACCAATGCTCAGAAAGTCCTTCGACACGAACCCATTGGAATCCAGGAGAAGTTTCTTATTTCGGCCTTGACCTTCCACATTCAACAAAATCAAATCCTCATTGGTGAAGACCTGTCGCACATTCTGAGAAAACTTGAAAGTCATCATGCTCAGACGTTGGATTGGCATCTTAAAGAAGCTTGGTGGTTGCGTGCCATGCCCTCCAACCTGCCCCTTCTGCAAGCGCTCCAATGACTCGGGCGAGATGACCAACTTGCGCTCAATTGTAATCTGCTGCGGCAGAGCCTCCAACTGGCGAGGCTTCAAAAAGGGCACCATGCGCCGCACGGCGAAGCGCACATGTGTCCCATTGTTGGCCATGACCGCGGTAGTCTTCTGGATGAGCCTACCGGTAGGGAGCAAGAACTTGGTGCCCAGAGCGCTCATGGCGACACAGACGCCCCCGTAGAGGACTTTGATCCATGTCGCCAAAGGGTCGGGAGTGTTGCCAAGCAGTAAGGGTGAGTAGACGGCTGCGCAGGCGAAACAAGTCGCCGTGAGGCTGTAGGAAATCATGAGGTAAACGCGCTGAGAGGGTGCCTTGGATAATATCACCTCCCCTTCCTTTGCAACCCTGGCCGCCAATCTGCCAAAGTGCGAGGTTCGCGCTCCTGCCATTGTGGAGTCATCCTGCGCTGGCTTTGCCGGGGACCGTGTCGGGGGGCGCGCAGAAGGACTCGGAGACGAACGCGCAGAGCGCTTTGGGGGTTTGGCTGCCTTGCATCGAACAGCACTTGATGCGAAATGCCGAGCTATTGAGAGTGGTTGTGTGTGGATGTTGGGTCGCAGGGCAGGGCCTGGATGGAGCCACAGTATTCGCCAGGCTGATGATCTGGCCGACATCACGGTGGTTCTGCCTTTATTGCAATTAGTAAACCCATCAAATATAGAAGCCAATTGGCTCGAAACAGAGGGATACTCACCAAGCTGGGCGACTGTTGTTCTCCTCGGAAAGCGCAACAAAAAGTCCAGAAGCCCGTCGGCGGCAGAAAAATGTTCCCGTCCCGGCCGCCGGTGAAAGCTCCCAACGCCTTCTTTCTTCTTGTCTTTCTTCACTCTTCCTCGTCCTCTCTAATCACTCGGCCATCATTCGCATTCAATCTTCCCTGTTCGCGCGGCCGGTCGGCTTCTGGTCGACTCTGTTCGTCTCTGTCCAATTCACTCAGGGTTTGCGCTAGCTGTCCCCCATCGGCGGCTTCCGCATCCAGCCTTGCACTCTCCCAACAAGTTAAAAGAGAACACAGACCCAAGATGGCCGCCAGAATCACGGGCCAGGTCCCGACAATGCTTGCCCGCCGGCAGCCGAAGATTTCCTATGTCTCTAGACGTGAGTTACCCTTCTCCCCGTTGAATCCGCCCACGCCGGAGCTACTCCGTGAATGGACCTGCGAGGCGTGAAACTCGAGCATAGACTAACCTCGATTCATTCCAGGCCTCGCATCTTCCTCCGTCCCTCAATTCCAAAACCCCGCCTATCCTCTCTACCCCTCCGTCACACAACTCTTGCACCAGAAGGGCATTCCCGACTCCGAAGTATCCAAGATCCCCGCCTCCGGACCCAAGGGCCGGCTCCTGAAGGGCGACGTCCTCGCCTACCTCGGCCAGATCGCCAATGACTACCCCTCGACGCAAGCCGCGAACCTCGCGAAGCTCACGCACCTGGACCTGAGCAACATCAAAATCGCCGCTCCGGCCCCGGCCCCGAAACCGGAGAAGAAAGAAGAGGTTCTCGCCAAGCCGCCGCCCATGGCTTCAGTCGCGCTGTCGGTTTCGTTGTCTGCCGTGCTGTCCGCTCAGAAGAAGATCCAGGAGAGTCTGGGGGTGACGGTCCCGCTATCCCGGTTCCTGGCTATCGCGACGGACCTAGCGAACGATGACCTCCCGCGCTCGTCGAGCGAGAAGCCCTCAGCCGATGAGCTGTTCGATGAGATCCTCGGCGCAGAGCCAATTCACACATCACGCGGCGACTACATCCCCGACTTGAACGCCGTCGAGGCGCCCGAGACTGTGCGCCAGCCAGCACCGGCGCAAGAGGATATCATTGATTTCCTGAGCGGTAAGACGCGAACTCAGACCACCCGGTCCTTTGTCGACGCGCCATCCGGCTCCGCGATTAATGTGTTCAGTCTGACCGTCCCCGCTACGGAGGAGCTGCGCGCCAAGGTCTTCCTGGAGCGGATCCAGACTCTGTTGCAGGTTGAGCCTGCACGGCTGGTTCTATAAAATCATTAACTTCCTTCTTTCCCTTTGTTCTCTTATGTCATGTTCGTCTCTGGATCTGGGGATTTGTCGAAATGTATTTAGTGTAGCATAGATAATCGGATAGCGGCTTGACTGTTCTTGATGTTCATTTCCAGCCTGTGCAAATTCATGGCAATTTACTCAGCTGGCTTGTTTTGGGCTTTGTTCAAAATATATGAATTATGTCTATGAATCCAGTCACAGTACCTTGCTGAAAGTCGTAGGACTTGGTAGGGTGCAAGAATATATATTATGGCTTTAGGGCTTGACAAAGTCAATTCCTCACCGATCAACAACTCAAACCTACAAACTACATTTCTAATGGCTAATGCTGTTGTCAATTGCAATACCACAAGGTAAAATCCATACAGACTCGATACCATGCTAATGTTGCAGAGATCCCTAAAGCCAAATGAACAGTGCTAGAATGCAGAATGTCAAGAACGTCGAGTCATCATATCATCGTAACTAATCAGAGTAAGGATCCAAAGTCATACAAGAATAAGTCCACCATCAAGAAATAAATCAACAATCCCCGCTGCGCATCGCCGGATGTCGGCAACCAGATCGTGAAACACCATAGGCGCCACTGCTTGGACTGTGCAAAAATTGAAAAGAAGTTGCCCTCCGAACCAAGGCAGATTGAAGACGAAAAACCCCATGAACAAACCTCTCGTCCGAACAAGCGCTGAATCCCACCGACGAAACAAAATGCTCTCATCCATTGAGCCCAGATGCAATTGATGCTGACGCGTAAAATGTGAAAAAGAAATCAAAGCCATGCAATAACTTCCCCAAAAACGAAAAAAAAAAAGCAAAACCGAAGACCAAAAAACTCCATATAAATGCAGGAATGGCCCGTCTACCGAATGGTGCCCCACTCAGCAAGCTTGCTGCCCTCGCGGCGAGTGTCTCGAGTAGCCCTCTTGTCGAAGATTTTCCAGAAACGCAGGGTCTCATCACCAGCGCCCGTCACAACCGTTTGTCCGTCCGGGCTCATGGCGAGGTACAGGACACGGAAGGTGTGGCCGGTCAGAGAAACAATCTGCTCCATGCGCGGATACTTCCAGATGACAATTTGGTTCTGACTGTAGCCGTGCGTGCTGATGATCTCGTCCGAGTTCTTGGACCAAGACAGATTGCATACTTGGCTGCCGGTGTCAACCTCCTTGATCATCGAACCCGTTGACGTGTTCCAGAATTTGATCGTGCGATCGGCCGTACCACCACCCGAGGCAAGGAGATGGTGCTGGTGCGGGGACCACGCGATGGCCTTGACTGCGGCGCTGTGGTCGGAAAAGCGATAGAGGGGAGTCTCGTTCAGCTTGTCCCACACCATCAACTTGTTGTCGTTGCCACCAGATGCCAATTGACCATCTTCCGTGTTCCACTTCAACCCGCAGACTTCTTGCTTATGACCAGAGAGTCGACGAATGTACTGATCAGGGGACCGGACATCTCGGTGATAGATAAGACGATCGCGAGACCCAGATGTGAGGATGTGGTCGTTCCACGCCAGTGCCCCAACACGATTCGTATGGCCAATCATCGTCCGAAGTCGACGAAGATGCTCCGCATCCCAAATCTGCACGAGACCTTTACCCGTACCAATTGCAAGATGTGTACCCTAGAATGAAGGTTAGTTACTGGCACCGTTCACCAAAAGGTGATTTTGCTTACCCTCTGAATCCAGCTGACACTAGTGACGGTGTCGTCTTTGAGCTCGCACAGCTTCGTCACCCGGCCAGACTGGGAATTCCACATGTACACCGAATTGGCCAACCCCACACCCAGAACATTGCTGCTTCCCCAGTCGACCAAGTTGAGATAGAAATCATCCTGCAGGTCAGGCGCATCCAGGACCTTGTAGGGTACCTTATTCACGTAGCGGGGCTGTTTGCGCGGTGTCTCGAGGATCCGTTGGCTGTCATAGCGAATGGGTGAGAGGCTGTACAGCTCCGATCGGACATTCAGGTTTGGTCCATGGTGGCTTCGAGGGGTCTTGGAGGGAGTCGGGTGGCCGGAGCCAGACCGGGTCGGGCCGTAGTTGAAGAGATTCTTGTGTGGAGTAGATGGAGTGATGCTTGCAGGGGGAACGTTGGCCACCACATGAGAGGGAGGGGTGTGAGACCGGGTCTTGTCATTGATGCCATTGCTGAAGCCGAGGAGCGGATCGGGTGAGGTCGAGTTCAGGTCCGGCTGCGGGACAGTATTACCAAACAGTTCGCTGCGCAAAACACGAGAAAAGGTCCGATTTGCTTCCTCCGCTGTAGATGCAGTCAGTCAACCAGAAGATCAGTGAACACAACAAGGAGACACGAACTCTTCTGGAAATGGAGCTCAGAGTGGGGGGTCCGTCTCTTTGTTTTGGACGGGGTTGAAGGGCAGCCATCCTCATGCAACAGGCTGAAGGTTGCCTGCAAGTCTTGTCCATCACGGTTAGGAATGAATCTAGGGTTCCGTTAGTTTCTGACCTTTCCGATCCAGACGAGACCACAACATACCGATCTCCATACACCCGCTGCCTCTTGCGGCAAGGGCTTGTGCCTGGAGTTCTCTCCCGACGATGCCCTGCCTCATCATAGTCCTTTAGTGCCCGGGACAGGGCACCCGCGTCCACCGGTTCCGACCCTTCTAGCGGTCTTTGTTGTGGCTGGTTGGCTGGAAACAGGATAGTTCGCTTTGATGGCATGCTTGGTGGTGTCTTGGAGCCTGGGGGTGATGCGATATTCGAGGGTTGTGCGCGCTCATTCAACTTGGCTGCTGTGCCGCTGCCATCCGCCTTCACCTCCCTGGCCTGAGATCGGTCGGCCATGGCAACGATGGCTGACAGTCTCCCGAAGCCCAGAAATGCTGATCGGCTGATCAAGTGGATGCCACAGGGTGCATGTGCAAGGTTGAATGGGGCTCGGGAAGATGGTGTATTTGAAGCGCGCTTGTGTTTATGTCTAGGAGACGAGGGGGCCGGCGAGTCCCAGCCACAGCGGTTGCAGCGAAGGGGTGTTCAGTGGTAGAGCCAGCGTGTAGGACACAACAGAGCAGAGTATGTTCAGAGAAAATAAAGAGAGCCAAAAAATCATGGGAGACAAGCAGTGATGGTGAAGGTGATTGATGTTGCTGGGCTTTGTCTTGTCCGGTGATGGGATCGAAGGGCGCTCTCCCGGTCACGCGTCACGCTAACCCGATCTAGCACTCATCACTTTGGCAACACCGATTCATAGTTCAAGGATGTAGGTCATACATCTAGATCTCACAAAGACCCTGCCTAAGATTATTATCTCCGCGTGGGCAGCATTGTTCACATCGCAACAGTGTGCTTTATGGTTTCACATAGTCCGGTGTATCTGGACCAAGTGTGGTAAACAGAGTCATCACTACACGCGTTGGCTGTTTCGGAGGGTCTGGTCCACTCATCTGGATGTATACAACAGAGCTATAGACCAGTTAGGTCCGTGGGGGTGGGATCTGTCTCATGGGTTGCCTAGACGCGACCAGCCTGGCGTCCCCACGCGCCCCGACGCGCAGAAGCTTGGGCCAGAACGACCTACACCAATCAGTTCAGCCAGTATGATTATGATTTGGTTTCTGCAGTAATTAATAACAACAATTAACCCAACTATGACCAACCCAGTTAGGCTGGACGAATTGATTCCGACCACTTGCTAACTAACCACTTAAGTTACTACCTAACCTCCGCAAGTAAAGGACTAAGCGGCGACTCCGCAGTCACCGCCCACCACCACCACCACACTTCTTCAATGCGCATCCGCTGGCCATTTGCTGTCTCCTCCCTGCACCGCTCGTACGCCACCATGCCGTCCAAGCAGCCTGCTAAGGACTTCTTGTCCTTTGTCAATGCCTCTCCCACCCGTATGTCTTCCCCACCTGGTCTTAATAAGAGACAACTGACCTCGTTTCAGCTTTTCATGCGGTCCAGTCCGCCAAAGAGCTCCTCACCAAGGCCGGTTTCCAGGAGATCAAGGTATGTGATGTTGGCCAGGATATGCTCATTAAGCTTATACTTGGTCTAGGAAAAGGAATCATGGGCCTCCACCTGCCAGCCCGGCGGCAAGTACTACCTGACGCGGAATACCACCACCCTGATTGCTTTTGCCATCGGCCAACAATGGAAGGTATGAAGGCGCCTGCAAATTCTACATCAAGTCGCTGACAACGATCCAGCCGGGGAATTCCATCTCCATGATCGGTGCCCACACCGACTCCCCTGTGTTGCGGGTCAAGCCAGTGAGCAACAAGCAGGGTGAGGGCTTTGTGCAGGTCGGGGTCGAAACCTACGGCGGAGGCATCTGGCACACCTGTAGGCGAACCCCATTCATTCCCTTGGACTGGTCTTGATCATGGTTAACATTTGTAGGGTTCGACCGCGATCTCGGTGTCGCGGGCCGAGTGATGACACGGGCCAAGGACGGCTCGATCGTGCAAAAATTGGTCAAGGTTGACCGGCCCAGTATGTTTTTTTCTTTTCCAAGAATGATCATGACCTAATGTCGCAGTTCTTCGCATTCCGACCCTGGCTATTCATCTGGACCGCCAGGAGACTTTTGCTTACAACAAGGAGACCCAGTTGTTCCCCATTGCGGGCCTGGTGGCCGCTGAGCTCAACAGGACTGGCAAACCGGAGACCGCCGAGACCGAGAAGGAGGGTGAATATACCCCTTTGAAGTCCATGACGCAGCGCCACCACCCGTACTTTGTGGAGCTGATCGCTGCCGAGGCCGGAGTCCAATCTGAGGATATTCTAGACTTTGAGATGATCCTCTTCGACACGCAAAAGGCGTGTCTCGGTGGCCTGTTGGAGGAACTCATCTTTTCTCCCCGTCTGGACAACCTGAATTCCTCCTACTGTGCGACGGTGGGTCTCATCGACTCCGTCGCGGACAAGTCAGCACTGGACAACGAGTCTGCCATCCGCCTGATTGCGCTGTTTGACCACGAGGAGATTGGCAGCCGCACCGCCCAGGGCGCCGACTCGAACATTCTCCCGGCCATCATTCGCCGTCTGTCCGTGCTGCCGTCAACTGCTTCCAAGGGCGAGGACCTCTCGACTGCCTACGAGCAAACCCTGTCGACCTCGTTCCTGGTGTCCGCCGACATGGCCCACTCGATCAACCCCAACTACGCAGCCAAGTACGAGTCAGACCACAAGCCGGAGATGAACAAGGGGCCCGTGATCAAGATCAATGCCAACGCGCGCTATGCGACTAACGCCCCTGGAATTGTGCTGCTGCAGGAAGTGGCTCGCAAGACGACAGAGGAGACGGGCGAGCCCCTGCCGCTGCAGCTGTTCGTTGTTCGCAACGACTCGAGCTGCGGCAGCACCATTGGCCCGATGTTGTCTGCGGCACTGGGTTCTCGGACCCTGGATCTGGGCAATCCGCAGCTGAGCATGCACAGCATTCGCGAGACGGGCGGCACCTATGATGTTGGGCATGCGATCCGGCTGTTCACGGGCTTCTTCAAGAACTACTCGGAGCTGTCCACGACGATCTTTGTGGATTAAATTCACGTAGCATGACACGCATAGCATGATACGCAATCTATCTTTTGGTATTCGTTATTTTATTGTCTTGTAGATGGTTACTTCACTCCATACTATAGATGCTGTAGCCGGCCCGAGATAACTCCGCCTGCCCGCCCCTAGTGAGCCCGGGCCCCATTATGACAGTCCACCATCACCTCTCCTTCCCCGGCCGGATCGCCAACTCCCCATGACCCTCTATGACAGAACCGGATGTTGCCTTTCGAGATGCGGAATACATCGCTGACGTGTCCGGCATTTCCTATGGCCCGGACACCTCGCTGTCGGCCCAGCAGCCAGCAGCGAGCGGCGGCCAGCAGCACAACCGCCGCGTCAGAAAGGTACAGACCACAGCGAAAGTCGCCTTCATCGATCGCCTGCTGCGCGATCTCGACGTGCTGATCTACTGTGAACTATCGGCGCTATACTACATGGAGTGAGCAGCCCATTGCTCCAATTGATCTCACCAGTTCGTTAACTAACGACTGTACAGCTGCTCCGTCATCCTCTTCGCCGTCCGTGCCGTCGTCGAGCTCATCTTCTTCACCCCCAAAGCATCCCCCTTCGATCCCACGCGCAACCAGCCCTATATCGGCGCGATAATTGCCAGCAACCTCTTCTGTATGATCTTCCATGCTTTCTTCATTCGCCCCGAGGCCGGCGAAGACACCCGTGGCTATCTCCATGGAGGACTCTTCATCGATTTCATCGGGCAGGCCCCGGTTCCTATTTTCCGACTTCTTCTGTTGGATGCCTTGATCTTTCTGCTCGATTTCGTCATGTTGGGTTTGATTGTTGAGCGGGTTAAGATGGTTGGGCCGACGGAAACCAACAGCAACACTACTACTACCTCTAGCACTACCACCAACGCCACTACAACAACGAATGAAAATACAAATACAAATACCGACGGGAACACACAGTCCCAGCAACAGGACCACGACGCAGAGGAACGCGGTATACTTCGAGAAACGGGCAATACAGAAGAAGAAGCAGGTGCAACAACCGCAATGGCGAACGTCGACGAAGACGACATCGATGAAGAACGAACAACCCTCCTAGCAGATCCCGGTGAAGATGAATCTCCGGCCAGCGGACGCAACACCCATCCACTCGACCAGTTTGCCTCGGGCCAGGCGGTCATCCTGGACATGGGATTCTGGGATATCGTACGCGATCAATGGCAGTACTCGACCACGCCCAGGCGGCCAACGGGGTACGTGCCATCGCCCGAAACGGCGACGTTTCTTCGCCAACGGTTCGGTCTCCAGGTTGGGACTGATGGGCGGATTGTTAGGGTTGACCGGGAGTAATCATGAATAGCCTTTGGGATTCTTGTACTTTAGATTCTCAATGTATGACACCTGTTAATAATACCTCAACTCATATTCCCAGTAGTTCCTCCATACCCAGAACAACCTTGGAACGATACAGATGTAGGTAGTATAGTCAAATACTGTGTAGTGGTTTTCAACATTCGCCTTACTTCCCGCCCTTCTCCTCACCTTTATTGGCCCTCCGATCCAAAATCTCATCCACGACGCCCAACTCCAGCGCCTCCTGGGCACCCATGAAATAATCTCTCTCCATGAGTTTCTCAATATCATCGAGGGACAACTCCTTCTTGCCATTGAGATGTGTCTTGTATATCTGATTCAGCTGCTTGCGCACGCGCAGGATCTCCTTCGCATGGATGGCAATGTCCGTCGCTTGCCCCATGTAGCCGCCCGAGGGCTGATGCACCATGATTGTGGAGTGTGGGAGACAGTACCGCTTGCCCGGGTGGCCGCCGCACAATAGGAGCGAGCCCATGGAGGCGGCCTGGCCGACGCAGATGGTTGAGACGGGGGAGGCGATGTAGGTCATTGTGTCGTAGATTGCTAGGCCTGCGGAGGGTGGTATTAACTTGGTGTATGAATAAGAGGAGGGGAGGGAGGGAGGGAGATATACCGGCTGTCACGGAGCCGCCGGGCGAGTTGATGTACATGTGGATTGGTTTCTCGGGGTTATCGGCTTCGAGGAAGAGGAGCTGCGCAACGATGGAGGCGGAGACGGCCCCGTCTACCTCACCCTCGAGATAGATGATGCGCTCCTGGATGGTGGTCAGAGAGATTGAACCGTCTGGCTGTACAGTATACTGTGTGCATACCTTGAGTAATCGGGAGAAGATATCGGCTTGATCAGTAGGTTAGCTTCGCGCGCCAATCGAGCTTCATGGTAGCAAACAAACATACAGGTCTGCCAGCCACCGGCCTACACAGGACGATTAGTATAGTCTCATAAAATGCAATGCAGACCCAGACTCACCACTGTCTCCGTTACAAAGGGCGTCGGTGCCCAACTCTTTGGTGGTGCCCCAGCTAGCGAGGGCGCGCTGGTTGAGAGGCATCGCGGCAGCGTCGTAGCCGGACGTAGTGTGGATATGGAAGTGGGACGGATAAGGCGACCGAGGCCAGAGAGAGAACCTGGCCGCATTGTCATGGTGGGTGGAGGGAAGGAAGTTGGAGTTGGAGAGTCGGAGAAGAAGCGGTGCGATAGATGGGTCGATCGGCGCTGATATGGGAGCTCCGACTGCCACTCTGCTACCCTCAACAACGCTGCTATTCTGTCTCAATTTATAAGAATTAGTCTGGTAACACAGGAAACTACATTCTCAATAGCTTTTTCTTTCTTTCTTATCGGTGTTCCGTGGTCCACTGCTTCTCCGCAAATCCCGGCCTCTGATTGGCACAAGCTCAGCTTCCTCAACACAGTCAACTTCTTCTGCTTCTTCTTCTCACCACCATGGAGTGCGCCAGCCAAGTATCCTTCGCGACATGGCGCCTGCGCCTATTCCAGCAACTGGTCGCGCCACATACCCATCACATACGAAGTCACCACTCCTCTCGCCGCATCTCAACCTCGACCTCCTCGCGAAACGATTCCACCGATTCAATCCCTCCCTCCAAGCGACTCCCCCAATCTCCTCTCCTCACACACCCTCTCAACAAATCCCAGCATCCCCCCAAACTACGCCCAGACCGAGAATACTACAAACAGGCCTTTGATGAACTCAACAAGAACCCCTGGGCCCTCGCCCTGGCCTCCCCACCACGCCTATGCTCCATAACGGGCGCAAGACTCCCGCGCGATCTGCTGGGGGAATGGGGTCTGGTTAAACAGCCTGAGACAGAGCAGTTATACCTTCTCCCGGTGGGATTGCTCAAGGATTCGCTGAACAGTGACCCTCAATCCCGTCCGGCATCATCGTCTTCAACCCGCCAGCTTGTTCTCCGCATCCTGGATTTCATGCCGTTGCTGAAATCCCTGGGCGGTCCTTGGGTGAGAGTAGGCCGGGGCAAGAAGTTAGTCCTCCCGCGTATCTTGCCCTATCGGTGGAAGCATCCGCAGGGACCGATCACGTCGCGCGAGGAGAGTCTCATGGCCTGGAAGGAAGATGCGGCGGAGTTTACGCTGCATCATATGCGAAATGAAGTGGCTAAGAGCCTCGACAAGGTTTGTAACAAGTTTAAAAGGCTGGACGGACCGGGTGCCGTGTGGAGGGTTCTCGAGCTGCGGGATTTGTCGAATATTGCGCTCCAGGAGGCGTTGGGACCACTCGAGCCCTTTCATCGCATGGCATGTGGCGCGGTGCTGGTCTGTTCTTCCCAGGGAGCGGAGAATGAAACACAGGAGTCTTTTATGAGCTCTGTCTCTCTCCCACAGACTCAGTCTAAAGTCCCTGTCTTCGATCTGTCGGTGCTTCTCTCCGAAACCGAGCTGCAGACACTCCGGGACTCGCACCCGCACTTCCGTCATGCGGCGCTCTTTTTCAGACCCAGAGATGGGGTGTCCAATGCGGCAATGCTGTCTCTGTGGAAAATCAAGCGGTTCCTAGCAGTCGAAGATGAGCCTGACAGCCTCGCAGAAGCATAGCTGCTTGTATATCTAACAAACCATCTGTCTATATATCTTCCCACCATTTATGTATATCAAATCATGTCCTGCCTCAAGACTCCGCGCCCAGCAGATCCGCCAGCTTATCCAGATAGGCCAGCGGCTTCACGGGCCCCGACACGAAATCCTCCTTGGAGCTAACCCCCGTCAGCACGCCCAGCGTCCCACCCAGCTGGCCCTCCAACCCAAACCGGATATCAGTATTCGCGCGGTCCCCAACCATGCACGCCCGGCTGCGATCAAACTGAAACTTGCCCTCGATAGCATCCATCATCGCCTGACTCGGTTTCCCCAGGGCGACAGGATCCTGCCCCAGCATCATAATCAGCGGCGCGCTCATCGATCCCGCGCCGGGGAACAGCGTCCCCGAATTAGGCAGCGTCGAGTCAATATTTGTCGCCAGGAAAACCGCCCCGCGCTTGATGTAGTGGAACGCCAGTGCGAGCTTGATATAATTCAAGTGGAAATCCAGCCCGACGAGCACGACCCCGACTTCCGGGTCAATCACAGAGGGGTCCCCTGCGGCAATCTTCTTGTAGTCGTCGGCCGTCACGTCGCGCCGATATGCTGGGTCCGTGCCGCCGATGAAGGGGACATTCTCCGAGCGCAGTTCTTGTTCAATGCCACTCTCGCCGATGACGAATACTTTGCGCTTGTTGGCGGGGAGTTGCAGGATGCGCGAGATGTATATCGAGGAGCTGTAGGAGGAGGAGAAGATTTCTTCCTTGGGTCTGTGTTAACTCGGACTCAGTCACAGCAGACCATCGCCTCACTTACCACTGTGCTTGGGATCCCTAGTCCCTCTAACTTCTTCTTGTAGTCGGCGCGAGACTTGGTGCTGTTATTCGTCACGAAGACGATTTGCTTCCCTGGGGGACCGTTAGTTCCCCGTGCCTCTCTAATGGGATCTTGGGCAATGCGCACCTTTCTTCCGGAGTAATTCAAGTGTCTCAACCGTGCCAGGAAACAGGTGGTCACCGGACCAGAGGACGCCTAGTGATCTCTCAGCAACTGTTGCGATCCGTCGTGCTTGGCTTGTGTATGGAATCGGGGAGAATGCCGAGAGAAAGGACAAGGAGGATACGGACCATCGCAATCGAAGAGAAAGACCTAACCGGCGCTTCATGTTAGCCAATTGGACATTCCCATTCACATTCACATTCCGAACTCCGGGCACCAACATCGAATTTGTCTAGGAACTCTTTCAATGCCGCCTGGTCGCCGGTCAGGTAGAGCGGGGTGGTTGTTGACGCTGGGAGTGACATTATTGCTGTACAGAGAAGAAGCGCAGGGAGGGGATTGATTGGCAGCAAGGAAGTGAGAAGGGAGAGAGAGAGAGAAAGAGAGAGATAATCGGGAGATGTTCAATTTGGGACCACCCGAACGCCCCGCGTGGGGCAACTAATCTATGCCTGTTTTTCTACTTCTCTTTCTTCCTCCTCAGCCACAACACTTTTGCCCTCGAACTGCTGCTGTCCAATCTCAGCCAGACTGACGCCCTCAGCACGCAACGTCTCCAACCGCAGCGCTGCCTCGGCCTCCTCGTCCCGCTCTTCCTGCGACATCTCCGGCCCCCAGAAAAGAAAGAACATCATGAACGCCCACACGGCTCCCATGAATATCGCAATGACCTTCCCATAATTGAACCGCTTCTCTCCGTCCGGCGCTGGGGGCAATGGGAACCGCTCTCCAATAATCGACTGAATAGTCGCAGAGGCAGAGGAACCCAAGTTCCCAAGCTGGTAGGTGAGTCCCACCATGAACGATCTCAGTGCGATTGGCGACAGCTCTAGCAGGTGGATGGGCATGGGTCCCCAGACCCCACCGACGAAGAACTGCTCGAAGAAGACACTCGCCACGAGAGACATGGTCCGCGGCAACACGTAGGCCGGGATCAAGGCCCCGCCCAGCACGCACGACACCAGCATCGTCAGGCGCCGGCCAAAGAAGGTGCTGATGTATCCGATCGTGCAGCCACCCAGCAGAGCCCCGATCTGGCCCACGACTGTGATGACCGTGACATCCGTCGCGCCCATGCCGACCTGGTCCTTCAGAAAAGTCGGGAAGAAGTCCTGGCTGCCGTGCGAGCACGAGTTGAACCCCGTCATCAGGACAACCAAGTATACGAACAGGACCCAGTTATCCCGCAGTGCGCGTCCAGCGTCCCGGACAAAGACTCGGAAGCCCACTGCGTGCCTGTGCTGGTCACCACCACCCGCTCTGGCACGCGCCTCGCGCTCGGCCTTCATGACCTGGAAATGGTTTGTCTCTGGCAAGCACAAGCGGAACAGAATAATCAGGACTGGAGGCGCAGCGCCGAACCAGAACAAACTTCGCCAGCCGTGGCTTGTTGTCGGGACGAGGGCACGGTAGAATGCCGCCGCGAGCAGGTAGCCTGTTGCGTAGCCCATTTCAAACAGCCCGGAAAGCAGTCCGCGAGCTTCATACGGAAGGTCTTCCAGTGCTGTCGCAGCCGCCGGACCAAACAGACCTGACCAAAAAAAAAATAACACATCAGTCCACTAATTACCATTTTTGTTTCGGGTTTGATAGGTGCTTGCTTACCTCCCATGGCAATCCCATACAGCGACCTCACACCCAAAAACTGAGGCAGTGTCTGACAAAACCCCGAGCAAAGCTCCAGAATAATAAACAGAACCAGACTCACGATCATCGGCCACTTGCGGCCATATCGATCCGCCAGAATCCCAAAGATAATAGCTCCGACGGAGCGCAGCATGAGAGTGACAGTAATACCCTAATACCATACCGATCAGTTTCCCTATATCCTGATATTCACCCCGACCCCCATGGAGGAGATCAGACATAACATACCCAAGAGACATCCGAGTACGAAGCATCAAAGTCCGCTGAGATCTCGGTAATCGTCATCGACACCGTGAAGAAATCAAAGCTATCCCATGTCCATCCGAGGAAGCCCGCTGCGAACATGAGCCATTGGTGGGTTGTTAGATCGCGGAGGATGACATATGGGTTGCGGAGTTTGTTCTAGGCGCAGGTTAGGCAAAGGACTTTTGAGATTGCTTGATCAATGTCTACCTTTGGAGGACTGAGACTGGACACTCGCGTCGCGAAGTAACGGATGATCTGGCTGGGGGAGTAGAATACCCCGGCTGCCATGTGGTTCCTCATTGCGAGTGAGGTTTATAGTTACGTGCAGGGGGTTCGTTGGGGTTCGTTCAATAGCTGATCAAGAGACCATTGTCCAGGGTAAGTACACTGTCAAGTCCGTTATATATATTGGCCGACAGCTAAGTCCCCGGACCCTCGGTCTGCAATAACCGTGCCCACCGTGTACCTCCTCTACACAGTCCAACCTGTATCCCGTTTCCTGTACAATGCGTAGATCTTCTACGAATGCGGTCTATTTATCTCCCCTTCCCCGCATCTATACGTTGACAAAAGGGGAATGTGTCTAAACTATAATACATTTAGGGAAGATTAGAAAAGTCTCCTTTAGCCATCTCTGGGACACTACAGCTTGCCCCCGCACTTGTCCTCGTCAGCCAAGACTGGGTATGCAAGTTAACAAAATGCCGGTGGTAGTCGGCATGTGTCCGAGGACCTTGGCGGATGTTGATTTCTTGCAAGCCTGGGGTTGATCTTTGCGGGGTTAGTCTTGGATAGAAATTGGCACACTCTATCGTCCTCATGAGACAAAGAGAGGCATTGTATGTAGTTCTAAGGCAGACCGAAATACGAGAGGTCATAATAATAGCAGAAGAAACCAGTAAAAGGCAATGAGATCCGGAAGGATTAGGGTATCATAAATCATTCCATTTTCCATGAGTAAATAATCTCAGAAGCACATGCAGTAACGCCTAGGTGTTGACAACCCCCGTCTTAACGCCCATCTAGTGTATGCGTCAACCTCGTCGGAACTCACTCAGCAACCCACAAGAAAAGAATATCACGCCTTCACTCAGGAGCTGCCCAGGATCCCGGCAATGCGCAGAGACAGATCCAGAATGGACAAGTGCTCGTCTGCGCCATCAACCAGCCGCTTATCCATCTCCGAGAAGGCCATGACGATCTTGTTCTTCTGAATGTCGGGCACGGCTTCGTTGAAGACGACCCGGCGGTATAACTAGACCCGAGTCAGTAAAATGTACATCCGCTCAATAAAGAGGAAGACCACCAACCTGTCCAACAAGCTGGGTGGCACTCCACCCATCCGCCACTAGATCCGTAATCACCTTCGAGACAGCCTCATACGCAGACCCCGACCGCGTCGGCTGCATAGCCTGCACCAGACGATCCAGGACACTTTCCGGGATAACACCCGCGATCTCCTCAATGCTTCGAACCGTAATCGGTCCCGCACCCGCACTCCCAGCATCGGTCATCTCAGCATCATCATCCGCATCCTTCCCACCAGCAGGTTTCGTAGCACCGACCAGCCGCGCCGCACTCTGCAGGTAGGTAATCGCACGACGCAAATCGCCCTCTCCACAACGAATAAGGGTATCAACGACGCCATCCTCCAGCGACAAGTTCTCAGCCCTCGCAATATCCGCCAACCTCTCCCCCGCGGCCGAGGTATCCAGCGCCTTGAACCGAAACTTACTGCACCGACTAGCAAGCGGCTCAATAATGCGGGTAACGTAGTTACAGACGAGACAGAAGCGCGTGATACGACTATACTGCTCCATCGTGCGCCGCAGCGCAGACTGAGCATCCTGCGTCATGCTATCCGCCTCGTCGAGGATGATAATCTTGAACGGCGGACAGGGGTACTGCTCTCTATAGGCCGCGTCGAGGCCGGTGGGCTGGGAGAGCTGCGTGCGCGCGAAGTTCTTGACTTTGTCGCGGACGATGCCGATGCCGCGCTCGTCGGAGGCGTTGAGTTCTAGGATTCGGGAGCGATACAGGACCGGCCCGAAGAGGGATTTGGCAAGCGCGAGGATCGTGGATGTTTTTCCTGTCCCTGGGGGTCCGTAGAAGAGCATGTGTGGGAGCTTTGTTGGGGGTTCTTGTTAGCTTGGTCCTTTGGATGGCACTCTTGGGTGTTCAATTGGTGTGGCAGCGTACGTTGGAAGCTTGGAGGGTCCGTCGTAGGACGTTCGTCGTGTGGTCTTGTGCCGCGACATCGTCTAGAGTCTTGGGCCGGCTAGAGTCTGTGTCAGCTTCTGGTTCACCCCGGTAGCAAGCAGCTCCGAAGGACGCACTATTTCTCGACCCAGGGCTGTAGCCGGTTGCTCTCTTCCTTGGCCTCGCTTGATTTGGGCTTGGAGCTGCTGGAGGCCGCAGCGGCCGCGCGGGCCTTGTTGTTGAAGAAATTGGCAGCCATGATGCGGTGATGTCTACTGTCAGGAAGTGAAATGTGCAATGGGAAACCCGCGTCGCGTCTAGTTACACGTGACGCGCCTTCGCTCCCGCCAATCAGAGCCAGCTTTCATACTTTCTTTTTACATGATGAATAACGGTGTCTGTGCATTAAACCCGGGAACCTATAGCTCATCAAACCGGTGCGGATCATCCGGTTCCTCCTCGTACATTCTCTTCTTCGTGTTCCGCGGCCGGTCACTCTCCTCGGCCATTTTTCCAATCTTGTCAATCATGCTGTCCTCGTCGTCACGCGCTGATGGTTTCTCACTCTCAGCTACGCCACTACCGGTCACAGCAGTTGAGACGACGGCAGTAGCAGACTCGTGAAGGGTTGTAGTTATGTCACCAAGTGGACTTGAAGCGGACTGTACAGCTGTACTAGACAGCCCCCCTGCTCCCAGCACTGCAAAGACTAGGCGAGCAACGAATTTGACAGGAAGCCAGACCAGCCACCACATAGGCCCATAAAGAATGCGGCGAAAGAGAAGCCATGTGATAGTGCCGACCAGAAGATAAAACGCTGTTTCGAGGTACCAGGTATCTGACTTCTGGGAGTGGAGCAGAGAGCTGGCAAGACTGCGGGACGAGGCGAGAAGGGTGTCGAGGCTGGTATAGGATTCGGACAGGGAGGAAATGGCAGCAGTGGATTGTTCTAGTGTGTGTTAGATTCGAATCATTCAACAGATTTTCTGGCGTCACTCACCGAGGGTCTCTTGCGCAAACTGGCTCCGGGATAGCTCCGCCTGCATCAGCTGGTGTGTTCTCCGCAATGCCGCCGTAACGTCGTTGGATGCATTCCGTTCCAAATCACCTTGGGTGAGTTTCTCCGACGGTCGGCGCTGTCCATCTCCAGGAGGCGACTTTGGCCGTGACAGCAGTAACTCTCTCTCTTTCCGCTTTGCAAGCTCTGCATTCCGCTTAGCCTGCAATTGGGCATTTCGAAACTCTCCCCGAGTCCTGAAAAGTCATTAGCCGTATTTCTCTCGCAGACATAAATGAAAGAACCCCGAGAACGTATGGATAACGCACCGTTTGAGATCCGCCGCCAGCCTCCCCGCCAGCGCAACCACTCGTTCTTTCTCTGCTTCCTTGTCCCCATTGCCAGCCAGAGACCTCCTCCTCCTATCATTTGCACCGGAATCGAGTGCCTCAACCTCCACCCGCAACAGCTCCAGCTCCTCCTCGGCTTCCTTCACCCGTGCATGAATCTCGGACCCAAGCTCCACGCGGGCCTCGTCGCCTTGGCCGATGGACGCGGTGAAAGTGCGCAGTCGGTCAACAAGCGGCTGGATTTCTGACAGTGTAGACGACAGCTCTTTTAGGCGGGTTTGCAGAGCGGATGTGGTGGACATGTTGACAGGTCGCCGTCCAAACTCCGCGGCAACACCTGACGAGCGTGGGGTGGGATGTGGTTATAGCGGAAAGTATTATTGAACACGCGTGTAACAGGGGAATGACATCGCAAGAGATCGGAAGTTCAAAAGGGAAGTAAGTATGTAGTCTGGTAGGAAACAAACAACCCGTGTGGTGGTCGCAGATGCCAGGTTGAGGGTGTGTTTGCTCGGGATGCAAACACCTTTGATGTTCCCCGGCCCAGCCAGGCTTTTCGAGAAAGACCAGACACTCTTCACACCTCCAGATAGACAGTCTCCTCCAGTCCAGCCATCGCATTCGCTCGGTGAAGAAGAATTGATCCGACCAGGGTATGCAAATGGAAATAGCCCCGTTTCAGACACGAGCTGACTCTCTATACGACTCCCAGATTCACTCAATTCCAACGCTTCAGTGAACCCTCCAAAACCAAGCACGATGTCGATCCCACTCAGCACAATAACCTCCCTTCGCACAACCTTCAACCCCTTCGCAGCCGCCTCCCGACCCTGCCGGCTTTTCCTCTCTCAGCTGCGGACACCCAACACAATCGCCGGCAGCCCAACACACATCGACATCAAGATCACACGGCTGCCGCGGACCTCGACGGAGCCACCGGTGATGACGGTGGGGTTTAAAGGCGGAAAGGAACTTGTCCTGGAGGTGGGCAAGCGCGGACTCAAGATTGGGGATGTGGTCGAGGAAGTGGCGCGTGTTGGGAGGGCTTTGGAACGGGAGGCTAGTTTGAAGGCATAATTCTTGTCTTGTTTTCTGCACAGCAAGCATGCATTTTTCTTGTATACATACTTTGGTTTCGTGTTTCTGTTCTGGCGCTCGGGAAGATTTATTGGAAAGGAATGGAAAGTGAGAGAGGAGGCAAAGATGATATCCAAATCTACAGACTCTACTTCTACTGTGATCATCCATTGATCCATGTAGTTTCAACATACGCCATTGAGACAAGGGCGTGGTCGTTTTGTTTTTTGCTATTTTGCCAACAAACAGTCCGACATTTACACGGCAGCACCGGAGATGAAGAACCACTTGTCAATGCTGCCATCGATAGGGGCAGGGGGCAGGTTCTCGCCCCGGGGGATGGCGGCCAGCTGGTTCGAGTCGGCAGGGTGGGCGGAGCCCTCGACGGTGGAGTTGGCGCTACAATCGCACGATCAGTATTTGGATCTTCTCCGCACACAAAACACCACAACTTACAGGCTGATGTCACCGGCCTGAGCCTTGCCGGTGATCAGCTTCTCCCAAGCCTCGGAACACTCGTGGATGACATCCATGGCGTACTTGCGGTTCTTGCACTCGCCGGAGAAAGCAAACTGGTTCTCGGGCTTGCCGTCGGGGATCTTGTAGATGCGGAACCACTCGTTGGTGGCGCGCAGCAGACCGGGCAGGTGACGCTCAACGTCCTCGATGTCGTTGAGCTTGGGAGCCAGCGGGTCGTTGACGTCGATGACGATGATCTTCCAGTCGGTCTCCTCCTCGTCAATCAGGGCCATGACACCCAGCACCTTGACCTGCTTGACCTGGCCCGGGTAGCCGACCAGCTCGCCGATCTCGCACACATCCAGCGGGTCGTTGTCGCCCTTGGCCTTGGTCTCGGGGTGGACGTTGTGGGGGTCTTCCCAGGTCTGTCATTTTGTCAGTGTGTGTTTGCTTCCCGGATATGATCTGTCGACGTACGCGAGGGAAGGCACCGTAGTTCCACAGGTAGCCCTTGTGGGGGAAGCAGTTGCGGACGAAGCGCAGCTTGCCCTTCTTGGTGTCCTGCTTGATGGGGTTGAGGAATTCCTCCTTGGAGATCTAGCGAGGTGTCAGTCCGAATGGTCGTGTTGCCGAGAGAAAAGATTCCGTACCTCCTGCTTGGCGTTGGTCCAGCGGGGGATCTCGACCACCATGTTCAGGATGGTCTGCTGCTCATTGGCGTAGAGGGGGATATCGTGGAAGGGGGAGACGGGCACGCCATCTTTCTCGATGTACACGCGGTGCTCCAGCGTGTACGGCTGGGCAATCTTGCGGATGCCGTAGGACATGGTGGGGGAAGAGGAGGTGAAATGTCTTGAAAGAAGAGCGGGACGGGCGAGAAGGGACGAAGGGGAGAAAGAGAAGGAAGAAGAAGAGGAACAGAAGCAGGGAGGGGCAGACAAGAGAGTGGGGGGAAGAATTGTGGACGAGTGACGGACTATCACTCGGGCCAAGGGGCGCATTGGACTGGTTCTGAAGATTCGGTGTGGGTGGGTTGGGCTGTGCCTTTGTTTTGTAGTGTGTGTGGCTCCGGGCGGGCTGCGTTTGATTGCGACCGTCAGTTCAGTCCATTGCTGGAGTCCCTGTCGTCCTCTCCAATTCTACATGACTACCACTATATCGATCATTGATCACTGTGAATTATCTTGTGTCTTGTCTCGTGCTCGCACTCAATGGGTGTCACTGCACCCCAGATGGCGCACGCTATGCCGGGATAGGGATCGGCCGTGGCAACAGAAGGTACCTACAGTGCTGTTCCAAGTCTGAAACTCGTTTCGGTGGGAGGGAGAGGGTTTCAGAAATACCGCTGTATTCCAGGCTGATTCCTCCCATTCTACCGTGTGGCCACCGTGACTTGGCAGGGGCAAGACGAAATTACCGTATTTGTGACAAAGAAAAAAAATAGGAAAAAGACCCTATCGCTATCACCACGTGACTTTCCTCCCTCCATCGGTCCGCCGACACACAACTATGCCATCAATCATGCCATGATCAGATTCCTACGCGCTGCAATGACCGTCCTCACTTCGCCCACTACCGCACCGCGCGTGCCCATCCCCGCCAAGGGGGTCGACTACCGCGGCACAGTCGTGCTGGCCCCGATGGTCCGCTCCGGCGAGCTGCCCTCCCGCCTGCTGGCACTCAAGTACGGCGCCGACCTAGTCTGGGGCCCCGAGACGATCGACCGCTCTCTCATCGGCTCTGAACGGCGCGTGAACCCCCGCAACGGCACCATCGAATTCACACGCATGCCCTCGAACTCGGGCCGGAGCGAAAAACCGCCCAAGGAATCGGTCCTCTACCGGATCGACCCCGTGCGCGAGAAGGGCAAGCTCATCTTCCAAATGGGCACCGCGAACCCCGAGCTGGCCGTGCAGTGCGCCAAGGTCGTCGCGGGAGATGTGGCCGGCATCGACGTCAACTCAGGCTGTCCCAAACCCTTCAGCACAAGCGGCGGCATGGGCGCCGCGCTGCTGCGCACCCCCGACAAACTCGTCTCCATCCTCGAGTCTCTCGTCCGCGAAGTCGGCGAGCCCTTCCGCATCGGCATCTCGGTCAAGATCCGCATCCTCGAAACCCCCGAGCTGACCGAAGCGTTGGTCTCGCGCCTCGTGCAGACGGGCATCACGGGGCTCACGGTCCACTGCCGCACAACGCCCATGCGGCCCCGCGAGCGCGCAATCCGCGACCAGCTCCGCATGATCGCGGGGATCTGCAACCGCGCCGGCGTGGCAATCGTCATGAACGGCGACGTCTCCTCGCGTGACGAGGCGCTGGCCTTGATGGCCGAGTACGGCGTGGACGGGGCCATGATCGCCACCGCGGCAGAGGCCAATTCGTCCTGTTTCCGCTCCGAGGCGGAGGGCGGTCTCCTGCCGTGGCGGGAGGTCGTCCATGAATACATGCGGTTCTGTCTGGAATCGGAGAACCGCTGGGGGAATACCAAGTATCTGCTTAATATGCTGATTCCCGGGAAGAACAAGGAGTTCAACGCTGCGAAGCAGTGCAAGACGTACACGGACTGCTGTCGGCGCTTGGCATTCGACGATCTGATCCCTCTCGCTGTTCGCGCCGACGAGATCCTCGATCTAGCCGATAAATGGGTGCTGGGACCGGGCGAGGAGCACGAGGTGAAGTCCAAGGCTGTCCAGAATGCGATGCAATCCGAGTCGGCCCGTGCAGCGGGTGGCAGTGGCGTACGATCGAAACAGGATTCTCCGGCCACACACACCGGTGGTCCGATCCGCACCAACTCTATCCCTGAACCGGCCTCGAAAGCAGCCAAGTCTGAGTCTGAAAGCGAGCCGCTGGCTGTCGACGTGTCGATGCAGGCTACACAGAGGCCTGAGCTGACCGCTTAACTGATACCTGTTTTTCTCATTTCATCTGCTCGTTGAATGTTCATTCATGCATAGCCCGGTGGCCGGATTTTGGCCTTTTGTTTTCCGCATCATTGGTGTTTATACTTTCTTGTTTATAGATTCCCCGGGCCTGGGCCTGTACATGGCTCCGACAGGAAGGTTATTCCTGAAAATACACTCAGCTCTTCTCTGTACCTTAGATCAAACTGGAATTCCCTTCTTATAGTTGACTGATCGTGGTTTCAACATTGCAATGTTTCTACAGGAGTCCAACTTGACAGTCAGACAGAAGCCAGACCATAGACCATTGATTGTGAAAGAGACGGCGGCATATCGAATTATCCTGTACTCGGATATCTAGTCTAAAAGCTTCACAACTCCTGCAATGTGAACGAACACCAGAACATATTCCCAAAACAAAAGCACGAGCCCACAAAACACCATCTTTTTACTCCTCGCTCTCCCCATTAACCGCCTCTCCACCATTCCCATCCCCATTCTCAGTATTCAGCTCCAAATCCCCAAACACCATATCCTCCACAACCTTCATATTAGTCTCCTCATTCTTCTTCGCGCCCGCCTCATCCTCACCCGCAACAGCCTGATCAAGCGCCAACTTCGTCTTCCCCAGCGCAAAGATCTGCTCCTCGATAGTATCACGCGTGACGAGCCGGAACACCTCCACCTCGCGGGTCTGGCCGACGCGATGGGCGCGGTTCTCGGCCTGGACGTCTTCCTGCGGGTTGAACGAGGAGTCGAAGATGATGACCTTGTTCGCGCAGGCGAGGTTGATGCCCGCGCCGCCGGCTTTGGTGGACAGTAAGAACACGGGGATCTCGGTGCGTTCGTGGAAGGCGTCTAGGATGGACTGCCGGTCTTCGACGCTGGTACGGCCGTCGAGGCGGACGAAGTCAATCTTGAGGGTCTCGAGCACGGACTCCAGGATGTCGAGGACGAGGGTGAATTGGGAGAAGACGAGGGCGCGGTCGCCGTTTGCGATGAAGCGGGTTAGGAGGCTGCGGAGGAGGTCGATCTTGCCTGAGTCCATCCATTCGGCGTCTTTGAGTTTGAACTTGCCCAGCGAGGACGGGTTCTTGAGACACATCTCATGGCACTCGAAGTCGTTGTAGGGTTGGAGCTCTTCGAAGATGATGTCCGGGTTGGACAGCGCCCATTGCTCTTCCTTCAGGCATGCCTTGGACATCTTGCGGAGAACGGTGTCCGAGAAGTGACGTCGTGCTAGAAGAGGGTGGATTGCTGCCTGCCGGAGTTTCATCATGACATGGGTGGTCTTGCTGCCGGTCTTCTTGCCCGCGGCGCGGTCTTCGATGAGTTGGCGCACTCGCTCTTTTTCGTGTTCGTAGATCTCGCGCTGAGAGGGCTTCATGTCGCAGTACTCGACGTGCAGATGCTTCTTGGGAAGGTCGATGACCTGGTGCTTCTTGCGGCGGAGCACAAACGGCTTGAGCATGGACTTGGCGCGCTCGATGCGCTGTGCGGAGAGCAGCGTGGCATGAGACTCATCGTTAGTTTTCGCTTTGTTCGAGAAGACCAACTGCAGCTCCTCCTTGTGCTCCTTGAAGACATTAGGCAGAATAAACCCGAGCAGCGACGCCAGTTCTTGGAGGTTGTTTTGGAGGGGCGTTCCCGTGAGCAGGAGTCGGAACCGGGCCGGGATGCGAATGAGTTTTTCGTACAGAATGGATTGATGGTTCTTCAACATGTGACCTTCATCGTAGACGCAGACAGTAAAGTCCATATCCCGCAGAAACTTGGCGTCGACTTTGGACTTGGCAATCGTGTAGGTAGTAATCACCACATTGATGCTGTCGCGATTATCTTCAATTTGTTCACGAATCAGCGCACGCTCATTCTGCCCAGCGTAGTAAGGCATAACCGAAAGAGTCGGGCAGAACTTTTGGAACTCGCGAAGCCAATTCTCGAGTGTGGACGAGGGGACCACGACTAGGTGCGGGCCTTTAATATCCTTTTCATAGAGATGCGCGAGGAATGCAATGACCTGGCAGGTCTTGCCAAGACCCATATCGTCGGCCAGAATACAGCTCAGTTCCTGTTCAAACAACAGAGCCAGCCAATTGATGCCAACAACCTGGTAATCCTTCATCTCCAGATCATTTGACATGATAGCCGGCTGAGAGATGAACCGTGAGGCCTTGCGGGAAACAGAGGCAGGGCCATCACTGTCGGAACTGTCATCGACACGATTGGATGACGGCGTAGCGATTCCAGAGTCGTGTGACTTGGGGGCAGCAGCATCCAGAGAGGTAATCTCTAGATCTCCTCGCTTGCCAAAAATATCGATTCCCCATTTCTTCATCTCGGCGGCAACAGGCTGACCCAGCGCCTCGCATTCTGCAACAAGAGCATCAATCGCCATGTATCCCGTCCACATATCCAGACATTTATCAACGATCTTGTCACCCACGGCCTTGAGTGATTTGCGTCCTCTTTTTTTGGGTTTCGTCTCATCCTTGACTGGAGCTGGCTCACTGACTTCTCGGACTTCACCAAGCGATGAGAAGGGACGGTGGTCGGTGATCAGTTTGGCAGTTTCTTCAGGGACGGCAGCGATATCCGCCAGGTCCTTTGGGTTGCAGGTGTTGAAGAATCTCAGCACTTTCTCGTCGATGCCTCGAGAACTGGGTTCTTCCACAATGATGTCCGAATCCTCCGAGTCGCTCATAGCTGCTTCCGGAGATTCAGAACGCGGCGATACAACCCGTCGGCCTTGCTTGAGTCGGTTCAACTTCTTTGGCGGGGGAGTATTGGCGTCGGGAATCGAAATGGCGGAAAACGAGGAGGTTCCATCCGGAGATGAGCGAGACATGGGACCACGCATCAAGCGTCGGCGAGGTTTAGCTTCATCCGAAGAGCCTTGATCTTTGGCACCTGGCAGTTTCATTGCAGCCCACTTGTCGTGAATTGTGCCGCGAGCCTTGATGTTCTGCTTCGCCGCCTGCATCGGCGCCGGGGCTGCTGCCGAGATACTCAATTCATCCTCCGAAGACTCAATGATGAGAGGAGAATAACGGCCATTCTCCTTCTCTGCATCGTCGCTGTTGGCAAGATATTCCAAAGCCCCATCGTAGTTTCCATTCGTGCGGATCAGCGCATCGACGCAGGCTTGGATCGTTTTGTTCGGCATCACCATCAATAGCCGCTCGACCTTGACCCTGACCCGGTAGTCACCGATGTCGTGCACCGAAACGTACTGAGGCTGAACAGGTTGAGCCCGCGCTGGCGCATCCTGGCGAGCCTTCTTGACCGCAACCCCTTTGGGGCCGGCCGGGCTCATCTGATCGGCAGGCCGTTTCATGTTGCCGGCAGTGGCCTTATATGCAGCAGTGAGTTCCTGGAAGCGTTCCAAAGCACTCATGGCAGGGCGGACAGGCGACTCGACCACTTTCTCAGGGCTGCGGACCGACTTTTCGAACATGGCGGGCTTGATGTCGGTGCTTTGCAGAGTCTCTTCGTCTGAGGAACCGCCGCGGTAGGTGGGACCGTCGTCGAGGTCAAAGACCGGTGTACGCTTTGCAGGACCAGTCATCATGGTAGGAGGTGGACGAAAGTGGGTGCCAGAAGGGGCAATGAGGGAGGATAACATGCCGCCCTGGGGGAAGCGTTGAGGGGGTGAAGAAGCAGGGCCGGTTGGGGAAGACGCAGCGACTTGAATAGGGACATTGTAAGGACGTGAATAGGACCCGTCAATCAATTGTGTTGGCTGCGTCAATCGCTGGGAAGGAGTGAATGCCGCCCCCATAGGGACAGTGGCGATTGTCTCGTACTCTGCCTCGTCCGTGGGTGTGCCGGGGAAATTCTTTCTGTCCCGGATGGGCGTGTCTGGCACCGAGTCGTCCATAGTGTGAGTAGTCTCTCTCTCGTCCGTCCTTCGAGGCCAGCCTCTCCCTGCTCATGAAGATAGCAGGAAGGAGCGCACTTTTTTTCTGCCGGCGGAAACGCGAGGCGCGAAGGTCACGTGGATGGCGACGCGAAAAGACGTGTAGAGTTCTAGTTACCTGCCTGGTAATGATTTATAGAAATAAGAGAGGGAAAGGATAGAATTGTGTATGTGATTTATCCATTGGAATCATTCCTCATAGTACGATCTGGGTGGTGTGGTGGCATCCAAACTGTTCTACTTGTTCTCCGCTGTCCAGCTTCGGCGCTTGGACACCCCCAACCCCAAGCTCCCTCACCTCGCCATCACCGCTGGACATTCCCTGCAGTGACAGTTTCATCCCGCAATCAACACAGCCATGTCCTCCCGCCGCCCCCACGGGCAATCCTACGCCGACGTGGCCGCCCAGCCACCAGCAGACAAGACCTCCTCGGACGTCACGCCCGCCGTGCCCGCGTGAGTCGTCAACCCGTCCACGAAGAGACATCCCCCAGACCTCTAACCAGACCACGGCAATGCAGCGATGTGATCTACAAGCTCCTCGGCTTCACCGCTGCCATGGCAGCTGGCCCCATCGGCATGTACTTTCTGACCGTGAACTCGATCTTCAGCGGTAGGACACCTATTTCCTACGTACTCATCATTCTGGCACAGTTACTGACAAGCCGATTGTGGGGCAGGGAATGCGACATTTGCGGGAATTACTGCCGCCGTCACGGCCAACGTCGTACTGTTCGCTTATATCTACGTGGCCTGGAAGGACGACCAAGGGGAGAGAGCGGCGGCGGAGAAAGCCAAGTCGAGAAAGGCTCAGTAGTCAGGTGGCAGGCGATAGGATTTCTTTCTTCGGCGTTCCGGGGGGAATAATGTTGGAATGCAATCACTGATTATTCGACGTTATCATTACATATTGTTGTATGTTCAGCATGTTTCTGTGGATATCAATTGATTATTGTGGATTAACGCCCCAGGCCATTTTGTCTCTGACACTTGTTAAAACGATGCTAGTATGTCCATGTGTTGAATAGGGACCGCAGAACTCCGAGAGGGATCGCATTCGAGAGCTCCATCCCCCAGATCCTCCGGGCTAGAAACCCTCCCTCCAATTTCACGTAGGTCTCCGCTTGACAAACTCCTCCAAATCGGCCTTGGTCGCAACACCGAGCACAAACTTGCGCGCTGCATCCGTCACCACGGCAAACTGCTGCTTCTCGCGCTTCTCGCCATTGAGCGCCGTGTCGGTCTCGAAGAACCGCTCCAGCTCCTCGAGCGGCGTCTCCATCGTGATGACCTGGTAGAGGCCTCGTTTCCGGTTGAAGCGCTGCATGGCCGCGGAGACGGGGTCTGTTTCCTTGACCGCGCCAGTCTGCAGCAGTTCTTTGAGTCGCGGGATGCTCAGGTAGCCCATCAGGGAGCGCTTCGTGGCGGAGATGACGGTGAGGTGGGTGTAGTCGCGTTCGTAGGCGGCCATGAGCGCTGCGGAGATGGGATCGTCGGGGGAGACGGAGAGGGCGGGGGGAGGGTCGAGGTCTTGGATCGTTGCCTGTGATAGTTTCGTTAGGTCCGTTCCGGGTCTTTTTGGAGTGGGAGATGGGGCGCAGGACTTACCCCGCGGTACTTATCGGACCATGCTGTTTGCGGTGCGGCATTCGACTGGTCCGATGCCTGTTTCTCGCGAGTATAGGCCTCGCTGGCGGTCATGTACGACGCCATGGTGGAGGGTGGTGGGATGGTGGGGCAGAGGGAGGAGAGAGGGGCACGATGGCCCAGGTTGTGTCTGAGAGGAAGTCGAGAGACTAAGAATAGCGCAGAGTGAACTGCTCGGTGGAGTGTGTAGGCTGTGTAGGGAAAGGCAATTGCTGTGTCGTTGAACGAGAAGAAGAGAAGGAAGAAGGAAAGTCAACCGATCACGCTTTTTTCCTTCGGGGTAAGACCGGCAAGGCTGGCCCCCATACGTCATGTGCCCGACCAGCATGAACTAATTATATAACTAACCCGCCGCGCTGACGTCCGACTACGGTTTGTTTTGGTCTCTCTGGTTTCCTACACGGATAATTACATCCTTTTCATCTTTGACTCGGTTGAAACGGTTGATTCGTTGCTCGTGGACCACGATCGCTGATCATCCACTTTTGACCCACTGCTCTACTAGATCCATCCATCATGTTTCCATCTGACTCGGCCGCTGCCATCTTCGCCCGACAACACCCACTGGGTCGTCTGGGTCCACAGAAACAGGAACAGCACTCTGGTCCAGCACAGCCAGCTCAACCTCGGCGCGAGCCATTCCCCGCCTGGAGCGCAATCGACGAAACCAAGAAGAAAGCCGATGCGTTTGCGAAAGAGGCCGTACACGAGTACGAGGTCGTCAGCAAGAAGGCCCAGGAAAAAGCGGGCAAAATCGAACCCTGGTCGGCCAAGTACTATGCCGCCTGTACAATTGGTGGGATGATGGCCTGTGTGCGTCGAGCCCTTTCTGCCCGGGTATATTTTGCGGATCCTAACATTTTTCTGTATAGGGTCTGACCCATACGGCGGTGACACCCCTCGATTTGATCAAATGCCGACGCCAGGTGGACTCGCAGCTCTACAAGAGCAACATGCAGGCGTATCGCACGATCCGCGCCGCCGAGGGCTTTCGCGGCGTATTTACCGGCTGGAGCCCCACGTTTTTCGGCTACAGTGTAAGTGAAGTGACCTACGTAGACGGACAGAAATGAGGCTGCCATGGGCACTGACACTCCGTAAAGGCCCAAGGTGCGTTCAAGTACGGCGGCTACGAGTTCTTCAAGAAGTTCTACAGCGACCTGGTCGGCCAGGAGAATGCCCGCCGCTGGAAGACCTCGCTGTACTTGACGGCTAGTGCATCCGCCGAACTGATCGCGGACCTGGCGCTGTGTCCCTTTGAGTCGGTCAAGGTACGCATGCAGACGACCATCCCGCCGGATTTCCGGGGTACCTTCAGTGGAATCTCGAGCGTTGTTGCCAAAGAGGGTGTTTCTGGGTGAGTTTCCATCTCTCCCTGTTTGTTTTCTTCAGAGATTGATAACCATGTCACAGGCTATACAAAGGCCTATACCCGCTGTGGGGCCGACAGATCCCCTACACCATGATGAAATTCGCCTCCTTCGAGACTATCGTCGAGATGATTTACGCCAATCTCCCCGGCCACAAATCCGACTACAACAAGGGCGCGCAGACCGCCGTCGCGTTCACCGGTGGATACCTGGCCGGTATTCTCTGTGCGGTGGTGTCGCATCCGGCCGATGTGATGGTGAGCAAGTTGAATGCCAACCGCCAAGCGGGCGAGGCGTTTGGGGCGGCGATGAGCCGGATCTATGGCGATATTGGCTTCCGGGGCTTGTGGAATGGATTGCCGGTGCGGATTGTCATGATCGGTACTTTGACGGGCTTGCAGTGGATGATGTATGGCCTTCTCCCACTCCCAATGTCACTCGTGCTCTGATCATGGGTACTAACTCTCGTGCAGCTACGACTCGTTCAAAATCTTCATGGGCCTGCCCACCACCGGCGGCACGGGGGAGGAGAAGAAAAAGTAGGCTGTTCGCTCGTGATTGACCCTCCGTAGTCTGTCTGTACCTCGAATCCATTACATCTGCCAAGCTCGCTATCAGTTAGTCACCGCACCAACCAATTGTTATCTATCTTCTTATCGACACCGGGAGACCTGCTCTCTTTGCTTTTCTTGTACTTCGTCTCGTCGCGCCTTTTAAAGTGTCGCCTCATCCCCCTTGTCTTATCTACGTTTCCCTTCCTGCGATTCCTGTGCCTCGTACCTGCATCTTATCGCTCATCCGCAATTCCTCCCACCCCACTCCCGATAAGCTCCGCTCTCCGCTTACTCTTGCGAAGACAACAGAAAGCATTCAGCATGGGCGAGAACGAGGTGATGGTCTCGCATGGCCGAGGAGGTATTATTGTCTTGTCTCTCTCTCTTACAGAGGGTTCTGGTACTAACCGCGCAATCACGATCCAGGCCAGGGAAACATTGGCCATGACTCGACGCAGTATGTCCAGCCCCGCCCAGCCCAGTGCTGAAAGCCAACGATTATTAACTCCTCGGCGCCTCGTAGATACGTCGATGGCGAGATCGTCCGCGAGGGCGTGTACGGTGACCAGGGCGATGGGGCGTACTCGGCCGGCGTAAGTAGTCCTCTCTACACTACCCTAGCTTGCCCTTCCATTTTTCTGTCGTCTCCCGCACCCAATACATGCATACATACCGCTACACCCATTCTTTCTGCAATGTCAATACTAACACAAACAAAGCGCGGCGGCGTCGGTAACATCGGCTCCCCCCATGTTCGCGCAACCTCCAAAGTACCACACGACGCCGAGATGATCCCGGAGCTGGCGATGCGGAACTCCAGCGACGAAGTGTACCACACGGGCGTGAGTCAATGTCCTCCTTCATTCCTTCCTGTTATCATACCATATTTGAACTATATCCAAAAAGACTGGGTCGCTGATAGTGAATATATATATCTGTATAGCGCGGCGGCCAGGGAAACGTCCACCTAGACGAAGCGCAGCGCAAGGAGAAGGAGCGGAAGAAGAATCCCGCGCATGAGGGGTTGGCGGATAAGTTGAAGCATAAGCTGCTGGGGAAGAAGTAGATCGAGCCTCCCTTGTTGTTACCGTTGAATGTGATTCCCAATTGATTTGTTACCATCGAGGTGGTTAAGGATATTTCCTGATTTGTGCTCCGCGAAGAAGTGGTACATTCCATCGATGCGATGTGCACTACATAGAGTAAAAGAGATCGAGTAGAAGTAACTAGGTGGGGTAGTATAAGTTCCATAGACAGTACACCAGCGAAACAAGAGACAAATATCCATCCAGAGGGCAGGTCAACATCAACAACCATGGACGTACTCAGCTGTCCATGTTAACTGAATCCTGCCCTCAGGCAAACCCTTTCAGGAAACACGCTGAAAACAAAAGACAAGAAAAACAAACCCAAAACTGAATCCTATACCCACCCGTGTCCCATTCCATTCCCATATCGCATATGTCCTCATAACCTCATGAACGCATGACCCGCAGCGAAAACGATCGAATCACCAAAAACTTCTGTGCAGGAAAGGAAAAGAAAGACGAGAAAAGAAAAGAAAAGGGGGGAAAACGCCATCAGAAAGAAGAGACAAGAACAGTACATCCATTCGCCAGTCGTAGAATTGAAAGGAACTAGTCCTTGCTGAACCTGCGCTTGAACCAGCTCTTCCGTTTATCGTTGGACGTCGATTGGTTTGTGTTTGTGTTCTTGCGCAGATGGTTCTTCGACGGCGGGGCCGGTGGAGCAGACGATCCGCCTACGGGACCGCCCCAGTAGCTGGGATCATGGGTCGGCACGGGCGGCGAGGGGAGAGTCTTGCTGTTTGCGTTGCCATTGGCGTTATAAACGGGATTTTGACCGTAACCCCCTCCTCCTCCGCCCTGGTAACCATAGCCATTGGTATCGGCATATACACGCTCGTCCATGCGGTATTGCTGCATAGCCGCCTGCTGCAACTGGTCCATGGAGCTGTTCATCGAGCTCGGGTCTGTCGACTGGCCGTAGGGATCTGTGTAGCCGGAGCCGGAGCCAGACATCGCGGCGACGTTGTCGTAGGAGCGGTGGTAGCCTTGCTGTGGGTACCCGGACTGTGAGTTGTTTGTATATACGGCCTGGTCGGAGGACATGCGCGACTGGCGCGTCCGCGAACGCCCGGCCTGGCTGTTCTGGTATGGGTAGTAGTTGTTATCTGCTGCTTGCCCTCCTGCGTTCTGGTAGCCGTCGATAAAGCTGTCCGGGCGCGACTGTGTGCCTCGACCGCCGCCGCCGTAGTAGCTCTGGTCGGTGTATCCCCTATTCATGTGGCTCTGTGAAGCTAGGGATGGGAGTCAGCAACAGGGCGAATGAATGGCTGGGGGGTTGGCCTACCATTGTTGTAATTATTACCGCCATAATAACTCGTCCGCCGACTATAGTCTCCTACTTGCGATGCGTCATCTAGGATCAGAAATCAGCGACCCGAAGCTCCAGGGGAAACAGGCCGCAATTCAACATACCTGTGCGCGCAAATGACATGCGATTACTATTGTATGTCCCATAGATGGCAGCCTCAAACGATCGGATTGTATCCAATGGGCGCTCGAGTCGCGGCCGCGTGGGATTCGACAGGTCGGGGTCAGCTAAAATACTTTTGCGTCAGCACGCAAACACCGCAATCGAAATGAGAAACAAAACCCACTGATTGGATTCCCGTATTGATCCTTATGCTGTATTTCTCGCAAGGAGGCCAGATTGGACTTCTCCAAGGCGACGGCCACTATTCTCGGGAGTCAGTCAGGTCACCAGGAATGCGACCGCGCGGGATCACCACCACGTGGGAGGAAGGAGTGCGGTGACGTACTGGGCTGTGCTTCGTTCATGGCGACCAGCGGATCGGCCTTGGTGTGTAGCAGGCGGCGTTCCTTCTCAGAGACGGACTCGGATAGGTGGCTGTGGTGGCCGGAGGTGCTGGACCGATGTGTCTTGGTGTCTGATTTGAGACTGAAACCGCGACTCCGGCGGGGAGAGGAGGCTGGTTGTTGTTGGGGGGCCGCCATTTTTATTAGTTAGGGGAGTTCCACCGTCTTTCTCTAGTGCCCGATGAAACGGGTGTGATCTGCCCCCCAGCTTTGGCGGCCGATGTGGAGACTAGCGATTGGGAGCGCCAAGAGATGGATTGTCGATGGTGATGGTCTTGATCGAGAGACTGGGCTGGAGAAACACGATGTGAGAAGGCTCTGGGGGAAGTGAGACACTGCGGAGAGGGGTCGAGTGTGGCAGAGAGAGAGAGAGAGAGGGAGAGACTGATGCTGGGTAGCTGGGTGAAACTGAAGCCGATGGACCGTATGATTATCGTGGATGATGGACTTGGGGACGAAACGGCACGAAAAGTGGGCAGGGACTGCTTTTTATCGAAGAAAGAAAAGAAAGAGAAAGTGAGAGAGGGCACGAAGCCATACTCGTCAGTGCCTGGTCGCCATCCACGGTCCATCCATCCCATTGGTCCCTCGTCCCGGATGCCCAAAATAGACAGCCAGGCAGAGACTTATTCTGAAACATATCACTAGTAACTATAGTAGGATGGTCATTCTTCTATCCGATATCCTCTCGAGAACTCTTTCTCTCTCTCTCTTTCTCTTTCTAGGTCTGCGTGAAAACCAGATTATGATTGTGTGCGCCCTGGCGCCATCCGGAGTCTTCCAATTGGTCTATCTCGCCACACACAGCCTGTCTGGGCCAGGGACGGTACGACAGGTCCTGTTGGCGTTGGTTCTGGCAGCAATGATCATGCATGGAAACACTCTATAGCGATAAATGTACACATATATCTCTGGGATAGTGGAGGCTAGACTCCATGCGAGGTGAGGTTATTTAATTAGAGCCACGCGCTAAAACCCCAAGCTTTTGGAGACGACCCGACATGCAGACCCCACGCATTGTGTACATATTCAACCACCATCCTCATGATCGCCGAACAGTGGGTCTCTGTGGCGCAGGACTTGACTTGCACTGATCACTTGTCGCTACGGACTGCTGAGAGGCATAGAAACGGGACAACCATGCGTACTGGTTGATTGCGAAATACCGGATCCCATTTCCATCCAGGGTGTTCCCTGCCCCGGTTCCTGCATGTGGAGCCGACATCAACTGGTTTGTGCCATCAAGCCATTTCCTTTGTACGACGGATCAATTATTCTCATGAAACCAGGCGTGCGTTCCATAGCCGAAGATGAGAGGATGAACTATACAGACAGAGCCTACTGTCGTGGAGACAGCACTACAATGTACAAACTACAGCGTCAACATGGACTACATCTTGCCGCACCATAGAAGATTTTAGCCGCAAGGGGGAACCTGAATAAATGCATTTCTTCTATAAGACGAGCAAAGAAAGCAGCAAGTCGAATAGCCGGGTGCTGAAATGGGATGGATGTGACGCGCACGAATCGTCAGATACACAGTGGGAGAAAGCGATGCTGCAACCCAGGCATCATCCTTTCTGGTTGCTCGGAAACGGAGGGAACAGCAGTTCAAAAAAATGTTTCTTTATTTTTTTGATTCGTAGGGACTTTGATGGGACCCTGCCTTCTCCCACGAATAAAACGTGATCAACCCGCCAACTCCATCCTCAACACATTCGGCTCGTTCCTTGAATTTTTCCCTTTGCCTGACCGACCGTCGGAATCGCCCACTAGATACAATAAAGCTGTTTAGATGTTGGAGGGGTAGAGCATGACGCGGACGGTGGCGCCGAAGGAGCGGGGAGGGAGGTTGTTGCGGAACTTGGCGCGCACAACGCCGGAGTTGCCTGTACAGACTGTCAGAGGCGGATCGATCGTATATAGATTGCAGGGAAGGGGTAACGTACCGTGCGGCCGGGTGACCTTGCCCCAGATCACGCGAATGTTGGAGCCACGGACCTCACGCTTGGCCCGGTAGACAAAAGCGACCTTCTTGCCCAGGTAGAAGCCGGCAGCCTTGGGGTCATCGACACCCTCGATCTTGACCAGACTGTGGGAGTGGCGGGTCAGTACTCGGTTCTTTCCGGGGTCGGGGGGATGTATAAGTACCTCGTGTTGGGGTTGGTGTTGCGCTTTCCACGCTGGTAGCTCAAGTGGCGACCCCTGTAGAAGAGATCCGTATTAGTCGTCTGTTCTGGTGATGGTGTTGCGCATCCAAATGGGATCCTCCGCCCCCTCTCTTTTCCATCGATTCAGTCCAACGGGGTGTGGAGTGTGTGTGCGTGTGTGTGCGTCCAGCGCGAGAATAGACGGTGAGAACTTACTTGACATAGACTAGATGGCAGAAACGATGTTAGCACGACTCTTTTCTCTCCACGCAGTGTTGGGATGACCGCGACCAGCCGGGATACTCACGTCGGTGTCCCTGTTCCGAAGGCATTGTGATATCTCTGAGCAACAGCGGGCGAGGCAAAAAAGTCGAAGGAAAAGACCCGCAAGAGATCAAAAGTCGGACCCGGATTGTCGTGTGTTGTCGTCGGCTTCAGTTCAAAGATGCGAAGGCGCACACACAATTTGCGTGTGGTGCGGGTGCTCGGCTGAGTCATTAAGCGAGTCGCGCTAATCTGGTTTGGGTGTGCCCGGAAGAAGGAATGTTCCGTCTCACCGCCTACGCTCCATCCGGCCTGCTGTCCTCCGAGCGCAGTTTTCACCATGACGAAACTCGGCAATATCGGGACATTCTAGTAGCTCTCGTGGGCTTCTCCTACCTACTCGGGGAGGACACCGTAGTAGATAGTTTTTACGATGAATCTCACCAGGACTTGACCACATTCCACCCCTCGTCCACGCTCGGCACATTTTCGAGCCAGGGTCCCAACAGCGGTTAAATGCCGCCGAGGCATGGACCGATCGGTCCGGCCCATCATAACGGGAAAATAGAATCCGTCTGGCACGATGACAAATGGGCCGATCGCTCTCCACGATTTCGGTCACCGGGCAGGGCGAGCGCTGCTTATCGTGGGTATTTCAGTATTTCCTCGTACTGGGATAAATCACCTCATTGTCGGTGGGGTTGTCTATAGCCTATAGTACCAACACCGCTCCAGACGCTCTCTCCGGGCGTGCCGAGTCAGCTGTTGGAATACAGAGCATTGTGGAGGGGGGGCAGACCACCTTCGAGTAATTCACGGAGTTAACAGGGGTTTGGTTAGTTAAATCAATATGTAGTCATCGTACTGGGTCAAAAATACATCCATCCCACCCCAAAAAGCAGGCCCCACTGCCGAAGTCGTTAGCAATCCGCCGGATCCTGAAGAGGGAACAACCACTTCTTCCTCTCTCTCTTTTCCTCCCCACCTCTCTTCATTCTCTTCACTCTCCCTCCCCCATCTGTATATCCCGGTTGCCCATCATCATGAGCGGCTTAATCAACCAGGCCGATGAGCGCCAGAACGCTGGGTGAGTTCCCATCCCACCCGTGCTGTCTCTGACATCACCTCCCCTCTCCGGCAACGGAAGCCCTGCCGCTGTTGCTTCCCAACGTCAGCCTGGTCCAAACGGCAATTTACCTACGGGCGCATCGGGTGCTCCTATTCCGAATGACCTCCTGCTGCCAATTACTCCGTTCCTGTCGGCTTTTTATTTGCACCTCGCCGCTGGCCCTCCTTCGTGGGACCGGCTGACTGACTGCAAAATTCTTTCCCTGGCAACTCGACCCTGTGGCTAACGATGAATTTGCTATTCAGCACTGTCGAACTGAAGGATGACACGGTCATTGTGGTACTGGGGGCGTCTGGTGACCTCGCAAAGAAGAAGACGGTAAGTGCCCTAGCCCCGCGGCAGATACCAATAGCCCCAGGACTAACCGACGGAATAGTTCCCAGCACTCTTCGGCCTTGTATGTGACGACCTCGCGTGAATTTCAAGCTTCTCCCGCTGACCACCCTCCAGTTCCGCAACAAATTCCTGCCCAAGGACATCAACATCGTTGGATATGCTCGGACAAAGATGGACCACGAGGAATACCTCAAGCGCGTGCGCTCGTACATCAAGGTTCCGACCAAGGAGATTGAGGAGCAATTAGAGCAGTTCTGCAAGCTGTGCACATATGTGTCCGGCCAGTACGACCAGGATGACTCGTTCATCAACCTGCAAAAGCACATCGTGGATATCGAGAAGGCCCGGCAAGGCAAGGAGCAGAACCGCGTCTTCTACATGGCACTGCCCCCTAGTGTTTTCACCGTCGTGTCGGAGCAGCTGAAGCGCAACTGTTACCCCAAGAATGGCCTTGCTCGGATCATCGTCGAGAAGCCGTTCGGCAAGGACCTTCAGAGCTCCCGAGATCTGCAAAAGGCGTTGGACCCCAACTGGAAGGAGGAGGAGATCTTCCGTATTGACCACTACCTCGGTAAGGAGATGGTCAAGAACATTCTCATCCTGCGGTTTGGCAACGAGTTCTTCAACGCTACATGGAACCGTCACCACATCGACAACGTTCAGGTATGTACCTGCCCCGATTTTTCGAGCAAAATTCTCATATTTCGCAGATCACATTTAAGGAGCCGTTCGGCACCGAGGGTCGTGGAGGCTACTTTGACGAGTTCGGTATCATCCGCGATGTCATGCAGAACCGTATGTTTACCCAGATGATACGTCACCACATAAATACTAACATCTGCTCCAGACCTTCTGCAGGTGCTCACATTGCTCGCCATGGAGCGGCCCATTTCCTTTTCTTCGGAAGATATCCGTGATGAGAAGGTGCGCGTCCTGCGCGCAATGGATGCGATCGAGCCGAAGAACGTCATCATTGGGCAGTATGGGCGGTCGCTCGACGGAAGCAAGCCGGGTTACTTGGAGGACGACACCGTGCCGAAGGAGTCGCGCTGCCCAACCTTCTGTGCTTTGGTTGCCTACATTAAGAACGAGCGGTGGGATGGCGTGCCCTTCATCCTGAAGGCTGGAAAGGGTATGTTTCGTTCATATTACTATACGTTATCTTTCTCCTAACACACCATCTGCAGCCCTGAACGAGCAAAAGACCGAAGTCCGCATCCAATTCCGCGACGTCACCTCTGGCATCTTCAAGGACATCCCCCGCAACGAGCTGGTCATCCGGGTGCAGCCCAACGAGTCCGTCTATATCAAGATGAACTCGAAACTGCCTGGTCTGTCGATGCAGACGGTAGTGACCGAGCTGGACTTGACCTACCGCCGCCGCTTCTCCGACCTCAAGATCCCCGAGGCGTACGAGTCGCTCATCCTGGATGCCTTCAAGGGCGACCACTCCAACTTTGTGCGTGATGACGAGCTAGACGCCAGCTGGCGCATCTTCACCCCTCTGCTGCACTATCTGGACGACAACAAGGAGATCATCCCCATGGAGTACCCATACGGTATGTACGCTCATCCCCATTGACTGTCACATTTTCTAATCTTTTTCAGGCTCCCGTGGCCCCGCGGTCCTCGACGACTTCACCGCTTCGTACGGGTACAAGTTCAGCGACGCCGCCGGCTACCAGTGGCCCGTGACCTCTGCGCCCAACCGGCTGTAGGTCCTTGGCTTGCTGTGTTTACGATGATATGGGAAAGCGGCAATGCGGGGTACGAAGTGAAACCAAAATCTGTTCTTTCTTTCGTTCCATCTATCTTTTTTTCTTCTCTTTTGTTGGACGGAACTTCCAGGCCAGTGGGAGTCTCGTCAGTCATGTTGCGATATTTATGTCCACGGTCTCTAGCGTCGAATTGTAGAGCTGGAGAAGCCCATTGCAATGAAAGAGCCTTGCGCACTCTCTTTATACTTTCAGTCGATCCTTCGGGGTTTCAAGTAGATCATTATTGACACAGGGATGTAATGATATTATGCCGTAGTCTCCTACTCTAGTGTGTTAGGGCTAGACACCGCCTGTGGCTATTCCGGGAAGATCGGCGGCCTGGCAGCCACCCCTGGCGGGTCTCCAAATAACCCACGATAAGCCGGTGGTTCTGGCCATTCATCATTCTCTCGTTCAATTCTCCTTCTCCTTCAACTCCCACCTGCGCGACACACGCCACAATCGCCCCGGCTTATCTGCGCAGGATCACGCGAGCAGCACCGTCCCCTCCGCCATCGAATTGAACAATCACGAAATTCCGACTGCCTGTCCCGTCAACAAGAAAAACACGGCCCATCCCCTTCCTCGAGCTACACCCGGCTTCCGACACCAATCGGCCCTCAGCCAGCGCTGGGCATTATACAATTCCAGAGTGGGAACCTCAATTAGCATATCCCTGTGTTCTCTGCTCGGAGGTCTCACCAAGCCTATCCCACCCCCGAAACCGAAACGCGCGTTCTGATTGACCACCAATTTCGACTCAATTGATTGTCCGCTGCGCACGGTGGTAGGCTATAAATACTCGCCGCCCTTTGGCCGGAAGAGCGGAGGAGCAGCAGAAGGAGCAGCAGCAGCAGCAGCTGAGCGCATGCCTATCCAGGCGCAGCCAAGATGCCGCAGACAGCTCGGTGGGCCGGAACCCCCTCGATCAAGGGACGATCCGAGTCCACACGGATGGCGCTGTTGACGTTTAGTCTAGTGGGACTACAATTCACCTGGGGCACGGAGATGACCTACTGCACGCCTTATCTCCTCCAGCTGGGGCTGACGAAATCCAAAACCTCCCTGGTCTGGATTGCGGGACCGCTGTCGGGATTGATTATCCAGCCTCTTATTGGCGTCATTGCTGATCGGTCACGATCGAAATGGGGCCGGAGAAGGCCGTTTATGGTCTTTGGGTCTTTTGTTGTGGCGCTGTGTTTGGTTGTTTTGGGGTGGACGGCTGAGATTGTTGCGCTGTTTGTCGCGGATGCCGAGAAGGCGAGGAATTACACGATTGCATTGGCTGTTTTGAGTATTTATGCTGTTGATTTCTCGATCAATGTTGGTGAGTAACCTCGGTGGTGTTGACGGAGGAGGAAAAATGACTTACAATCTATAGTTCAAGCATGCTGCCGCAGTTTGATTGTGGATACGTTGCCGATTCCGCAACAACAAGCTGGGTCTGCATGGGGTATGTTTATCTTGTCTCTCAACATAGTTATTTGTGGTCTAACTGGGCATCAACAGCTGGGAGAATGTGTGCCATTGGCCAGCTCATCGGCTACGTTATTGGCTCAATTGATACAGTGAGCATCTTCGGGAGTATCATTGGCGACACCCAGTTCAAGCAGATGACAGTGATTGCTGCATTGTCATTGATCGGGGCCGTATCGGTCACATCCTATGCAGTGAAGGAGCGAGTGTTACTTTCGGCAAGGTGAGCACCCTAGTGGTGGTCTGATGTATAGATACTAAAGTGGGACTACAGAGACTCTGATGGCAAAGCTGGAGCAATTCAAGTTGTCGTTCAGCTGTTCAGAACTACAATGGAGCTCCCGCCTCGCATCCAGGCTATTTGCTGGGCTCAATTCTGGGCTTGGATTGGTATGTCTACCTTTCTTGAGTTTTGCGCACACACACTAAACTCTTTTCAGGCTGGTTTCCGTTTCTTTTCTATAGCACCACGTGGGTGGGGGAGACCTATTTCCGCTATGAAGTGCCGCCGGAGCAAGTGACGAAAACGACGGATATGCTGGGCGAGGTGGGTCGGGTGGGCAGTCTGTCCCTGGTCGTGTTTTCATCCATTACCTTCCTCAGCTCGGTGCTTCTTCCGTTCTGCGTGCAGCCGCCAGACACGAAGCGGGAGCGATTCACACCTCGGCCGCCGCCGGGGATCGCCAGACTCCTCAAGTCAATCACCACCGTGCGGCCAGATCTCCAGACAGCCTGGCTAATCTCGCAAGTGATGTTCGCAGCGACCATGATCTTCGCGCCTCTAGCCCACTCGCGCGCCTTCGCAACCTTCCTAGTGGCCGTATGCGGCATCCCCTGGGCAATCAGCGGCTGGGCGCCGTTCGCCTTCATGGGCGTGGAGATCAACAAGCTGACAATGAGCGGCGGTATCGCGGCAACAATGCCGACCTCACGCTCAGGCGCAGTGACCATGATTACATCGGCCAGCTTGCGGGCCAGCTCAGCCGCCGAGTCGGAGCTGGATGTACTCCGGCTCAACCACCGCGACGCGGATAGTGACACAGACGAGGAGGATCCGACATCCTTGTCCTCTAACATCCCCTCGACCGGCGAGCTGGCCGGTATCTACCTCGGTGTCCTGAATGTGTACACCACCCTGCCCCAGTTTGTCGGCACGTTTATCAGCTGGATCGTTTTCAGCATCCTCGAGCCCGGCGCAGAGCCCGGCGCTGACGAGTCAGATACGGGGTGGATGAACTTGGACAAGGACAAGCCTAATGCTATCGCCGTGTGTCTTTTTATCGGCGCATTGAGCGCCCTGATAGCTGCTGAGGCGACTCGCCGGCTACGGTACGTTCTGTGAGCGTGGGATGGGATATACCCGACGCATTCAGCCATCCACATATCACACGAGCCTGTTGGCGGTTCTGCGAGGGCTGTACACTATCATTATTATTTTATTGTAGGCGTTCGGGGGCAGTGACATGTGCATATACAATGAGGTACAGAAAATATAATTCCTAATGCAACTATACTGACGTGGAGATAAAGGAGATAAGGTGATCGGGTGAAAGGGATCGCAGGACACAAGCTTGTGTTTGTCGAATATAGACGAAAAGGACCGAGAAGAACACGAAGGTAATAAAAATAGAGAGGGAAGAAGAGGTTATATACCAATAATGCAGATAGATTGAGAACAAACTGATCAACCTTCACATCCTGATGCGGCTCGCCTTCTGTATCACTTCATCGGTCACACAATAACAGTTCGACACTTTATTCTTATAGCGCCTCCTTTGATCGCCTTTCGCGCATCTACCTCAGCAAGCGTTTCTCACTGCATACCCCTCTCCGATCCAGTCAATAGACGACGAAGCAATTTTCGTCGATTTGATCTTCGTGTGAGCCAGGCAGTTAGCGTGAAACCGGTAGCCTCGGAGCGCCGAGAGCATATTTGTGGACTTAGAGAGAAAGCCATGTGCCCATGCTATTACTCAAGAGCTGAGTTAAGTTAGTTACAGTAGTATTCGAAATCAGTTATACCTTCACACTCTTACGACTTGGTTCCCGGAAAAGAAATCCAGGGGCCGTGAGTCTGGATAGGATATGCCTTGGTGTCTCCGCTTTTCAGACCGCTTTCTATATTAGTAGGTATTTTCCACAATACCGTGGTTCGATACAGTACCTCAGTGCCCCTCCATACCGTGACATCTATCCTTCTCAGCATCACAATCTGAGAGCTGCTAAAATCTCTGCGCAATATGGCACCGAAGATATCCTCACCAAAGACACACTTCATTAGCGAAAAACACAAACCTCAAAAAAGGAAGAGAATTGTCATCTCCTGTAGCGAATGTCATCGGCGCAAGCAAAAAGTAGGAACCCCCACGAAAGAGCTAAACAAGAATTCTGCTAAAGATTGAATAGTGTGACCGCCAGTATCCATGTTGCAACTGCATGAAGCGAGGAACGCAGGTATTCATACTTCTAAACGCAATATTGCCTTTGGTCTGATTGGCGACCGCAGGATCTTTGCTATTATGACGCTGAGCGGAAGGGCTGCGAAGCCACACGAAGCAGTTCCGGTGAGAGTGGCCGCTCGGATACTAGCTGTAGCATCAATATGATGCATTTGTGCCAACCTGCTAGACCGGGCCCTACGTTGGCTAGCGAGCTTCAGGACAAGGCCCGAGACTTTGGATATTCCAGCCACAGCAATCACAACTCCATGAGCCTATTACGGACAACAGAGCTGTATGGGGGTCTGGATATTAGTTTGCGGAACTCTCCCGCCACAAATGAGTCCCCTTTCTGGAGCGATGCAGACCGTAGGTATAAGGAATTAGTCCGCCGGCTGCCTTCGCAGGCCTGCATCGACATCTTGGTCCAAACATTTTTCTCCAACATAAATTGGCAGTATGACCTGCTTGACGAGGAATCCTTTAGAGAGCACCTAGACGAACGGGCAAAGATCTCATACTCTGACATACAAGTGGGCTTGGAAAGATTGGCGCTAGGAACCCTTGTGTTTCCAGCACTACTCTTTCAAGTCCTTGCGCACGCCCTTCTCTTTCACCCTCCTCATGATGAAATGATCAATTCTCTCATGACCATGGCTGGTATGACCTTCCATGATCTTGGGGCCGAATATAGCGATACAGGCGCTGAGTTACTCGCTCTTCTGGGGAAAAAGAATATCAAAATCGCCATGGTACAAGCAGGTCTGCTACGGGCCTCTTTTTTGAAAAGTAGCGGTAAAGTTGTTGAAGCCTGGCATACGCTTGGGACAACAATCCGCGATGCACAGGAAATTGGCCTACATACCGGGCGAATTGTATCCGAGCAATCTCCAGTTGAGCCGAAGCGGGAGAGACACAATGGCAGTCTCGTTGGTTACAAAATTTGGATAGTCTTGCATATTTGGGACGTCCATATGGCTGTCGTTCTCGGTCGACCGATTGCTACCGATCTCCAAATAGACCGCTTCTCTCACACTATAGTGGACGACGAAAGACGGCGAGAATTATTCTCGCATTGGCAAACAGAGACTGATCTCCCTAGACCATTTGACATCATTCTCGCCGGCTATAATGTGGCCTATCGATATTTCAAGGACATTCACCAAATAGAACAGAACGGTGCTAACTCCCAAGACTACCCGACGGTCGAACGTGTTCACGCCGCAATCAAGAACAATATACTACTTTTACCCTCTTGGTGCCGTCTAGAAAACCCAGATACGAAGTTTGATCGATTACATGGGTGCCAATGGCTACCCATTGCCCGAGAAGGAATGTCCTCGCTCATCCACCTTGTTCTTCTCGCACTTCATCGACCGTTCATATTCTCTGTTGCCAACAGTCGCACAGAAGCCATCAAGGCTGGAATATCCATTCTTCATGCACAGGAACGACTATTTCAACGGTCAGAGCCGCACCAGCGCAAGGTGTTTAATCCGGTCTACGCTTCTTTCGATGCGATTGTTCTCATTGCAGCACTCTGTATCGCCTTTCCGAATGAGGATCACGAAAGACGAACAGAGTGTATCAACGTTGTGAAAAAGGGTATACAAAGGCTGGGCATCATTGGTCAATCCAATTCCGTGGCAAAGTCAGCACATGGCGTCGTCTGCAGCTTATACCATCGCCTAAGACATCGGCTCGGTATTTCGGAAACCGAGGACGCTGGGGCATTTTCCAGCAACTCAACAAGGATCTCTCCCAACAGCGATACAGATTACTCTAATGGGACACTGTCGGAATTCTTTTTTGATGCTGTTTTACCCCCGCGCCCAACCCATGACCTGTTCTTCGATCATATTTCAAGTACCCAAATTCCCCTCATGGACACACCGGACGGTTTGCCCTTGGACCCGCTTACTGTGAACGTTACAGATAATTGGAACTTTGAGGGCCTCTTTTCAGATGCTAGCTTCTGGGGTGTGATGAACGAGTTTAACCATTGAAATGTACCTCTAGTCAATTGCATTCTATTTGATCTCCGCAAACCATGCCGCAATATCACCCACATTGCGATCAACACAATCCGGCTGGTCATAGTGCTGGAAGTGGGAAACCTCGTTGTTCCAGATCAATTTTTTCTGACTTATGGGAATGGACTCATAGTGGCGCTTAGCAGCCGCCGCATTCATACAGTTGTCGCCGTGGATCAGCAGCGCCGGCTTGTTCAGCTTCGCAACGCCAGGAACGGTGGTATAGTCAAAGTGGTCCAAGTCGCTCATCACCGCGTATCGGTTCTCAAATCCCTTCAATGTCCACGGCCCATACCAGGACCAAACGACTGGTCCTGGAAGGCCGGCCAGTGACCCAGTATTTGGGTCAGCGGGCTTCGGATCAACCAGCGGTTGGTACACCACTTCCCCGGTCTTGTCGTACAGTTCACGGGCTTGTTTAGCTCGCTCAAGTCGTGCATTGTACAGGGCTTCTCCCTGTTCGGGAGTGGGCATTTTCATCGCCGCGATATCCGCGCCGGGCGTCCATGCAACACACCCAGCGCAAATCATGTAGATGTCGGTTTCATGGTCTCGATAGTATCCCGAGACCGAGGCCACGCCTACAACCCGGCCATCGTAGGATGCCACATCCAGGGATTCAGGGCCGCCTTGGCAGATCCCGACTAAAAAGAGCCGGGCTGGATTGACATCACCGCGTGCCGATAGGTAGTCAAGTCCTGCGACCATGTCCTCGTTTTTCATTTTCGGATTTTCCAGTCGCCGGGGTTCGCCGGTGCTTTCACCAACAGTGCGGGGGTCGAAGATCAATGCGGCGTAGCCTTCATCTGCGAGACGGGTTGCGTATTGCAGCGGCGCTTGTTCTTTCACAAAAGAATATGGACCGGTGATAACGACACCGGGTGGTTTCGTGACATTTGTGGGACGGAAAAGGACTCCACTGACAGTCTCCCCATGAGAGATATATCTGACCTTTTCAGTGGTGTAGTTACCGTGGGAAGGCATTTTGGATTCGATTCAAGAAATTGGTTATAACGTTTGATAGAAAGATCTTGATATTCTTAAGCGTCGAATTTCGCCAGGTTTAAATAACCCGAGGTCATCGGCGTTATGCCACGGCAAAAGACCCCTCCGATGGTTTACAGTAGGCCCTATGGCAACTATGACGCGTTGGATTCAATAGACAACACTACAATTCCCAATCATATTAGCGTTTCTACCTCCGTTTTCGGACATGCACGATTATCGCCGATAAAAGCGGGTCGGGTTGGAGGCTAACGCCGATGGGCCAATTAAGGGTAAATGAGCTGGGGACCTTATGCAAAAGATGACCCGCTCAGTTGAAAGCCGATATTCAATCCCTATTCTATGAAATTCTGCTGTGTTATTAGTCTGGTTGCCTTTCCTGGTCCAGCCTTCCAGCCTAATGTACTAGTATTCCTTATTTCGAAGAATTCGTATCTAGGCTTCAAGACTACAGTAGATTGTCCCTAAGTACCCTCGCCCAAACAGTGTCGGTCTTGTTGAAGCGCTTGGTCGGAGCACGCTGGGAGCGATCATGGACTGGCACGAAAATCGCCGTGTTATCGACCCTGACCCTGACCCTCTTGTTGCGGCTGACTCTCCATAACCAGTCTGTAGCTTTTTGGAACACCCGCCATTAGGCGCTCAGGGCCAATACCAGGTCTTCTTCCGTGTCCCTTACCACTGCCTTGTTGTTAAAGCTGACACGTCATTCTATGAAGTAGTGGATAGATAAACAAATCCAACACATTGAGAATTTACAAAAAAACTGGCACAATGATAGTGGAGACCTACGTTTATTCCTTGGCCACCCTGTATAAATCTGGGTCAACGAATCGAATAAGCGCACGAAATGGCTCACCCGAAAA